AATCCTGAATGAGACCTTGAAGCCGGGTATGTGACAGTGATGCCCTGTTGAAGCTCCCTTCGGTTGCCTTCTGCCAATGCAGCCGGGAGCCGTCTACTCTTGTTCTATCCAGAAGCTTTGCTCACAAGACTGCTCATGGCAGATTTCATTAGCGAGCGCTCGTATGGGCGCACATTCCAGAATGCACCTTGTAGCTCCCACACCAGTCATCATCCACTCATTAGCTGAGAAGAAACTCGTGGGCACTGCGCATGCACGCACTCATCTTGTACGCCTACCTGAGGGTGAGAGGCTTTTCGGTGCAAATTGCATTGCATAGGTTTAGCTGCCCCACGAGCCGACCCACCCGCATCTTGTAGCATCACGCGACAATGCCATAGCATGTTGTAGCATCGCGCGAGAATGCCATAACAGGCTATAACCGGTAGGGAGGCTGAGCACTGGATGTCATCAGTTACCCAGTAGGTGAGTTAGTGCTGAGTGATGCGTATGTCACTTCACCATACAAGGGGCACCTGGCACAACCCATCTTTTCGAGCCCGCGGAGTTCGTGACCTGTCTCGTCAGAGAGAGAAACAATGGAGTCATGTTGACTTCTGAGTACATACTGGTCAAGGGTGTGCATAGTCTATGAAAGGAACTCACACTGAATGCATCAATATATGCGTAGTAATTGTTTCTGGTCACGCCTGAGATGGTTTCAGATCATCCGTGCAGACTGAAAAATGGGTGTTACATGTTAGGATAGGCTATGGATCCTGGCTGCAGTGCCGACGTAGGCACCTTCTGTATTGCTGCTCATGTGGCTTTGCTCCTCGATGGCCTGCAGTCTTCGATGGAACTGAAATCCTAAGCCTGACAACAAGACAGCATAGATAGTTCAAGGTGACATGCGGGGAAAGAGCCAAGGCAAGTGCAGCGGACACAGGTTACAGTGACGGTGGAGAAACGATGAGAGCGCTAAGTGTAAGCGATGCAGAGTGATGCGTATATGTGGACGTGTACATATGTATGTACACGTCCACATGTTTAGTCACGCTCTGGAAAACCGGCTCATATTTGGCTAAGTACTGACAGGCCGGAGAATTTAGCAAACACTGCCAGGATATCTAAACTATTTGACTGGTTTCCTCCCAGCGAATTCAGGTCTGAAGTCCAGTGTTAGAATACTTCAAAGGGATAATCCTCATGTTTGGATTATCCACATGGCCTGCTTATTAAACCCAGATCTCAGCCTTAATTGTAACTTATAAGCACTAAAGATTATTCTTTATAACTGACAATGATGCATATGTTAGAGATGAAGATGAACGATAAAGTAGGGGGAAAAAGAAAGAAAACATATGCTACTTGTCCTGAACCACATGGAACATTCAAACAGCATCTCCGGTCCAGCATGAAGGTAGGTGTCTTGAAGGGGAAGGTTGAATGATAAAGGGTATCAGATTTGCAAAATGAGGGGGTGTAACTACTGAGCGACACTGACAAATTGGCACAACATCCAGAGAGGCAGTGCAACATTAGGAGTGTACAGAATTAGATGAGAATTGAGCAGGGCACTGTCGACTCATGGTATGCATGGGCCTTGGCCGGAGGAGCTTTTGGTACTTCGCTGTGGTTCACTGAGCATGGCAAAATGAAAAGTATATCAGACTATCACAGTTGTTTGTTGATATCAAATTTATGATAGTGGGTTAAGGATGCCTAAGCTATATGTGTATCTTGTTGTCTGAAGTCAGGTGGGTAGTCTGCACAATACAGATGGGGGAGTGTAAGGGAGGATGCCTAGCAGCTGTGTGCAAGGGCTTACATTCTGTCTTCTGATACAATGCCTACAACCAGTGCAGGGCTTAATGAGTTTTCTTATATGAGGCCTACAACTGATGCAGGGATTTCCGAGCCTTCATCATCTTCCTATCCAGGTGCCTATAACCATGTGCAGGACTTACCGAGTCTTCTGTTTTCCTATCCAGGTGCCTACAACTGTGTGCAGAGCTTATTGAGTCTTCTGTCTTCCTATCAAGGTGCCTACAACCATGTGCAGGACTTACCAAGTATGCATGTCCTATACAATGTGCCTGGCCGATAATTTTCTTATATGCTTTCTGATAACTTTCTGAGAACTGTTTGAGTATCTAGCAACTCACAGCACAAAACCGCAGATTATGGATGGGGAGAAATTTTAGAGACTCTGAGATTCTGTCACATTATCCATACATTATGACATCCTGAGATTGTCTTTCATTTTGCATCGTGTGAAATGTCGAAAAATGTATATTTTCTATGATTGTGACTTTCATCCAGGATTTGGCATGAGCTTTCCCGACACGTGGTCATACGCGTATACGCGTAGCATGCGTCGATGTCGTGCATGAGTCCCCATACTAGACAACACCGACAGTGTGACTATATGCGTCCCCACTGCTTTTCTTTCATAGACCTCTGATTACATCTGGTACTCTGAATAGTGACCAGTTGCGGGTGGACGAGAAGATTGTCTAGCTTTCTCGACTCCGATGGCCCCCACACTGCGCATACAATGTCGTTGTGCACAGTGCAGCAAGAGCACCGATGGGTATGAGTTTCAGACCAAACAAGTCTGTGCTAAGCACTTGAAGTTATATGGGCTACCTTGTCCTGCACCTGGGGTGTCACTTCCTTCCATCTCCCAACCCTTACTGGCAACTACTCGAAACAATGTCGCCTTGCTTCCTCTGGCTTCTGCATCCAGATCAAATGATGTTCAAGACTCTGGCCGAGTAAAGGTGCTATCACTTCCTCGGAGATGTTCTCTAACTGCGATTTATAGCCGAGCGCTTCTCACGGACATGGTGCGGACTTTGGCGACCTGGGAGATGCTGCCATGAACTTTCCTGGTGCTGATCTAGAGGTGCACGCTGTGCCTTCATGAACCCCATCTCCTTTTCCTGAACCCATCCTGGAGCCTCCGCCTCAGCTTGACAATCATCCTGGAGGCGACTATCGCAAAGTCGAGCCGCCCTCAGTTGGTACTCCTGGTTTAGACCGAGATCAAGATGAGCTGCCACACATCTCCATCCCGGCTTTCAATGAAGAGTCTTGCATTCGTATGGCATACCTGCATGCAGTAATGGGTAACACGTTTGAGAATTTGACATGGAAAGCTGCAACACAACAACTAAACTGGTCACTTGATTGTCTGGATGCACAAGCTGGCGAACTTCCTATCAACCCTCAGCCAGCTCAGACTTTGGCTACTGCTAGGCGACGTCTTGGCATCGATCCAGATGCATGGATCATATAGTATGCCATCTGCCCAGTCTGTTGGAAGCACCACACTCCGAACGAACTGAAGGAGCTCGCATCACCGGACTGCACTGTTCCTGGATGCTCGGGTAAAATTTATGTTGAAGTTCACTTCAGGGTACCCTTCCGACCTAGCTCTTAGCTTCAACATAATCTATATTGTGTAGTGGCTAAGAGCCTCTCAGGTGTCAGACAGACCATGGTACCAATACATGTTCCAGGGCATTATATGGGATTACCCAGGGCAAAGGCAGGGCAAAGGCTGGTCCAATGGCACAATTATCATATGGGATGTCCTATAGTACTAGGGCATTGATATTTATATCCCAGTATTACTGGTTGTCCCATGGTGCCAGAGGTACATAGGGATGTCTCACTATTAGTAAAACATGTATTTTCAGGCTATTGTATGGTAGTTTTTTTATACTTTGTTCTACAATCATATTGTATAAGCTCTAATTATAAAAACAGTGACTAGAATACTGTAAATAAGTGCCTTATTTGCACTTTATATATGGTGAAATATTTATAGAAAGCAGGATATCCCATATCAAGTATTGTGTACATATTTGTAATGTTATAAAGACTATATTACTATTGGTAGCATGTACAACAACTTCATTAGCTCATATAACAACTAATACAGGTCAAACAACAATGTTTATTCTTGTGTTTCAAAATTAATTTTACATTTTCTGACATAATGTTCAGACTAACATGATATAATCTTTGGCACATAGTATGTATCATAGCTATACTACAACTTTCACCAAGTGTCTCAAGAAATAGAACTACTCAGTTCACTAATATACTAGCAAAGGAGATATATTCTTGTCATGTCTCCTATGATATACTGTATTTGAATGAAAAAAGAAAGGCATTTGACCTAAGACTTCAGTCAAGTCACACTCAGAAATGCATTCACTGAATGACACCTTTGTATTATGGGATGTCCCTTTATGTGATGGGATATCCCTTGTAAGGACCTGTCACTCTTAAACCTTAGTAATTCAACTGTTAGTATAAATCTCTAGATAATTATAGTAGTTAAATAGAAACTTCAGGCTAAAGAAGAGACTAAATATCTGTGAATCTTAAAATAACATCTTAGGATGTCCTTAAAATGGGAGATCCCACCTTATATAATATGCAAATAAAGTGCTTGTTTATATCACTATAGTCACTGTTTTTATAATTAAGGCTTAGATAATATGATAGTGGAACAAAGTATAAAAAAACTACCATACAATAGCCTGAAAATACATGTTTTACTAATAGTGAGACATCCCTATGTACCCCTGGCACCATGGGACAACCAGTAATACTGGGATATAAATATCAATGCCCTAGTACTATAGGACATCCCATATGATAATTGTGCCATTAGACCAGCCTTTGCCCTGCCTTTGCCCTGAGTAATCCCATATAATGCCCTGGGACATGTATTGGTACCATGATCTGTCTGACACCTGAGAGGCTCTTAGCCACTACACAATATAGATTATGTTGAAGCTAAGAGCTAGGTCGGAAGGGTACCCTGAAGTGTTGAAGTTCTTGACTCCAGCGGTAGGACCCAACGCGATCCCATCAAGATTAACCCACAAGTCTCCATCATCGAGAGCATCCAGCGTATGATGATGCGCCCAGGTTTTGCAAGATCGCTGTGCGATTTTCGTAGCCATCAAGCTGGACGCAACAATGATGAATACTATCAAATGGAGGACATCTACGATGGGGACATGCTGTTCAAGCTGCAAACTGGTACCGTCCGAGAAGTTAACTCCACGGGTACTGTTCGTGATCGACCGTGCGAGAATGGTGCAAATGCAACAAAGCTTGTTAGCCATCGCTATGGACTAGCGCTCTCCATGAATCTTAACTGGTGAGTTCATACATAAATGTCCTAGGATATATACTATACTGAACTTGTTGATAGGTTCGGTCTTCTCTCTGGACGACCGCATTCAACAGGTCCAATCTATCTTGCGATCAACAACCTTCCACGTGAGCTTCGGTACCTTCAGCTCAACGTAATTTGCCTTGCAGTTCTACCCGGTCCTGGTGAGCCGAACCAACAGCAGCTTAATCATGTGCTGGAGCCAGGCATCAAGGAAATGATTAGCCTTCACAACGGTGATGCTGAACTTTGTCTGTTTTTGAGAGCATTCAATGAACAAATCATTTTTAATCAGGCATTGAGATGCGTGTTCACGATCAAGATTCTGCGAAAGTCTACGCCAACTTCCTCTGCGATAACTGCAACACCCCTGCCGCTCGCAAGGTTAGCGGCACTGCAGGACACAATCATGATTTTCACCCCTGCCTTTATTGCGACATCGATATCCTGGACATCAACAAATCCAGTGGCTACGATAATTGTTCGCAGTTTTGTACCAACTACATATGATTTGTCACTACTGATGAGCGAGTTTCAGCTCGGGAAGCGAAAGACGACTACAAAATGCTGAAACACGCATTCTTTGCAAAAGGGGTCAATGTTCGTCACGAGAGTGCAATCCTCCGAGATCATGGGGTTTGCTGGAGCATTATGAACTTGCTCGCTGGCTGGCTTCCTTCGTCCCAGACGGTTCTTGACTTCATGCATGCAGTATTTTTAGGTGCTTTTATACTCATCAATCTTACTATTCTAATCACTTATATACACACTAGGAATCATTGCCCATCTATTTCTCGATGTACTCTTCAAATGGTACATGTTCTCTGGCACTGGAGGTGATGAGTCCCCGAAACAGAAGTTCGAAGATACAGTGAACTCGGTTCGTTGGCCCAGTCATGTTACCCGACTCCCAAAGAATGTGAGTTTGTTGCTGCGATGCGCTCATCTGTTCACCTTCCCGCTCTACAGCTGGGTGAGAATCAGTTCTTGAAAAAGGCGGACGAGTGGCGCCGTCTCCTTACCATCACACCAGTTCTCCTATGAGTATGCTGGAAGGATGAACACGATCGCATTCCGAACATCGAGCCAACTATCCCACCTAATGCAAAAACACGACCAACACATTCTCGAAACTGCAAGGCGCTCTACTTTGCCATTCTTTTACTATGTGCTGGTGTTCGTATGCTCGCGTCGTGCAAGATCTCCATGTCACAAGCACGTATTGGTCAAGACTTTCTAACACAATACAACCGCACTCTGCAGCAGCTGGGCATCGACCTGACTATTAACAACCATCTGTCGACACATTTTGCAAAGTTTATCAAGCTCTATGGGCCCGTATATGGCTGGTGGTTATTTGCATTCGAGCGCTTCAATGGGATGTTCGAGAAAGTCAATACCAATGGCCACGATGGTGGTCGCATGGAACTCACGTTGATGCGATACTGGGTTCGATGTCATCTAATCTACGAATATCTACTTGCTCTGCCTGTGAACGCTTATACAAAAGAGCGTGAGTACATCGAGGCAGTCATCAAGTCGGAAGGACGCAGTGAACGTGGAGGTATGATGACGGAGCTTGCTATCTATCGCAGTGAGGCGACCACAGGTATTCAATATCATTGTCATTCTTTGCAAGGCACATTTAATTGTTGTCACCTGCAGATCGAGTCAAACTGCCCAGAGTACTGGGGAAGCATATCAATCTGCGCATTTTTCTTGGTCCAGGAACTGACGGTATCTACTGCCTTGCTCTCGACTATTGTCAACGCTTATATCCAGATCTTCATATTATCGACGACCTTTCGCTCGGTCATGGAACAGCTTTTGTTGCGACCCGAGTGGCCTGCACGTTAACTTACATCCGTAAGGACGGTATACGCTATGGTTCAGATTCAAACAAGCGCACTAAAGCAGATCGCTATGCATTTATTGTGGATAAAAACACAAATGAGCGTTGCCCCGTCGAGATCGCAGCCCTTTTGGGTATCAAGGTCGCGGAAAAGGCACCGCACATTTGTGTGGTCATTCGTCGGATGGTCTCAGATGAGGATATTCCCCCATTCCCATGGTGCACGTAGTCTGTCCAATCAATCTTCTCAGCTCATTGATAATATGCTGACCGATGTTTTTTTAGTTCAGATCTCCTCGGGATTCACGTGTCCTATGCCAACTGCTTCCACGGTTACGAGATTGTACCTGCGGTAGCACTCGATGCACCTCTTGCACTCATTCCGATCCATTCTGAGCGCATGGGACAAGAACTATGGGCCTCTATTTCATTTGATCATATATGTCAAAGCTACAGCATTACAGACTCATTCTCATACTGATGGCACAATTGTACAATGGAACAAGACAGGAAACGAGCTGGAGGTTATGGACGATGATGACAAGGTGTAGCTGGCGAAGGGGTAAGATGACAAATGGCAATGTATGTGCAGAATTGGAGACAGGTTCGATGCTAATCATCGAAGTACAGGTCATTGTCGTCGTCCTCGGCAGCATTTTGACCTTTGCCCGCATCCCCTCCAGTGCTCACCTTCACTATCTTTCCCTTCCCTTTCTTCTTCACCACCTTCTGCTTCGACGATCCTTCTCCCTTATCCTGTGCATTTTCAGCGAGGCGCGCTTTCTTGTTCTTCACAATCACAGCCTTCTCTTCTCTCATTCGCTTCTGCTTCTCCAAAGTCTCTTCCGGATCTTCATCATCACCCCATGCCCTGCCACTGTTCACGATATGACTCTCAACATCGTATTGCTGGTTTGTCTCGACTGCCAACCAGTGCGGGTCAATCATCCACCGTCGCGCTTTGTTCTTGAGGAGCTTGGACACCTTTGGCGGCTCATCGATGGTCTCTACTGCCTTGATGCATGGGATGTACTTGCTCGATGGCGTGGGATCCCGAGCGGCATCAATCTCTCTGAAGAGATCAATCAACTATTGTATATGATAATCAGCCTCGGAACCATGTGCCCTCAGCGACATGCTTACCACTTGGCTCCGGTATGTGGGAGCCTTTGATATATAATGCCCGGTGAACTCTCCCTTCTCATTTAGCTCATCCTCATCATCGGACATCAAGCTGTCTGTGAACACGGCATCATACTTGGGGTCATGCCACATTGATTCCTTCGGCAGATGTGCACATTTGCGCTTGCGAACCTGAAGTTTCTGCATCGGTATGTGAGCTTATGGAGAATAAACTCATTAAATTATATCACGTACACCCTTAGTGTGGCTGGTCCTATGCGATGGCTTCTTCTGACCTCTGGCTGGCAACTTCGAGTTCGCCTCTTCACTCGGCAACACATCAATCCCATCAATCTCTATCTGCGCAGTCACCGATCGCCCACGTCCTTCAATCTTATGTGCGTCGCGCAAGGCTTTTTCCAGTGCCAGAAACTTCTTCTTGACACTATCCTCGACATCAACTCTTCCGAGTGCTCGAACAGCCTTTACAGCAGTGGGTACAAGCTCACCACCTTGCTGCATGATCATTCTAACCAGGGTGCTGATGTTTTCAAAGTTCTCGACTGCATCCCACCCGAGATCCCAGCGAAAGCGCATCAGCTCAGTCTTGGTCGCGGGGTCAATCGGTAAAGGCTCTCCATCCTTCGGCCACCATGGCAGGCTCATCGGTTTGAGGTTTGGAATGCCCATGCGAGTCTGAAAGGCCTGGCGAACGAGTTCCTACGTTTTCCGAGTAAGTGCATCATCACATTCATGTGAAATCTATCACTGACTCGGTATGAAGTGTCCTTCAATGCGGCGACGCTGTCTTCAATCCGCCTCTTCTCCTTTTCGTCAAGCACCTCGTCATCGGAGTCCGAACCCTCTGCACTACCATTCGACTCATCAGACGAGATGCAACGCTCCTGAAGGTCAGCGACTAGCGTCTGCAGCTCCGAGATCAAGTCAGCCTGCTTGTCCAGCCGCTCCGACACTGCAGTGTAGCGAGCACTATAGGTATGCAGTAACTTCTTCATTTCTTCTAGCTCTGCCTGCAGCATAACCTTCTCCTCCTCCAGGAGTTCAAGCCGCATCTGGTGGTTGGAGACCTGCGCAATGAGTGCAGCCGTCTTCGCCCTTTTCACAGTTACCCCTTGCTCACCGTTAGCCGGTTCATCCGCCATGCTGGTGTCGATATGTGCAAGACCAAGTAGAGTTGCTGCATCAGAGGCTGAGGACAGATGGGCAGTCATTTGCATGGGGCGAAAGGTCTGCTTACTCCCGACCGCGATATGATGCCTTGATCCATGTTCTCGCCCATCATCCGTGTGCACTGAGCGCTTGCGCACGACATGACATTAGTTAACCTAATCCATCGTGATTTATATGCTTCACTGCGGGATTGACAGATGAATTGCTACATCAATCAGGGAGCACGGAATAGCTAGCTAGGGGACGGGTGGTAGCTGGGGGTGGTGCAGGCTCCCTGGAGCGGTTATGATATGTTCATCAAAATGTTCGCAAAAATGTTCAGTATAATGATAGCAAAATGATCCAAAGATTTGTAATACTCTGTACATTCTCGAGCTTGAGTATCTACAGAAGAATCGTGCAGGAATGATCGAAAACTTGACATTCTTCTCGGATTTCACCGACGTCAAAATCTGGGGCGTTGTGCTGTGACTGTGTGCTAGAACCCCAAAAGAAACTAAACAAGAGTGCAGTAGTTGTATTGGAATAACTCACTGCCTGCGGCTGAACTGACTGCTTCGAGATCCTTTTGATTGTAAGTAACAAGTCACAGGTAGGAGTGGAACAAAAACTCCTATTCTTTTAGTTTATACACTTGTAGGATAAGCTACAAGTGGAGGGAGAACTCTTCACTTATAGGGGCTATAAGTGGTGAGAGAAGACTGTGGGTCGGGGGGCCTTGAGGGTCCTTTTATACCCCTCGGATGTTACTTTGTGTGACCATTATGTAATAGTGTTATATGGCAAATTGGCTAATAGCAAAATAAGAGCATCACGTGATCAAAGGAGAAAGTAGGAAGGAAAAATGCCTTGGGACCTTCGTGTCCAATAGCATAAAATGAGCAGGGAGAAATAGGGAAGATAAAAGTCTTAGAACCTCCATGTCCAATAGCATAAAGTGAGCAGAGAGAAATAGAGAGCACTTTTTTTCCATCCAATAGCATAATGTGAGCATCAGGTGACATGCTTGGCTAACATTCTTGGATTTCATCTTGATCACATGACTTCTTTGTCGAGCACTACACTGGTGGTTACATGTTTACAAGCCAAACACTTTTAGTGCATGACAGTGCATCAGATGAGACCCAAGGACAACAGATATGTAGTATTCAACAGAGTAAGAGATGCAAGAGTGGTTATGAGTGACAGAAGAATGTTGAATGCTCGAGAAAAGTCACACAAAGTCGCAAAAGTTCAGATAATGTAGTGAAAGCTTTGGACGCATCTTGAAGACTAAGGCATGGAGTGGAGATATCTGAAGGATCAATGGAAAATGCATTTTCAGAGGCCAGGAGGTGCAGAAAGTGTATCACTGCACCTGTTCAGCACCATTGCCCCCATTGCCTCTACCACTTCGACTGCATCTGTCATCATTGGGCCTTCTGATTCAGGTCCACATATCCACTTCACCAAGAAGTCGAAGGACTTCATCACTAGCCACAAGAAAAGGTCTGCTATGAAGAATGCCACTGCCTCTGTGTGCACACGTGAGACTGCCAGAGAGAAGGGGCTGAAGAAGGTGGGTGAGGATAAGAAGGAGAAGGGAAAGGCAAAAGAGAAGGACAGGGAGCAGGATCCCGATGATTCAATGTGAGAGTAGCTCAATGCAAGCGCTGACCTGGAGAGGGTATGTGATGAAGATGACCAGTGCTCAATTCTTACTGGCTACATTTCCTTTTCAGTCATCTCACTAAAAGGCACTCCGTTTTACTTCACCATCCTCTTCTCATTATTGTGCCATGTTCTTTAACATTTATTTGTATGGCTTCAATTAGGCAGGGACATAGTAGTGTAGTAAAGTAAACTATAGGAAGGTCCAAGTATAGTTATAATAAAGGTTATAGAGTTTGTTGGACCTGTGAAACCCGTACACATAATACAGGTACATGAGGTCTGACTATATAAACCTGCAGAGTTTTTATAAACATATGGGTGAGACTCAAATTAAACTAAATAAATGGAAGCACAAATGCTAACTGTATATATTTTGTAAGAAAGCTACTTACTTAAACTTTGCATGTTAAACTTTGCTCTTAAGTATTACTTTACTTGAAGATGTGTCTAGAATGTGCAGTAAACTATGCATAGGTACATACATAATAATAGTACAGGTCATAGTACAGGATCATCTTTCATAAACCTGTAACCCTCATAGACCTGTACTATATGCAGATCCATGTACCTATATGTATAGTTAGGGTTGGGCCTTTGTACTACAAAGATAGACCTGTGTCCCTGCCTAGCTTTGATAGCTGTAGTATAAAAGGCCCCCGCTTGTAGCATAGAGGGCAGCATTTTTGTTCAATTGACCAGTCTTCAAACCTGTGACATTGCAGAACACTTCGTGTGACTCCACCTTCTTCTGAAAGGAGTAGCTATCATCACATAGTTTTGGAAGAAGGTGGAGTCACACGAAGTGTTCCACAATATCACAGGTTTGAAGACTGGTCAATTGAATGAAAAATGCTGCCCTCTATGCTACAAGTTGGGGCCTTTTATACTACAGCTATTGAAGCTGCATGAATGTCAAAGAACATGGCACAATAATGAGAAGCGGGTGGCAAAGTAAAATGAGGTGCCTTTTGGTGAGGGGACCAGAAAGGAAATCTAGCCAGTAAGAATTGAGTGCTGATCATCTTTGTCACACAGCCACACTATGCGCAAGTTCGCAAGGTATTACGACATGTCACAGGAGTTGGATGTTGCATACTCCTCCACATTAACCAGATCTCTACTCATTGTCACTGCCTTTAAGTTGCAATGGAGAGTACAGCCACCTCCAGGGAATATCCCTATTGTTACCTTCGCATCAGCTGCAGACACAGCTCTGCAGACTGCCTTCATTTGAAAGCTAACTACTACAACATGTATCGCACAGGTCCCAAGTCAATGACCGCTGTACCAGCTGTCCAATCCAGACCCAGCGACACAAGTGACAGTGCGGAGTAAGACTCTACTTCTGAGTCCTAAGACAGTCACTGAGACATATGGGTGGACCATGTCACCCATTGAAAGTGGATGAGGGTTGGGGAACACACTTTGAGCACTGGTCTAACACCTTCCCTCAGATGGGTGAGAAGAAGCTGAGAAATCCATATTTGCCTTCTCAACGAACCAGAGAGGAGTGAAATTATACTGCTGCATGAGGCATACGAGCACAGCTGACATAATCTAGAAGGTGGAGAAGGTGGGTGCACCACGCAGGTATCCGTGCTTCAGTTCACTGTTGGTTATGACATCAGAGCACCGTAATCGAAATACTCCAGGCAGCACGGAGATGGAGTCCCAGTCAAAGTCCTGTATTGCAAGGTCGAGCAAGAACACACTGGTACAAAGAAGTTCACCTTATGTAATGGACTATCGAATGAGAATGGAGGCTGTCAAATGTTGTGGGGTGAGAAGTGCTTAGTAGACTGCACTTTCAGCTATCTGCTGGACAGAAATTCCAGGACCATGTCAATTCCTCAACACAAATTTTTTGCAATGTCAGCTGCTTGATGCAATTCTTTGTACTGGTGTGTTCAAAAGTGTACACTCGCCAAATTTGTCACTGGGGACTCCAATGACATCTCATGAGGTCGAGCAAATTTGTTTCTGCATTGCCCTTTATCCAACTAAGAATTGCGATGCCAAGGTTTTGCTGACACAAGCATTTGACAGACAGTACTTCCCATATATAAGGTTCGTACAACGTGCCCCCCAACTTATACTTCCCCCTCTCACCATCTCCTGTCTCCCATCTCCTTCCCTCAGCCCGTCACTGCCAGCTGTGCTTCTGCTGCAGCACTCTAGCTCACCCCGATACCCCGAACTACATTCTCGCATCATGCTTACTTGGATCGCCATCACTGGTACCTTGGGGATCGTCGCAGTACGTTATGTGACATGTCGTTTGCCAGCGGGCGGTGCTGACCTGCATTTCATTGTACACAGGTTGGGACTTAGATGCCTTCATCCCAAGGTTCTGAGCATATCTGTAGTGTAATTTTACATAACGTTCACATGTGTCTGCTAACCATCTCACTTTCTTCTTAGGCTGAAACACAATCCTCCGGTGATGCGAGGCCATGCGCATTGAGCATGTTCTGCAGGTAACAGACTGATGTCATGCATTCTGCGGCTCTTCGTGTAGTGACATACACTGCAAAACCCACAAAATCATCAGAGTCCAAGACGCGTCAGTTTTACCTTATCTCTCACATCTTCGGATTTGACGGCATGTTACGGGAGACCAAAGATGTCGAACATCCTGTATTTCCGGCACTCCCAAGATTCCTTGAATACACTGTTGGTCCATGCTATCTCTTGCTTCGAAGATGTCTTGTTTGTAACATCTTCCCACTCCAATTTATACCACATCTTCAACTTTCCAAAGATGCTGTTGTTCATATGTTGCAAACATCTTTCGCTCAAAAATTGTGCTATTTCCCTTGTCTTCTCCCTCTCAAGATGTGCAGAATACTCGGACCCGAGGATGCGTAGACAGGGGCAAAGGGTTTATAAAGGCATCCCCTCACTCAAGTCCTTCGGCACATCTTGCACCAGAACCATCACCTTCCTCAGCCCTCCTGCCCTTCCCCACGAGCTTGAGTGCGACGCTGTTGCAGAGTGCTGTATCAGCACCCTCATCACATCCAGGGATGACACTGTGTACTTGCTCAGTGCGTAGCTGCCCCTCCCGCACTCATCGTGTTTCTACCTATTGACACACTAATACCTTGCAGCAGAAGTACTGGACTCCCGGTTCCCAGCCTTACAGTTTACGTGCAAGCATCGAGATAAGTACTGTGCTTCATATGTTAATGCTCTAGCCTCTCATTCTCCTATCATTCTTGCAGAACCATCAATTTCACTGCGTGAAAATCCTGGTGCAGAGCGCGGACAACAAGGTGCGGGAGATCTTCTAGTACTTAGCGTACGAGTGGTATAGGGCAGGTCAGACATGCTGGTGGTATATATACATAATATATTATCAAATATAATTCCCATTTTATACGACATTTTGCCATGGAACAGTCCAAATAGATAGAATCTTGTATGAATCTTCGGAGTGTATTGTAAGAGTCTTCACATGCTGAAGACGGGGGGGCTGAAACATCTCCTACCCCGAATACAACTAGTTATCAATGTCTTCGTACTCTGAATATGAAGCTGTCTTCAGGGCCGAACACGTCGAAAAGGTGGCCGCTCCCTGCTTTCTCGGGGCCAAAGATGTTTGTTGTTCCGATCCCAAGACATGTCAATTTGGAGGCGCCTTCAGACTGTCTCCAGGGTCCGAGATTTTCTCGGTTTTGCAGTGATAGCGTACTTTGTATGTAAAATCTAAATATATTTGGTGTGTTCTATAGAACAAAAGAAAATCGAGTGGGAACAGAGAAATTCTAAGCAGGGCAAGATCCGAGTACAAGTGCTCGATGTCATTCGATCCGGCTCGTTCTGCTGTGTTCTTGGCTTTTCAACCTGTGATCAGACTCGACCTGGTTCGCCTGGCTTTGTCCCAGATCTCATATAGTCCAAGTTTCTCACAGGGTCGAAGCCACTCTAAGCAACGAGCCCATTCGATCTCGTTCGACCCCGCAATAACGAACTTTGACTATGGAGTGCTTACAGAGACGTGCACGATTGCGTTACTAGCTCATTCCAAAACACGTGATCTCTGAGACACTTTGGCGTTGGCTGCATCGTCTCCCTTCCCCGCATGTTGCTGAAAGCTGTCCGACGTTGCGCGCGGTCGCTGTCGACGGCGACCGCACCCTATCCTTTTTCCAGCGTCGCCAAATTCCCCACACCACCCGCGACACCGCCGCCAGAACCGCTCCGGCTCGGGAAAGGGCTGATGCCCTACCTGCAGCAAACGCTCCCGGAACCCGCCAAGCAAAAGCTCTTCACGACGTACTTCTCAAAACGACACCCACTGCGGATCCTGCCCGGGTCGGTGCTGACGGTGTCGCTGGCGCACGCGCCGACGACGTTCTCGGGCGTGCTCATGCAGGTGCGGCGGCGCGGGCTCGACACGTCGTTCGTGCTCCGGAACGTGATCAACCGCACGGGCGTGGAGATGCAGTTCTTCGTGAGCTCGCCGCACCTGAAGGACATCAAGATCGTGCAGCGCGCGGGCGGGGGCGGGGGGAAGGCGGGCAGGCGCATGCGCAGGGCGAAGCTCTTCTACCTGCGCGACTCTCCGGAGAAAATGACTGCGATTTCGGCGGGGGTGCGCGGGTGAGGACGTGGGTCACGCATGAGACGGTGCGCGCGCTCACACTTTGTTGCTGCGATCTCTCTCACACAAGCTTACTGGCCGGCCTCAGGGCTGCGTGGGAGGCGCGTCCGTGTCTCACTTACCCCAGCGTCAACACGCTGCGGATTGACAATTAGGAGCTATGGAAGTGTATTGTGGGTGAGATGGAGTGCGGGTTGGTGGTCACTTGAACCGGTTGGGTGTTCTGGCTTCGCTTCGGCGTCTCGGTTGGCGTCCTCAGATGTACTCATGCCACCTAGCTGCACCCGATCGAGGAATGTTTATGGGATCATTCGACTCTCCGGCCGCATGCGGGTAGAGCTAACGGCATCCCCGTCGACGTGTATTTAGATCGACGATATCCGGGGTTTAATACGCCTGTAGTATACAATCGGAGAAGATATCACGTCGATCAAATTCGAAGACGAAGAGGGCGGTTGGGAGGGTTCGAATGTGAGTAGACGAGTCAACTGACACGCACGGGAAGTCGAGAGGCGCGAGGCGTCGCGAGATTGGGTCGATAGGTTCTATGAAGGGCTGACTTGGGGCTGATCGATGGGGGACGAGTGGCTAAAGGAGGAATGTAAAGAGAGTTCAATGCTTCGTGGCATGCTTCTGCTGGGAGAGGCAGGGTTCGATCGTGAGGGCGTGCGGCGTTGCTGTGGCGGTTGCCGTTCGCAGCATCAGGGTGCGAATCTCGAGGTCGGAAGTCGCAGCGGGGACACCGGGGCGGCGTATGGGCGGAATGAATTCACTGCCCCAGAGCGAATGCTCGGCAGGAGGTCAGGCTGGCAACGAGGACGGGTAGGTCGCCGATACGCGCCTGCGTGTTCATGCATCTCCGGTGCCAATAGCGCATGCCAGACCTTCTGGAGGACGAGTTGTATCATCTGGGAGAGGAAGTGTTCTTAGTCAGAGGCGGTGTGACTTCTGGCGTTCGCTGCTGTCCCATGAGTTGGTGTCTTAGTGTGCACCAGCGGGTAAAACACGCCGATCCGATATGAGACTGAGGAGCGCAAGGAGTGGAGCAGAAGACACGCGGCGAGGAGAATGTTCGAGCAGCGCCGAGGGCATCTGAGTCGCTGCGTGTGCGCTGGGCGATGCAGAGTGGAGACGTGTGGCTGAGAGATGAAGTGGCTGAGAGAGGAAGGCACGCGTCTGTTTGTCAGGCACCGAGCTCTCGGCTTCGCATGCCAGTGGCATCTGCGCAAGATCTCTTCTTCGCACCCGCACTCATCTTCCCCCCGACGATATATACTCCCCCCGCCATGACAGAGGCCGTAGCCCCTTCAGACCCAAACGACAACCCTCCTATGACCCACCAGTCCAAGAAGAAACGTGTAGAAGACCAGCCTCTTTCCCCAGACATCGGTCTCAAGCCTGTTCAACTCCAGCGCAGGCGGGTATGGAGAGCATGTGAATCATGCAGGTCTGTCCACTTTCGCATCTCCTCCTCCTCCTCCTCGATCTCATCACTATCCTGCAGGCGGAAGAAGATTAAATGCGACGGGAACGAGCCAACGTGCTCTCAATGTGCTGCGTCCAAGTCACAATGCACTTGGTTACAGACAAAGGATCGGGCTGCGTTAAGCAGACAGTGAGCACCTATCCACCTTCCCTGCCTATCGCATCCTCACCCTCCATCCTAGTTACGTCCAGGAGTTAGAGGCCCGCCTCCTCCACATGGAGTCGCTCTTCCACCAGGTTGCCCCCATCCTCGAGCAGGTCGGCGAAGCCAGTGGCCTCGATCTCTCCTGTCTCCCACCCTCAATAGCCCCTTCGCAATCCGGTGCCCCCACGATTCCCCTAAATGTCCTGCAGTCCGTCCTCCCGAAAGTCAAGGAGGTCGCCCAGAACAGCGCCGCTGCGGACGGCTCGGCAGCCGATACCCCGATCAAGGTCGAGGACGACGTCTCGGAGTCTTTCGGTCAGCTCGCCCTCGACGAGCACGGACATATGCACTGGATCGGCGGCTCGTCGACCATGTCGCTCATTCAGTCGTTTCGGGCCATGACCTCGTCTCCACTCCACCGTGTTTCCCCCATGGAGGAGGATCCCCTGGCGCCGGGCCCCAGCGTCAACAAGCTCTACTTTCCTGCCTCGGTGTTCTTCGGGAAGGTGCATGCACTGCCCCGCCCGGAGGAGGTCGAATATCCCGACCGTGACCTCGCGGACAAGCTGGTAAGTGGACGCTTTCTCTTGGCGCTCCGCGGTAGTGTAACTCATACCCGTGTCAGGTCGATGCCTACTTTGCCAAGTTCCACTTTCTGATGCCCGTCATCGACAAGCCCTCATTCGTGCTCAAGTACAAGTACCTCATGGAGCATACTAACGATCCACTTCTGGCGCGGACGCAGACCGCGTTCATTGCGCTTGTTTGCGCAGTCTTCGCAGTCGCAGCCCGTTTCGTGGACGACCCCCGGTTATCGAAGTTCGAGAATCTCGATGCAGCAGGGATGGGCATGGTGTATTACGAACGGTGCGTGTATCATCTTCCGGCGAAGCTGTAGAATGGCACTCAACATGTTGCAATTTTATCAGCGCACTTATTCTGCACTATATTAGCCATGCCTCGACGCAGATTGAGCATGTGCAATGTTTCTTACTCCTGTCCTCCTTCCTGTGTTCCGTAAACTGCCTGCCACAGGCTTGGCTGCTCGTCGGCCAGGCTGTGCGGGCCGCGCAGGACATCGGTCTGCACGTACGTGATCCGCTCATCTAATATATGCTCCCGAGCCTTATCTTGACCTGCGCAGCGATCACCCCGCCGGCTCTTGATCAAGCCAATCGAGAAGGAGACTCGTCGGAAGATCTGGTGGGGCGTGTACACCCTCGATCGAATGCTTGCGCTCGCCTTGGGCCGGCCGCTCGCTATTGAGGACGCCGACTGCGACGTCGAACTTCCCGTGGATATCGACGACGATCACCTCCCGGATTATTTCGCAGGCGCCCAGATGTCGCGATTGAGCCCGTCGCTCATGAAAGGCTTCATAGAGCTCACACTGCTTTACCGCATCGGTGGACAGGTCCTACGGCAGGTGTATGCGCTCGACAAGTGCAGGGACCACCTTGAGCCTGAGAAGCGTGCGGAGCTGTCGCGTGCCGTGGATACGCTCGACAAGAGGCTCATCAAGTGGTGCGATGACCTGCCCGCGGCCTTCAAGTCGAGGCCGGTCAATGAGAGGGAGGTATCGATGGGCGCGGTCCTATGCAGCCACTATTACTCCATCCTCACCACCCTCCACCGCAATTTCCTGCCGCTGAAGCGCGACCAGCCGGTGTCGCCGCGGTCGACGGCCAAGGCCGTCTCCACTGCGCGCGCATGCATCCGGCTCGCGCCTTCAATCAAGAGCGTCGTCCCGCCAAGCCACCACCTCGCGTTCTTCATCCAGAATCTCTTCAGCTCCGCTGTCATAATCCTCCTGTACGCGATGCACTCCGTCGACCCCGCTGCGTCCACCGCGGCGATGGACGAGGTCGCAAACTGCCTTTCCGTCCTCGGTTCGTGGGAAGGTCACTGGCCCGGGGCACGCAAGTGTAAGGAGCTGCTCGAGGACCTCGCCGCGACTGCGCGCGAGGCAATCAAGACCTCGGCGAGTGGCCAGAGCAGGGGTGCGGGCTCGGGCTCGTCTTCCTCGGCTTCCCCGTCGTCTGTTATGTCGGATGGGTGGCCGCCGGGCCAGATTCCACTCCCCGTGCCCGAGAGGCTGATGAAGCACAGGCGCCGGAGGAACAGCTCGCGAGATGTACGTGACCTGCGGTTGTCGTCGCCCCATCAGAGTTCGTCGGCGATGCAATTCCGGTCAGATTGTGAGTGCACTGTGGGACTTTCTGATGCGTGCATGTCTGTTTTCTGACAACTCTCCCTGTTGTGCAGCACAGCGCGCACGGTCGACATCTCGCAAGCGACCGCACGACGACGACGGCCTGGACGGCAGCGCTTACGTCCTGCCGAGCTCATATCCCGGTCGCTCAAGCTTCTTCAGCGCACACAGTTCGCCCGCGTCCGTCAACAGCCAACCGTCTCCTTCTGGCGCGACCGTCGACTTTCCCCAAGATCCCAGCCCGCGGATAGTGGCGAGCAATTCGTACGGCTCGCTCAACCCGACCTCGCCCTCGGTCGCGACGCCTTCGCAGCCACGGTTCGACTACGATTTCACGCAGGACCGCTGGGGCGTGCAGGCTGGCGAGGCGAACGGGCTCAAGTTTTTCCCCTCGGGCGCAGGCGCAGGCGCGCAGAACACGTATCCGGCGTTCGCGCCGCCGCCGCCGCAGTCGCCCGCGGACCCGGCGTTCGGCTACACGTATGATGCGAACGGGGCGGACCCCGCGATGGGCGTGTTTGGGCTGTCGGGCACCCCGCCGTCGTCGGGCTTCGCTGCGCCCGGGCTGCCGTTCCGCGGGCTCGATTATATTCGGAATTTCAACCCCGGATACAGTAATGGCGAGCAGGACCAGCTGTGGCATACGTTCGATCCCGGCGCGTTTGGGTACGATCCCGAGATACCGTTTACCCTTGGAGATATCCCGGCAGAGGGGCGGTGGCCCGACGTGCAGTGAGAGTCGCGCGGTGTGCAGCGCTGCGAGTGCTGGGACCTAGGCTTGGAGCTTTTCTTGCTGGTGGGCGCGGCGTCCTTCCCGTGCCAGACATTGTGTATGAGTACCATACCCCCGTTTCGTTGCTGGATCTTATTAACCCCATGTATTTCCCGTGTATTGTTACCGTTCTTGCCCTCGTCCTGTGCACCCCCCCCGCCTTCGATACCTTATATTTCTCACGCTAATCGGCCGTTCGTGCTTCGTGCTCTGCGGCTCTTTATGGTACTTTATGACCCTCTGACATTCGGTTTAGAGGTGTTGTGCATTAGTGTACAGTATACAGACCGTGTAATGGACAGATATCGGACACAGCTCATGAACTGTACTGACAATTGGAACATTGACGACAGATAGTGGACAGTCGCCGGACGATATTAGTTACAGGTACTTAGGCCATGAAGAACCTGGGGTGAACCATTCGTACGACAGATTTCTGGCCGCGGGGGCCAAGAAGTCACTCTGAAAGTAAAGTACGCGTGGGCGATTCTCTTCAAATCTGGGAGTCTCGTTGTAGTGGTAGGGTAGCCTAGGGTGTCTTCAATCCCGTCAGAGCGTACTGACCTCGGGTGACAGGAAATATCACCTGCATTGGAACGAGCCTTTGCACATGTACATGACAACACTTACGCAGAACAGAGTTCCCATCCTCGCAATTTTTAGTCTCGCACACCTTCGAAGTGTCAATGTTGCTCCCTCGAAATCATCGGCTGTCGGTTACTTGAGACATTCTTTAAACTCAGGGAGTCGATGTCCCAGTTAAGCGGCGAGGACAGCAATGGCGTCCGTTCCAAAAACGACACCGCTTATCGTGTTTAGAAGGAGGTAGAGGGCGGGGAAATGCTTGACGCGCATCTTCACGATGCCCTTGAGGATCATAACCGTGTGCTCGGGGACGAGCTGCTTGAACGCTACGAGGTAGGACACTGGGATCAATATGCCGCCGCATATATGCAAATCCACACATATATATATATGATCATATGTATGGGTCGTTTGTCGTCACCTACATGCCTCAAATCTCAATAACAACCTTCCCCGCCGAAACACCTTTCTTACACAGTTCGACTCCTTCCCCTACCTTTTCCAGGCCTTTCCCAACAACGATAGGCTCAGGCACAGCTTTCATAGTCCCCGCCTTCAACGCTTCAGGAACAAATCGCGTCCATATGCCTTCGACAATCTCCTTATCTTGGACTATGGCAGCAGTATCATTGACTACCACATTTCAACATCAATCTTAGTGAGCCCCATCACAGAAACAAAAATCCAACTCACCAGGTAAGACCTCCACTCCTTCAGGAACACCCTCAAAGGTTGTTGGCAAATTACTCACGACCTTGCCGCCTCCTAAGGCTTTGACAACCTCTGCACAAGCCCTCCAGGTCCGCTCCTCAGCGATTGCATCAAGCGCACCCGCAAAATCACCCCCCGCCCCTTTGATTGTCTCAACCAAATTCTCTGTGATTTTATCATCATGATAATCCAACACTGCACTAGCTCCAAGCCCCTTGACAAATTCATGATTCTTGCTCGATGCGGTGGCAATGACCGTAACGCCTGAGGCAACGGCTAATTGGATTGCAGCACTCCCCATGCTGGAAGAACCACCCCAAATGAGGAGGACTTTGTTGATAGACTTCAGTTTTGTGGGCTGTGGAAGTGGAAGTGCCAAGCGAGTGGACGGATAGAGGCCCATTGCTGCCGTAGACAGGGCTAGAGGAAGGACACAGCCTGATTTGAAGGGGATACTGGCCGGGAGGGGGGAGACGACATTGGATGTACAAACGGTGTAGTGCTGGAACCCGCCATCTTGGGAGCGGGCGGTGAGGAACCAGTTTGCCATGCTTAGAGTGGGAGCGGAGTTAGTAGTGGTGCAGTTTGGTCAATGCTTTTAGACAGTAATGGGGAGCAGGAAACATGGTGGGTGATAGATGAGCATGCAGACTCACCCAATAACACGATCACCCTTCTTGAACCCGGTCACACCCTCGCCGACTTCATATATCTCGCCCGCGACGTCTGTGCCGATTATCTATTGTCAATCCAATTAATCAACATCTTCCCTACCTCCTACACCAGTCTCCTCCTCATCCATCCATTCTTTCAGACTCAGTAAGACTGAACTTACAGCAGGATACTCCTTTGGAAATGGCAAGATTGCTCCATAAGTTTGGATTTTCCAATCCACTGTGTTCTATATCAGAATCTGTCCCAGCAAATTGCCTTATCATCAAAAAGCAAAGAGGAGAAAACAAGTATATTATGAAAGAAGGAGAGGAGAGAAGCTGGGTGGAAGGGTAATACGAACTTGGATTCACAGCGACAGCGGCATTCTTGATCACGATTTCTCCGGGTCCCGGTTTCGAGTAAGAAGCGTCTTTGACGGCGAAGGTTCCCTCGGGAGCGGTGAGGTAGGATGCGATGTTTGGGGTTGACATTTTGTACGTTTAGGGGAGGGGAGCCGGGTGGTAAAGGGGCTAATGGAGCGGATGTTCGGGCAGAGTAAGGTGTGGTTGGCCCTTAAGTATCAGTCCCAGGTGAATAAGCATCCCGCAGTCGGCAAGCGCCACCAGATCTATGATGACAGAGAAATGTCAATAAACTTTCCGGGCGAGCATACGGGAGCTTAATTGGGCCAGGCTACTGTTGAGTATAGGGCTAGAGGAGCGTCGACGTCCCGAGCTGGGTTGATTTACCCACCGTTTGATACCTTTGCTGGCAGAAATCTAGCGCCTAAACTTGGAGGAGAAACGCCGAAGCTCAGAAACGATTCGCACACCTGCTGAACCAAATTGTCTGCACATTGTCTGCACACAGGATGGCGTGGGCCGAAATGGAGGGGATTTTGTTCGCATGGCCGATCGGACGAGAGGGCGCTCTCCGGCACCTCCGAGTGCCACTGGACGCTGTCCCGCTGCTGTCAGGACTACGCCTCTCTTCTGTCTGCATTGTGGATCGGACGTCAGAGTCAGCGATGATGATAGTGGATCGTGGGTAGAACTCCCCCTCCGTCATTAAGCATTCCGTACTCCGATTGCGTCTCCGTATATCATCCGGCTTTTCGCTGTAAGTAGTAACATTGGCGGATGTTTGCCAGTCCAACCTAAGTATTGGCAACCGGAATCCGCTCGACAGCTGAACATGGTGAATTCCTTCAGGCGGGGATTCCTATGAACAGTGTTCATAGAGTCGCATCGTTGAAGGTGTTCAGATGCATGATTTCGTTGGAAACCTTGAACAATATGAAGCGGCAGTGATTGCCAAAGGTGTAAGTTCCACCATTCCTGCTTTTACAGCTTATCTACATGGATATCCGTTAACCTAAAGATAACGCTAGGATAGTAACAGGAATGAACTGCAGACTTACCAGTGAAGGATTTTGATTGTAGATTCACCCTCACGTAGCCCCGCTAGCCTGCATGTATCATGTTTTCTCAATCAATTTTCATGAAAGCTGCCAAGATTTTGAATCATGGTTGTCCCATTTCCTTCAGTGATTGTCCGTAGCTAGACTAGTGCCCTAAGAGAGCCGAGGCAGAGAGAAATAATAAATTGTAGGGTAAGTAGACCGTATGATTTTGCTTTCGACGACCCAGGCGGAGGGTGTATTGAATCCCTGGAGCGCACGGCGAAAAATATCACCTGCATTGGAATGATCCTTTCTTTGCACACATGACAGAATCATAGACTAGAAAGGTGGCCCATCTCTGACCGATTCATCCGGCGACTCTCGCAACATGAAGGACCGGTTTCTCCAAGCTGGTCATGAGGTCGGTCAACACTCGGTGATTTAGAAGGGCGACAAGTTTCACCACCTCGAAGAACGCCGCTTTCTCCAGGACCATCATGAGCACTCATCCCGTAGCAGAGGTCACCGCGCCAGCAGCATGGGCGATGGTGCGCAAGCCGGGTGCATGCGTCAAGCAAGTGAAACTGACAGTCTGACAGGTGGAGGACAAGTTCTCGCCGTATGCGAAGGAGACGTTGGCGAAGCTGATCACTTTCGTCAACGTCTGTGCTGTTCAATTCCAGACATATGTCGCCTACTGATACAGCGAACGCTTTGCACAGGATGAGGTCTTCCCTGCCACGAAGCTTGCGCACGCGCAGTTGCCCACTGACCCTGCGACGCGGTGGAAGACGGTCATCCCAATCGTTGCGGAGCTCAAGGCCAAGGCTCGCAAGCTGGGCTTGTGGAACCTCTTCCTCGGCAAAGCACGCTATCCGGAGTTTGGTGTGCCCCTCACCAACCTCGAGGTACGTGCCACCGCGTCTTTCCGATCTGTGAGGCTGATGTGCGTGTAGTATGCTCTAATGGCTGAAGTGCTGGGGCGCGGAGGTCAGTTGGCCTCGGAGGCCGTGAACTGCTCTGCTCCTGATACTGGCAACATGGGTACGTAGTGTAAGCATACATATGGGTTATGCTCATAGTGATTGTAGAGGTCCTCGCGAGGTACGGCTCCCCTGAGCAGCAGAAGAAATGGCTAGTTCCCCTCCTGAACGGCGAGACACGCTCTGCGTTCTCTATGACTGAACGATACGGTACGTCATCATACGGTTCGCGCGCGAAGAAGGCATTATGATAGGTCCGTACAGTTGCCTCTTCAGATGCTACGAATATTCGCACTACCATCCGTCAGGAAGGCAACGAGATCGTAATTAACGGTCATAAATGGTTTGCACCTCGTCGCTCTCTTCGAGCCTTGCCTTCATCCACTGTTTTGCAGGTACATCAGCGGCGCCGGCGACCCGAGATGCGCTCTGCATCTTGTGCTGGGTAAGAGTGACCCCGACAACTCGGATCGTTACCACCAGCAGAGCATCGTTATCGTCCCGGCCAACGCTCCCGGAGTGAAGGTCATCCGTCCTATGCAGGTCTTCGGCTACGATGATGCTCCGGAGGGACATTGCGAGATCATATACGAGAACGTCCGTGTTCCTCTCAGCAACCTCGTTCTGGGCTGGGGGAAGGGCTTCGAGGTATTATACACTTAATATATGTCGTTGTGTGTACTCACGTATGCTGCCTCAGATCATTCAAGGCCGCCTAGGGTATGCAATGTCACCTTCGTGATATATAATTTGCTCATGTCGTCTTGCAGACCTGGCCGTATCCATCACTGCATGCGTTCAATTGGCTGCGCTCAGTATGCCTTGGACCTGATGATCCAGCGTGTCACCGATCCGGCCAAGAAGACGTTCGGGAAGTACTTGTACGAGCATGGTTAGTATGTATCGTCTGTTCTACACCAGCTCCGCTGACGCAAACTAGGTACCGTCATCGCTGACATCGCGCAATCTCGTGCCGAGATAGATTCAGCCAGAATGCTTGTGTTGAGCGCTGCCTTGCAGGTGTGTGAAACTGCTTGTGAACTGGACGAAGTGGTAGATGACATTTGTACCAGATTGACAAGAGCAACACGAAGGGTGCTCTCAAGGAAATTGGCATGGCCAAGGTGAGCATTAAATAATAGTTAGAACCGCGGTGATGCTCACTGGCTTGGCAGTTCGTCGTGCCTTCAATGGCCTGTCGGATTGTCGACCGCGCCATCCAGGCGTTCGGTGCGGAAGGCGTCAGCCAGGACACCCAACTCGCCTCTCTGTACGCTGGCCTGAGAACGCTGCGCATTGCTGACGTACGTCGTAGCGTTTCTTGGATTCACTTTCAAACACTAATGCGATCCGCTGTGGTAGGGCCCCGATGCGGTGCACATTCAGCAGATCGGTCAGAGGGAGCTGAAACGTGCTCCAGCCCTGGCAAAACGGACGGCGGAGATCCAGAAGAGGGAGCGGGCACTTCTGGAGAAGCACGGTCTCCTGTCAAAACTGTAAAGCGTCGCGATATTCCTTGGTTGATCGTTCACTATTGCATGCATGTAGCATTGTATCTATCTTTGAGATTGGATTGGATGTCCGTTGCTCCAGCTCCGATTACTGTTGTCAGCGCCGCAGATCAGTGAGAGCGTCGCTCCCGTGAGCCCATGGCACCAAGTAAATCTTTCTTTCAATTTTTAAACAGCGCGCGTAAAAACAGCGTTCTATTCGCAGCGGTGGCAATCGCCTAATCTGCCTACGGCACGACGACGAGGTTTCTTTCATCCTGTATTGCAGTGGAGAAGGCTCACACGAAGGGTACACAACATCTCACCACGAAATGTATCCACATGCCTTGCTAGCTGGCCTCGGTCGGACATAGATGATAAAAATGTGGCGAATGGTGAAGGGAAGCAGCATCGACATAATTTGCGAGTAGCTCCACCAAACTCCTGCCAACACGAGAGCCAGACCATTGATCAGCCACCTGAATCTGCCTTGATGAGTACGCACAAACGCACAGCTACTCCTGTGCCTCCTTGTCCTTCTTGATGAATTCCTGTATCCTCTCCGCCTCCTCCAGCAACACATCTGCGCCAGGCTTGGCGTAGTCCTCCACACCAAACAACGCGCGCACCGCCTGGTTCTCCCGTATCGTCCTCTGGGAGCTCCACCCGACCCCACTCTCTGACGGGCGAGACCTCCTGCCGCTGTCCACCAGCGAGATGTCCGCGTCACCGATACTGGGCAGCTGCTGCCGCAAACGCAGGGCCACCTCGAGCTCCCAGTACGACTGCTCGTGGCTCAACAAAGTAGAGTCTGTCTTGTAGATGAACGCATCATCGATGGCTTTTGACAGCGTCTCGGGCGTGATGAAGGAGTCGGATTGGTGATACAACGAGACGAGGGCGCGCAACTTCTTTCGGGGGAGTGTGGTGGTTGTGGATAGGGCCGTCTTGGATGAGGATGCGGTTGCGCTCGACGAGGAGTGTCGTGTGCGCGAACTTATCCGCCGAAGGGAACTCCGGAGCGCACTTGTTGTCGCCGACATACGTAGGACGGAGAAAGAGAGGATGCTTATGTAAGTGTTACCTGTGTGGCTTTGGCGCTCGTGTAAAATGACAGAGAAGGAGGCAAGGTCCCGTGTGGCTGAACGCATAGTTCTTTAGGCGTTTGACTTGCGCAGCATGGACACCATATCATCGTCTATATATCTTGCTTCAAGCTTCGTTATTCAATATTCATTGCTGAAACGACCGAGCTCGACGTGTCCTTCAGCGTCGCGAATCCGTTCCGTCCCACGTGCCTCTCTTCACCGGCGCCTGCCGGCGCAGGTACCGACTTTTGAGTCAAGCCCGTCCGCAACCCGCACTCCACTACTTACATCCACACCACCACGCACTCACCTCCACTACACAACACCACACCCACCACACACCATACCATGGCCAAATCGGCCCGCTCCAAAATCAAACGGCACTTCCGCGCCAAAAAGCGCACAGAGGGCATCTACGCCGCCGTCGAGGCTGCGCGGCTCAACCGCCTCGCCTTGAAGCTCAAGGCCATCTCCACCGCCGACGACGAAGGGGAGCGCATGCAGCAGGACCCGGCTCAGGCGCAGGGGGGAGGAGAGGGCGAGGGCGAGTGGGAGGACATGCCAGGTTGGTCTTGGTTCGCCGCGTTTGCGCTGCTCGACCCGGGGGACATCACCGCAGACGCGCTCGCGCGCCTCGCTGCGCCCGTTCGTGCGCGGGGGGACAGGGCGCACGTCGGCCTCCAGGCCGACATGATTAGAAACGACGGGGGATCCGGTGCCGTCCTCGACCATCTCTTCCCGAGCACTGCTGCTGCTGCTAATTGAGGGTCGATGGTTGACGCGCACCTTTTTTCTTTCTTTTCTTCATACAGATGATCAGCAAGCGGACGACGCCGCAGCCGGCCCAGGTCCGCCTTCTCGCTCACTTTCCCAATCCCACACTCACATTATCGTTCCTACGTAATTCGTTACAGATGCGATGGCGCTCGACTCGGGCTCATCCACGGACGCTGCGAAGCTGATATCGACACATGGTCCGCGGGGCTCGCGGCACGAGGAGTGGCGGGCGTCGAAGGGCATGGCGCCGCGGTCGCAGTCGCGAGGGATAAATAGGCAGGGTGGGGTCAAAGCGCGGAGGAAAGCGGGACGTCCGCAACGCAGACGATGAGCTTCAGACCAGTCGTGGCTCTGTATCCCGTATCCACTTGTTACCATAGGTTCGAACTTGGGGCTCACACAACTGGGATCTAGTTCTCAGTAACCATTTCGTCGGCCGTGAAGAAAATTTTCTACATCGAATTAGGGACAAGTTATTTAAATCGACAACCGTTGAGCATCTAAAGTCTGCGGTAACGAGTGACGGCAGCGCTTCGAGTTCTGTACATTAAATTGCCAAGTCGCTGGCGACCTTAAGTTAAAATACTGTACTTGAGGGAAACTGCTGAAAAATCATCATCGACATGAAAGCTTCTTTTTTGGTATACATTTTGTGCTGTTGTCGTGTGCCTGCATTCAGACGGCTTCCTCGGCGGTATTGACCGACGGGGAGAGCTTCTCGTCGTCCGTATCGAGCGTCGGGGACCGCTTGTGCTCTTCAACATCCGCCACCGATTCTCTGCGCAATGACCTGTTAGTGGCTGACGAAAGAGACAGAGAGAAAGGAAGAAACACTCGCCCAAAGTCCTCCATAACAAACTGGTCCGTCGTCACATGCACCTCGGGACGTGCAAACACGTACGGTTGCGCCTTCAGGCCCCCGGCGCCCCCGAGGCGCACTGCGGTAGCGGACGGGACACCGACGCCGGACATGCGCCCAAAGTGCATGTTCCCGGTGCGCCCGCCGGGCGACGGGAGCTGCGAGGCGTTGTGCACGTAGATGTCGCCGTGCGCGAATTCTTGCAAGCGAATGACGGCGCGGCACGCCGCGATCGCGCTGCGGGAGAGAGTGGATGAGCGCGGATCGAGTCACAGAGGGGCGGAGGGGACGTACGAGAAGGTTGCTGCGGGGATCTAATCGGGCGTGAGCATGTGTTTCGCTGGGACGAGGATCTGTGACTTACGGTCGCGATGCTATGAGCGGTCACGATGGAGACTCGTGAGCTTATCTGACAGCCGAAGAATGCCACAGCGTCTACACTTACATGTTCATCATAGCTAGACGACAAGCAGTGTTTTAGAGCCCACGCGAACAGAGATGATGCAGAACTACTCACGGTTCAGATTAATGACCGCCAGAATCTGCGAGATCCTATACTCAGGTATCGCAGATGCTTATGAAATGGAGGCGACTCACAGCAGGAACGGAATTGAACAGGAACGTGACAAGGAAATAGACGAGCCCGTCATGGAAGAGCATGCGCACGAGGCTCGATCGCGACGTGAGCGGCACAAGCGCGGCGATTGTTAACAGCAGGATCGCCAGGTCAAACACCATAGCTACAGTCTCTTCCATCAGCGTGTGAGGGCAAAATGGGCGCAAGCAGACGCACTCGCGAAGAACGAGATGTTGAGGAAGACGTGGTTCGTGTATGTCACCTCGCACGCTTCGGTCGCAGTATCGTACACCGCGTGGATGACGAACATGCCGCGCCAGAGGAGGGCCCAGTGCGCGAGACAGAGGATGCCTAGCGGGATCACGATCTTGAGCTTGCGCTCCCAGAGAGCTATCCTGGAGTGTGGGAATTCATGTGAGTGTAAGGATAGTGGGTGGGCGGTGAAAGCTCACGTTCGGAGCATCAGCGACGTCGAGGCGCACAGGATGGCCATGTTTCCTGTCCACTGCTGGCGGTTCAGTATGCGCCGCGCAACAAATAATATATGGACGCTCACGGAATTGAAGGTATATAGCGCTTGGCAATTGACCTGAGAGGGTGTAAGAAATAGCTACCGGATGTGTATGGAGGAGGTGCATACATGTTTAATGACAGAAAAAGATATCAACCTGTATACATCGATTGGTAGGTGTAAGACAGAGAGTAAAGATCAACTTACAGTCCAATAAGAGCCCATAGCAAACAGTATCTACAAAGAAAGAAAGGGACTGGGGACAGCGAGATCAGACAGAATGGCTGCATGTTATCTAGGAAATGACTGACTCTGCGGATCGGCTCGTCAGTAATACGGCAAATTGAGATGAGCAATCCGAACGCACCAATGGCCAAGCGAAGTCGCGCTTTCTCGTAATGAGAGACCATTCGAAGTTGGACGTTTGGAAGAGCTCCCAGATGTAGAGACCGAAGAGCGTGAACACTAGGTTTGTGTACGCGGCTGTAAAAAGACACGGAGACATGTGAGCAGAGTATCGCCAATATGAATCGGGAATGGGCACGCACTGGTATCCCTCTCAATCTCTTCCTGGGATGACCAATCGACCATGGTAGCGTGTCCAGGATGGTTGGAGGGGGAATATTGGCGAGGTAGAGGGGGTATAATATCGGGGAACGTTTAAAAGAGCGGGTGGCAACGAGCATGAGCGCTGCATGTGCCGGAGCGCCCGAGTGAAAAGAGAGAATGACAGGTAGGACGTAACTTTCTTGTTCTGTCGCGTCCCTTGTCATTCTTCTGTTTTCTGTCACGTTTGTCTTCTCCCGTCGCGTCCAGTCTGATCCGGGCACGGACCCTGCATCTGCGCCGACTCGCACATGCGGACAGAAAGTTTGTGTGTATTTTGTGTGCATTTTATTCCAGAGGACATGGAGAGATGTCGAAATGGAAGGTATTCAAGTTGTTGTTGACGCGGATGCAGATCCCAGATCGGCGTGTGCTGAACGATCGCCACCGCGCCGCCCCTTTCCAAAATAGGTAATCATGGCGGCCGTCCGATTGGCTCAGCCGTCCTCGTCGGCCAGCCATCACAACTCCGCGACCTGCAAAAATTAAAATTAAAACTAGTATCAAACAGGTTTCCGACTTTCGATCTCCTGCGTACTGTCACTACCAACCATAAGCGGCAGCCTCTACATGTCAAAGTGTAGCGCATGTTCTGCCAGCACGCCAGAACCCACATGCCCGCACGCAAGCGGCGACGCCGGACTCATATATCCCATATATCATACTTCTGATAGTAATACGATTGGGGGACTCGATCATCATCGCTGTGGACGAATGCTCATTACTGTATGTCCAGCCGAATGATTAATGACTGCAAGTCTCCCACAAAGTGTACAGCAGTCGGTATCGATCACACGCGCACACTATTAATTTCAGAAACTCGAGGCCGCAAACGACAGCCTCGACACATTTAATTGTCAAATGCATACGTGTATGCCGGCAAGTACTGCGACCTAGCTGCACCATACCGCCACCTCCCCGTCCGCACCCGCACTGACCAGCCACGGCTGCCGCGCGCACCACCGCACCTGCAGCACCCCAAGCCCGTCCTTCACCGCGTGCCCCCGCAGGATCTTCAGCGGCACAATCAGTGGGTTCGTCAGCAGGTCGTTGTACACCCGCGCGTGAAACACCTGGATCGCCCCGTCGTCCGACGACGTCGCGAACAGCGGGTACGAAGGGTGGAAGTGCACCGACCGCAGTGCGCGCGTGTGGTACCTGTGGGCGGATGCATGTCAGCGCGCGAGATACCAAATGGGTGAACCGGCGGCGGAGGCGGAAAGAAGGGAATGTAACACGTACCTGAGAATCTTGTACGGCTTGTCGCTCAGTTCGAGGTCGAACCAGCATAGCTTCCGGTCATAACCCCCGACGATCAGGTGGTCTCCGGATGGATGCACATCCATCGAAGATATCCACCGAATGCCGGGCATGAGCGTCTTCAATAGCTTCTGCTCCGCGAGGTTGTACATGCGCACGTACCGCTGCGTCTGCGTGTGGAATAAGTTTAAGAATGTTACACGTAGAATGAAGAAGGCGGAACGCACGGCGACGAAAAAGTACGGCTTCGTGGGATGGAAGAGTACGAGCTGCACGACACCCTTGACCTTTCTGAAAGGCGCCTGCGAGTGTCTGCGTGACAACTGATGCATCCAAACGCCGCCCTGGCCTTCGCTGCTCGCTGGCCAGAATTTTCAGCGGTTACGGAGGCGGAAAGCTGGCATACGAACTCACATACGGAAGCCAAGTAATCGCCCCTCCGGTGCCAAACAAGCTGCTTCGGCACACCCGCCGAAGGAGGTAACGCAAGTGTCAGGATGGGTGCGTCCGAAGAAGACGCAGCTGATGTCAGAGAGCTCCACTTGACAGGCGAGGGCGTGGTGGGCTGGGGAGGGAGCGTCGCAGGCGACAGAAGGGCCTGCGTCGCAGTGAGGACAGACACAGGCAGGTTCGGAGGGAACAAGAAATGCAGCTGCTCCTCGCTGCAGAAGCCGGGGCCGTCAGCATCACATCCACAGCGCAGAGCAGGCAGCGGATCAGGACGCACACTCCGACTACGAAGAAGCTGACGTCCATCCGCGGACACCACTCCACCGCCCCGACCTTGCCGGGGAACGTCCACCGCTTCACCTCCTTGCCTACCATGACTTCCCAGAGCCGTACCACACCGCTCTCGTCCCCGCTGATGACCCACGCACCGTCGGGACTGACGCTCAGCGCCCGCACGCGGTGACCCTCGTGGGACACCTGAAGCGCGCGGTACACAGGGAACGGCTTTAGGCTGTTCGGGTTCGGGAGCTTCGGGATCATGCTGTTCGGGTCGATCTGGAGCTTCACGCGCTGGATGCGCGGCGCGAGATACAGGTCGAGCTGGCGCGAAAAGCGCTCCTGGATGAACGCCTCGTACGCGGGCACGCGCCGCAGCGCGTCGAACTTGGCCGGGAGGAAGTTGCGCGCGCGGTCCTCCGGGTCCGTCGCCTCCCATGCCGCGCGCTCCTCCGGGGTGGGTACGTACTCCTCCGGTGGGTTGTACGACTCCGCGTGCGTGGGCAGCCGCGGTTTCGGTGCGGGAAGTGGGGCGGGGTGCGTCGAGGGCTCTTCGTTCCATATTGCGTAGAATTGCGGCCTGTCGGACGCGGTTTTTGGCTTGGAGGGGACGATGCGGCCTAGGCGGATCGCGCGCACGATCTTCATGACCTGTGGTTAAGACGGTGGGGTTCGTGTCAGTACATGCCAGGAGTAATGGTCATGTCCTTGACCTTCTGTTTCTCCCATTTGCTGGGAATCCATCTCCGTTTTGGTTCGGGCGCAGCAGAGAGCGGCATGACCTCTTCCTTGCCCTTCCCGGTGAACCACTCTACGGTCGGCTCGTAGGGGTTGTATGCGGCATCGGGGACCTCGTTCTCCTGAAGCCTCCGGATGAGGTCGAGCTCCTCCGCCGTGAGCGGCTTGTCCGTTTGTGCCTTTTTGTCGAACGCAGATGTCCTGTGTGAATAGTATTGAGTATGCAAGAGTAAAGACTATGGAGGTAGGGAGATACCATGCAGAGGGGTCATCCACCGTGTTCAGGAATTTGTCGAGCTCATCGCCCCGCGCCGGGCGCAGCACCTTCTTGCCGTCAATAGAGTAGCCTACATGGGGCAGATCGTCGTACCAGTGCATGGGTATGTCCCCGACGCGGTTCGGGGCCTGTCAAGCGCGTGTGCGCAATTCGGACTCAGATAATGAGGGAGGAGCAAGAGTGGCAGGGAGCGTACGTCTTCCGTGGAAGAGTCCGAGTCGTAGTCGGGCTCGATGGCGGGGTAGACGCGTTTTGGCTGGCCGGTGATGTCTGAGACGACCATTTTGACTTTGGGGAATATGTGCAGGTCGTCGTCGTCTTCCTCCTCATCATCCTCGGATTCTTCGTCTTCGTTCTCGTCCTCGTCTTCCTCATCCTCGTCGTCGTCCCCTCCTGCATCCTCGTCTTCGTCCTCAGTATCGCTCTTCGTGTCAATCTCAGGGAACTCATCTGCTTCCCCATCGTCCGACGCGTCCGCCCCGTCCTCCCCCTCGTCCTCGCTCTGCATCTCCAAATCGACCTTCTGCGGGAACGCCGGCGGGGCGGGCTCGTCCCGAGCAGCGGCCTTGCGCTTTCTCCCGCTCTTTTGTACCTCTGCAGCGGCCATGGCGAGACAGGCGCGTTATGGTGCAGAGAAGTGAGTAAATTCGAGGATATCAGATCTGCGCGGGCGAGAAATAGAGAGGGAAATTTCGCGGAGGGTTCCCACGGGGCTACTGTAGGTAGATCGGATCGGGAGCGTCTTCGCGCGCGACGCGTCGCACTTGTATCTACTTTTCCGACATTTGCACGGACACAAATCTTACAAGACTGCACGATGGTGAACTACGGAGGAGGTACGTCCTCGTCCTCGCCCAGCGGCTCACTCTTCATCGTGTTATGATATCTAGACGAGATTTCCGCGCTGGTGGTTGACATCGGCTCGTCCTCTGTGCGAGCGGGCTATGCGGGGGACGACACTCCCAAAGCCTTCGTTCCTACTACCTATGGCTTTATCGAGGAGCCTTCTTCGCCAGAAGATGACATCGAGATGGCAGACGTATACGGCGTGGAGAAGCTCCCACCCCAGAAGAAGCTCAATCTCTTCATCGGCCAGAACGGCCCCTCGATATGGCGGGAGGGCATGCAGGCGGGGAATCCCGTGCAAAACGGCTTGAGTGCGTCGTACCATCTCGTTGAGGTTGCGGAATTGATGAGATGTCTGTAGTCCACGATTTCAACCCAATACCCCCACTCATCTCGCACGCGCTCGTGGACATGATGCGCTGCAACCCCGAAGAGCACCCCGTGCTCGTGACAGAGCCGGCGTGGAACACCAAGGAGAACCGCGAGCGTATGGCGGAGATCATGTTCGAAGAGTTCCACGTCCCGGCGTTCTACATCGCGAACACGAGCGTGCTGAACGCGTTTGTCCTCACACCTGTGATTCACCCACTCTGACTGACGTGTGCGTGGGCAGTTTTGCCGCAGGAAAGGGCTCCGCCCTCGTGATCGACGTTGGACAATCCACCGCAAGCGTCACACCCGTTGTAGACGGCTTCGTCCTCCGCAAAGGTGCGATGCTCCTTTGTTGCGATCGCTTTCCCGCTTACAAGTCATCCAGGTTTGATGTACTCCGCTCTCCCCCAATTAGTACACGCTCATGCGAAGCATCTGCTCGTCACACCAAGCTCGAGACGCGCTGGAATCCAGCTCATCCCACACCAGCTCATCGCAAGCAAACAGGCATGCCAAACCACCGTCTTCCGAGCTATATATTGCTGATGAATCTCCTTTGTGAAGCCAGTAGACGCAGGGGTGCCGCCGCGGTTCGAGCTGCGGCAAGACCGCATAGCGGGCACGACGGAGAGCTGGAGAACGTGGGCCGAGTCGCGCGAGGTGGACGAGTGGATCCAGAGTGTCGCGGGTATCCTTGATCAAGGTTGGAACGAACAGTGAGCTCGTTCTCTCCGCCAGGCTGTGTGCGCCTGACTGTGCTTCTCAGGGCTGCAACCCAGCGGGGTCCACGACACTACGAATTCCCGACGGGCTACAACTATCATTTCAGCTCCCTTGAGCGGTCCATGGTCGGCGAGCAGCTGTTCAGCCACTCCCCTCAGATGATCGTACGTTGTTGTCCTTGTTCTCTCCTCCATTGTCGTCGGACGACCTATCCCCTAATCTACCTTCTCATCTGGTTGACTGGTGTGCGCTGTGTAGGCTACGAATCCGAACCTCCCGAAAACAATTCCCGCGCTAATCAGCGCCTCGCTCAGCGCCTGCGACGTCGACCTGCGACAAGTGCTCATGGGTAACGTCGTGCTCACGGGCGGGGGCAGCCTTTTCTCCGGCTTCGCGGATCGACTGCACAACGAGCTCACGCGAAACTTCCCACACGTATGTCCTGCCCGGAGAATTCCTGTCCTTCCGCCTTAATTGACTTCAACCTTCTGCCCAGGTAAAAATCCACGCACCGGGCAACCCCACTGAGCGCAGATATGGCGCATGGCTCGGCGGGAGCATCCTTGCGAGTCTGGGGACGTTCCACCAGTTGTGGATCAGCAGGGAGGAATGGCAGGTATGTGCTGGTTTGTGTGCATCTTCAGCGTACACGGCTCACTCTTCCCCATTCTCGCAGGAACATGGAAAGTCCATCGTTGAGCAGAGGTGTAAGTAAATCTCGCATGTTTGGATGTTGTATTTGGCTCCTGGCCGCGAAACCTTGTTGCCGCTCTCCGATGTTCCCTCGCAGGACCCATTCTCGACAATAGCGCATTGCAGAACTGAGTCGTGGGGTGCAATATATATAGTCATTTTACAGCGACAGCGACAAGCAAACATTGTAAACTCTTTCGTACCACTACCGATGATCGTTATCCTCAAGAGATGCGACTATAGATTGCACGAAATGCATGGAAAGGATGTACAGGGGACCAACGCAACGCAAATATACTGACCAGCCTTCAAGTGCTACGCGTCCTCAGCGAGCACCAGCTGGCACTTCTCGACCTGGGGAAGCGCCGCTTCCCTGCGCCGTCCCGCGCTGCAGTGCAACATCGTGCACTGCTCATACTGTTTCCTGCATCCACGGGTCCATCCGCCTCTTCGTGTCCCACCACACACCAACGGAGTAAGAGAGACAAAAGAGGAAGGCGAAGAATGAAAGTGGATAAAATCATAGGAGGGAGAGGAAGGTACGGGGTACTCTGCCACAGAGCACCAAGTGTCCGGCTCAGAATACGCACGTATGCAATAGATTACCAAAGCGTAAGGGAAGGGGTTTTTGACAGGCGGAGAATCGGCAAGGAAAGTGGGGACTCATCAACGGGGCGTATCGTACAAAATCTTCCGACGTGGGATCGGATGGTGGAGACATGCCAGGTTGCACGAACTCAGAAGGCCACGATTTCCCTCCGTTCGCGCGCGTCCACCAGAGCACCGATGGCCTGGCGCCTGCTACGAGAGGCAAAGTTCTTCGGGAGCAACTCGTCGTTGTTGGACGGCGGGCCACGGGGCTGACGCACCACCAGGCTGACAACCCTCTGCACGACCACCGGGATTTCCCGCTGGGGGACGGTGATGGAAATGGTGTTGGGGGCGGGACGGCCGATACCAAGTCCTTCATAGAGCTTCCTGACTGCCTCCTCACGAGGAGAAAGTGGAGGTGGCAGTACATCCCCAGAAGATGAGGCGGTTTGAGGGGTGCTCGGAGGGGAGTTGGACTTCGAAGACATAGACGAAGACTCGTCTCCATCCGTGCTATCACCGACATCGATGGTGACGTTGGGTGAGAATGGCAAGGACGCCGCGCTCAAAGTAAGTGGTGAAGGGCGGCTCTTGCCGGAGCTAACAGCAGGGAATGTCGGCTCAATGGGTGGGGGAGTGATCTTCACCAGAGGGGAGGACGCTGCACGGTTTCCGCTCAGCACCGAGTTGTTCGCACCGCCACGTCTCCATGACACAGCAGCGTCAGACTTCGAGGTGGTAGAAGTACCGTTCGTGTTTCCGTAGTTGATGTTGTTAGAGGCAGGGTTGCCAAGGGAAGTGCCACCGCTGATTACAGTGGTGTAGTTGGGAGTCGAAGGGGGTCTTGATGATGAGAATTCGTCTTCGTCAGAGTCATATCGCCCAGACGCAATGCGACTACCAAATTTGCCACCAAGGGCAGCGGTCATCGGGAGTTGTTCATCAGCACCAACTCCAAGCCTGGCACGTAGCTGTTCAGCCTGGTTCACCCGGCGCACCTGAGCGTTGGGTGCAGGTGAGCGCAAGTCGAAAGTGCCGTTCATAGGCCCTGCAGTGGCCGGGGGAACAAAGCCAACAGCGCTGCGTCTCAGCGGCTGCTGAGCTTGACGCTGACGCTGGGACTGGGCAAGTTGAGCCTGTGCTTGCGCGAGCAACTCAGCTTGGTACTGCTGAGCCTGGATAGCCTAAGAAAGCCGTCAGTGCCTGGTGTGCAGAGCAGGCTACAATGTCAACGTACCTGCAACCTAGCGAGCTCCATCTGCATCAACTGCAATTGGACGAGCTGATTCTGGGCAGCAGCAGCAGAGTTAAAGGGCATGCCACCCATGGCCTGCTGCTTCGCGAATCTGTTCGCGCCACCGTCCACTGCTGAGGTCATGGGAGGCTGTTGCATACGATTGGCTTGGTTGCGGATGAACAAATTCTGCATAGTAAGGTCGGACAGCTCATCCTCTTCTTCATAAGAGAAGAGGTCACCCTGCGCTGCGGGCATATAACGCGGGACAGCGAAAGAGCCGTTGGGAACAGCTGTGTGGGGTATATTGGCTGTGGATCCTGAAGCAGAGCGAACTCCACCTGTGCGGAGACCAGAGAGGAGGGATGCACGGGGGTTGGGCGCAGGAGCGGTGGCCATTGCGATGTGGGTAGTGAGATCAGAGGTATCGGTGGAGTGAAGGGATGAAGTGGCAAGAGTGGGTGTGGGCGAATAAAGGATGAAAGAATACAACTGGAGTAGTTGGATCACGTCAGACAGACGAGTTCAAAGCTGGGGAGCGCGTCCATTATAAACCCACCTGACAAAGGCGCTCGAACGAGCTTAACTGCCAATCTGGAGGCGCAACGACACGTCTATCTCTCTCCCCGAGGGATATAGGGGCTGGTGGGCGAGGGTTGCAAAGTCTGCAGAACGATCTGCGAAGGGAAGTGCCGGATGGGCGATTAGAGAAATTGGGCCGGGAAAGTTGGAATCTTGGCACGTATGTAAAGACGATAGAGACTTATATATCCTAAAAGTCGAGAAGAGAGAGACAGACAGACAGAAGAACGAGAAGAAAGACCACCAACAAGCGGAAGAGGTCAGAGAGAGAGACGACAAGAATCAAAACCCTCGCCACGAGTATAGCCTCGGCCCCGGCGGACCCCCGCCACCACACGAGGACAATCAATCAGCGCTTGCCAAACAGACATTGCATTGATCAGCCACTACTTATCGTACTCCGAGGACAATGCAACAAAGAAAAACGAGTCTACATCATGTTCTACACTAGCGTCAGCCGACCACGGTTGAGGTACACCAAACAAAAGAGCTCTGCCACATGCGCCCTAATCTTGACGCCGCGCCGCGAGGGAGTGCCATGTCTGCCTCTTCATCGGTGATATCACAGATACTTTTTCGCACTGGCACGAACTCTGGTATCGAAGACAGGGCTTCGTATTGGAGTGTGCGCGGTGTGAAACGGGTTCAGCATTGTCTAGAGAACACGCTCAGGAAGCATCGACTCCGGACACCATGTTCTGAAACACGAAACTCACCTTGACATACAGCTCCCAAACGTCCACGAAGAACGCCCTGATCCCGTCATCATTGCGCGTCTCGTGCAGTAGCAAAAACTTCATGTCTAGTGAAGTATATTAGCGCAGGACCGGAGCAACCCGCCGCGCCTTACTTCCTGGAGTCACAAACGCAGAAATTGTCCATTCATTGAATTTGTCAACGGACTTCAGATACCTGTGAGGGATGACCTAGTTGGCTAGCTGATAGGTAGAAACGATGGAAACGAGGTGTGATACGAACATCGCGCTTTCCTTCCTCATTACTTCCTCGATGGAATCCAAGCTGGCATTCGCAATCATCTGTATAACGTGCCTGTCCTGACCTCCCCCGATCCTTACCGTCCCGCCCTGTGCATGATGGGCTTGCGAGGCGCTTGAAGCACCGGAGAGAGCCGTCAATGTCCCGGCGAAGGCAGAGGTCGACCAGCTTGGGAGATTCGATGCCAGAGGAGAACTCGCTGTTGTCTGCGATGGCTTGGAAGAATAATGTGTTAAGCTATAAAGGGGAGTATCTGACGGTGACAAGATGAACAAGTGGTGAGACATGCCGTGCGCTGTAAACAGCCTCAGCCCATGGTCCCTTCCAGAGACGCCGGCGTGTACACGTGACTTTAGATGCCATGGGCAGACAAGGCCAAACAACGCCAGACGAAGGCTTTACCAGATCGGGGTTACGCGTCTGCCGCAATGAGTGCGAGCCTGCTGCTTTCCTCGCGTTCCCTCACAACTGCTTTACAATCGTGCCCTCGTACTACTCACCATGCATCACCTTATTATTTGGGAGGCTTCTCTAGACTCGCTTCGCAAACGTCAAATTCTTTTGTAGCCATAAAACTGAACTTCTGCCGACTGAATTCATGTGTACCGCCCGAGTTAGCTCGCAGTATACACTCTACGACCTTGGCAACACCTCAGTCCTCCATCCTCAACTTCACATCCAACAAAGTATGGAATGCAACTCATCGGACATCCAGGATAGCGAAGATACCCTCCGATGGGCGCACACCACCACCTCCTCGGGGTTCGCGAAGCGCATGGAAGAGGTTCCGCGAGTTCCTCGAGCTTATACCTAGTCCAGTGATACTATGGGGAATACTTGCATTGAATGGCATGGTGTTTGTCGCATGGCATCTTGCGGTTGCTAAATATGTATGTGCAAGCTACTTGTCAGGTGTCCCGCTCATTGAGCTCATTGACTGGTTTAATTGACTGGTTTTGCAGCGGACTACTGGGGATCCCAGCACATTTGCATTCATGATACAAAACTTCACTGTTAGTATGACCAATATCAGGGCAGGCCGGATGTGCGTATCTCAAATTGATCACTCCGTGTGAGAATCTCATGCGGAATTTATATAATCGTAGATGGACGCTCCTGACATGTTGTTTCTCCCACAAAGACACGGCTCACTTGTTATTCAATGGCTTGACCTACTCTTTCATGGCGCCCGACGTCATGGCTTTGCTGGGCAACACCAGATTCCTCTCTCTCTACCTTGGAGGTTTGTCCTAGCATCTTGCTGACATCTCATTGTACGATACGCTTGTTCACGTTTCTCTCAGGTGGATTAGTGTCTAGCGCCTTAAGCGTGTGGTGGAATCACAGTGTGAAGAAGCGGGATGAACCTTACGGCTCCCACGGTGCCAGTGGTGCATATCGCTCAACTCATTGGTGCGCGACATGAAGCTCACGGAAATTTCATCCTACGCATAGGTGCAATCTACGGCATCATATCATTCTTTGCATGCTTGGCGCCCACCGCCAAGTTCTACGTCTTTGCCGTTGTGCCAATACCCGCATGGGCCTTCGTCACAGGCATCTTCTTGTGGGATGGCTTCAGTGCCGTATATGAGAAGGTATGTTCAATCAGAATGGTCGTTGTGTTTCAGGATCACTGACATGTCATTGACTTAGCGATCGGGAGTTGACACTGCAGGCCACATTGGGGGAATACTTGCAGGCATTGCATATTACCTGCGCTTGCGGTACCGCTTATTCTGAGGTGTCCGTCAACGTGCGCTCATGGAGATACTGCTCACGTTGCAAAATACTGAGGCCACAGTTAGATTAAGTTAGGAGCATATACGTGACACAATCCTGTACTATCGACAGCCTACCACCGTACAGCGGCCGTTTCCCGACATATACGTGCATCAGAATAACGCGGGAGTAGGGATCGGGTCAGAGGTCGGATCGCCGACTCCAATCTGCTTCACCGCATAGTAACTGAAAAAGAGCACCTTCAAGCACAGCGCGAGGCCTGCGTGTAGAACGACGAGCAGAATCACCATAAGCCGGACAGGTTTGTTATCCGCCTGTCAGAAAACGGAGAGCATGAGAATCGGTAGAGATAATTTCTTAGGGTAATAGACATACCGAAGCAAGTATAGGGTAGATGTTCGCAACGAGAAACCAACCCGACATAATGAAAGCGATCCCGACGAGGATCCAGCGCACAAGCGGCACTGGAATGACACACAGGAGCTACAAAACCAAAAGTATGTATGAGGAAGTGCTCGGAAGCTCGTGGCACACCCGCGACTTACCGACACCGGAATCCACACAAATTGGCCGTACCCCCACACTGCGATGGCCTCAATGACGCTCCACTCACCGACTCCCATATAGCGAAGCGCCAGCCAGAGTAATACCGGAACACCCAGGCCATACGAATACACGAGGGCTACGGCAATTGACAGCAGGCCAAAGTCGTACTCAATGACTGCGTCGTTGGGGGATGATGCAGGATCGGACAGGTACGCAGCTATGGAAGAGGCCAGTGAGGAGCACACGAACAGCGAGAAGATCAGCGTGGTGAGCGTCCAAAAGGGCCCATAGAGATCTGGTGCGGGCAGGAGATGCGTAGAAATGTACGAAGATGCCCGTGGTGGGTACATCGTCATGTAACATCTTCGGAGAACCTAGCGATGTACGTATGTGAGATTAAGAGGAGAGCGAGACGGGGAATGAGTAATCACAGTTTTGGTGTCGACGTCGAAATAACCCTGGTAGTACTCTGCTGTCCAGAAGCTTACCTTGCGGGTACCGCCATCTGGGATGAATCCTGCAGAATGCGACACAGCGGTTTCAGCATACTGTTCCTCAGGATGCATACGCGTCTAGAGGAAGCTTGGACGCACCTCTCGGAGCATTGGTCCCAGCATTCCCGCCCTGATTGGTGTCATGAGCGTCCGACTCGAGGAATGCTGTGGAAGAAGCATTTAACCCAATAACGATAGCACGGAAATCGAACAACGGCGTCGGGCATACATTGGAATTGGAGACCGTCAGGTCCCTCTTCAATACGCTAGGAGGGGAAAGGCTGCCATCAATACAATGAGGACAGGTCGTAGCGTTGGACGTGGACGACAACTCACATCGTCGGATTCTATAGAGACATATGCCATGGATCTTTGTGAGAATGACCGTCTCCAGTAATTCGATGCTACTTAGTACAGTCAGTAAGATAGACCCACTTCATCCTCGACTACTATCGTCACAGCGTGACACATCAGGTGCCTCAGCCAAAGTCTGTCACGGTGGCGCGAGATTGGCGGGGAAAGGTGTGAATTTGGAGCACTAGCAGCCTAATTTCTCCATCCCTCCTCCAAAATAAAATAATCTGTTTCTGTAACTAAATCTCAAAAATCATCTTCTACAAAGTTACAGAAGCATATTTTTGATGCTTGTCCTGTGCATGGAGGAATTAGCCATTCAGTGTGTTTCTCCCGCCAAGCGTGACAAAAAGGTCACGTGATAGTAGTCGAGGATGAAGTGGGTATTCCCGCTAGCTCTGCAACGTTTAGATCGACCCGGGACACGCGAACCTTAAACGTGACGCGTGACGTTCCACCTTCGCCGAGATAGGTGCCCGCGCGCGCGTTTTCGAGCGCGCTCAGCGGTGTTCGTGCTGCAGAGGCGTCCCCGTCCCATTTCCGAGCCGGAATTTGTTGTGCCCATGTACAGGGGTATTGTAGCGTACAATTGATAATTTTTTTTCGATTTTCTGAGGGCACGGGAGGCCGGGGATTTGAGTACAGGTGTCCCTCCCAGCCCAATTACCTAAAGATATTCTACTAGCCGAGCCCGTAGCGGTTCTCGGGCGAAATCGGCGTGTCCCACGTAGACTATCGCACCTGAGCTTTACATGGGACACGCATTTTTTGGCTGGCGGACCTGCGGGCTGCGTGTCCCAAGTCGATTTTCGATTCGGGGCGTTCATGGGACACGCAGCCCGATATGGCAATCCTCCGCGAACATATTCGCTTCGCCGAGCGCGAGAGCGCCCAATCGCTGGCGTGGCGCCTGCCGCCTGTCGGTTAGATGGCGCGTGCACCACGGCCATCAATTTCGACGCCCCGCCCCTGCCGCTCGCCATGTGGGACGCGCTCGACGCTCCGCCCGCCCGCCCTCGGTGGGCGCGCCAAGTGCGTGTCCCGGGACACGCATTATGTAAGCGACCTTCCCGATATGGGCACGCCGCCCGTGTCCCGTAGAAGGAAAGCAACGTTTAGATCGACCCGGGACACGCGAACCTTAAACGTGACGCGTGACGTTCCACCTTCGCCGAGATAGGTGCCCGCGCGCGCGTTTTCGAGCGCGCTCAGCGGTGTTCGTGCTGCAGAGGCGTCCCCGTCCCATTTCCGAGCCGGAATTTGTTGTGCCCATGTACAGGGGTATTGTAGCGTACAATTGATAATTTTTTTCGATTTTCTGAGGGCACGGGAGGCCGGGGATTTGAGTACAGGTGTCCCTCCCAGCCCAATTACCTAAAGATATTCTACTAGCCGAGCCCGTAGCGGTTCTCGGGCGAAATCGGCGTGTCCCACGTAGACTATCGCACCTGAGCTTTACATGGGACACGCATTTTTTGGCTGGCGGACCTGCGGGCTGCGTGTCCCAAGTCGATTTTCGATTCGGGGCGTTCATGGGACACGCAGCCCGATATGGCAATCCTCCGCGAACATATTCGCTTCGCCGAGCGCGAGAGCGCCCAATCGCTGGCGTGGCGCCTGCCGCCTGTCGGTTAGATGGCGCGTGCACCACGGCCATCAATTTCGACGCCCCGCCCCTGCCGCTCGCCATGTGGGACGCGCTCGACGCTCCGCCCGCCCGCCCTCGGTGGGCGCGCCAAGTGCGTGTCCCGGGACACGCATTATGTAAGCGACCTTCCCGATATGGGCACGCCGCCCGTGTCCCGTAGAAGGAAAGCTAGTGGGTTCTTAGAGGTGATCGACCTGTCCGTGCTCCCCGCCATTTTTGCAAACTCACATGTTTGATGTCACAACAGGTCACGGCGCAACAGCACATGTAATCCACCATCGACTGAAAAGGTGCATCTCAATCGCTACGCGGCTTATACGCAGAAATACCCGCTTCAGTTCTGTTGGATGTGTCCTGCTCGGAGTCAACTCTGTCTACTCATTTCGCCTTGGTGCATGGTCTACCGCCTACCGTCTCTCTGATCTCAGGGGTTGTGCACTGTACCGTGTCTAGCCCAGTTGTCATACCGTCGATGACGGGATACTACACCTCCCACCACCCATTACATGTTAGATATATTGTGGATCCCGACATCGTTCTTGGGCACGACTGGATGGATATATTATGCCCGATCATTTCTGGCGGTGTACTCGTGGATCCAGACCCGTTCGACGCATTCAACGCGCCACAAGGGTACACATGGATGGCTGTGCGCTCCGCCGACAGTGCGCGTCATGCTCTTCACCCATGTCCAGTAGTCCTGATGATCTTGTGACAGATGCGAGCATGCCCTCTACCTCTACGTGCAGCGGCAGCTACTTCCCCCGGTACCCTTTCAATGGTATTTCTCGCATTTTTATTACTTGTCTATGTTACTGATGAAATCTTTGCTGTTTTAGAAGGTGTGAGCACCTCTTTCTCTCCATATGCTGACACTGCCGATGGCAGTCATCTCGTTGAAGTTGGATCTCCGTCTGTGGCTGTTCCCTCTCGGAACGGTAGTACTCTGTGTCCTATCTGTATGGTGGATAGTGGTTCTACTCATTGTACGTGCGCCTATGGTGTAGGCAGTTCTTCGTGTTCTGACCCGCACGTCACAGGTGGTTCCCCTTTGTCATCACAACCTGTCTTTGTGCAAGGTTGCAAATCTACCGGTCATCGTCTCCTGTCATTGAGTCCGAATATTGCATATACACTGAGTATCATGTTTCCTATACATTCCTCATCCTCCCTGTTCACAACTGATGCCAACGAGGACCTGCTGGTGAGAACAGCCAAAGCACATGGCATTGAGACCGACACCATTGCACTTTGTATGCAGTGAGAATTGAAATCTGTATATTGAAATCTGTGTAACCTGTAATTTGTGGTGTCTAATGTCGAATCATCATATTGCAAACAACCTTCTCCCAATAAGCTAGCGGGCTCTGCCATGCTCGCGTGGCGCTACGGACTTATACTGTACTCCAACGACCTTAGGTTCAGTCACGCATCACACAGCTCGTGAACTGAACCTATTTGGGCACTTGTCACAAGTCACAGGAGGTTGTGAACTGGACAAAGAGGGGTGACTCGAGCGCCAAAATACCAATTTTGGTTCCCGACGCCCCAGGCATCAGGTGCTTGTGTGAACTGAACTACATGTCCTGCATCACCCAGCCGTGTGAACTGTGAACTAAGTCAAATTGGTGTGTCACAGGTCACAAGGTGTGAACTTATGGTCGTTGGAGTACAGTATCTTACTTGACACTTGTTGTGGTTGATGTATGAGTATTGATTTAGCGCTCGGACCCCGTGCCTCTACTATACATCACCACCACTACAATTTTACTCTTTTCCATCTCCCAAGTTGCCCGATTGCGGCCCATGTGTATATGTACTCGTATATGCAGCCTCCGATTGCGTTCCTGTTGCCGAACAGCTCTCGACAGCCATATTAACTTACTATGAATAGTTGAAGCAACCACACACAATCAAGCCAGCAGAACTTCATTCGACTCATCAATGTAAAGCCCATGAGCGGATTCAAAAGTAAGCTATGAATTTGGTGATTATTTTCTCTGAACACGCGGTTTTCCATTCTGACAGTCCATACTTGATGCTGGAACCTCTGCTCCTTCCGATTGAAGTCGCGATGAAAGTAGTGGAATATCTGTGACTGAATCCATCTCTGTAAACTGCGCAGAACAGTTCATCAATGTAGATGGTTTACTTACCCACAAGTCCTCACACTGGGCCCGAGATCTTCAAGTCACTGAAACCGAGCTCCCCCAACTCCCGTACCATGGTCTCCAATGCTACCTTTGGCTTTAGCAATGTTGTGCGATGCATTTTGCCATTACCATCCTTTTCGACACATCGCAGCCCAAGTTCCGTCACGCAGAGGACAGCCGTCCTGCCCTTTTCAATGTCTACCCCATTAAACGCATCTTGCATCTGTTCGACATCGAAGGATACACCTGGTTCCACAACCAGAGTTTCGATGTCTCTGGATAAAATGTGTTCTCCCGTTGCAGTGCGAAGGCCAAGGCACAACCTGATGACAGAGCCCATTTGCTCCCCGTGAATGCGCTCAAGGGCCTCCTCCATCTCCTGGGGCCGCTGTCGTAAACCAGCAGTGTGAAGGACTTCACTGATATTGTATATCAGCAGATTCTGCAACCTGCGTGCCACTTCGGGTTCCTTGGGCAAAAGTGACTTGATGTGAGAACGAGTCAGAACTCGCCACCTGCCGGCAACATTTTGGGTCTCTACGGAGATCTAGTCATCTTGGGAACGGCTAGTTGTCCAGTACTTACCCACCTTTCTCGTTCAGGGATGCGTACACGTTTCCGAAGGGCCCCTTGTCTGTATAATTCAGGAAGTCCCATGTCTCTATAACCCAGTTTGAGAACATGGTCATGCATCCCTGCAAGGCAATCTGCACACAGATTGGGTCGTCTTGGTGTCCCAAACATTTCCGAGATTGGACTAGCGTCAGTCCCAAGCGTCCCTCGAGTTGGGTGCCTTCCTCCAACTGATTGCAGAAGTCTACAGGGCAATGATTGTCGAATTTCAGTGACTCTGCAAGCTGTGCTGCCATGTGGAAAACTTCTGCATTGACTTTTTGAATGGCATGAAGGACATCGGCATCTGGGACATTGTCGACCTTCGACAAGTATTGCTGCGCATCCTGGAGCTCCACGCTATGGATTCTAAGGAGTGCTTCAATGGCATGATGTTTCTTCTGGAGAGCTATAAGTTCATGAGTCTTGCTGTCTGAGTCTTGGACCACCTGCTGGTGCGCGGCTTCTGTTTCTTCCTGGCAGGTCTGCAAACGGCGAATCTCGCATTTTGCACCATACAGTCTTTCTCCCGTCGCCTGGATTTCAACTGCAGATCTATGAGCGTGCCCTCTAAGCTTCTGTGTCTCCTTCTTGTAGAACTCTGTTTCTGCCCTCAATCTCTCCAGTTGCTTCTTCAAGTTGTAGATCTCCAGATCAGTCGTGGTGAAGCTACGTGCATCTACCATGACTGCATTTACGGGATACCGGCCCATGTTTCACTCACCAATAGTGGTGATTTGAGCTATCACAGACTGAATCATATCGTAGGCATCATCCAGGATGGGCATGGGGAGTGATAGCGAACCAGGTGCAGAAACACCTCACCACAAAGGGGCCCACCTCTTACGGTCTGCCTGCCCCTGTGATGGCCTCTACTCTATTCCTGCCACCACCATGCCCCTTCAACCATTCAGCGGTATGGCTCGAAAGCTTGTTCTGGCATTTGATGTCAGTACAACATACTCTGGCATTGCATACGCTATCCTGGATCCTGGAGAAGTACCTAAGATCCAAGGAGTCACACGGTACATTAGCCGTATTAGCGACATAGTCCCTATTTTGACTGTGTATTAGGTTTCCTGGACAAGAGAATGCAGCAGGGGACTCGAAAATCCAATCTATCTTGTACTACGACCGAGATGGCAGAGTACGAGCAGTAGGAGCTGAAGTGGCCCTTCCCAGCATGAACCTACAAGTTGAAGATGAGGATCTACTCTTCGTCGAATGGTACGATATCTTCCATCTCATTAGAAGTATCTTTGATTAGACATTTTATTGAAAGGTTTAAATTGCACCTTCGGCCGGATTTTCTCGATTCCGGGGAGGTTAACAAGAATGTTCTTCCGCCGCTGCCCCTGAAGAAGACTGTGATCGATGTTTTTGGGGACTTTCTGAAGTACTTGTTTTTGTGCGCTCGCCGTTACATAACGGAGACCCACGCCAATGGACAACAGCTTTGGACCTCGTTGGAAAATCAGATTGAGATTGTGCTAAGTCATCCGAACGGCTGGGAAGGCCTCCAGCAGACCAAGATGCGACGTGCTGCTATAGCAGCTGGTCTCATACAGGACACGCCTCAGGACCACAATCGGATCCACTTCGTCACCGAAGGTGAGGTGAGTCTTCAGTTCTGCATCCAAAATGGACTGGCATCAGAATCCTTACAGGTGCATTTCTTTGACCTTTCACCAGCAGTTTCTCACATGCAGTGGTGTATAGGAAGGTCAGAGTGTCATGATTATAGATGCTGGAGGTGGGACTGTAGATTTGAGTACATACACTTTCACTTCAGTATCTCTCATGTCGGTCGAGGAGATATCACCTCCAGATTGTGAGTGACTGCAAAGCACATCTCGAGCTCGCGTTCTGACCGGTCATTAGGCTTGATGCAGGGATCGATCGGCGTGAATGCCAGAGCCCATAAATACTTAGAAGGTAAGTGGCCTTCCGCGTGCTTCAGTACTCATTGTATGGCACTGATTTCATGCTACGTCCTCAGCATTGTTAAGGAACTCCAAATACGGGAATCCAATGGACCTTAAGTCGATGACCGATTACTTTGAGAAGTATACGAAGCCAATATTTACGAACTCGAATGAACCGGGGTATATTCGGTTTGGCGCCATGGATTGCAATGACCTGGCAGTCAAAATTCGGAGGGGTCAATTCACTCTCTCAGGGTATGTAGCAGCTTGCCTCTGGTAGCTGTCATCTCATTAACTCGTGATGCATCGTCACATTAGTGAAACAGTGGCTACTTTTTTCGAACCATCCATCAAGGCTATCACGGACACCGTGAAGAGACAGTGCCAAACAGCGAGGGAGCCTGTCAAAGTGATTATCATTTGCAGCCTAATTCTAATGTTTGCTTATGCACCTTATACAGTTGGCATTTCTTGTAGGAGGTTTTGCAGCCAGTCCTTGGCTCTTCAAGAGACTGCAAGCTTCTCTGCAACAGATCCATACAAATTTGGTCAGACCTGACAGTTATACGTACGTCAGCTACATAAACCTGTACTCTCGCCATGTAGCTTATTGGATTCCTAGAAATAAGGCCATTGCTGAGGGGGCAGTTTCCTTCTACCTCGAGCACTTCGTCGCAGTTCGCATGGCGAGGGTCACTTACGGCACCCCGTGTCTTCGTCCCTACGACCCAAATGACAAAGAACACTATCAAAGATGGGAAAAGATTATCACACGTCCGTCCGGACATCTTGTGCTTCCGGATGCATTTGGTTCTCTTCTCCAGAAGGTAAGTGCAGTAGGGTCTCATGTGCATATCTATGAAGATGTTGGCTCTCCCAGGGCATGCGCATGCATGACAGCGACGAGGTCATTCACTCATTTGTGAAGGAAGCACATGAAGCCTCACTTTTAGACAAGATCTCGTCGGAAATCACCTGTTACAGAGGAAAGTCTAAAACTCCATGCTGGATGGACGTAGAGCCAGGTGTGCTGATAATCGGTATCTGCCACATCCGGTTGACTGAGTGAATTCAGAGCGATTCTCCGTCCTGTGCACCGTGTATGCTGATATCTCAGACGTGGTCAAAACCGAGAACTGGGGTTCCAATAGCATGTATTACTCCCAGGAGTTCAAGATTGTCTTGCTGTGTGATTTGACGGAGCTGAAGGCTCAGTTGTGCTGGAGCGAGAATGTACGTGTACCGTATCCTAGCTTGCTTCCCCAACTGATGTAGTATGTTCCCCCGGTGCCGGTCGTCTCACAATTCACAGGAAGAGGAAAAGCTGTCAGTGACATACGGGCCTTTCGTTCTCCATTTTGCTGAGTGATATGTTCTACAGCGGACCGGCGAAGATCGTATACGATGATGATGCCGAAGTTGTGCGTTGAGTCTCTCATATGGACTTGGAACACCGCAGACAAGAACTGGTATGCCTGGTGTCGTATTACATAGGGGCCACTTTTACCGATACTAGAGAAATGCCGCCTAGTATCAGCACTGACCTTGCTTGCAGCGAAAAGTGCAGTGATGAGGAATGGGTTTATGTTGAATTTTACTATTTACTACCTACCTACCTACCTAACTGCAAGCATGCCCAAGCTGCGAGAGCGAAAAACAGAGTCAGATGATAGCTTTTGATCTTCGAGAATCTGACAAAAAGGTCTAGCAAGTGCACGGACAGAGCACATTGCGGAATATTACTCTGAGCATACCAGAATTCGATATGCTTTGCATTCTTAGCCATGTTCAAAAAGCACAGAGCACCAACGAATATAAAGTGATGGACTTAACGGCACTTTCATGAAGGGCACTAATTTGTTTGCTTACCTGGTGTTTGCTGGTGGAGTACACCATCGAACTAAGTACTGAGTTGGACAGCATATATGGTGCAGCAACCGTGTGCCGGTGCGAGAACTGAAACATCAAGGGCCATTGGAATATCATGCATGCAATGGAAGCCTTCGCGGGGGTAGATTTTCTGTCGGTCACAAGATTGAGAATAAGATGTTCTCACCGACAGGTGCGGGCGAGAAAATTGATATCCTAGATACCATTTTGGTGGGCCTGCCTCCCCGGGCCTCCCTGGGGATAGTGTTGTTGGCAAAACCTCGCCACCTCGCCACCTCGCTGCGCCTGGCACGGCAAATGGCGAGCGCAAGGCTGGCGCACCGACCCTGGATGGCAATACCTGGCGCAACTATAAGGGTACCTCCCCCAAAAGGCAGTATTTTGACCAATTTCGGGGATAATCAACCCTTGTGGGGCAGCTAAATTTGGTGTTGAGGTCTCCAACCCCTAATACAGGGTCTAAATTAATTTTTTGCACCTCTATCTTGGCCTCTGGGCGATTGGGTGGCGAAAATTTTCGTTTCCCCGTGCGAAAGGGCGAATTTTAGCTGCGCCAGTTGCGCCAGCTCGCCAGCCCACGCCACGACCATGCGAGTGCAGTTTCGCCGCGCCGGCACTTGGCGAGCCCCTCCGGGAGTTTTGCCCACGACTACAGGCTGGGGAAAGCCTGGAAAAGCAATGACCAATTTTCCCATAGGTGCAGGCTCCTAAAACCATCCGTCGCTATAGCGTTCTCGCTCCTACATCCCAACATATGTTTTAAATGATCATGTGACATATGTTTTATGTGACTTACCTGTTTGAGAGACTATTGCCGGAAAAGGATAGCCGAACGAGAGGAAGAGAACACTATAGGATGGCCGGCCAAACTGGTCATCCGAGGATACGCCGAGCGCACGCTTAGAGTTTCCCGCTGGAAATCTCAAATAAACCCAGGCTCCTAAAACCATCCGTCGTTATAGCATTCTCGCTTCTTTATCCCAACATTATGTTAAAAAAATCATGTGACATATGTTTTGTGAGACTTACCCTTTATATCAAAAATTACCGGATTAGAACGAGCATTAAAAGGAGGTGAATGCTATAAGACAGCTGGCCAAACTTGTCGTCCGAGGTTCTTCCGATCTCAGTGAACCTCAAAGAACTTTGCATTTTGCAGTTCCTAACCCTAAGATAAGTCTTGTCGCATACCAAATATATTGTCCCAATTCGTAACCTATGGTCACAACTCAGTACTTCCCAATTCGTAAAATTCCTCTAAGTCCATCAGCCTTGCTGTCATCTGACGTCCTCCTTACATACTATGGCTTGCTCCGTTTTGTACGTAGCATAGAATATAACCCACAGTACGTACTGGCAGAACACAACTCGAGTGATTCCCTTGAGTGAAGCATGACCAACTCGACATTTGTGGAGGCATCTTGCTTATCCAACACCGATGGTCTCCTTTGTTCTCTCCATGGAAGATTTGAGAACTATACTTGACTGTGTGGATGACATGGGCACAACAGTCAAGCAATTTCTCTTATATCTGATCCAAAATGAGGAGCTTACTCACCACAGAACTCTCCAAGACCTATTCAGCAACCCCGAGACGCTTTTCGATAGCTTCCAGATGAACCCAGCCCTAAGTGAGGCCACGAGAAGATGGGCCCATACCTTGGTGAAAAATACATGTATGCAGGAGGTGGTAGTGCTGACGAAACCAGACGCAGGCCTGCACTTCAACGCACGACAAGCCCAAGTTGAACGATTCGACATTCACGAGATAGCAGAGGACATGCTCACCCGTGCACCTCATCTGTCAGATATCTTGAGTGCTCTATTGGACGCCGACATTTTACTTGCATGGCGGCGGCAGAGAGATCATACAAAGAGTAAACAAAGGCAGAAGAAGGTTCAACAGTGGCGCACGCGGAAGGAGTCAGAGCCGAACGAGGTTCCCGCATCTGAGCCTGAGGATGTTGTTAATGCCGAGACTTGTTCACTCGATGCCAACATGAACACAGCAGAAACTCATCATGAAGATGAACGCGAGCGAGACAGATCACATCCAGGTGGAAGTGAAGTTAACGCGGACAGTGATGGCGGAAATGGCAGCCACAACATGACGATGATGACAATGGATGCTGAGGTTGACCGCATGGCAGTCGACAGTGAGGAGGAGTATTGGGGCAGTGACACAGTGATGGAGGATGCAGCGGCGGAGAATGCAGGACAGGGTGCAAGTGTGGAGAACGTACAAGAGAGCTCAGGCGTGGACAATGCACAGGAAAGTGCAGGCATTGACAATGTGGAGAGCACAGGCTTGGGTAATGCTGAGGACAGTGAAGAGGAATACTGGCAAGACGACATGGATCCGGACGTGCTGGAAGACCCTGATGACCCCGAAAGTGCATATGATCAATTTGAGGAAAAAGAGCGCCGAAAATGAATACTTACGATGGTAAGTGATCCCGGTCTTTGTTTCAGAATGCATATTGATTTGTTCTACAGAAGAGAGTCCTATGCATAAGTATTATGGCTCAGAACACTCACCAACAATGCAACGCACTGCAGAGCATGGTCGGCATATTCTTGCACTCTTGCAATGCACCGGTGATGAGATTGTTGTTCCGTCGCAAGCTGGAAAGGAGGAGTACGAGCGGAATCAAGTCCGCATGGGGTCTAAGATGCAACGAGGGAGAAGAGTCTATTCCAGAGGTATGAGGTGGGTGGCCCAAAAGCATAGCTAGGAAAATCTCTGTAGTTGCAATGATCGCTGGACAACGCGTCGGACTAAAATTGCACTGCCCTAAGGAGAATGCTAAAATGCAGAAATGCAAGACTGCCCAGAAAACACACAAAACGCAAGACTGCCCAAAGATGCACTAACTGGATGGGATGGGAATGTGAAATGAGTCTTTTCACAAGCGTACCTTTTGGGACGGTGAGTTCTCCCCTCCCCCTTTTTCCCTGCCATCATACTTAACTAGTCCTGACCTTTCCTGCCCTCCTGATACTGCCCGCATCTGCTTAACAATCGCTCCGCTAAATCACTGCCCATCACGCCATATCTCACAATCCCGTCCCCTCACGCCCCTACTCATTCCGAGGGCCCTTCCGTCACTGAACCCGCCTGAGCACCTAATAAGGACCCGTCCATCTCGGAGGCATCTCCCATCCTAAACTCAATCTCCCATCCATGGACGCCAGTGTCATCCTTCACAAATAAACCCTCGCAGAAGCTCTTCTTCGCATTGAGATCTTTACCGAGCCCTTCGATCTGATCCTATGGAAAGCATGGGCAGTCCGGATGCACATCCTGCTGGTGAGGCCCCCACGAGCATATGATCCTTTGCTGTCTGACCCTCACATGTCCCTGAGGTCCTTATGGTCCAAGCTCAGTCTGAAGTGGCCAGCGTGGGGATCATCCTACCCCTTTCGCGCGATATTCCTGTCCTGGCCCAGGTGGAAATACACCTGGCAACAGCTCGCACTGTAGAAGGTGGTCATCAGATGATACCCCGAATTGCGGATCACCTTCCTGCGGTCATTCCTCATAGTTTGACTGCCCGCGTTCTGTATGACGACCCTGCTGTCCATGAGAACTTTGGTTTAGGCCACCCACCGGATGGTCTCCCTGACATTGGTGCGCGGTCATCCTGTTCCTATTTTCCTGGAGTCGTGTTCCTCAGCTTTTTATCGCCATCAGGAACCTTGCGCCTTCGGGTTGAGACATTGCGCAACGCAGCCCGCGAACTGTACGATGTCATGCGTGGAATCACTAGTAGATGCGAGCTGGCAGATGGTACTTTGAGACGGTTGCGGATCACAGTCGAGGAATTGGAAGTAGCATTCAGGCTCATAGCGTGCCCTCCTCCGATAACCAGCTTCCAACTGATGTCGGACTAGGGGTCGGTTGTGTAGCACCCTGTAGTATCTCCAAAATGTGAGACCGCTTCCCAGATGTGATTCCCACCTCAGCGCGCTCTGCGTCCCTTCACCGGAAGTAATTGTCGAGCTGCTCTCGCGCATAGGCATCTCAATATCAAGGTCCACGATCGACCAGGCTATCAAGAGTCTCGCAAAAGAATCAGCGTTCGAGATTAAGAGGCTCAGCTGCACACTTCGAGCTGCATATGCCTATGACAACTTCGACGTTGATATCAAACATGTCATTCCAACCGTCGAGAAACCGGAGGACTCACTGCTCCACCTCACATCCGGAACATTACTCTGCCTTGACCATGGTGTCACGTTGAATGACCTGAAATGTTCTCAGGAGCTCTGGAGCAAGTCTATCAACAATCCAGTAGATTATAACCATGGTCACAAACCTGACTGAATGAAGTTTGTCAACTTGCATCCGGATCCCCCACATCATTCTGGCCTAAATCGCCGTCAATGCTTCAATCGTTGGAAATTCATCTACGATCTTGTTCAACACGGTCCAGAGTACTTTCATGCTTTCGAGAAGGAGCTCACCGAGCCTGAGATGCTGGAGCAGATTCCCCTTGTCAAGTCAAGGCAGGTACCTGTGAGGGGAATGGACATCAATCAGTCCACTGTACAGGGCAATGCAGATGCATTGGAGGACTTATTTCAGCAGGGCGAAGTTGGCGACAGTACAGCAAAGCCAGGATGCAGAGATGTTGGTGATCATGTGGTGCTCGTGCATGGTGACCTTGCGACGTGCGAGCGGGTCCAGAGCTTACAGCAGTCTAGGGGAGAAGAGAAGACCCCATGGTGCCGCTTCCAATTCATCGTCTTTGTGATAGGATTGTTCCACCTCAAGATGGCGTGCACTGATGCGATTTGGAAGATTCTTATCAAACTGAAAGTAGCACGCGAGGATGTCGCCAGTCATAGCAAGTAAGCCGGGATTCCGCCGTATGCATAAAGTCATCCAGCATGTCGGCATTGTATCACGGCTAGACTGTTGGAGACATGAAGTGAGTAAGGAGAATGGACGATGGGACACTCTGGAGAATTGGACGACCTCGGAGCTGACGTGGGAAGACATCTGCCAGTTTGCAACAACTCTGGTCAAGAAATATGTTGCGCAGGGTGACTTCTCTATGGTCCGATTTGAGCCTCCTGAAAGGCGGGATGAATTGTTTGAGAACGTCTTACTCAGCCAGCAGTACTTTCTCCTATACAAGGAGTTATCATGGGCCATGAATGCTGGGGATATAGGACGTGTTGAGGATTGTTTCATGCCGTGGATATACATCTTCAAGGGCTGCGGCAAACATAAGTACGCAACGCAAATGTTGCATTTCCTCCACGATGTTCATATTGTATACCCTGCAGGTCTCAGGTACGATTAATACTAATGTACTTATAGAAGATAGAGGACTTACTTGTTGAGACAGGCATGCCATCTGCATGAATATGTTATGCAATCCGACAGGCAAAAAGCACCACTTCCGCGCCATAGACTGGTTGCAGGAACACAATAATTTATATACGAAGGTACAATCGACAGTTGTTGCCGTGAATAAAACCCACTAAACTATAGAAATTAGAGAATCTACAGCGGTCAGTTTTCAATGCGTACAAAAAAGCGAATCTTGAAGGAGTCTTCACTCATTGAAGTCTACAAGGTAGTTCATATTAATTTTGAGGACATGTTTGCACTCGATCACCGCACGTACTGACACTCCGCACCAAAGATACGGCAAACTTTCTACAAGCTCAGCAACTACATGCGGGAGAAGAAAGTTCATGTTCACTGACTAGGGCAGTTGCGGTTCGACTCTGTGAAAAGCACTGAGTTCATACCTTGGAGTCAGGGCAATGAGACCTACTGTAATGTCCGACTTGCCCACAACTGCTACATGTCGGTGGCTTCCGCTTCCAGGCGACATTCATCTGAGCACTCCCTCCCACATTTGAAGCAGAAACAGTAGGAGGAATGTTCTCCGACTCCAGCAGGGGATTATGCATGGGCGGGATATCAGAAACTACATCAGGAAAACTCAACTTTTTCTTAGGGACCTTTTTAAACTTTTGGGTCTGGCAACCCTTATTTAAGTCCATAAGTGTTGAAATAAGTCTCAATAAGTCGAATTTCAGACACTCAGGGAATATGCCTTAGGCCCTTTTTGTCCTTACGTCCTTAAATAAGGACCATAAGTCCATTTAAGTTATATAAGTGTCCTCTTAAGAAAAAGTGGGGTTTTCCTGATGTAGCGGATGCGATAAACGCACGATCTCAAGTATTGGTTTGCCGTACTCATCCATCCAATCCTTCCTCCATGCAACCTCTTTCTTCAGCTGCTCGAGCGAGGTAAGCTTACCGGCATGTGCACAATCTACAATGCGCTGCACAATTGTAGTCGGAAGGAAGAGGTTACCACCAAAGTTCGTGAACGCGGACTCTGTGAACTTTTTCACTGTGATTTCATCGCGCCATTGGAAGAGCGCCATACGGAGGTCGTGGTCAGGATGAACAGCTTTGTAATCCTTGACATGTGACTTTCTAGTTGATTTCTGCGTGGTCGTTCGGGACATTTGTTGAATATATTGGAATGCAACCGGATGACAAAGGTCACAGCAGATCAAGGGAGTTCTGGGGGCACAGTGTTGGCAACCGTGAGGGTCAGTTGGGTCGCACTCCTGATGATCAAAGGCTGAGGAGGTAAGCGTGAGAAACGATTATCGATGATATCTGTCAACACACCGCGCTTATCATTTGAATAGAAGAGTGTCACTATCTTACGCCGACACTTCAATCCTCGACTCTCGGCATTAATGAGATCGAGTATGGCTGGCTGTATGACTCGGCTCTCCTTGGATTGTGCGTTCAGATTTCCCTGGTTCTTCTCTGGTGTGCTGTATATTTTTCAGCATTCCTCTTCTATATCTGCAACCGTTACCGCCACCGGTACTGGCTGTGCTTGCATGTTGGACTGACATGCTTCTTGCCCACTGAGATTTGAAGTAGAAGACTCGGCAGATGTAGAGCAAGACACTATAGGAGCAGGCACCAGGGGGATCAGATATGCAGGATTCGGAGCATTGGAAGGACCAGTGGGTATGTGGCTGTGACTGTGGCCAGTACGTCCACCTTCATTGTCTGAATCTTCATCGTGATCGCTCTCACTCGCGTGGTCTTCAACATCTGGATTCAGAGGGTGTATGGACTGATCAGGATGGGAATGCGTATCAATCTGTGCAACCACAGGGCGTTTGGTAGGCACATTTCGAGATGGAAGCAGTCGTTTCCGCTTCTTTCCAGCTGTGTCCTCATTTCGTTTTGCTTTCTTTGTTTTCTTTTTCTCTATCTCATCATCGAATAGTGACTTTTTGGCAATAAGTATTGCAAATGCATTCTCAATCCCCCTTCCAGCATGACCAAATTGCTGCCATAGGGTGTTCATGTTACATGGTCCCTTCTATTGTATGATCAGCAGAATGTCAGGGAGATCAAGGCCCTGCATGAAATTGAGTCTGAGTGCCATACAAGATGCTTCTGGGATGGAGACGCACCATTCCAAATGAGTCGGTGACACATAATCCAAATATGTCACTGTTCTTTAGTGCATCGTACTCGTCATCTCGATACTCCGGCATCATGATCGAGCGGAAATGCTTGATCTTATCCCTGAGTGGTTCGGGTAGCCGAGAACGCAGATGCTTGACAGCAGCCTCAGCTTCTTTGATATTGTCGAAGAAGATGAGAAATTTAGAGGGAGGAGGGTCGCCATCCTTAAAGTCCTCTGGTATCAAGAAATTGAGATCTTCAAATGAACGAGCTGAAAGCTGCATCTTGCGAACTGAAATTGCAATGTTAGGGCGATCGTTCGAGCGGATAATATGTTCAGTGCATCCTTCGCGGAGCTGCAGCATCCTTCCAACATCTAAAAGGACTGTTGATGGCAGTGTAGCGGATGCAACGTAGAATGGGATTGTCTCAGGTATCAGATACCGAAGAGCCCCGACATGCTTGTACTGCTCTCTGAATGCACTCCATTCCTTGACACAGTGTCCCTCATCGAAGATGACATGTAAGATCTTTAATGTGAATTTTGGCTTCTTCCATAGCTTCTCACAGTGACCGTCATCCTCCATGATGATCTCCGGGTTCAAAACAACAACCTGATACTTCCCGGCTTGTACGTCCTGAGATTTAGACTCATTAATGAATCTGGGTCAGAATATTTACATCACGGGTCATGCATACCTCAAACACCTCATTGGTTGCATTGCGGGCATCTATTGCCATGGCCTGAATGTTCGCTCGCTGCAGCAAGTTAACATTTTGCTTTCCCAGAATATTCAAAGGAGTCACGATAATGATCAATTTATCTTCACCATCCTCCAACGCCATAAGAAGCGGAATCCAAAATGATAGTGTCTTGCCAAAACCTGTTGCTGCTATGGCGACAACATCATTTTGCCTTTCCATGAGAGCCTGGGCTACTTTGATCTGAAAGAGACAAGCACGTTTGTTGAACTTCGCCTTAACGAGATCTCTGATCTGCTTGATGGACCATTTGTGAGCGAGCCATAGTATGTAAGGAGGACGTCAGATGACAGCGAGGCTGATGGACTTAGAGGAATTTTACGAATTGGGAAGTACTGAGTTGTGACCATAGGTTACGAATTGGGACGATATATTTGGTATGCGACAAGACTTATCTTAGGGTTAGGAACTGCAAAATGCAAAGTTCTTTGAGGTTCACTGAGATCGAAAGAACCTCAGACGACAAGTTTGGCCAGCCGTCTTATAGCATTCACCTCCTCTTAATGCTCGTCCTAATCCGGTAATTTTCGATATAAAGGGTAAGTCTCACAAAACATATGTCACATGATTTTTTTAACATAATGTTGGGATAAAGGAGTGAGAACGCTATAACGACGGATGGTTTTAGGAGCCTGGGGTTTATTCGAGATTTCCAGCGGGAAACTCTGGGCATGCGCGCTCGGCATATCCTCGGACGACCAGTTTGGCCAGCCGTCCTATAGTGTTCTCTTCCTCTCGTTCGGCTATCCTTTTCCGGCAATAGTCTCTCAAACAGGTAAGTCGCATAAAACATATGTCACATGATCATTTAAAACATATGTTGGGATGTAGGAGCGAGAACGCTATAGCGACGGATGGTTTTAGGAGCCTGCCATACGGCGCTTCCCTCGTGTACTCGCGGCAGAGATCGTGGTCGCCAAATTTGCATTGTCGTGCAGAATTCAGGCACACGGAAATCGAACCGGGGAATCGAAAAATACGACGATTAAAGGGTGGAGAGACCTTGCGATCATATTGCAAGCAAAGTAATAATAAGCGCCCGACGCATCGTGGCTTCCGACTTCAATGTGCGTGCCATGATTTGCGGGTATAAGCACAGATGAATGCCCTTCCCAAACCTATATGTTTGCAGCAGTTACAGTGTTGTCTTCATTACCTTCACTGGCTCGCTGACCAAACGGTGTGGAAGCACCATGTGTGCCCAGAGGTGTCTGAATTTACCCTGGTCCGCAATTCATCCTGGGAGCTTATTTCCAGCTTCAAGCTTCAAGCCCTTGCATCGAATCGACGTAGAGTGAGAAGTCTGGACAATGATGTCCGTAATAAACGTGGCCAATATACAGGTCAAAGCTACTCTTACACGTACGTACGCTGTTACTTCCGATCCACACATCTGGAAAAATCCCCTCAGATATGTAAGCTACATTAACAAGTGCCCGATTTGTAGCACTCTGTAGCACCATGTAGCATACATATTTGGGGGTTGGCGATGTAGCCAAAGTGATTTTTCCAGATGCACGATCTGCTCTAATCGTCATCAGTTCGCCCCACATGATGAGCAACGTAGATGACATACTACTTCCAAAACATCGCGCGATGCAATCCATCATGCTCCTTGCAGGTCTTCGACCACAGTCTCGAGAGCAACTTTCGGTCTCAACAGCATCGTAACATGCGGTTGCTCGCTCTTCCTCTTTTCCGTGCGCTGCAGACCGAGTGCTGTAGAACACAACACGTTGCCCACCACTGATTCCTTATCTTTGACATCCCTTTCTTCGGCAAATGCGTCCTCCATCTGCTGCTGATCGAAAGGCGTCCCAGCTTTGATGACGATCGCTTCTACGTTCCCAGACATGATCCTCTCTCCAGCGGCTTCTCGAATATCCAGACTCAGTTTGACAATGGATCGCATCTGCTTCCCGAACAGTCGTTCGACGGCTTGGCACAATTCGCGTGGGTCGTCGGTCAGACCCGAGACCCGTAAAACGTCGCTGATGTGGCCGATCAGGAAACACTGCAGCCAATGCGTCATGGTACCCTCGTCAACAAGTGTCCTGAGATATGATCGAGTCAGGACCCGCCATCTAGCCGAAACTGTCTGGCTCTCTGCATCGACGTAGTCAGCAGGGGCAGCGTCTTCTTCAGCGCTGCCGGCTTACCATCTTGGATGATTCCTGCGTATATCTTCTCGATGAGTCTCTGCTCCCCGCGAGGTTTAAAATCCCATGTCTGAATCATCCAAGCCGCGTATTGGCTCATGCATGCCTGCAGCGCTATCTGAACACAGATCGGATCTTCGTGATGCTGTTTCGATTTGAGCAATTGAACCAATGCTAGTCCCAAAATATCCGCCAGTCCAGCGTCTTCAGCGAGCTGGTCGACCAAGTGCGGCTGCATCCTCTGGTCGCGAGAGAATTGCACAGTATTTGCTATTTGCGCCGCTATTTGATATATCTCCGCATCGAGTTTTTCAACGGTTCGCATGACTTCAGCATCGGAGGTGTCGTCGGGTTTGGACAGGAATTGCTGCGCCTCGTGGAGCTCGGAAGTCCGGATGTGAAGCAATGCGAGGACGTCTTCGTGCTTCTTCTGCAAGATCGCTAGCTCATGCTTGTATCCTGATGAGAGCTGTGCTGTACGCTGCAACTCTTCTCGTATTCTGTTGAGGGAATCTTTCTGACGGAGGTCGTTATCTTCCAGACGACGAAATGCAGAATGTACATGACGGTCTTCGATACCCATGGTTTCGATCTTGTCCTGTAATATTTTCACCTTTTCTTGGAGCTTGTTGCCATGATCCTTCAGTCTCTCTTCCGCCTGCTTCTGCACCTCTGCCTCCGCCTTTGACTTTCGCAACTCATGCTTTAATGCGTTGATTTCTGCGCTAGGGGGACCGGGACGAACACTGTGAACGACCGGTGGACCATCCAAACGGGCGTGGTTATTGTCAAAAACTGTCATGAACGAATGACCCACTCCCCGGAAAAAGAACATGAGGAAGGGTGTTGAGACGTGGCTCAGTGAAGTCACATCTTAGGGGTCCCGGTCTTTCGCACTGTTTACCTCGATTGCCCCTGAATGAATCCCCTCGTTTTCATCCACGTCCATCATGTCTCCTTCCCCCCTGCAACCGTATAGCGGGACCCGTCGCAAGTTGGTTCTAGCGTTTGATGTAGGAACTACGTATAGCGGAATTTCGTATGCATTGCTTGATCCAGGCGGAACTCCCAAAATACAAGGAGTAACCCGGTAATTGTTTCTGCGGTTGATGAAAATTCACATTTCAACTCATACTTTCCAGCTTTCCTGGCCAAGAGAATGCCGCTGGGGATTCGAAAATTCCCTCTGTCATGTATTATGATCAGGAGGGGAAGATCCGCGCTGTTGGCGCTGAGGTAGGAGTTCCTGCTACGGTGTTGCAGGCCGAACGTGAATATTGGATCTTTGTGGAATGGTACATACAGCTCTCTATGATCTTAGTGTGTTTGACGATTTTCCCTGATCAGGTTCAAATTGCACCTGCGGCCGGATACTCTTAATACTGCAGACGTGAATAAGAAAAGTATTCCTCCGCTTCCCGTGGGCAAAACAGCAATGGATGTATTTGCGGATTTCTTGGAGTATTTATTCGCGTGCGCGCGCCGCTACATCACCGAAACGCATGCCAATGGCCAGCAGATCTGGAATTCCGTACAAGATCAGATCGAGTTTATTCTCAGCCACCCTAATGGTTGGGAAGGCATCCAGCAGAGCAAAATGAGACGTGCTGCTGTCGCAGGTGGTCTTATTAAAGACAGTTATGCCGGTCACTCTCGCATTCACTTTGTCACGGAGGGCGAAGCCAGCTTGCAATACTGTATGCGGAGCGGCCTCGCCTCAACTTGTTTGATGGTACGTTTCTCAGAGGAGTCAAAACCTACCGGTAACGAGCTCTGTTCACAGAATGGACAGAACGTGATGATTATAGATGCCGGAGGTGGTACGATAGACCTCAGTAGCTATACATTCGCCTCAGTCTCGCCGTTATCGGTCGAAGAAATCTCATCACCGGACTGTGAGTCATCTGTTGTTCACGTTTTCTCATACTCTCTCCATCTCCGATATAAAAGGTATCATGCACGGTTCTATCAGCGTGAACTCGAGAGCATATACATTCTTACAAGGTAAGGATGTAGTGCTCGAACATCTGAACATATTATAATATCTTGCCATACATCAGCTTTATTACGCAACTCGGCCTATCTTGACGACCTAAAGGCGATCATGGAATACTTTGAGAAGTCCACGAAGCCTATATTCAAGAGCTCAAATGAGCCGTCTTATGTCAAATTCGGCTCGATGAGATGCAACGATCCTGCGGTGCAGATTAGAAGAGGTCAATTGACACTTGCAGGGTGCGTTTTGCGTGTGAGATCGGTCAAATATCACTCATTCGTCTTCTCATAATAGGAAAGACGTTGCCGGTTTTTTTGAGCCTTCGATTGACGCTATAGTGGATGCTGTTCAACACCAGTGCCGAAGCGCCCCGAATCCAATCACAGTCAGGCATTTGCATTTTGTTGCTTCGAGTTGTACTCAGAAGTCGACAGGTTGCATTCCTTGTGGGAGGTTTCGCTGCAAGCCCTTGGCTTTTCCAGCGTCTCCAAGCCTCTTTGCAAGCGCTGAATGTATCACTGTTCCGACCGGATACCCACACGTACTGTTCACAACTTTGGACTACATTGGGCCTTGAGTGCTAACCATTGCTTGTCTCCAGTAACAAAGCTGTTGCCGAGGGTGCAGTGTCATTCTATCTAGAGCACAACGTATCAGCCCGCGTGGCTCGGATCACATACGGTGCGGAGTGTTGCACGCATTTCGACGAGGAAAATGCAGAGCATTTGGAGAGGTCCAACACTGTTATCACGCGTCCTTCAGGCCGCCGCGTACTTCCAGAGGCATATCATATCATCCTGCCGAAGGTGAGTCAAACCTACTTTTGCTCGACTTTCTCATGCTCACAGTCGACGCGAGGGAACACGAACCCGGGAGAACGAAGAGATGGCTCAGTCGTTCTACAAGGAAGCACACCAGGCTACCACCTTGAACAAGATTAAATCACAGATCACTTGCTATAGGGGGCACTCCAAAAACCCGCGCTGGGTCGACATAGAGCCCGGTGAGTCGCAGATAATCGCTTCCACAAATTTCGCCTACTCAATATCAGAACCAGAGCATTTCTCGGTGCTTTGTACCGTCCATGCTGACACTTCGAAGGTATATAAAGCCAAGCAGCATGGAATCAACGACGTGTACTACTCACAGGATTACAAAATCGTGCTTCTGTGCGGTCTTACTGAGTTGAAAGCACAGCTCAGCTGGATCGAAGATGTGAGTGCTCTCTTATCCCCTTCTGTCCTGCATATTGGTTAATACTCACTCTTCTTCGGGACAGGGTGAAGAGAGGCGGTTGGTCTCGCGTTCGTTCTTCGATCCCTCTTATACTGATGTGAATATGCTCCAGAGGCCCAGCCGAGATCGTCTACGACGATGACGCGGAAGTGGTCAACTGATGGTTCTGCTCCTATTGTAACTTGATCCGGAAGTTCTCGTTCCGAACGGACATACTGTTGTACAAAACCCTTGCGACACATTTAAATAAACGTTCTGTCACTTTGTACTTGCAGTTTGTGATCTGCGACGACGAATATGTGTGAGTAGCTTGTGAAATAAATGTTGTCCTCCAGAACTTCTCATCGTCCCGGGCATTGACATCTCCCAAACCTCCCGGCGGAAATTTTGATTATATCAAGACTGAGAGAATAAGCTACATCCTGCGATTTCTGATGTAATGCAATGGGATACAGTATGGCTGAGCTATGCTATAACCTTGCAGACCGAAGCCAGAAAGTGAGTGCCCAACGCACGATCCAAGTCAACCCGAAAAAGCAGACAGGCAGCCTTAGTAGCCAAACGTCACTGTGTCCGCTCGAGATGGTCCCTCTCTGCCACCTGATCCTCGACGACGCGCTCCATCGCGCCGAGCCACACCTCCACGGGCGTCGCAGTGCCGCGGTACTCGGTCGCCACCCCGGCCCTCTTCCGCGCCTTCTCGCCGTTCGCGTGCGCGGGCCTGCTCGGCGCGGGTACTGGGAGGGTCCCGATGTGGCGCGCATGTGCGAGGACGGGCAGGCGGCGCAAGGAGCGGCCGGACATCCCCTGTGTCTGGTTTGGTGTGATAGCAGTCAGTTTAGCTACCGAGGGCGAGAAAGCGGAGAGATGGGACGTACGCGACACTTTTGCGCGAGCGCGAACAGCCTGAGTGCGACGTTCTTGGACCTTTCTGGCGAATCGCGTGCGGACGCGTGCCCGTTCGTCTGGGGATGTGCGTGTTCGGACCCCGGTTGAGATTGCTGGGAAGATGGATGGGAGGTCGGCTGGGAATTGGGAAGGCGGAAGGCGGGGGTCATGGAGGAGGGATCGGAGAAATCAGCGGTGCGTTCGTAGAGTTGGGCCTGAGCTAGGCTTGGGACTTCCTGGTAATTAGATGCAGAACGAGTTAGAGCTCGTTACGGAAAGGACGAGGAAATCGAGGCCTACGACATCCGCTACAATCCCCTTCCCGATCAGCTCAGACAGACAAGTGCGTAGGATCTCGTATATCGCCTCACGGGGCGGGAGGTCAACGTATTGCACGATATCAGCACGGTCGACGAATGCAGAGTCTGGCGAGATGTCAATTTGCGAACCAGCGGGAACGTATGAATGTAATGTATAACGCACCGATAGCTTTCGCGAGGTTACTCGTGGACATAACGAGGACGTTCTTCTTATGCTTGAGCTTATCCAGCTGGGTAAGGAGCGCGTTGACGACCTATGAAAATACTCAATTGCCAGGACCAGGGCTTTGAATCCCGGTACATACTCGAAGTGCATCAGACGGTTCTGTCCCGGCCATAGCCCCCGCTCGAGCTGCCGTCAGTGACTCAACTTCATCTACATTAGAAGGAGATAGGTTAGTGAAAATGATGCAGACGAATGGAACTAGAGTGTACCAATGAGGACGATGACGAACATCTCTTCGTCCTCGACCATGTCCATCACGCTGCTGAACAGTCGTTGCACCAGCTTTCCCGACTCCGAGAACCACCGGGAGAACAGGGAATGCGAGTTGATTTCCAACAAACGCGCGTTGGAATATCTGAGATACGTTCAGTGCACAAGTCCACCTGTCATGCTGGCAAGTGGGTTCGAGATCCTTACCTGTGGGATAGGCGGATGGAGAGCTTTTGTGCGAGCGCACGACAAAGGGACGTCTTGCCCGTCCCTGGGGGGCCATGCAGTAGGACGACACGGTTCCACGAGACGACATTGACTGCACATACATCAGCACACACACACACCCCAGAAATCTGCCAGGGAGAGCTCACAGTCCACGTCTGCATCGCTGAAGACCACAGTGGCGTAGATATAATCGAGCAGACGGGACTTGATGTCGTCCGAGTAGATGAGGCTCTCCCACAGCCCTTCCCAAGAGAGGCTCGGCAGCTCGCACACTGTCGCTGCCATGACCTCCTCGCCGTCGCTCCGAGGGCCCCCATTCGCCAGCTCCTCGAACGCGGCCGCGTCGGACGGCTGGTACACGTGGATCTGCAGCGCGGTCTGCTCTATTGGGAGGGAGGCAGAGGGGCATGGAGACTCTGAAGCAACTATGCGGCTAACTGAGGATGCGAGGAGGGGGACGTCTTCCCAGCCTTGGATGGTGGAAGGCAGGTAGATGTGCGAGAGGGAGGATGTGAGGTACGTATGGACGGTGTTGCGGATCGTGTCGAAGCGCGAGGTCGCCGATGGGAGTATGCGTACTTCGACTGCAAAAGCAAAGGTAGTATGACACATCTATATATGCTGCGAGGTCGCGTGCGCTCACTGTGGACTGGCCAAATTGTCAGTGGCTTTTCTGGGTTCGGGGATGGCGGGGCCATGGTGAAGTCCTGAATGTCTTCAATCATGTTGGAGTATGTCTAAAATTGTGCAGAGCTTCACAGTGGTCTGTAAACTTCTGAGGAATTGTGCTTCCGAGATGAAAGACTTTGAATGAGGTCGAGGTGAAGGTGCCAGTCAACAACGCGTAAACAACACGCACCAAACGCGTGCCTCCACTCGGTCTCGTGATCACGACTACTGCCCGACCCACGCTCGAGCCTCCTCCCTGTCTTAACACCCAGTTCGTCAAGCACCCAACTACCTACTACGTTATCTTGCTACCGCAAATATGGCGGATCCAGGCACTTGCGTAGAGTGCATACCTGACATTCAACATGAAGGGTCATCAACGCTGGTGCAAGAATACCCCGTCCCCGCACAACCGGCACACGACCTACTTGACGCTTCTACCTTCGTACCCCCTTCCTCGCCTCCGACATCAAGTATCACCATCGAGTTCTGCGACAGAGTGAGTGCCTGCCTATATAGATGCTCTTCTAACTACGGATGAACTGCGTTCGATCTTTGCACAGTGTCGCTGGTGAGCACGGCCGATGCCATTCCACAGCTCCCGAATTCTGAGCGCTACTGTTACTCAGGCTGCATCGCGCGACATGGGTGTCGACAGAGCTCTTCCTGACATTCCCAGCACCCATCCTGCAGTCCATCACAATCCTCCCGCTGAACTCAGACGCGACCGCGGGCAGGTTCCGCGTGTGGCTGTTCCTCGCAGATTGCCCACCTGTCCTCGTCTGGGACAGGAAGATTGAGGGCGGGTTCCCTGAGCTGAAGGTCCTCGTGCGTGTCCCAAAGTGGAAGTACACGGTCGGTGTGGACGGCTGACCACACTTTCCTACGTAGAAACAACGGATTCGAGATAGGGTACAGCCTGGGAAGTCACTCGGGCATTCTGACCACAAATAGTTCTAAGACGGCAGCAAGCATGCGAAAGGATGTATCTCTGCTCGGGACGGTGAGTATCATAGCAGTGGGCATGCGCAACGGCCCTTCTACTTATCATCGAGATGCAGACAGCTAATCTATCCGGTTTCATCGGACAAAGTATGTAGCCTATCGAACGTCGAGCATGCACACTCACACCATTCCGTATTTTGCGGTGGTCCAGCTTCCTGTCTTCCATGGCACGCATTTGAATATACTTCGAGACAGTAAGCGAGACAAAATCGAAAATGTATGCGTGGAGAGCAATGCGAGTGTTTCGCCGAGGACAGTGTGCCAGTTGGAAGGAATTCGACAATCATGCGTCCGGCTTCATAGGTAATGCCCCTCTGCGTTGCAGCGTTGGCAACTATTCTTTTGCCTCATGCTCCAGTTACACGCTCTCTACCCCTGATCAATCATCACTTCATGCTCTTCTTTCTCCGCTCTTTGTTACCTTTTCTGTAAACCAGGCAGAATGTGTTGCATACACATTCTTGTTAAATGGCGCGCTCTGAGGCTCCTTTGGCTGGTATTCTTCCCTCACTCATCTTTCCTGCATTTTCTGAATTATATGCTACGAACTGTATGGAGGTGATCGTTTGAGCAGTAGCTCACAATAGGTTGACGAGCCCATCATCAAGATCGCGCGCGCGTTCAACGTTGTTCCATCCAGGAAGCAGCCTCTTGACGAATGAGTGACGTGACAAGGCGCGGTGTGACAGGACGCGTGCAAAAGCCCCACGCCAAAGCATCAACTTTGTCCAAAATACACTACCGTCTTTCCCTGATTGCCAGGAAACGCGTTCCAACGAGAGGCGATATCGCCATGAGTTACAAAGAGAACGCAGGCGTGTCAACTGAGGCCACGGTAAGCTTCCGCTTAGAGGTCTGCGAAATCTCACAAGGGGCCACACGGTACTTTCGCGAGGCTAACGTTGTCTTTAGAACATGCCTTTCATCAAACCCGAGCCACAGGAACAACACGCTCTTCCTTTGGCCGACTCTTCAGCGTGGCAATCTAACGCCGGCATTGACACGAGAGCCACGACACTGGTCAAGCCAGAGACACGGGACTCCAACCAAATTGTACGTGTTCTACGCGCTCTGCCCACCAACAAAACCATGCCTCATGTCATGTTAGCTATCCGACGCGTGTTCTACGTCTCCTCCTTTGAACAGCGCGCCTGCATTGCCCAATGTGAAACCCGAATCTGCTGTTCCTCAAAATGGTGGCCAAGGGACTGTTGCCAATCCAGAGCCTCCGCGTGCTTTCTACAAGGTCTATGCATCACCGGACGACATCCAGTATGTCCCGGAAGATGCTCTTAAGGAAGGCCTGGGCATGGTTGAGAGAATCAAAGGTAACATTAAGAAGCTCGAATTAGGTAGTAAGCTACGTAAAGATGTGTGGCTAAGGGAAATTGAGAGGTACGCATTGTTCTTAACCAACCGAGGTACATTGGACTCTGATAAATTCCGTAATGTAGTCTTCAGAGTCAAGGTGCTCCTACAACGATGATCGCTGTATGCGGAGGTTAGTCCGAAGCGCATTACGTTCTCATTGTAGGGCGTGCTCTGATTAATTCATCGTTCAGCAACTGGTGCTGGCAAGTCCTCCGTCTTGAATGCTATTCTCGACGGTAAGCCTGTATGACATACCCTATTCGTATTGCGTACTGATATCACTTGCCAGACAACATTGTTCCGACGAGCGGAATGAGGGGTGAGTTGTTAACTGAAAGGCCATAGTAGTTCTAATCCCCCGAGGTCAGCCTGCACGTCCGTGGTTACGGAAATTGGTTATCACACCAAGCGTACCATTGATGCCAACGTGTCCTTCCTCTCCGAGACAGAGTGGAGAGAGGAACTCGTTGTTCTTCAACATGATATGGTGGATGAAGATGGTAAAGTGAAGAGAAGCACCGATATGCGCACCGAAGCTGGAGTCGCTTGGTCTAAGGTATATACTTCATTGAGATATCTACAAGTCAACTACTCAGTCACGATACTTCACAGGTACACGCTGTATATCCTTCCATCATTCCGGAGCAGTTCGTGAAGATGACAATTGATCAAATTATCTCCTCGGATATCAGTACGAAGATGTCCGTATCCCAGTGTATCAGTACTAACTAATGAATTTGCAGAGATCAAGAATATCCTTGGCACTACCAAGCATATTACCGCAAAGGACCCTAAGACTTTCGGTAGAGAGATCGCGAAATACATAGATTCCAAGGACCAGAAGCGCGGCGACAAAGAGAAGAAGTCGAAGGAGAAGAAGGACACGGATAAAGGGAAAGAAAAGAGCCTCATGGACAAGATCCGCGCAGCCAGCGGTGCCACTCACAGCACCAAGTACAAGGATGATCTCGACGGCCCCGCTCTGTGGCCCCTCATCCGAGGTGTTGGCGTTCGCTGTCAATCTCCCGCTCTTTCGACGGGTGCGCTCCTTGTTGACTTGCCCGGCGTCGCCGATTCGAATGCGGCAAGGAACAATATTGCCAAGGATTATATGAAGAAGTGTGACTGCGTGTGGATCCTCGCACCGATCACTCGCGCGGTTGACGACAAGACGGCTCGAGGTCAGATGTTCTGGTTGTATCGTCATTAATTTCTTCAGCTCACGCGGGACCACCGTTTGTCAGACCTTATGGGTGACGCGTTCAAGATGCAATTAATGAGTAGGTGTCTATCTTGTATCCGTAACAAGTCAAGTACTGACGTTTGTTTCCTCCTGCAGTGGGTGAGTGGTTGCACGTGCCCATATCACGCAAAGTTTCTCTTACATATTGTGCGCCTTTGGAATCGCTCAGACGGAAAGTGAGTACACATATGCTGTTCTCAGTTGGCTTCCTTCCTGACAGTTTCTCAGCTATGATGCGAACGCCATCACTTTCGTTGGTTAGCGTCCGGGCATTTGTGTCGCGACGACCGAATTCTCACACTTGCTCGTAGCTTCTAAGTGCGATGACATTTCCTGCTCGGAAGTTATCCGCGCCCTAAACCTCGAAGATGATCCCGAGCTCGTCGACATAGAAGAACAGATAAGCCAATGCAAAGATGATACCACCGAATGGAAGGGCAAGAAGGCAGATGCCGAGGCAGCAGCTAAAGGTCAGTCGTATTGCGCGTCTATGTGGCGTGAGCGCTCATACTCTCTGGACGTAGGCATCGACACACAGCTCAAGGAAGTTCGTGCATATCTTGCAGAATACCAAGAACATCTGAAAGCGCTGGAGGAAGGCCGGACTTTCGTCCCTGTTCTCACTGCTAAGTCTGGAAAAAGAGAGACCACTTCCGAAACACCCAAGAAACGCAAGAACACCGGGGGTGAGAAGAAAGGTACCTCCAAGAAACGCAAGACTAGTGGAGACGGTGAGGACGGTGAGGACGACCTGATAGTCGTTGACGACGCAGACGAAGATGAAGAAGAGGACATCATGGACGTTGAAGATGAGCTCGTTTTCTCCGACTCTGACAGCGATAAGCAATCCGACGATGGGAAGGATGACGACGATAGCTCAGACAACTCGGATTCTGAATCCGCAGAGGACTCCGAAGAGGAACAAGAGGACGATGATAACGAGGCTGAAGAGGTCACAGTTGAAAGTCTGCAAGCAAAGATTGGAGAAGCCAAGGATGCTATCAAGGCGGGCCGCCTCCAACTGTCGGAGTTCCGCAAGCAGAGGAAGGAAGCCAGCGACATGCTTGCAACTATCAAGAAGAAACAGCTCAAAGCCCAGAGAGAGAAGAACGCATTCTGTTCCTTAAAGCGCTCTGAGGTGTGCCTAGCTCTCATGAGTGATGCGAATGAGCACTGATGCGAAACTACCCAGTTCTCCCGCGATGTTCTTAAGGAAGACTTCCGGACGGGATTGAAGGAGCTCGATGGTCAGTTTCCTTCTGCTGTGTACAAACGAAGTTTTAACTGACGGGTGTCGTCAGATGCGGCTGCTGAGCAGCGTGACCCGGACAGCTTTGATCCCACCGTCAATCTACGCAGTGAGTTTGTACTTTGGTCGTTGCATGCAAGCGATTGAATTGTGTTACTTTCCCCCAGACTATGACGAAATTGATCTTCCTGTCTTCACGTGTTCCGCAAGAGATTATGTTCGGTTAAAAGGTATGTAGCTTGATGACAGCATCAAAGCTTCTCACCCAACACTCTACTAGGCCAAGTCAAGGGTGACGGTGATTCCACATGTTTCTCAAAGGTAGAAGATACTGGTATCCCGGAGCTGCAGAAATGGTGTCACCAACTCACTGTTTCCTCTCGCGAACGCGCTGCGCGGAACTTTCTCACGCACTTGCGAACCTTTGCCAACTCTGTGCGTACGTATGTGCAAGGTATCGGCGATGTGACCGTGAGCGACCGCGAGGCTATGCGCGAGAAGTGGGAATCCATCGCGGCGGATGACAGCTCTGCTTTGGACCACGACGATCCAGCCTATGGGTTTCTAATGGATGATGAACTCGACATGGCGTTCAGGGGAATGTACAGCCTCAATGAACAAGCCACAAAGGTGGACCGGCAGGGAAATGCAGCCGGTGTGGCGCCCCGTCTTACCAAGGTTCGTTCAGCTGTTGTTCAGCAGTATGTGATGTCCTGACATTACCCTTGGGCAGGATTTCGAGACTGTTGTCAAGTCCTGCGTGGAAGAACTGAAGGCGTGCTTCCGCGAGGGTTTGGAAGAAAAGTGCGCGGCTGGCGCTATCAATGTAAGATCGTGTGGCTGTACCTATTTGTAGTTAACCTCACGGACGGCATTCTTCAGGCTGCCAATGTTGCTATTGATACCTCAGACACCTTCGCGACCTCAATGCACTGGGCCACCTACCGTGCTAGTGAGTCTTCCATCGCCAATGCGCATCTCAACGTGAGCTGATGATCTATAGCTTTGCGCCGCGATGGAGCATGGCGTCGGGACCTCAACGTTGAGCTGTCGAACCCGCTCACTAGGAACATTGCGAGTTCGTGGTCCAAAGTATTCGAGTCCGACCTCTTCGCCTCATTTGAGAAGGCCACGCTGGATGCGATCAACAAGCTGCTTGCGGAGGTCGAAGAGTCCGCAGCTATCGGTCTCAAAGAGCGTGCGCGCGGGCAGGCGGAGCTCTGCCTCGAGGATGCCCGGGTCGCATTGCAGAAGACGCTGGATGTGGTACGCGACACGATGAATACGCAGCAGAAGGAAGCAAGCCGCTCTTTCGCCCCGGAGGTGCAGACCCAGCTCCGCGAGGGGTACCGCGATGCGATGGAGGAAAGGGGCATTGGTAGCGTCGCACGCCAGAAGGTAAGTCTGGCCGTAGTTTGCAATGACATGCGCTGAGCGGCCCTTTATCCAGGCGGTTTTCCGTAATTTCCTGGCCAGCGTGAGGGATCATGTATTCACGGACGCAGCCTCTGTGCTCTTGAAGAGTCTGGTTGGTGCGGCAGACGCGGTAGGCGAGGCACTGAACAAATCGTTGGCGGAGCTAGCGCAAAAGGTGTGTAACTATATGTTGTTGCATGTGAAAGCGATACTTATTTGGTGGCATGGCACAGATCGAGGTCAGCATTGCGGTGCTTTGGGAGGGCCCTCGCGACGACCCGTCCCAGATGAAGGTCCGCGCACAGGTGGTCGCGACCATGACAGAGATTATGGAGCAGGTGCAGATGTGGGTGGACGCCGGGCGCAACAAGACTGTCGATGCTTAATCGCCGCCGGTCCTCCAAGTTCCTTCGGTGCCTTCTCTTCAGTTTCATCCGTGCCAGTGCTCGACTATCCTATTCTTCATTATTCTACCTTAGCTCTGTTGATTTACTGTTTTCTCACCTCCATGGTGATAGATCTTTCCCCCAACGCAGTGCGTATGCTATGTGCCGGTATAATGCTGCAAATATCCTTTTGAATGTTTCTTATTCTTCTTTTCCAATGCACACTGCTTTTTGCTCTTCGTCCTTCGTTCCCAGAGTCGTGTGTTTGTGTTCCACCCCTCTCAACATTATGTTGTATTGATGTAGTGGATAGAGGAGCAGTTTTGCTAGAATACAACGATGTTGAACGGTCGGCAATGTCGTTCCCGTCGTTGCAATTGCTGAGTTCCAGTTACCAGGTATACGCCATAAGGATCCCTGGGGATTTGAATGTTCTTGGCAGAAATCGCGCATCTTCGTTGTTCTATAGGGATCCCACGCGGTAGCCGACACGAACTTGGAGACAAAGACATGGCCAAAATTTCCCTAGCAAGTCGCAAAAGCTGTCCCAGCCCAAGAAAGTTGTGGGGCCGGAAATCCGTCGGATGAAAGCTGCTTGAGCGAGATCATAGGACTCAGTTCACATGGTGTACAACCGGGAGTTCCGCCTCGCTTACCTTGAGCACCGCATGCTGCAGTCTGGGATACCGACTCAAGAGTCTATGGCAAGAATCCTGAGCTTTCCACGCGCATGGAGAAACGTCCGCCGAAGAGATACCTCAGGCTACCAACTGCATTCATACAACAATGGGTCTACTCAAGATTTCAGTGGACTCGCGTCGACTGCTCATGTGAATGTCGAAGTGGTTGTGCTATGCTGCCCAGAAAAAGCACTACTGTAGTCATGGTATTCAACGTCCAACGCGTACGTACAGTATCTAGAACCGAATCTCTATAAGACAACGACATTACACTTTCAGGTACTACTATCGGTGCGGAGGGTAAACCAGCACATAGGCTGCAATTACACGATACAACAGAAATATTGTTAGCTATCGTCAGATTGTAAAGAGCGTCAAGAGGCGGCAATCGTGATGGTTTAGCGTTTTCCATAGATAAATACGACACGGCCGCAAATAATCAACGCTGGGAAAAGAGCAAGGAAGAAAAGTATGCGATGCATAAGCGAGAAAGAAGCATACGTCGGTAGCAATGTCTCGGCAGTCTAGACTGAGGACAAAATGAAAGCCAGCGACAGCTCGAGTCCCGAGTCGCTCAGTACTTATACATCGGATTACCCTGGCGGTCGACGGGGCGACCGGTGCGCGCATCAACATACTCCGTGCGACGGCTCGTGTATGGAGTGTGCGGCCCAATGCTGAAGAAGCTGCGAAGCCGCTCGCCGACGGTAGGGTCGGCGGAATGCGAATGGCGGTGGTGCCGCGAGCCATCACCCTGCGAACAGTCGTGAGTGCAATGATCTAGAATGAGCAAAGTTGGATACGTACATAGGTGCGCTGACGAAGATCGATGACCTGCGGCGAATGATGGCGCGACCTCGACTGAGAGCGGTGTCGGTGGGTGCTGGGCGCGGTGTAGACAGGAGCATTCGACGGGTAGTACGCGCCGCCGTGCCCGGCGCTGATACTGTGATGACGCCTGCGACCGCTGTTGCCACCATCGTAATACTCTGTGTTCGAGTGACCGGGAGAGCTGGACGCGTATGCGGTAGGATGGCCACCATAACTGTGGCTGTGGTCGTGTCTAGAGGAGCTACGATGCGTCGAACTGGGCGCGTAAACCACGGGCTGCTCGTAGTGGCCGGAGTGGGAGCGCGAATGGGAGCGCGAGCGGTGGTGATCGGTCGACGGTGGGGCGAGATAGTATGTGGTGGGCATGGCCGCGTTCGTGTTCACGTTGGGAGTAGATGCGATGTACTGGTTCTGTGCGGGATATGGAGATGGATACGCTTGTGGCTGCAGGTACTGGTTTGGCGTGTAAGTCGGCTGCTGCGCATAAGTCGGTTGTTGGGCGTAAGTCGGCTGTTGGGCGTATTGGGCGTAATTCGGCTGTTGGGCGTAAGTCGGCTGTTGGGCATACGTCGGCTGTTGAGAGTAGAGTCGGGAATGCATTGCGAAGGATAGATAGTGGTGGTGGAAAGGGTGGAGAATGAAAGGAGAGAGTTCATCGTTTCTAGCCTATTTGTACCAAGGCAACGTTGCTTTATCCAAGCCGATTCCGTCATCAGCTGGCGCTTGCCGGGCACCCAGAGCTGAGATCGGAATCTGAGATATGATGGCTATCCAGGTCTGTAATCTCCATTCTCCGACATGTACTTGCCATTTCTGGCAGATTCTCAAGATTTTCCCCGGTTCCCCTCTGCAACAATTAATAGTTCTTTCATCCTGACTACCTTACAGCAGTGCTACTCATCGGCACGCTCGTCCCCTGCGCGATTATTACCACCTCGTACTCTGTACTCGGTCCTCATCAAAGCAACGTGTTCTGATCCACCTGCACGACAATAAGTTCCATCCTCTCGGAACACCGAATCGCAACACGCGCTTACCTGTAGGCCACGTACCACTCTTCTCCACCCATTCTGTTCCACCATGCGTCCAAGAGTTGTCAATTATGGTGGTGCTTACAGATTCACGGCGCCCACAACTCCGTCGCATCCCAAGTCACGCTATACCGACTGCCGCAGCCACCATTTTGCCCGTGCGTGCATTTGACTTTATCGCTGCTCACACAAAGACCCTGCTGCTTCCGTACCCCGTTGAGTGAACGTTGAACGTTATCGCATAGCACACTTGCAGGAGAAGATTTGTTTGTCATTTTTCCGACCCCGCCCAAACATCGGTCCCTGTGTCAAGATAAGTGAATGGACTGGAAGCACATTCACTTTTAGAGAGACGTCAACAGTGCCACCAACTCACGGCTGACGGTGGTTCACATCTGCCTCCTCAAGCTTAGTTTCTGGTGGCCAGCGCCCCCGACTCGTGACTCTAACCATCCGGCGGCTGTTACCAAGTAGCGCTGGCTGCGCCTTCTATCCACACACGATCTGCGCTTTTCCGTGACATTCGATCCGCGGAGAACCTCCATGCTTGATTGAATCACGCTCCAAGTTCCTGTCCCGAGTACGTCTCCATGCATGTCTGATATATCCCATTTCGTGATCAGCGTTGCGCGATGGCACGAGCCATGGGGCGCTAGAGCGCCCCCATTTGTGAACGGTGGAAACCCCGTTGCTCGCCATCGCACAACGCGCGTGACCTCGAGACCACAGCCATAGCCAATTCGTCCTTCTCCAGATCTCCTCGTCTCGTGCAGGTTTGGCTGTCCATGGGAGCTGAACCTTCGCCATGCCACGTTCAGGCAAGATAACCACGAGCTCTACCAGTGGTGGCCAGAGGCACGTATCACATATGAGCTTATACCCTCGTTGCATCAATCAGCACCCGCAGTAAAATCGGCACAACTTCCTGCCGTCACAAGACGGGCAGTGGTGAAACCATGTAAGTCGGCGCCGTCGAGACCACAGTGGACTCAAAAGGTTATTTAGTTCAAGTAGTGGTCAGCGGCCCCCACCGCTACAGCCTATCTCCTATATGTTATACGCCTATGCTTGTACGATGCTGCCACTGCCATAGTAGGTTGCGTTCGTCGTTTCAAGGCGTAGTAGAGTTCTGTCCATACCACTGCGCAGCAGCTCCTCAGACCTGCCGAGCCTGGCACCGGTAATAAATGATTGGAGTGTTTGAAATGATACTGTATGTTGCTCATTATCTCGACGGCGTCCTGCTTTTGAATTTGGACTCCGGAGCATGGGCGTCGTGCTCGGGCGAGATGTAATCGTCGCGCCCGGCGGGTACGCACGCTGGACGCCACTGAACGTATGTGCCGCAAATCGAAGAACAAACTGCCATCTCAGGATCAGTGATACCAGGTGATACCGAACACGGATCCACCATTCAGTTGTGTACGGACTGCTCGTATACGTATAGGTACGGCGTCCAGAGCGGTGGGAAAACATGAGAAGAGAACACACCACCGGATCGCCACAAGAATCGACGAGAAGAAACGCTGGTCGTGTCGAATCGGAATGTGGCGCATACTTTAGACACCAGCCCTGCACGACACTTCAACGTTCAACGGGCAGAGGTGGCGCGAGTGGACTTCCTGGCACCACGGTATGACCGCTTAAGGTTGTAGAGCGAGGTGGGGCGGCGTGGCGCACTCAAGACCATTAATATTGTACTATATTGTACACCGAATCGTCGCCGGCCTCACCCCCTGAGCATTGTACTTTCCACATAATCCGAGTGCAACGTCAGCCCTGCAGCAGATGATCCTGAAACATGAAAGTGACCATATCTACGTCATGTTCCTTCACTATTGCATTTCCAGACACGGCCCCTGCCGCGCGATGCACACTCTCGCGGTTGATGAGTGGGGGGTACTGCACTTCACCAGCTATTCCCGCCCAATCATAGTCGACCAGCTTAACATCTACATCGCCATTCTCCTGCGGTGCGACCAGCAGATTGGTGCCGCGCAAGTCTCCGTGCACATATCCGGCCGTGTGCAACGAACGGACGAGCTCCTCCACTTTGTTACGGACACATTGCGCTTGCCCATGACGAAGTATTGCCTGTGCGAGATAAAGGCCGGTGTACGAGGCATCGACTACGTCCATCACGATCATGAGCCATCCTCCGGGGAGCTGTTCGAAGCCACGCAGATTTGGCGCATACCCATGCTCCGCGCACCAGAGGTGAACTTCCTTGGAGTATCGGCGCGTGAACTTGATAATGATTTCGTCTTTGCCAACCGACCTTCCCTTGAAGATTAATTTATTCTCGATGACATCAGTGTATGAGAATTTCACGTAGGCGGCATCACCACTAGCGGAAATGGGACGGTACTTGAAAGGGTAAGGATATCGCGTGTTTGGCCATTCAGAGGGGTCCAACTCCTGGATGGTAGGAAGTTCTTGTGTATAATACTGCTTCAAGCATTCGACAGCGTTTCTGAAAGCACGAAGTACTCGCGCTACTTGGGTTGCCGAAAGCTCGTCATGCGGCTCCCATATGAAGGAATGAACAGCCGTAAGCATGTCCTGACGGACAACATCGGTGAACGCCGCACCGGCAAAGCCAATGAAGGGACCTGTAAAAGTTGAATAGTGCATCTCGGTGACACGCCACAGCAGACCAAGCACACTTGCCAGCATGAAATACGGTCAGACAAGGCAAGACTGACCCCCCAATCTGGTCACCTAGCGTCCGCACGAAATGTGCATAGCGGATTCCGTTCAGCAAGTAAGGTTCTACACCTCTGCCACCGATCTCGCCATGGGCTTCGGTTTCAACGACACAGTATCCTTTAACGTGGTAGTGACCATCAGTTCCACGGGATGATGTATCCTCCAGCGGAATGTCGATGGAGTCCCATAGTAACTCGCGGAAGACTTCTGCACGCTCACTCCCCCATGGGAAGTACCCGGACATTTCTTTACGTAGCACCCATGCAAAATCATAGTCCTCTGATGTGAGTGTAGTATTCGATGCATCATCCACAAATTGGCCGAATACGGGATGAAGGAGAGTGACAGGAACGCCACCTGGCTGAGAAGGACGGTTGAAATCGAACAAGTGATTTTCCCAGTCTTGAGCTTCGAACACGGAGGGTTCAGCGAGGGTTGAAGCTGCCATTCGTGGGAGAAGTGCCAGCCTCTTCAGGCGATGAGCTGTCTCATCTTCAAGGGAAGGAGAGGGCGAGGGAGAGAGAGCACGCTTTCGCTTCCGAGCTTGGAGGCAGTCTCAGTAAGGACGGGCATTACAACTAAGGAACAAACTAACCGTTCTGTGGTGCGATCACAACAATGTGAAGGTACTCTATAGCAGGTTGACTCGGGAAGTACGTCGAGATGTGCCGAGTACCCTTGAGTTCCACCGCAATTTGAGCGATGTCCTTCGGGGCGATGTTCACGAACTCCCTCTCTTCCTCTAAAGGGATCGGATTATTGAGCTGTATGTGGAAGCGCGGAATCAGTGCAAGCAGCTCAGGCAATCAATGAAACGACAAACCATCCAGAACGAGAGAGCGTGGTCATCAACACCTGGTAGAGTATTCGACACCCGCCGCAAGAAGAGTAATTCCAAGTCGGAAACGTGTGAGTTCTTCGCGACAGTGACTTTAATCGCCGAATCTATGCCACTCAAGAGACAGAATAAAGAGATTTCACTGCTATTGTTCGCCATGCTCGACGTGTGTGTTTTCGCAGCAATAGTGGTTAAAAGCAAATTAAAAGGCTATGGCTAGGCGGGTGTTGTCACAGGTAAGATACTCATCTGCTCGTGAGCTCGACCGACGCTCGATGGACTGGGTGTTGGAGTTGCGACGGAAGGAATCATAGGGGGACGCCACAAGTAGTAACGCGTTATGTAACCCATTATTAACAGCCCCAGGTAACTGCCGGGTGATGTTTACCGCGAATATGAAGCAATTCACCCGATCTTCAATCTGCTGCTTTGAGAATTGAGGCACCGCGAGATAGGACGGCTCTCTGGACCAGATGTTTTCTGACCAGACACGATGTCGGTTGAATTAACTCCGGTCAAAACCTGCCGCCAACATGCTCCCTGCAGTGCTGACATTCGTCTGCCACATGGTGGTAATGAATAGCAACAATAACGAACTCGACTGCAGCCTGCAAATGAAGCGCCTCCCTGGCTGTCAGCAGCACGAGAGAACGAAACAAGGTAACCTAGTACGAATTAGAGACACATACTTATATCGGGAATCGCAACTTCTATCAAGCCTCGCGCGCCTCACATCCCATCACTCCATGTCGGCGAAGTCACCTTCATCCAGATCTTGTGGCTGCGCACATGATTGAGCACAGACAGACGCAGACATCAAGTTGTGGGTTGGGGCAGCACAACGGAAGAAAGAAGGGGATTGATCATGAGATCAAACCAAAGCTTGGGTGAATGGGCGTCACACACCTCCTTGGGCTCCTCATCCTCGCCATATTGCATCGTGTAGTCTATGTGGCTGAGCACCGTCTCGATGGAGTCTGGATTTGTGAGGTCGAGTGGCAGAAAGGAGACTAGTGGGTGATCTTCAATCTGCATGTGTGAAAACAATAGAAGATGTCCTTTCAGCCCTCGACCTAAAGCTGATCGCAGAAAAAATGAACCACGTACGAGTTGGACAATTGCTTGATTCAGAGCGTGGAAGCGTGAATTGCGCTCTGAGCGCTCTTCGCGGCTTCCGGGTGCAGACACAAGGAGGAGCGGGTCCGGGTCGAGGTATCTGTGTGCAAAAGTGAGTAACCTAGCGCTACCATTATCGTAGAACAAGCTGGGCAGATGTGCTAGTTATTGTCTACCATAGGGCTTGCCCTCCAGGACAACAACAAAAAACTAGTACCACGTCCGCGTCGGCAATGAAAAGTCAAGAGATGAGTTTTCAAGAAATTCAGCCGATACACCGCAAACGACCCCCAAGATGCGGTCTCCGACGATAATAACAACTACTCGCAAGTAATGCAGTAGTATAAGTCTCCAAGAAATAACGACCGGAGTTCCAGTGGTATCAGTTGGTCAAGGGGGCTCACCTCGCAATATCTTTTCGGGCGCGAATTCCATTTCGTCCACTCGCGGCGTCCTCAGTGCTACTCGTTACCAGATCCATCTTGGACATAACGTTGATCCATGGAATTTCGAGATTCACCATAGCAGACATCGCGGAGAGCACACCGCTGCAAATTCTCAGTGAGATGCTGTGCAAGGGGAGGAATCGATATTGTGTATGTTGACCTGAAGAACTTGTATTTATCCTCCATGAATTGTGATTCGATGAGGTAGACGGCGCATGTACGCAACCCGAGGCGGGTTAGGTGCCGCACCAGACTCGGAAGAAATGGATGATGGGTGTAGAGCTCAATTTGTCCTTGGGATGACAAGATTGTGAAGACAAACTTTGCAGGGGAACACAGGAATGTTAACTCACCGGGACAGTCGAATATTAGGTAGTCATCCTCGTATTCGCCAAGCTCTTCATCTAGCCAGTCCATATTTTGCAGCAAATATCTGAGTGGTAGAAGACATAGATCAGAACGCCATGCATTTTCGAAGTCACGCTCGACCGTCTCCTGTTCCGAGACGTCTCCAGACCCGAAAAGAATAGCATATACACAGAAGCACTCACTCACTCACTCAAAGCAATACACCAGCCCGCCGTTAGGGCCATAGTCCAGCTCATCCATCACGTCCGCTAGGCTGACGAGGTCACGGATGTCGATGGCGGGCTCGTACTCAAAGGATGCGCTCTCTGCCGCAGGGTCAAGGTTCACGAGGTGCCCCGTTCGCTTCGCGGTCTGCAGGTGCGTCAAGATCGAGGTGCAGAATGTCGACTTTCCTGCGCCCGCAGGGCCGGTTACAAGTACAGCATAACGCATAGTTGTGAGCAGCAATTTTCGACGAGGGACGTCGAGGTCGCTGTCGCGGGTGGTGAGCAGATTGGAACTCCGACAGCGCGTTTCCTTTGCTGTATCACAATCAGCCACCGGACGGTGACTCTCAGGCTGTGATCGGCATCGTGCACGCCCTTTGTCCTCGCGCAACCTTCTTATACGACTCGCCCAGCGATTTGACGCTGCGCAACTGAGCTTGTAGTGATGTCGAAGCCCGCACTCTTCCCAGAGACGACGACCGCAGGAATCGCGGTTGATCCCCGCACGCTCGAGCGCGTGATCCCCGAGTCGCGCAGGCCAGACGGGTCGTACGTCCCCTCTCTGCACCCACATCGCCCATCCTGACGTCGTCCTTTCGCCACCCATGCACGCGCCACACACATCTCTTCGCTGCTCGCAGCGTGCGTAAGCAGATAAAGATCCGGCCTGGCTTCACGCCGCAGGAAGACGTACGGCGGTTCCGGGGCACGCGCCAGGCGCAGATGGAAGCGAACGTTCTGCCCAAGGGCCACGTTATCGGCTGGACTCCACCGCCATCCGCGCCCAAACCCGGTGCGGCTGCGGCCGGGACCGCACTCAGTAAGAGTGCGAAGAAAAACGAGAAGCGGAAGGAAAAGCGGAAGGAGAAACGCGAGGAGACACCTTCCGAGAAGGTGAAAGATAACTGGGAGGACGAGGACGAGGCAGAGGCGCAGCCTGAGGGCGACCAGCGGTCGGAGAGTGGCGTGCATACGCCTGAGAGTACGAATTGGGCAGCGGCGGCAGCAGCGGAGAAGAAGGCAAGTATCACGGCGCGGCAGGAGGCAAAGGCACAGGGTGGTGCGGACGCGTTAGCGGACGAGCTCGAGAAGCTTGAGGTGCATTGAGCAGCGCTCCTTTGTTCGGTGGGGAAGTACGGTGTGATATGATATGGTATTGGATGTACTGTATGTAAAGTAATGTGTACTGGAGACAATACAACGAGTGGACGAACGCGCTATTACATATCGATACATGATCGAAGCGTTCCCTATGTCGGCGATTCCGTGACAGCCCTTGTGTCTCAACCATTGTCCATGTTCATCCATCTGCCAGCGATGAATATCCTAACCCAGATGCAGTCGTAGTGGTTATGGAGTCCAAACCTGAGTAGCCTCAACAAGCTCCGGCTGAAAGGTTGGGAGTTCTGGAGATGACTGCTTTGGCGGACGTGGCTTAGGTTGATATTTCAATAATTCCATGGCTAGGACAATCACAAGTAGGAAGCCAGAGAGTCCGGCTAAGCATGCGGGGCGTAATGTAACAGTCAACGCGAGACGAAGAAAACGATCTCAGAAATTAACTCACCGACCGACTTGCGGAGGTTGTCCCAACGGACTTCCTCCATGTCTGTACGCATGTCTGAAAGTGAGACAAGGGATTTGTTCAGTACCTCCTACGATCCAACGCGATTGAGCAACTGCGAGTAGCAACACGTGGTGGACACACCTCGACTATGATGTCAAACTGCTTCGATTCGTTCTTCGATTCGTTCTTCCGGCTATCCAGTTCCATCTGGATTCTTCGGGCGCACAACGCGCAGAACCGGAAAATTTAGACGGGGTACACGAGATGCACGCAAAGAAGGCGTGAGTGGGGAAGACACTTACTCATGCTTGAGTGCATTGATGTCCTCCTTCATGCGACCGTTGAGCGTGTCCACCTCTCGGCGAAGCGCGCTTGTCGCGGTCTTCATCGCAGCGGCCTCATTCCGCGTGAGCATCGTAGTCTCAGTGCGCAGTTCCGACAGAGCCGCCTTGAACAGATATGCTTGCTGTTTCACGAAGCCGATTAGCACTAAAGCGTAGGACGACTCTAAGGGAGGGAAATTGAGGAACAAACGCACACTCTCGAGATCCTTAGTGGTAAGCGCTTCACGCCGGACGCGACCCAACCGATCCACAAGAAGAGCACGCGTCGCGCGCATGAGGGTGCGCGCGGTGGGCTCGGGAAACCACAACTCGATCTCGCGGAAGAATTTGTGTGTATTAAAGGGCGGAGTGGTATACGGGCCAAACGAGGTTAGTTCTTCGGGATGGTGCGGTGAAGGCAGCGCCGAGCCCGGGAGGTGTGGAACAGGCGGCTCAGGAGGTGGGAGATACGAGCTCGCACTTGGACCTTGGTCGGCATCACGCGAGGGTGGATGATCGGATGTGGAAGAACTGGGAGGGACGCTGCTGCTAGAGCCAGATAGAGCGGGATCCTTTGGATGAGCAAGGGATATTGATGGCTGCGATGAACTTGAAGGATCGGACGGCGGGTCAGATATGGCCGGCGAACCGTATGTGCGGGCCCTGCGGGACCCACGCGATGAAGAGGAAGTATAGACGTTTCTAACAAACACGGGTCGTCGAAGAGGAAGTACCTTGCAGAGGATCATGAGTGGCTGAGGGAAGAGCTTGTTTCCTCGCTTGGGCGGATGAGTCCACGCGCTCGTCCAAAAAAGGGAATTCCCGTACTTCGTCGGCCGCCCCATTCCTGGCTTATTTAAGTACACGAAAAGTGCACATTATGCAGATACCATTAGGCACTACTAGACTGGTGCGTTTACACGACACGTACGGATACAATTATGTGCAAGATACGACTGATCCATCCATGAAGCATTCCGCGGGAAGAGCCAAGAAAGAGTAGAAAAGCATGCAAAGGTGAGGTGACAACGAGAAACGCATTAACGTGTACTGCATGACTAGAGAGATGTAGTCGAAATAGAAATCTGTGTCCTGGTCAGTCAAATTTTCAGAAAATTGTAGAAATCGACTAACTAAGACCACGCTTAACAAGATATTACTTCCGTTCAGCTGTTGTAGTTGTGTCTCCAGTTTCACCTGCCGGAGTCGTCAAAAGACTGGACTCCACGACCGATCCTTCGAGAGGTACCGAAGCGAGCTTTGGAGTCTCCATCACACTCCGGTGGGAAGTCAACGACCCATCAACTTGGGATTCAAACGAAGGCGCCATAGGGCTATCAGCCTCTGCATCCGATTCCGGTACAGTGACGGGCGGTGTCCGAAGATCTTCTGCTTTCGACGAGGATGTGGCCGTCGACGAAGTATTTTCGGCAGCGACAGACGGCGACAGCGAAGTAGACGTATCCTCCGAGGAATACTTCCCGTTTTCGTGCGTGTGGTTATCTTCACTCGGCTCCTCGTCCTCTCTATCCTCATTGTATACACTAACTCCTCCGGTCCTGTAACTCCCGGCCGTCCACAAGCTTCTCGTGCCTCCCTGGCTCTGACCTCCTGCGGTACCGGTCAAAGCTAGACTGGCACTGGCACTCCATCCGCTCGCCTCGCTCTCCCAACTGCCTCTCCTAGAGCTACGCGGCCTTAGCGCACGCACACTGGCATCGACGTCCTGGTCCGGGTCCTGGTAACGTTCGCGCTCATCATCCATCTCTCCGAGAAGGAAGTGACTCGTCGAATCTCCATGCCCCGCAGCGTGGCTGAAATGCGAGATCGAGTCGTCTGCAAGCGACGCGCGCCCCGACAACGCCAACGCTGCGGCATACCGCGCACTCGGCATTGCAAACGCGGACGACGCGAGGGTCAACACTGACGCGTCATCTTGCGGAGGAGACGATGGGCGTGGATTGTTTCGCGGATGATGCGTGGTATGCTGTGGAGCCTGCAAAGACAAATGTGCACCACGCGGCACTGAACCGCCCGAGGATGGACGCGACGGCGTCGTGGGCGACGACGGCGGTATCGCAGAAAATGTAATGGAACCGCCTGAACCGGGTCCTGTGGAGTGTGTGCGGATGTGCAGCGGCAGCCGGTGACCCGGTATGGTGGGCGTTGGCGGCGCCTGCGCTATATGCGCCATGCCACCTGTGAGATCAAGGCTGAGGACAGTCGTAGGTTTGGTGCTCGCGGTCATGCTCCGGAATGTACGAGGATCGGAGAGGTAGGAGGAAGTGGACTGCGACGGCGAGGGTGAAGGTGGCGAGCTGGGTGGAAGGGGACGCACTGAGGCGTCTTCGTCTGCCTCGTAGTTGCTGATCGGAGACCATGTAGAGTCTCGAGCGAGAGAAGAGCGCTGTCCATCGTCTGAATCGGCAGCATGACCGTCAGTGTTGCTGGCTTGGTCGTCGAAAGTATTCAACGAGATGGTATTCCGCTTAGAACTCCCAGCCCCTTTACTCTTCAACCTCGGAGCAGTCAGTATTGGGGGTAAAGGCACAGAGGATCTGCGCTGCTTCTCCTTCGCATTTGGGGAGCGGGCGCCTAGTCTCTGCGCTCGTATGCTGTCCGTCTCGGAAGCTCTCCTGGCACGAACGGTGCCCGACCATTTGCGCTGGAACCAGGTGATGATAGGCTTGCTCGAGCGTCGAGACATCTTCTTTACCTGCGACTGATTGTGAGGCTTAGATTCGGGGACAGGAGGTGGTTTGGGATTCTCGGCGGACTCCTTTTTCGACTTGACAACCTGCTGTGTAGACTGTTTCTGGCTGGCCAAAGCAGTCATATTGTCTTTGGAACGCGCCGTCGGACCTGACGATGCTCAGATGAGAACTGAGAGTGGCTGGGGTGGCAGGAGAAACGAACGGGATGTATGTGACAACGATGATGGTGGTGAAGAGTAAGGCAAGGGCTGGTCGGCGTCCGTGTTTGAGCAACGCGTCGATCGAGTCAATTCGCTGCAACGGCACGCTTGTGGCACTGGCACGGATCTCAGATCCCCCCCGGTCTGACTGGCATATGCATACGTCTCCCGCTTGGTCGCGGCCACCGGTGAACGTTCTGGATCCCAGAATTAGCCAGTCTGGAAGCATACAATTATGTCGACAACTGGAAGGAGTGTCTCGTTCTCCAGCACAGGACGTTCAGCGAAGATCACCCTGACATTTGTGCTCAAGGAGTTTCTTCGGTGAGCCACCTGGATGATGTGATCATCATTTTCTACAAGCACCTGTCCCTCGCTCCCTCCCTTCACGCTTGCAGATCTATCGTGTACCATCCGTCCTGTTGCCGTACTATCAGTGATCCCAGACGTGCCATCGGATGGCACTTCTGTCCCCATTGCTCACTATTCTGGCCTTTTTCCTTCGGTATTGAGATACTTATCTTCTATAACATATAGAATACTATTCTAAATTTGTTTGAGGTGTGTGGAGGTGCCGAGATGGGCCACTGCAGGTTCTACACTCGATTTTCCTCGGAAATAATTTGGCCACCCATTTTTAAGGAATTTTACATATGTCTACAATTTTGAAGCATTAATCACGCCAGAGCAACGAGCTGCAGAAAACGTTCTGAGCCCGATGGCATCTCCTGCGTTGATTGACACCTTCCTAATCTGGCTCTGCATCAGCGTAAAACCTTGCACGTATTAACCAACATAAGCATATTGCTTCTCACCACGACCTTCTGGGACACGGGTAAGCCCAGCTGACCATTATCACCGCCGCAAAAAATACCGGCAATTGCGGCTTTGGATGTAACAGAAGAAGAGAAGCTCTCGGACGCGTCCTCGTGAACTCGCCATGTCTATGGGTACCTCGACCGCCGGTCCGCGTACCTACGTCGCAGCTGAAGCGAGCTCTCTCAGCAACTATAAATGAAGCTGCCGCATTGCGGGGGTATTCCAGCTGGCCACAGGTGGCGAATTGGCAGGAAGTCTCTTGCTTCCGACTCTTGGCAGGCGGAGAATTGCTCCAGGACATCGCAGCAACGGCTTGGCGTACTCTAAAGATGAAGTTGGGGTTAGCGTATTCTGTGGGGACGGCCGTTCTGCTTGGATCAGCAGTCAGCTATGCACAGTGTCCTGATTACACGACATATGCAGAGGTGTGTGCCTCAGTGTTGTGTACTGAGTAAGGTTGATACTACGTATGCGAACTTTCAGACTCCTCAAGGTAACCTTTCTATAGGACCATTGGCGTTACCATACATGAGACCGGTTCCTGCCTGTCGCACGTTCAATAGCTCTGCTGTGGAGGTGAGTGAAAGTTTTAGGTTTATATGGATTTGCGCTGATCAGGAATGACATCTGGCAGGATGTGATCAGCAACATGACCGCTCGTTTGAGAGATCCTGATCTCGCGCGTTTATTTGAGAATTCATTTCCCAACACGTTGGGTTAGCAATGAGTTGTTTTACCTGATGGACCCTAATTCGTCGTTCTGGTAGATACCACTGTCAAATACTTCAATGCTGTGAGTAGTTATCTATCTGTTGACTGCAGTAAGCTTGATAGCTCTCATGAAAGACCGAGAATCTTGCATTTATCATTACTGGAGTAAGTTCGCACTCAGCTTCTAATTTCTCAAAGTCGAATCTAACAGGAGCATCTGGCAGGATATTACGTATGTTCTCTGCAAACAATTACATGAACTGAACAAATATGCTCTTATCTAGTGCACAATGGCTGAGAGACACAGGAAACCAAGTTTGTCGATTGTTGTTGCGCACCAATATGATCTGACGTATCATTTCGCTCAGTTCGCCCAGTACCATTCATTGCTCTCTATGGACCAGGAACTCGCCACCCTCGTGAAGGCTGTGATAAACAACGAGGCACGATATGTATCCCAGTATCCATACTGTGGCGCATTTCAACCTCCTTCTGAAAGTGGGCTGAGCCCAACAGTGAACGGCTATGCGATCGACGTTCTTGTTAATCCGTGAGTGCCAGATCTCACGAGTCTTTATCTTCTGCATATTCAATTGCGTGTTTGGTCCACAGACCAGTTGACAACCAAACCGTATTCGAATGCAAGGTTAGTTCATGTTTCGCTTAAAACTGTATTGGTTTGAGTTGAGGAGTAAATGTTTTTAGTACGAGCTTGACTCTCTATGCTCGTTCATGAAACTGTCGAGATCATACTACCAGGCGACAAACGACTCTTCGTTCATAAACGATGAATGTCAGTGCAGTTTAAGTTGTTGCTGCTTGATGCCATCAATCTTACTCACTTCATCGACGTTAGGGAACTTGGCAATCTCACAGATCCTCCGCGTCATTTACGAGCAATCTCAAGCGACGTTCGATGACAACTTCGATCTGGTGTCGTATTACAACTGGACAGGCACGGCTGGTTCTCTATCGCCAGCTGTCAATAATGGAGGGAACGGGGAACCGAAGGCGTACACGGGTCTGGTCGGCACATCTCATAGACCTTCTGATGACCTCAGTACATTCGGTGTGTCAGCATACCTCTTCAGTCTTCGGGTGAGGTTCGTCTGAATTTCTTTTGCAAGCCTACTTGACCCCTGCAAATGCAATGCTCACAGTGGAGCTGAACTACCTTGCGGACATTCTTGACTCTGTAGGGCAAGCGAGTAATGTCAGTCAGCTGGCTCGGTACTACAGCAGTGTTATCAGCGATGCTATATGGAACACTACGGTATGTACCTTGTTGCCTGTGGTATGCGTGAACGATTATGCTCACTGCGCCATTAGCTGGTCAATAATATTTTTGCATACGAGACGAACGGTTAGCGAAATTCTCGCGTTGAACGCGTAGTTGTCTTACTCAAATTTATGTATTCCACAAGGGTTCGGGGGCAGATATGTGATGGATGACGCGAATGTGCCGGTGCGTATGGACAACATTGATCTCACGCACATTACTGACTTAGCTTATCATTATATTAGTCATTGCTGTCGCTACCCTACCTGGGTTTCTTGGACATGAACCACCCGGCATATATTGCGACGCGTCAGGTGCTTTTGTCGCGTGCTAATCCTTACTACGTCGTTGGGCAGAACTTCAGCGGTATAGGGTAAGTGTACTCTGCAGTGCTATTGTCACACTGGCTCCTGATCTGCGGAATATTTGCGCTGCAGAGGACCACATGAAGATGCTTGGAACCCATGGTGAGCTTCGACGATATCGGTGATTACTACGTGCTCTGACATGTTGATAGGCCCATGGCTTTGGTCTCCTCTATCTACGGTACGGATAACGACGAAGAGATAATACAGAATTTATACCTCATCACCAATGTCAGTCACAAGCTTTCGAGAACAAATCATGGCTGACTGGTCACATCTTGTAGAACACGGCCGGCCTTGGCCTCATCCACGAATCTATCGACATATACGACTCGACGTACACACGTCCGTGGTTTGCATGGGCGAACAGCTACTTCTCCGAGATGATGCTGGATCTTGCTAGCCGCAAACCCCATCTCATCTTTACCGACGGTCAACCTTACATCCCAGGCCGATGATTGTTTATCCGTGCGGCGAGCCTTGATGGTAACGCTCACATACCAGGAGATAATGGACATGCATGATCGCAAGAAAACAAAGGCGACTAAGACAGGGCTGCTGCGTTTTGTTTCCCTTCGTCAAAGGGATAGCTTTGTACTTCCTGTGCTAGAATCCACAGTCGGTATCATTGTTCTTGGAATCAAGGAAATTGTATCGCCTTGAGTTGTTTGCCTATGTATTCGCCAGGATGATCGCAGCCGTCACGCAGTGGCAGCGCATTCGACAAGTCTTCGCTAGGTGGCAGTCCGAGACGTGATGGGCGCACAAAAAGGGAAGTATACGTAAGTTGAACAGGTTCGACAAGAGCCAAGCCAGAAAGGTGTTGAGGCTGCGCTACCACCACCGAGCGCTACTTTCGAATACATATTTCTCCTCGTTGCCCGTCTTCGAGCTTCCAGACTTTCACCACTGTTCAGAAGGACTGAACCCGCAATGACCTCCACTCCTCGCGACGTCGGAACGCTCATCGTCGTCGTTCTGAAAGCGGTGTGTGTATAAGCATCTATGACCTTTATGCCTTCGTTCTCATCCAGATCCGCTGGCAGAAAAACTTGCCAAACAAACGCCATATAGGCAAGCAGGATCCATTCTGTACAGTCACATATAACGGCGAGAAGAGGAGAACGAAGGCGATCCATCGCGGTGGTCAACATCCCGAGTGGGATGAGGAGATCCGTTTCACCCTGTTCGAGGACACAGAGAACGATGCAACGAACGCCGCCAACGGAGGCACTCCTCCACCTCCACCCCCGAAGGCTAATGGCAAGGGACCCCCCAAGATCAAAGGCGGAAAGTCTATGATCATCTCATGCTATGCAGAAGATCCTCGCGAACCGGACCTCATAGGCGAGACCACTGTTGATCTGACCGAGGTGCTTACGAAGGGGGAGACCGATGGTAAGTCATGTCCTGGCATGAACGTAAATATAATAATGACACAGTCTTCAGAATGGTTCACGATCATGAACAAAGAGAAATACTGCGGGGAAGTGTATTTGGAGTTGACGTTTTGGTCCAATGTTCGTAGACTCTTCAGCACTGCAGACAACGTACGGACTCATGGTCATTATAAACGCAGGAACCGCCGCCGGTGAAGAAAGTCAGGGCGAAACCGAAGGCGCATAGGCAGTATGGAGGTCCCGGCTCATTCGTGCCCACCGAGGAATCTACCGAGGAAGTGCGGCATGCCATATCGCATCTTCCATCTACAAGCAGCTTCCGAGAGGAGCTGAGTCGTGACAGTATACCGTCATCTCTCAGATCATCGAGCTCCATAGCAAACCTCGATCTATATGTTCCGGCATATGAGAGTACTCGATCCCACCACTCTGTGGACAGCGTCGTTAATGAATTTGCTGAGCTGGGCTTTTCGGACAATGTGAATCGCAGGCAAAGTTTTCCTGTGAGTGCATATTTCCGTTCCCGTTTTCCGACGTGGCGATTTTCATCTGTTTTGTAGCCACAGCAAGGATATCTTCCAACCCATGGATCGTTCATCGAATATCCTGATTCGCAGGCTTTGTCTCCTCTGTCCTCTCAAGGATACCGCCACAGTACATATTCCGATGGAGGATATTCGTATGAACGACCTGTGACGCCTTCTGGATCTCTGCCGTATCATCATAGTTCAATGTCCATCAATCATGAGCCTTACCAGGCGCCATACGAATCAACTCCTCCCCCTCAACCGAGCTATCAGGCACCTGTTCGCCATGCAGGTCCGAGATATAGCATGCCTACGTCATCCTCGGGTTTCATGCCTGTCTCAACTCCGGCTCCGTCAGGATTCCTCCCTCTCTCGTCTCACGTCTCCCAACCGTCTGGGTTTACTCCTCTCCCGGCACCTACACCAGCTCCGATGGGTTATGGTCCTCCTCCGTCTCACGTCCCTGTGCCTTCATCGAGCTTCTCGACCCTGCCACTTTCGCTAGTCCCGCCTCCGAGTTTTGGTGTTGTGCCATCCGCCTCGCCCGCGCCCTATCATCAACACACACTTCCTCAACCTCCACCGGGACACAGCTATCCTCAGTATCCTCCTCCCATGCCATCTTCTAGCTTTCAGCATTACCCCCTACCTGCACTCACAACCTCGGCTCCGCCGCTTTCCCAAACGGCGCCTCAGAAAGCGTACGGACCCCCAGCACCGGTATCTGTCCCCGTGCAGTCGCAGTCCGCCCCTCCACCCGATCGACAATCGATGCAGATGTCGATTCCGCCGCCGCCTCACGACCATATCCCGCCGCCTCCACCGCTGAATGAGAGCCCTTCATCTGGTCAAGTTAGCAACTCTAGACCACTTCCACAGCCTCGGCGGCGCAATTCCTCGTTACCTGTTCCGCCAATGGCTTATCCGCAGTATGTCCCTACTGCAGGAGGCAATGTCCATATGCCGCCCTCAGTTTCTTACAATCACATTCCTCCGCCCCCGCCTCTGCCGCAGCACAGTGCAGCAGCTTCGACGTACTCACAAACGCCTCATCCGACCATTCCTGTTCCGCCACCTCCCGCCCCGTCATCAGTTCAGTCTCGTCCAACAAGACGTCCGAGTCTACCGGCGCCCCCGCATTCGGATTATCAGCAACAGTCACAGTCTGCATTCCAGGCACTTCCACCTCCGCCGCCCCCACCTACCTTACCTGCCCATGCTATTTACGAGCAAGTTATGCCGTTCCCAGTGCCGAGTCAAAGCCAGACGTTCTACCCGGGACCCCCGCCCAGACCTCCTGTCCAACTTCAGTCGCAGTCGCAGTACCTGCCACCTACTGGGGGTCCTCCATCTGCTCATGCGGGCTACTCGTCTCCTTTGACGGGTTAGGCGGAGAATCTCGCAAGCAATATTTATCTTGTGCCTCGCCTTCTAGTATTCGTCCTCCCGCAATTATTTTACCATTCTTGGAGATTCCTAAGGACTTTAGCTTCGATCCGCTACTTGTGTCGCATAGTTTTGACATCATCTGCAATGTGAGAATTGTCCGCGTATTGCATCTAACAATAAATTTTTCGTACACGTATCAATGTTGTGAGTTCGACGCTGAGCCTGCATCGGACTCAGCCAGCGCCTTGCGCTCCGCCTTCCACTTCGCGATTTCTGTCTCTGTCGCGACCAGGCCCCGGCGTGCGAGGTCGAGGCGCGCTTCTTTCCGCAATGCACTCTCAATCTGTCGCCTTTGGGCCTCATGCGACTGCAGCGCATGCTCGGCGCCGATGACCAGCCCGAAGATGGTGACTGTGCGAAGCGACGGGTGTGACTTAGACAGTCATTTCAGCAGGAAGCGGAACGAACAGATTGACACCACGAAGCCCTTGAATGCGAGAGTCTGCCGCCTAAGCCCACAGGAAGAGAGGTTCGGAGGCTGAGCGCAGCTGCTACACGTGTGAGGCTTGGATACTGACTGACCTGAAGAGCGGCCAGGTGTAATGGCCGATGGTTGCGAGCCCGAGGCCAACGCCAGTGGACCGCGCAGCACCGATCCAACCAGCTTTGGTCAGTAGTTGATAGGCCTCGTTAACATCGTTCTTGCGAGTCGCCCTGTCCATGACTACAGCAAGACGGTACGAAGGAGGGTGACAGCTCTGATTTAAGCGCGGCCGTGGAAGCGACGTCACTCCAGATACGGATCCCTGTAACTTGAAGGTACAAGTCAGGCTCTAACTACTTTCACAGTAGTCCGACGATACAGTTCTCGCAGACGACTTGCTCGTTGAGAACACAGCAAATATACCAGGCTCAGTAGAGTACATAGTAAATTTCAATCAGCAATTACAACCGTATAGTGAGCGAATTAGGTCGTGGATACGTTACAGAATACAATCATTCGTCTGTCATGGAGCCGGCATTGAACTCTGCTGAGTGCTGCTACAACCCACAGCGCTCCCGCCACTATGTTGCATGAATGCAAGCTGGTGATCTTCGGAAGAAACGATCAAGTGGTTGTTATCGAAAGCAACCTGGATTATACGCCGACCGGAGCTCGAGAAGCAAGGAATCTACGAGGAGATGTCAGAAGTCTGGTAATAGACGCGAAGGAAACGCACGATGTCAAGGGTCCTCCTGAGGTTGCGCAAATCCCACAGCCGCACCGAACCCTCTCTATCTCCACACGCAAAAGTGTTGTATCTCATATCACCTACGAAATAAAGGTGACACTAGTCACAATTAAACAGCAGAAGTGAGGGAAATAAAATTGACCTCTTGTGTATCTACCGTGAAGCTTGACTATATGGTAGCCAAACCTCTGAACAGGAGTCTTCGGCACCCATCGATGGTCGCGTATTTCAAATTGCAACTCTCGATGAGCAACCTTCAGAACATATCAGACTCCTGTAAAGTCAGACAAAGCGAGACGCTCACCTCAAGAAGAGTGCAATATGGAGATAACGCTTGATGGGCATGGTACACGGAGTTAGAGGTCTTCAATGTGTTGACCACTCGTTCGGACGACAGATCCCAGATGTGTACATTGCAATCTGCGCCCGCAGATACCAGCTTGTGGCTCGTGTCGCGGATAGGTAGCAACGATTGAACAATTGAGCTGTGCTTAATTGCCAAGGGAGTCGGCGCAGAGGTCTGAGCAATGTCCTCCGGCACAGTCCATAGGTGGACCATGTGGTCGTATCCTCCCGTCGCAAACATTCGCGGCTGCATCATTGAACAAACGACGCTGACACCACCCTTCCTCTCGGCCTGCAGCGGTCTGTCAAAGGAACCTACTTCTCTCACCTGTCGACGCCCAATTATCGGTTTTACATGCCTTTCAGGTGGTAGCTTGGGACTTACATTATGGTTTGTAACTTCCACCAGCGATACCTGCTGTGCATCACGCGCATGCCCCATGACAATTAAGTCACTGTGGGACAGGTTGAGTAAACACACGTCGTCCACAATTGGTTTGGGCGTGTTAAGCCCTGACAACAATGTAGACGTTTTTCTGCGAAAAATTAGCTGCCTCCCGGGTCGTAAGGCCACAACATACCTAGGCAAAGATCGCCCTACTAGATCCAGAGATCCCCGTACGGTGACATTAAACACACCAAAGGTGGACGAAGTAAGCAACCGACGAGGTTTGGCGTAACTGTCCCTTTGGAACTGTATTGTCTCATTTGCAGTTTCGACGTGCAATGATGCATCGCCTAGAACCTTCGAGTTAAGAGCACTAGTGCTCAACCCATCGTTCGAATTACTTGGACAAGACGGGTGTTCTTCGCGAGACAGACTGGGCGATCTAAAGTTATCGTTCGATTGTGGGAATGATTGCTGGTTGTCAAACGGAGGATGATCACGAGAAATGGATGGCCTTCTATCATGACAAGTTGGAGGAGAATTGTGGGGGGATCTTGCAGCCCAACCATGCGATTCCACCGATGGCCTGAGGGATGTCTGCCGCAATGGCTCAGAACATGACTCGTCTTGTTCGAGGTGATTGGAACTGGGAGAAATTGTCAAGGAACCTGAGCGAAACGAATAAGCGAGTGGATGGTTTGGTGATTCTGAAGTTGTGTGACATAGGATGGCACTAGTCGAGTCTTCGCCGTGGAGATATTCCGAGCTCGTTAGGTCGTAAACAAACGGAGAGTCAGCGCGATGTATAGCAGAACGGTCGGACACGGCTAATGGCCGCACAGGACTCGATTCGAGTGGAAGTTCCTTTCTACTATCGTGCAATGACTGGTCTATACCGTCGGTGTCTTCGCTACATAAAACCCTTCCGTGCATAAGATGACGTTCCGACGAAGGCGCATTGACCAGAATGAAATTGCCCTGCGTAACGGTGGTAGATGCCGATGGATATTCATTCTGAGTAGCACCGGGAGGGCCACCTGGGGCGTCCTGGAGCTGTCAATACTGTTTTAAGCTAAAACGAGCATTTATTCCCAACATAGACATCGCACCAGCTGAGAGGGAACCTTCTCGCCTCGAACAGATGGTGCAGAATAGGGACGAAGTTTGAAAACCGACGGCTCCTCGGCAGCAATGTCTTTACGAGCATTGCCCGAGACGTCAGATATACTAGGATGCTCCTCGTTATCACTCCCGTTAGGCGATGGTCCAGGAGTTGATTCCCCGCGAGGCCCGTTTGGCCGGCATTCGAAACGAACAGCCGATCCCTGGAAGCTTTGCTGAACGACTTTGACGCCCTTCGTAGATTCCAGATCTCCGATCTGTGAGCGAAGCCATCCGCGACGACTCTGATGAGAACCTGGGGCGCCCTTCTTGCAATGTTCCGGCATATCAACCAGTATTACTACAACCTCTTCTTTGCGCTTGCGCTTTCTAGGCGCAGACTTGCGATTGGCGGATCCGGAGTGGGTAAAAATCTGATGATTTACGGGAGGATGCGCAAGTTCAAGGCGCGGTCGTTTCGACGACCTCTCGCTATCCTGCACAGTCAAAGGCCTCTTTAGACAGTCTCTTGGAAGGCTGTCCTGGGATGTCTGTGGTGGCCTGGTAGCACCGTGAATGTGTCCAGATAGCTGACTATGGTTCGGTCTGTGCTGGTAGGCATCCACGCGCGGCACAGGGCGTGAAGTGTGCATTCCGCCTCTATTTAGTCCTCTTGCATTTCCTCTGAAACTGCCTCGGACAGTGGGAGGACGACTTGCACGGATGGTGGGAACGGAGGTTGCCCCCTTGCGGGCCAGGCGGAATTCGTTGGGTTGGGCATCTTCTGGTTTTCCGGACATCGAAGTTGAACGACGCGGGCCGAACACATTTAACTGCGACCGTCGCCAAGGTGAGATGGGTTAGCGAAAGTCTGAAGCTTGGAGGTATAGAGGACGGACAGTGAGAGATTATTCCCAAGTGATTGGCCGTGACAGAGTTCGCGTTCCCCGCTAATGTCGGAGTATGGTCACGTGACCGTCATAATTTCATGAAATGAACATGAAGCTTCCAAGTTCTATATTGTCAACACGCCGGCTGGTGGTGCTGCTCTCTCTTTACGCTCACTGGCCGGTAGTTGCATTCCGCTCGAGTTGTTAATGGCCTCTTCAGAGAAACGGTCCGCTTCCCCAGTAGAGCCATTTAATCCGAAGAAGGCGAGAACTTCACTTCTGACTAGTAAATACAAAACAAGTCCAACTCCCGAGTCCGAGCCTGCGCGCGCAGTGATTACTCGTGGTACTGAGTGGCTTTCAATTTCTGGCCTGGACAGGGATACCTCGAGCATCAATACCTTGATTGTTCGCACTACGCAAGAGCTCGCACGACAAGGGAAACGCCTTGTCCATGCGCCGAAACTTTTGTGAGCGCATGTCCCGTAGTACACAGAGTTGGCATACCGACGATAGAGAAATTTTCTTGTGACCAAGTCCTGATGGCATTTGTTTTGATTGGTATGTCAGTTCTGACGCCCACGGCCTGTTTGTTTACGATCTGGCGCAGGCTGCTGGATTTCTCTGCCAAGGAAGAGGATGTGAAGGATCTGATGAATGTGTATGTGAATCCGTTTATACTGTTACGTGGCAGCTCCTGCAGCTGATATGCTGCTAGAGAAGGTGTGAGTCAACCAGCTTTGCAGACACTTTTCCAAGGGAAGCCTAGAGGGGTTCGGTCAACAAGATGCGGAAGCAGGGGATCTCCCACTGAGGCACCTCTCATTATTCATCTCCTCTCTGATGATGAATCGGAGTCGCCGATGTTGGCGTCAAGAAGAGTTCCTCAAGGAGGCCTTGATGCTTCTAATCCGATATGTATCGACACAGATGACGAACAAGATCCACCGGTCTCCCCACCGACAAAATATCCGGTTACTGACGGAACCATGTCGCGCCTCAATAAGAATGGTTCGTCTATACGTGGGTCCAGCAGACGCCAAGCTCTTGATGACGAAGGGCGAACTGGGATTGTCTCGAGGTTATTGCTGCCTGAAGTGGAGCCTGAGTCTTCGTCAGAATGTGGTCAAAGTGACATGGAACTCGACAGCGATACAGAACCTTCCGCATCTATCAGAGCGAATGGCAGTGGTCAGAGTCTGTATGTGTTTGCAGACGCTGGCCATCTGGGAGGCACTGACGCGTAATATTCTCAGTGTTTTCGAACCACGGACGGCTTCTCCGGAGCATCGTAAAATGTCCCGCATTCCAGCAGCAAGAAGGTCAAGTAACAGCGCTCCTTTGTGCCAGCCATCTCATTCCATGACAGTACATCGATCGTCGACGCCAGGTAGTTCAGCGTCCATCGAAAGTTCAAGGTCGAGTTCTGTTGTTCCGGAAGTTGACGTCGTTCTCACGACGGTTTCCTCGCGTCACTCCACTGATCATCCCGACGTGTCTTCGTTGTATGGCGAATTCAACATGCTTGCGACAAGCTCAGACAACGACGTCGATGACGATGAAGATGTACAAGAGGATCCTGCGTCAGGGTCGTCATCTTCTGGCAGAGGCGCCCCTAGGTCAGCACCCTCCACGGGCACTTCTGAGCAAGCACTTCTGCACCACCCGCCCCACAGAGCCCCCGCAAGATCATCGTTATCACGGTCATGGTCCGGTGGCCACGCAAGGAGTATTGCCAAAGATCCCTCCATAGACACTCATAGATCAGCATCGATTGCAAAGTTGCCTAGACGCGCCGTCCCTGCACGAAACCGCCTCGCCCATCCGAATAAAGGACTCAGTCTTAGTAGCGATGATGAGGGTGACGGCGGCGAGAATCTACTGGAAGGTTTCGAGAGCGATCGGCTCAGTTTACCGTCACGGAAAGATCCTCATGTGGGACGCGCTACGGGATGGGAAGACACCGGGAGCAATGGACTATCGGTCAACATCCCGAAGACGAATTTTGCTCGGGGAAGACGTTTGCTGGCTCCCTCCGATCTCCTTCCGTACACCACAGTTGCTATGCGCGGAGACGCGCAATTCATCAGGAAGGACCAGCTGTGCGTGAAATTGACGTACCACATGCCTTGATACTGACTATGCCGTGCTGAAGGAATAGAATTTCGTATTATTCTTTGCCGCCATCGCTTGACCCTTCTGGTGGTCCTGATCATCACGTTGAGGACTGCTGCCTCATTGCAGGCAACACGGTGGTGGTCGGATATGACTCAAGGCCATGCCAAGTATCCCTAATACCGTTAGCTACTGATCAGGTACTGAGCATTGTCTTGGACGGCGTCGGATTACTCACTCGGAATTCAGCGTCCAAGGCGTATAAACTTGTCTCACAGGGCTCACAATACTGTCCAGGAAACTCCAACTGCGGGTGTATCGCAGTTGAACCGCGGAATCAGTGCTCTGGCTCCCGTCAATGGACATCGATTGCGTTTCTTATCTGGCGGCCACGACAAGACAGTCCATTTATGGACCGTGACACATAACGGTGAAAATTACACCGCTCGGTCCGAACGACTGAACATCTCTCATTCTCACCCGGTGCACGCACTTGCGTACCGTGCCTTCGATGAAACTGTACTGTCATGCGCAGGGACATGCATCCACACGACGAAGCTCTCGGCACATAGAGGCCATGATCCGAGCCAGGTCTCAGGAAACATACTCCAAGTTCACGTTCATCCGCAAGCACCCCATTTAATCATCCTCGAGGTAGGTCACTGGACTCTTCGTGTGCGTCTGATATCGAGGTGATACGACGTGTGTCATACACACAGGTCAGACATATGGACCGACAGGTGCAACTCTACGACACGCGCAAGGCCAATTTTGCACGGACACCATGCTTGGAATTTGGTTATCGTGATACTAGTAACCTCGAGAGCAGTACGCGAACTACAACAAGTCGGTACACAAAAGGAGCTCCTTGTATGAGTTTCTTCGGACGCGGGTACGCGGATGGGACCGTTCGGATCTGGGATTATCGCAAGCCAAATGTGAGTAACTCGCTCTGACGCTCGTTTCAAGTTCAGCTGCCTGACATTGCCTCGCTGCATCTTTTTAGAATGTATTGACACGGTTTCACTGCCAGCGGCCAGCGCCCGTAGTCCATACAGTGTTCTCTGATTCCGGATCTACCGTAATCGCTTACGGCGGCCATTCGGTGACCTTCTGGGACGTGAACGGTAGTACTTAGGAATTGAATGCGCGGTTTGGTGGGCCAAATGCTTCCTTGCGGCATGGCTTAGATCTCTCGCAACCATGTGCCCGAAATGAACCACCGCCAGTACACGTGAAACACTAGCTCGTGCAAATGCAGTGGGTTCACTAGGATTCTTCCCAACTCATGTACCGTCAGAAGACAGTGAATACGTCTTCGAACCTATTTCTGCCCAGCCTGCGTACTCGGGCGCAAATGTTATCAACTCGAGGAATCCCAGCGTATGAAAGACGGCGCATTTCATCAGATTTAATCATGCGGCTGTCAAAGAAGTTAAGAGTGCCTCCCACCGACCAGGGAAACTAGCTCGCCTGTACACAGCGAGGCGTCATGCATGGGGCGAAATCCGTTATCGAATCCTCGCTCTGCTATCGTGGCGGCGCTGCAGATGCGTACCAATAGCAAATATTGGAGGATACCCAGCCTTTTACCACGAGGCACCACCGAGGAAAATGAATTCGACACGCGTTGATAGGATCGAGACAGAACCTGCCTGTAGGTCTGAATGCTTCAATGCATACCCGCATTGGGGCTGGACATATGGTCAGTCGGTGGGTGCTACTAGTCGCTAGCAGCACCGGGCCATCTGCACGGAAAATCAGAACTCGCCATTCCGCCGAGAGGTGGCTCTTTCGCCACCACATTGAAATTGATATCGACTCCGACTTCTTCCCGACAGAACGTCGTACTTGTCCCATGCTCACACATCAGAATGTGCCGCATGAATCTTGGCGAGACGCGATGCCTTGCGCACCTGGATCGTGGCCGTCATTTGAAGAGCCGACGTTCAGAACTTGCACGACACCGCTGAGAAGAGAAGAATATTTGCCGTTGAAGGGTAACGTACGATATCTGGTCCAGAGCTGTAATTTCCACCTACCGTGCAGAAATCCAGGCGTACGTAACGGCACAACTTCTGCCGCTGCTAACAGCCCGCAACTCCGCGGAACCCTGATAGCATCCAGGGCGAGACGACTGCGTGAATCTTGGACCACTGCTTCGGGCATGAGTAGGCAATTTCGGCCGGACGAGGTCCTATCTTTCCAAGTCGCGAGCGAAGTGGCCGGGACAGTTGGAGCAGCAACTTCTAAAGCAAAACGGATGAACGATACTGGGGTCAATATCCTGAAAAAGTCTGTTAGTCGTTCTCCAGAATGAGCCTGTGACACAGTATGGACCGACATAGCACTCAGCTCTATCAAGCACTGAGGAGCCTGAAGACGGCTATTAGGTTCCAAAGGGCATGGTGAAACGCCGTATGTGCAGGGATCTGACCATTGATTTCCAGGGACATTGAGGGGCTGTATTAGGTTTGGTCGGACCGCAGAAGAGGACGCTCATGAGCGCTGAGTGGCGTCGTCGGTCTGCATTTAGTCATCCGTGTGCATGAGAGACTCACATAGCAGAGCGTCAGCGCTGAGCAAGTCCTTCTCGAGTTTCCCTGCAAGCTCGATCAGCGGTGAGGGAAAGATAAAGAATAAGAGCCACGGACTCCGAGTAAGGAAATCGATGAAATTGAGCCGAAGAACGTGTCCACTTTGTTTGACGCAGAGAGAGAAGGGCCCAAGAGCCGGGACCTGAGCAAGATATGGGGGAGAAATGCCAGCAGTAGTATCTGAAGAGCTGAGAGGGCAAGGTCGGCGTCCTGAAGCTGGTGTGTTAATTCCTGGAAGCATCTTGGAAATATATGTCTCATGCCGACGGTTGCATCGTAAAAATTTGCTCGGAGGAACAACACCATGGTCGTAATGCATGAGCAATGGCGAGAATGACGGTAATCCGCTACTTGTTTCGGAGCTCGGTCATATCAGTACAAGCGCCCGTCCCTTCTGAGTGCGTGAGCGCACTAAACAACGGAGACCATTTCCGCCGAAGGACAAGGACAAGCTTACGGATACTAATAGATTACAGATCACAGACAAAGGCGAGAGAACAACCTGGTTATGATGCGCAATTGCAAGCTTGCGTACTTACTTGAAAGTATTCCTGTCTTGAACAAATCCAGTGGCACGCCAAGCGTCTTCCCGCCGGAAGCTGTATACGGCAACCGTTCTATGTCGTGCTTGCAACGACTTATAATAATGCACTGTGGTTTCCAGCTTAGTACAACAAATATACTCATGAGGTACTCGTACCAGGTGGGTGTAGCAAGGCTCGGAGATCGTCTACCTCACATGTTATTTTTTGCGCAATCCAATAATGGACCCTAACCCGGAAACAGCCCGGATTTAATTTTGTTAGACGCCCATGACGGAGTTGGCTAGACGGTCACGCTTGTTCTGCACTTCATCCTCTCGCGTCTTGCGCAGAGTTCGCCATGTCCAAACTTGCTCAGGCCCGAGCGCAGGTTGTGGTGCGTATCATTTTTCATTTCGTTTTCATTTCCTTGTCGCAACGCTAGTCTGACACGCCCAACCCGTGTTTCGCCTCAGCGTATCCTCGTACCAGCTGGGCAGGCTGCACCTACTCCACCGGTTGGTCCAGCGTTGGGTGCTCGTGGCGTTAAGTCTATGGATTTCTGCAAGGAATTCAACGCCCGCACCGCCCACATCCAGCCCGGAGTGCCCACCCCCACGCTGATCACCGTCCGGCCAGACAGAACGTTTACTTTCATCACGAAGACCCCTCCTACCAGTTATTTTCTAAAGAAGGCGGCTGGTATCGAGAAGGGAACCGGCCGGCCGGGCCATGAAACTGTGGGGACCGTCAGTTTGAAGCACATCTACGAGATAGCGAAGATCAAGGCTACCGATGAGCACCTAAAGCATCTAAGGCTGGAAGCTATCGCCAGCACCATCATCGGATCGGCTAGGACGCTCGGCGTGCAGGTGGTACCGTGAGCCGTGCTATCGATATTAAAAGTGCGTCTCACTCTCCACAAGGCGGAGTGCGCCTTACTGATAATCTGTGCTTCTCCAGTAATCTCGGAACAAGACTTCCCGGACGCGCATGGCCTCACGTCGCGCCAAGTAGTGTCGAGCAGGTGTGCCTGATAATCCGAGTCCTGTACATACATAGACTTGCGATGGCTCGTCGCAACCACCTGCCCGGGCCTTGCAGGTTTACTCCGCATGAGTTGTGCGCGTGATGGAGGTTCTAAGGTCGTCGGCTCTGCGGCACGAGCATTTTTTTTGATTAGGTTCCATGGCATTTCAGAGCGAGTTCAGATCTGGTAAATGAAGTGCAGGTCCAGGATTAGTGGGTGTTGTTTGCATGCGTAGGCGTACGCGCGCTGTTTGGACTCGCATTGTCATGTTGTGCAGAGCTATCCGCTGCTCAAAATCACAGTTGCCCTTTCTGATATAACTTTGAGAGCGGACTGCTCCGTTTTGTCGTGCCGGACCCCTCGTTTTGCCCCGGCAGTGGACTTTGCCAGCCAACAGATGGGCCTTGTGCTGCGTATGGCAGGACTGACACGCTGTCTACACGCTACGTTCACCTGGCTGGCCGATCCAACACATTGCGTCTCACATGCCTTATCAAGATGGCGCCTTACTACCTCGTGTCGAGGGGTCGCAGTGACCAGTAAATCTCGTCTTGTCTGTAAATTCTCGTGGGACGGCGTATTCCGCCTTTTACGCTCTTATTACACAATAGAAGGCAGTTGCATCCAGACGAACTAGGATCACACCAACTGGAGTCGGTATCTCCATCGAAGACTTTTCGTATTCTGGATTGTTCTCTCGCTGGTCTCGAGGAGGTATGCTGCTTACAAAATCTCCTCGTGTTTTTCCTCGATCATCCTACGCTCTCCGGGGGGGAATATCGGGCCTCCACTCCACTGGACAAGGCTCTGGACGACTCATCATGAACCCTTACTTCTCCCATAGCCACGTTGAAATACCTTGTATTCAGCTTTATCTGTCACGATGCTACACGTTCCCGATCGAATAATCCACCATCAGTCAAGTACAAATTTTTCGCGGTGTTAGGTATAAAAGACTCCAAGCACGGCCTGCCTCAGTCGCACCCACAGGAGCACCCGGCTGACTCTACTGCGAGCAATCTCCGACGACCATGTCCACCGCCACCAACGAAGTACTTTCTTGGACATCTCAAGACCCTCGCCAGAGCCAACTCTTCGGCAGCTATGGAGTGCTTTACCGCTTCCAGGTCGGTACATGCTCGCTTTCATCGAACAGCGTCTTTTATTTTATTTTTACCGCAGACGGACACCAATGCTCAAGGCCAGAGCGTGACTACGCTTTGGAGAGCAATTCGTGCCAACAAGGAAGACCGGGTAGCAAAGCTCGAGTGGGCACCAAACGGGGGACTTGGTCGTGCAGTCATCGGGAAGGTACTGCGCGCTCTTGTCCAGCGTGGCTTGAATTCTCACATGCATCACTAGAGCACGCTCCCCATGGCAGACTTAGTTCGCCCGGATTCCCGCGCCTTTGTGAGTATTTCTCTTGATGTGGGGATATGTACCTCATGCACATCCTTCTATAGAATTGCAGGATGTTCAACGGCCCAGATGGTTATCAATATCGCTGGAAACCAAGTAACAACCCAACTAATGATATCATCGTAAGTGATGCTACCGTGCATCTCAGCGATCTTGCAGTCACGCTCACGCGACGTCCGTCTGCAGCTGCAAGATCATAACGACAACGTTATCGCGTTCTATCGTCCGACACGACCACAACGGTATAATATTGGCGACGTTTACGGAGAACTCCACTTTGTCCGCAATGCGGGCGCGGGTGTTGTGGTAGGCCCTCTGGACTCTCTTCCTGATATCGCACCCATCTTGTCCATCAGATGCACCCTCCCCTCATGGACACAGTGACCGTAACGGCAATGTTGTATCGATTCGTAATCGCTTATGGTCTATAAGACTTGGGTCATCCGTTGGACGTTACTATCTCCAGCTGCGGCACTAAATGTATTGAACGCATTCATGTCTTGTACCCGCTGTTTATGTCCCCGTGTACATGTATAAATTATGTCGCGTTGGTAAAGCTTTCCGGAAGGGGAAGTGTCCTTGCGCTGCGGAAGCATCACGATCCTGTTCAAGATTAAATACGGGCGCAATCGTACCGCAAACGCATCGAAGTTTTTAAGACCGTCAGTCTTAGGTTGGCATGCAAAGTAAACTCGTATGCGTATTGATACAGCTTGTACGGCTCGTACGTTAGAACAGCTCACTACAACTTTGCCCGTACGCCAGATACATCCTCCGGTTTGACTACATCGAGGATCGAGTCGACAGTGCGGATCACCCACTCGGTTCCTTCATCGGTAGAGAGCCAGCGATCTTCCTCGTTCAAGTTCTCCGCATAGCGTGCCTTGAGCAGCCCGAAGACATGGCTGACAAGCTGTGGGCCAACTCTTCCTTCCGCACGAAGGCATGCGGTCCCGACGACAGATCCCAGAGCACGACTGAGATTGCCTTGTTCGCTGTCACCTCCCGGGAGCGGTGCCAGTACCGTCCCGTAGGTTTGTATAATGAAAGCTTGATCGGGCAACAGATCAGCATCTCCCAGCCAGACAGACGGGCGAAGCATACGGCCGAACCGAGACAACGGAGGCATATGGACAGAAAGGGAAGGTTTTATTGTTCTCTGAACGTACCTATGAAATCGGGGTGATATGAGCCTAACTTATTATGGAGTTTTTCCGCATGGGGCTCGTAGATTGAGGCCCACAGAGCCCTTCCCCGTGCCGTGATAGCTTCGACGTTCTCAGGTGTAGCGGTCCTGAATATATTTGGTAAGATCAGCACGGCGGTGTCGACGAGATACGAGATCATGCATCCGTTTACCTTTTAGACTCTTTTCTCAGCCCCTGCTTCACGTCGTCTTCGAGCGCTTCGAAGAGACCGGCGAAGGTGAGAATGGTCTGGATGTTATTCACCCTAAGCGCGTCGAAGTGCCGGTGAATTATTTAAATGGGGCTTACGCGAGGGACACCGACAAAGATGAAGCTCTTCATCGCAGATTCTCGCATCACAGCGGCTTTGTCGAGGGCCTCTGTGAGGCTGCGGCGAGACTCCGCCTTGCCGGGATCATCTCTGGTGGCGAACCGATAAAGGTGACCCACGCTCGATGGGACGTTCGCGGTCAAGAGCGTGCATGTCTATAGGTCCCAGAACAGGAAGTCGAAAGGGCCAGCAAGCGGCGAGCGCAGCGTGTATGTCGAGAGATCGGCGCAGCATGAGACTACGATAGCGGGGGCAGATAATGGCTAGGCTCACAGTCAAGGTTAACCAGCCCTTCTCGACATTCTTCTGGCGGGCATCGTTGAATGTCCTGGTGAAAATATCATGGAGTTGCGCCACAGGAGGGCCAGGTAGAGAGTGCGGGTTGCGCAAGGTTAACAACTGCTTGATTGCGGGGGGAAGGTGTGCGACCATCGTAGCAGTGGTTATCAACACTTGAATTCCACTGGCTCACCGCTGGGTTTAGTGGAAGTTATCTAAGCGAAAGAAGCATCGCACATGACAAACGAACTCCGAAGATTTCAATGCTGGACGGTCCGACAGCAAAGTACCATGGTACGGGTTGCAACAAGCTACTACGAGTAGCAGCTACAGCCTACTTACACTCACAACCCATCAGTTGAAGTCACTCCATACGCGCCATGAACAAGCTAATGCACGAAGGACGAAAGTGCCGGCATTTTGCCACAATCAAGAATGTAAAGTATGAATAGGTATCATGAGCCGACGTACAAAGCAAGACGGCGACGATAGTAAGATGCGCAGCACTACGATTCCTCTGTCTATCTACAGAAGACTTGTAAAATCAACAGACCAGCCAACACCTGTCCAGAGGCTACGTGGACCTGTCAGAAAGGAACGTCCAAGGGTATATAGGGTGCGTAAATGCCTATGAAATGAAAGATGGGTATGACACAACTGCAGAGGCTGCATAGCCGGTCAAATAATATGCTCAGGCCCAAGAGTCGTAGATGTAGGTGTAACCCAAGCTGCTCGGAGTACCGTCGGATTGCATCATGGCGTTGTTGGTGTTCACTCCCTGCAGGTCAGTCATAATGCCTGAACGGAAATTCGTCGTTCATTAGACTTCGGGAAAGCAGGTATAGGCACTGACCAAACGCAGAATAGCCGGCGACATAGCTGGTCGTATCCATCCAAGGATTCACGGTCCCATAGAAGTTGAAGACCCCACTGAGATCATCCTGGGCACCTCCAGTGAAGCTCTGCAGGAAAACCAATAAACGACTATACATCAAATGGCCAGTAAATTATTCATACCATGTCAGCATATTCGGTAATATAGAGACTGGGGCAGTTGCCTGAGAAGGTGCTGTAGAAGTTCTCCACGTAGGAAATGAATTCCTGCGCAGACGTTCCATACCAGTGCAGGGCGCAGTAATCGAACTACAAGAACATTTCAGACAACACCATTTCCAACAAAGGAGTGTAACACGCACAGTGCAACCTTCGCATGCACCGAAGAAGCTTTGTAGCCACGGAATACCGGCGGACCCAGACGACACGGCAGGTGAAATGAGTTGGAAACCATCGCTCTTCTTGGGTTGAATGTTGTTCATCCACAGTGTAGCAGCGTCGCCGGGTGAGAGGTTGGACTGGCCGGGTTGCTCCGGTCTAAAACAGACCATCAACCACTGTAAAGGATATCATTTTAAGAGAGCATACTCGTTCGGACCCATCAAGGCAGCAGCGTATCCTGGAACAACCTGGCTGTTGCAGTCGTCCACTTGTGCGGCTCCCCAATACATAGCGAAGAATTGAAGGCCCGCAGCATCAACACCAGGCGGTTTGTAGCAAGACCAGTTGTAAAAGCTTACAAAGGTTGAGAATAAGTCAGAGTAAGTGGAAAGGGTAAAGCTCGAGGTAACATACAACTTCGTGGAGGACGTCACGAACTGGGAAAGAGTGGAATCATCGCTGTCCGGCCAGGCAATACCCACTTTGCCGGACCCCGAAGGGGATGGGGTAGGCGTCGAACTGGGGGTAGGCGTCGGACTGGGTGTCGGAGAAGGACTGGGGGAGGGAGACCAAGTCGTGTCGGGAGGGGGAATATAGGTGCTAGAAGGAGCGACGTCTGTGCTGGACGGAGTCGGGCTATCGGAGCTGCTAGGCCTCGGCTGGCAGCGCTGAGACTGCCGCTTCTTGTTCTTGTTTCTCTTGATCAACCCATCATGACTGGGATGACGAGCCAAATGATGCCCGCCGGTGGAGAGCGCGTTGACGGGGGTAGCGGCGAAAGAGCACGCAAGAATCGCCACAGACGCGATGGCAATCAAATTGAGAATTTTGTTAGTGGGCATGATGTGCGGAGTATCCTCAGACCAATAAAATTAGCTGGTTTGCGGACAAACAAAGAGCGTGGTATGCAAAAGAACGTCGAAGCCCTCTGGGCGAGGGAAGAGAGGGACGGAGGATGTGAAGAAAGAAAAGACAGCGCGTAGCGACGACAACCGCATTTGAGTGGTCGTTAGCTTACGTAAGTATTACCAAGAATGCGCACGGGCCTTCGCGTCCGCGGTGACCAAGCTTGTACAGGCTGTCTGCAGCGCCCTTCGCCGTGGCATTCGATGGGCAGCTATCGTTCATTGCCGCCAGAGTACAGCGGAATTTTCTCAGAATTGCTGTGAGAGCTGCGTTGGTTTTATTTATACTGATCGCGGTGACACCGGTTGGATACCAGTGAGACCGCGGATGGTATTGTTCACATTGTGTGGCTTGACGACAGCAACAAAGCAAGAGCAGGAAGCCGGGTGCGTGCTGGTGTGCCGCCACTGGGCTGTGCCCGGATGATTGAGATTAGCGCCAGGAGCCATGGCGACATCCATAACGGGCGAGAAGCGGAGTTTGCTGCAGATCAAAACAAAGAGAGCGTGCCAGAACCTCTTTTCTTCTTAACCCCCAAGTTTGACACGAAGAAACCGGTTCAACAAGTTCATTCCACCAAAAACCACCAGTTCATCCTCCTCCTCAATGTCCGACGCCCCCGCCGCCGTCCCGCTCACTGAAAATGGCGTGCCCCCGGCTGCGCAAGAGATAGTTGTTGACGAGACTCCCGGCTTCAAGGTCGGTCTCCATCTTTTTGACGTGGCACCGATCTCACCTTCCCCAGGTCTTCGCCGGAAACCTTGCGTATTCTACCACGGATGAAGGGCTGAAGGCGTTCTTTGCTCCCGTTGAGAGCGACGTGTACGTCTCTGACACTGCACTCTTTCTCGTCGTGTGATGTTTATGCCACCCCGCCACACAGTATATCTGCTCAGGTCATTCTGCGTGGAACACGCTCTGCAGGCTACGGTTTCGTAGCCGTGGCCACCGCTGAGGCCGCGCAGAAGGCCGTCGAGCTCCTCGACAAGCAGGAGCTCGATGGTCGCCAGGTGATCGTTGAAGTCGCCAAACCAGCGGATCAGAAAGACAAGGAGAAGAAGCAAAGACGAATCAATAGGAGGCCGGGCAGGCGCGGTAGCAAAAGCGTCCCCGGCGAGGTTAGCGAGGCTGAGGCCAACGGCGAGGTCTCTGAGAGGGCTGAAGGCGCCACACCTGGTTCTGACGAGGCGGCCAAGCCGAAGAAGAAGAAGAAAAACAACGTAAGTTGGACGTAATTGACTATGTCACCAGTGCGCTCATCTGATTAATACTTCTCTCAGCGCAAGAACAGGCGTAAGGTTCCCGAAGGCGAGCCGCGCGCTGAGGGCGCCGAGGGCGCTGAAGCTGCAGAGGGAACAGATGCGGCCACCAGGAGGAAGGCTCGCAAGCCTAAGGTTCTCCGTCCTCATCGCGCCGCGGGCGAGGATCCTATCGGCGAGCCTTCCAAGACCGTTGTGTTCGTTGCCAACCTCGGCTTCAACATTGACGACGCAGGTCTGTCTGCTCTTTTCACCGACGCTGATATCAAGGTCGTTTCGGCCCGTATCGTGCGCCGGCGTTGGGGAAAACCCAGAAAGAGCAAGGGCTACGGCTTTGTCGATGTAGGCGACGAGGAGGAGCAGAAGAAGGCGATCGAGCTCCTGCAGGGTAAGGATGTTGGCGGCAGAAACATCGCGGTCAAGGTCGCGGTAAACGCTCAGATGGAGGAGGAAGCGGAGACTGATAACACTGCCGTTGAAGCCCAGCCTGAGAGGGAGGCCACCCCCGAGGCCACCGTTGTGGCGTCCTAAACATCGCCGCCACATCCGTTCCGGCAAAGACCATGTTTCTTTTCTTCCTCATGAAAACCTCTGCTGTCGTACACTCCCACATTCGCTTCCCCCATGTTCAGATCATTACACTGGTGTTACTACCGCTACGTTCTGCTCCTTCTTAGTCACTTCATTAGCGGTCCGGAGCCGTTTCCTAGTTGTTGGCTGTGTTGTCGTTGCAAACGGATGTTGCGGCTACTCATCCTACGTTTTATGTATTTATGACCGTGACGACTATAACTCTATGCTGGTTATGTAAGCTCCAATGTCTGATGAGGAAGACGACTATCTCTCCGACAAGTTCCTGTTAGGAACTGCACCTGCACCCTCTGCTCCTAAAACCTACGTGGAACGGAGAAGGGAGGCACAGCGGCTCGCGGCTCTCAAGAATGAAGAGAACAGGACGAAGAGCAGGCGGCAGCGCGAACTGGAGGCACGCGAAGAGGGTCTCAGCAAGAGTCTGTTCGAGCGAGCACAGGATGAGCAGGCTTCCGGACAGCAGAACAAGGCCCTAGCTATGATGCTGAAGATGGGATTCAAGCCGGGAGAGTCTCTTGGCCAGAAGGAGGACGAGCCGTCGACCACTGCCGCTGCCCCTCGTGAGGCCACAGCGAGCGAAACGGGCACTCCGGAGCCTGTTGCAGGCGGGTCGAAGCCGCATGCACAGCATAGAGTGGAGCCCCTCCCTCTGAACGAATGGGCAGGTGTGTCTGTTCTTTCCCGTCCTGCTCGCCGCGGATATTCTGACGGCTTCGTAGGTAGGAAGGGAATCGGCCTGGGGAAGCGTGCGGCTTCGCCCAGCTCGTCCGAAAGGCTCGCGAAGATGGCAAAGATGGCGGAGGACAGCAGCAACGACGATTTCCGTGACCGCGCCCGCCAGGAGTACGAAGAGCGGCGAGCGCAAGGCAGACTTGGGCCCGCTCAGCGCACATGCGCCACCCTCGACGAGAAAGCCGGCCGTGAGGTAATGCGGGTATCATATCCATTCCCAACCGCGAGCTCATGCAAATTGCAGTTCAACATCCTTTGGCTCAATCTTGAAAATCCAGACACCTTCCCGGAGGGTCTTGTCGACGTGTTAGAGGACGCGACTATTGTCGCGTCGCTCCAGCGGCAACATGCGGACAGATCCATTGAGGGTCGCTTGCGAATGAAGATGCAAGCCGACGCGCTACAGCCGCTTACAAATGAGCTCGAGGATACCGACGCATTGTCGGACAAGAAACCAGAGGTGCACAAGACGCCTTATTCGGAAGAGGACATCGAGGAAGCGACCCAATTTCTGCGACTCACTGTAGGCACCTCTACCCCATTCTAACTGCATCTGTACTCATAGCTCCTTCGATAGGCGAAGGACAGGCTGGAGTTGGTGTTGGATTATCTGCGCAGGAGGTATTCGTACTGCTTCTGGTGTGGAACACAGTATGACGACGTGGAGGACATGGAGAATAATTGTCCAGGTCCCGAGGAGGATGCCCACGATTGAATAGTATGATTACGGATGTCCGTCTCATTGAGTCCGATGAAAATACCATAGAGAACGCGAGGTCGAGCAGGAATGTACGCGGAGGACATGGAGAATAATTGTCCAGGTCCTGAGGAGGATGCCCACGATTGAATAGTATGATTACGGATGTCCATCTCATTGAGTCCGATGAAAATACCATAGAGAACGCGAGGTCGAGTAGGAATGTACGCTACCTGTAGACGATGTACACACGGGAATCCGACTATTAACCAGGCAGGGTCCGTCCACAAGGGAGTGTGTGGGGTAAACAAGAGGAACAGCAGGATAGCACGCGGAAGCAAAAAGTTTCTACTGACAGTGAGCGAGCGACGATGGTTAAGCCATCAAGGCACTGGTATCACGGAAGAGGGGTAATGAGCGGTGACCAACCGGACCCATAAAAGCAGGAAAAAATTGAAGTGATTCGTACAGCGGTGAGAGACTTAATAATAAATCAGCTACAGTCAAGGAGTCCATTCTTCACGATACCGGCGCCATGCAATTCTGCTGACTTTCCAGTCCACCTGGACGGGAGAGGGCAGAGATACGGACGCCGCAATCGTCATACATTGGTCGAGAATTGTGACTAGGACGCCTCGCGTTATATGACGACGTTTTCGGGGTCACTTCCATGTCGTCATCCTCAGGATCGGAGTCGAAACCATTGGCTGTGGGTGAGGGAGGAAAGACATGAGGCAATGATGGGATTGACATCGGAAAAGCCGGGCTACAAGAGCGTCTCTTGGTGCGATGCGCGAAAGTGGGGGACGTAGGGGATGCCTGCGGTGTCTTCCGGCGCACGAGCGTGGAGATGGGGGTGTTCGCAGTAAGGTCCGTATCGGATAGAGCTAACTTATCTGGACGCTTGGATGTACTTCTGAGGGTCCATGAGGAAGCCCTGCGGCCAACTACATGCGACGGGGAGGAAAGATAAGCAGGGGAGAAAGGCTGGACAGACCGTATGAGACCACAAGTGATGAGCCCAAGAGATTTAATGACTTACTCGGATATGTCGTTCCTGAGATAGTTCGTCATCCGTTATATTGGACGCACTTCCCTTCCTCGTATGGGACTGTGGAACACGTCAATTCGGCCTCGGATCATCAGGCAAGTCTGCGACGTACGATGGATGGACCGTATGGCGCATACCGCACAGCATAGCTGGGCGATCGACGCCTCTCCCGTTCCCGCTCGCGATAAGCAGAAGGCCCGTCATGGCTGGAAACCAAAATAGCTGGAGACGCATTGAAATAAATAGTCGAAGGCGGTGGTGTTGCTACAGAACTGGATGCTTCGGAATGCAGAGAACTGGTAGAAGAGCGAGAAGAAGAACGAGAATGATGGCACGCTGACCCTCCAGCTGGGGTGGTGGGACAGTTGTCGAGACCTAAGGACGCCATGAGCTCTACGAAGGAAGGGAGAGTGTTCATGGCGTACGGCGGGGACGACCGCGCCTCCGAGGGGAGAAGGATCTATTATAACGACAAAAGAATGCCTTGGAAACGGGTCTGTTGTCAGGGAATGCGGATATCGAGCGCCATTGAACCGTGTTGTCACTGATTGCGCGGTCGCTGAGACGATCAATAAGAACGGTTGTCGACAAGGAGATGCGTGTCCGCCTTGATTAAACCGCGACGCCTGCCCGTCCTCTCGTCCCCGCAGCCCCCCGCAGCTGACAACCGCAATTTCTCCGTCGTACCTCTCAGGTTATGTTGCCAACGACGACCGCTGCAGCTCCCGAGATTGGCGCCTCATATGAACGCTGACAAGTACTACTTTGCTATCGCCGATAAAACAAACACGGACATGACGTGTTGATTGAGGCTCGATGTGAGGTCGTCGAGCAACAAGCAGCTATCTGTATGGCATGCCACCAGGAATGACCTTGGCGCATCGAGCGTGGCAGGAGCAGCCAGCACAATTGCAAGATCGCTGACGCGGAAACACCAAACGACAGCCGCATCACGATTTACAGCATGGTTTTGGTCTCTACCCTCCTACATGACGTGAGCGTAGCAACTTCAAAATGAGACATGTAAACGTGAAACAGGCAACCGCGGAAACTGCAGAATATTCCGTAGCCACGATGTGGCCAAACAGATGTACACCGTGACTTTTCCTTCACAACCATGAGTTCTCAGCAAGGAGGAAACGCTCCACAAGGAGGTCCTATTTACATGCTACCTCAAAGACAGGAGATGGAGTACCTTTGCGCAGGTAAGTCAGGCCAATTTTTGTATTGCAAGGTAAATTCATGTGGGCGCAGATTGTGGGGCCAAAAACGAGATCAAATCACGGGAGCCCATCCGTTGTAGGGAGTGCGGGCACCGAATAATGTACAAGAAGAGAACAAAAAGGAGTGCGTTATTCGCCTTGAAACACTCTTGAGTCTCTGTCTTATAGCGCTTTTGTTCGCAGTGGTTCAATTCGAGGCACGGTGACCTTGTGTTGTTCATGCCTTCTTGTTGAGCGTTTTGGCTTGTATCTGCCGCTATGCGATGCTATGCGCACGTGTATATTATTCACTACGGGTGACGTTATTCATAATAGAGCCACCATATCATAAGCATTCACACTTGCTGCGTGGCGAAAGATAACATGCATTCCTACCAGATATTCAGATTCTTCATCCACAAGTTCAGAAGGCAAGTGACAACCACTCGATCCAAGAAACCTTCAGCTCGCTCTGTGACACGGAGCACCTGTGTTTCTTGCGACCAGACAGCGACTGTCTTGCCGCGAGTACTGACGCACTTTCGCCGCGGGTATGTCATTATCAAGCGAGCAACGCTAAGAGGCGCAGAGACTCACAAAGAGATCAACCCCGTTCTCTGCAATCTTCCATTTATACTCTGAACCGGCGACCTTGAACCGACGTGATCTAGATGAACATTTAATGCACCGCGGTCAAGATCGTGGCATTTTCCCAATGAGCCTGCCACTCACTTGCTCGACGTCTTCTTGGAACGCCGAAGCTCTCTCGCGGAGACCTGTGCGTGTCCACCGTTTAGCGGCGCAAAGCAGCGCATCTAATTTAATGCAGTACCCGCTCAATGCCAAAGTAGACAGTTGCGCTGGAGTCCGACATCCATTCGATCTGGCCGGCGTTCTCCCACCGCTGTGTGTTCAGATTTTTGCGCTGAAAGGAAGTAACGCCGGATGTAGAGCCAGTTGCAGGATGATGAAACTGGTGGGAGCGAGGCAATAAGACCAGCTGTTGGTGAGCGCTGAATGAGCAGACCTTGTACATTTCCACCATCTCTGTGGATCCTTCAACCATCTGTTTGGCTTGAAATGTTCGCATATCATGATTGTCATCGGAGGGGTAGAGGAACTGTAAAATCACGTCCGTGTTCGCCATGTTGTAGAGTATGCGGTGGATGAGGGGGATTCACTTGATAAAGCGCTGTGAGATCTGTCCGCGGCGGCACCTTCGTTAAGCTTTCGGCTGTGTGTTCCATATAGTGCAACTTGTAGTCCTAAAAACCCTCTATAGTCATATGGGAGGCAGGGACCAGATAGCAAGTATGTCAGCAGCGGCGCGACGATTGATCTTCTCGATTTGATTAGAGCCAGGCTAAGGCTAACTCGCGTGGTCGGAGAGGAAGAACAACTGCGCTCATTGGCCGGGGGTCACAAAGATCACCACAGTGCAGGAGACGGGAAAAGTAGATCCCTTGAGGACGACTCGAGACACGCCGAAGAGCCGATTAGGTGGCGGATGAAACCTTCTGGCGCCGAGATCATGAACCAGTGCATGAGCAAAATCTGCCCAATGCACAAAAGACGGAGAGCAAGTTCCCGTATTGGCCAAGTCGCTGCGGCTTATCGATGGTCCCAAGATCAATGTGGAAGTCTGAAACATAATTTCACAGGCAATCACCGGAAGTGAAGCAACTCAGCCACGCAAAAAGAGACAGATTGAAAGCTGGAGACCTGGGGGATAGATGACGACAATCCTCACCTCAACAGCACCTCATCGGTGATGAACGTTTGAACGTTAAATAGCGTCTGTCGTCTACGGATTCCGGCAAGGCCACTCCGCTGACAGAAGGGCTTATTCGGAGGATGTCGATCAAGTCTTCCGTCCAGGCCGATCCTCGGAAAATTGCACGGTAGCTTTCACCTTAAACAGGATTACAGAGAGGTTGAACTGTAGAGAGAAGTGAGTAACCAGGTCTCGTGGGTGATATCTGATTTTGGCGTCTCACTCAACTATGTACTTACTCCGGACCCGGAGTCCGGACGGGTGGTCATAGCTGCCCAATGTTTATGCGCAAAATACGTCAAATCACCTACTGCTCATCGACAGCGGTGAAGACCAGGAGAATGGCTGGGGCTTGGTGGATAATCCAGTGTGTCCAACGGAAACACGTCCTACGACGATCACTCCTCAAAGCCTGACCAAATGACAGAAAATTCTCAGGCGAGCGCCTGAGACCGTAGAATGCGCCGCGACAGTGATGGGATTCCGCGCCGGCGTTGCGTGACATAAGAACATAAGAGATACTGAGATCTGAGACGGCCGCAATTTGTTTTTTGATATATCGAGGAAGGAAAGGCAGTAAAATCGGCTACAAATCGCAAAACAAAGGATACTGATACGCACCGTTGTGTCGTGCCTTGTGAATGATATTTTGCGGTTGTGCTCCCTCAAGCTTGAAGCTTGAAGGACGACGCGTCCACGTTGTAGAACGTCGGAATCGGCGCCTAAAACCACGTGGGGAAGGGCGGCTCACGTGAACAGCACCGGCAGTCAACGCATTGTTGAAAGCCGGGGCTGCCGGGTGAAGTAATCCTTGAACACTCACCAACAACGCAACGTTAAACTCCTAGACATAACATTCGCGGTTCCGACTTACTACTCGCGCCCAGTATTCGTGTGACAAGTCGTACATGCCAAGTCAAGACAGAGCGCGTAGTGTATCCGGTGAACTTGAGGTACTATCGGCGCGCCGGTCCCAGTAATTCAGCAGCGTGATTGGGTTTGCTGAAACCAATTGACAGGATTCCGACGTGGGTTCACAGCATGATGGAGATGGGTCCAATCCACCAGGAAAGCCTGGCAGGAAGAAAAATCCGAAGTATGTGCTCCAGACAATAACAAACGTGATCATGCTTACGTTCATAATCTGGGATACGGAATAGTTCACAGGCAGCGAGACGTGATCAGAATCGCATAGCCCAGAGGGAGTTTCGGCTGAGGAAGCAGCAACGCGTGAGTGTCCGCCAGCGTCCGCCCGGTGGGTTTGTGGCGTGCTGACGCTGCTTCAGATACGTGATCTCGAAGCCACCGTTGAGATCCTCTCAGGAGGCAAGGATGAGGCTTTGTCACATCTCAGGAAGATCCTGAAAGGTTTGTAGAGCACGCCACATCATCTCTTAGAGGCCACTGAGCCACATCACTAACCCTGAACATAGATCTTATGCAAGAGAACCAGGTCCTCCGAGATTTGCTGCGCAGTCTCAGCTCGTTTATCGGTGACGGAGCTGGGGGGCTCCTACCCAAACTCGGCTGGGATTTGAGCGATTTCAATAATTTCATCAACAGATCAGAGACGGACACTGCTTGGGAGAGCTATCAACGTCACAAACAAGCTGATCCTGTTGCTGGTCCTTCTACGTCGGTGGGTCAAAAACGCTCGTCGCCTGATGATCCTACCTCGCTGCGATCGAAGAGGCCTCGAGGACTGTCTGAGCACAATGGTGATTCTACCTCGGACTCATTCCCTCCGCCACCTGTTCTTGTACCCCTGACTTCTGCTGGTTCAGCCGCCGCCCCCAATGGCCTTTATCCCTCGTCTGGAAGACCGTCTCAGGAAAGTAATTTATTGTCTGAATTGATGCGCGGTCCCTCGGGTTCCCCTATGTTTATTGCCTCGTCTCCTGCCAATGCTTCCAGTCAATTCGCTGGCCAAGGCAGCACAGGTGTCGGTTCATCCTATCCGCCTTCTTACATGCCACCTATGACTATGAATTCCGACCCGGGCCTTCCTTCCGTTCCGCTCGTTGGCGCGGGTGCGTCGCCGTTCACGGCAGCACGAGCAGCATCTCAACCGGCATCCGAAGATGACGACTTGGATCCCAAGAAGATTGAAGCATATAAACTTATCCAGTAAGCTCATTGATTGTTAGGGGTGACTTTGTTGCTCACCGAGTGAGGTGATGATTGACTCCTGTAGCTACCATCTCGACAATTACAAGCGCAATAGCGCATATTGTCTGCCTTCGTCTCTTCGTCCGACCCTGGTGCAGAGGTAACCATCACTTCATGGGAGAATATCGTGGTTCTCACGACATACATAATCCGGCCTTTCAGGACTGTCCCTCACGGCAAGTCACTCCATTTTAAGTAGTATTCTAGCACGCTGAGCTTGCATGGCAGAGAGCATAATCGATTCTATACTGCATCCGGAACTTCGCGACCGTATGATCCTCCTGCGAGGTATGACCTGTCCTCGTACTGATGATCATGGAGTTCATCGAATTTACTTCTTTGCAGGGCGATTTGACCTTGTGGACTGCCTGCACGACTACCGCAATGCAGTTAACATTCACGGCGACGACGTCCTGGCCCACGGCAACTGGGAGATTACCGAAAATTGGTTGCAGCGGTACAAGTCAGTCAAGTGGTTATTCCACCAGATGGTGTTCTCAAATTTATTTGGCTCCACAGGTTTTTAGTCGACCAGGCTACACTGAACATCACCAATCGTTGGAGGAGAGAAAGAGGGGAATCGGAGCTGCGTTTCGGCGATTTCACGGTGGACACTCACGCCACTTCGACTTAAGAAGAGCCACCATGCGACCATCGTACTTTCTGTTATCGTATTAGGGAGCACTGCGACAAACTTTGGGCTTATATTAATGTAAGCGTCTTCGACACACTAATTTACTTGCTTCGCTGTTGTCGTACCTCAACACTCGTGGCCACCTGAGTGGGTAAATATCCAGTAAGTACGGCAATTTCTGCGACATTGGGTTGGGCGCGTACCAGCCTCCGTAGTGTATGCGACTTGCTTGCTACGCCACGATTAGGGCGCACAGGTGATAATTAGCCTCGGAGACGTACCGAAGCAGCTCTAGAGGAAGGATGGTACGAATTACCACGACGCCTTCTTCACCCCAGGCAAATCTCCGTTCAATGCTTTCGTCCTGAATTGGTACTGCCAGGCCGCCCACTAAGCACGAACAATACACGCGGGGTGAGGAAAGTATAAAGCGCACCCTAGACAGTGCGAACTCGCTTATAATACCACGTCCCCTCCCGGTCTCGCTGCAGCGGTTCTTGACGGTGGTGGGGCGGGTGTATCGCCCAAACGTATTTAACTGCAGCTGTGCCTGGTAGCGCACCTGTGGGGGTAAGGTTTGGTTGCGTGCGACGTAGAGGTACGCGCGCCGGATGATTTCGTTCGCGTTCACGCCGTTGCGCGCCTTGATATCGCGCAGGATGCGGATTTTGCCCATGGTGGTGGAAGTCAGGATCTGGTGACGACGCGGCAAAATGCGGGACGCTGGCTCGCTCGAAATACTACTTACAGTACACTCATCGTCCCTCTTTGCATACGCCCTCATACACTACCGCATCCTCATATCGACATAATACCTAGCCGTTGAGTGTACTCCAGACGATACCGTCCTGACCCATTAGGCGGGAATATGGGCTCCGGTGAGTGCGACGGCGTGTTGAGTCTGAGCTTGTTTATCACCCTGTATCTACCCAGGTGTATGATGTCTCCAACGAGAGCTTTAAAGCTGACGCATCGCCAGCGCCGCACCTTCGTCTCCTCGTTGTTCGCACTCACTTTCCTGGCGTCCATGGTCACGGTTTCAGCTTCCACCGTGCTGCCATGCCCCGCAGGAAAGAACCGCTTCGCGGACGGGGATGTTGGAGAGGATGTTCCCCGACGTCGCGTGGCAGTTGTGGAAAAACGGCCGAGGAGGTGGATCGAAGAGACGAATCCCAGGGCGTAACATTAACAGAGCAAGGCTAAGGTGGAGGATGCCGCAAGTTGTTGAAAGTCTAATAATGTGTTTGCTCGCAGCGGATTCATATATCCGTACTGTTACATTTTTATGCTATTTTTGCTGCACACATCTCACAAAGATGTACATCGGAAAGAGGGCCACTAACTTTCCGACGTTGATGAGCTCACAGTGTTCTTGCGGTTACGATATACTGCTTCCTGCTCTTCGTGACTTCCCCTGTACGAAGATCGAGGTCAGGAAGCAACAAGGAAAGAATAATGCGGGGATGCGCACGGGAGAGGATTATCCTGTATCGGTATACAGCAGAGGAAGCACAAGAAGTTGGCAGCGAGTTGGCAAATGAACACGATGCGTAAGGCATCGGCGTAAGAATCCACGGCCGCCTTCCGTAAATGCGGACTGAGGTCGGGAATGATACTCGTCGAGTGGCTGCAGCAAATTCAGTTATAGCACGCCAAGTTCAAATGCCGGAACACTCACCGGATCTGTTCTATGATCTGACGAACAATAATAAAACAAGTTAGTCTACATCGTGGTGCCAATAGCCTGTAAACGAACCTCCATAGCATCCGGCCCGTGTATACGTTCCCGGAGCTTCTTCGTCAGTATAGATTGCAACAGTGCACCGCTCAAGCTGACTCCCAGCACTTGACCGGTCGTCCGGAACAGGTATGTGACTTTGACATTCGTTAGGATGCATCGACAACTGGAATAGAAAAACATACTGCCAGTAGCTACGGCCACATCTTCCCGGGATACGCTAGCGATCATAGCCTGCAGATCGTATCCAATTAGCCGCTGGGAGCTCAACACTGTCATGCATACACTTACAATCAAAGTAGTAGTGATAACGCTAGCCATGCCAAAACCTTGCGGAACAATGTCAAACCACAAGTGAAACGCAGGCGTGATATCGCTCCAGAAGACAATAAGACCGCATGATACCAGCGTCATAGCGGAGGAGAAGAGTGTGAGCATATAAAGTTTTCCTGTCTTGCGCATGACCCTGTTGATGGACTCGGTAAATACCATCCCTCACATTCATCCACGATACGCACCAGCCGGCAAATACGCTCCCCGTAGATATCGCGACCTATGGGATGGAGTTAATTCAAGCAGTGCATTTCTTGACATCAGGACAAGCGTACTGAGTGGGGTAGTAAGTGCAATCCTGTGAGATGAAATGAGCCACCAGAACATGAGTAAAACCAAAAATTTACCGACCTGCATCTGTCGATGAATTTAATCTAACGGCAGAGAAATACTGGATAGATGGGATCGTCAGGAAAAAATGCTTGCTTAATAAGGCGAAACTGACCAATGGTACATTATACAACTAATCGAAGGACATCAGCGCCCCTACAGGAACCAATTAATGGCCGGACATACCATAGAGAACGCGGCAACACTGCCGAAGAAACACGATAAAGATACAGCAAGGGGTGTTCGCTCCTTAACAAGCCTCATGGGCATGACAGGATAGGGCGAGAAACGGGTCTCCACAAGGATGAACAGCGCACACCATACGACGCTCGCAGCCAGCAGACCCCAGATTAGCGGGTGCGACCATGGAAGCTCCTCCGTAGACTTCAAGCTGAGGCCAAGCAGCAGACAGCCGACGGTTCCGACGAGGGTCAAAGAACCGAAAACGTCAATCCGTCGCAATTTGGCGCGTACACTCTGATTCTGGACTTCGTCGGGCAACTTGATGCGGACCTTCGCGGTGACGAGCAGGAAGGAGAAAATCAGAATAGGCATCTGCAAGGAGTGACCTGTTAGCTTCCTGAAACAGTAATCACTCGTGATAATGATGGTCCTACCTGCAAAAGGAACGCGGATCTCCTGCAAAAAGGGATCGTAAGCTTGCGAAAGCAATTCAGGTAAATGTTCTCACCATCCGAAGGTGTCATTCAGCCACCCTCCCAGAGGTCCCCCCAAACCTGCACCCAATCCGAACAGACTGTCGCACGAAACTATCTCAGTCACGGGAGGCATCCTGGGCGTCATGCTTACATGTTGGTCATTCCCTGATACAGGCCGCGCTGCCGGCTAGAAATAAAATATGGTTAGATTCATATGTCAGGAAAAAAAACACCAATCAGCCACTTACAGAGGAATCAAATCCGTGACAGCAACACTGGACACTTCAAGCTTGCAATATCAGTATGCAATGACGTCATCTGGCCCTAACAACGCCCACCTGTCATTACTCTGATATAACATATTTACGATAAATTCTGATTGATATTGGAGAAGACGTGCAAAAACACCCACCCTCCTCCTCCCATACCTGCTATCGCACGGGCAGCGATAAGGGCGTCCATCGAAGGAGCTAACCCACAGAGGAAGGTACCAGATCCTGATAAACAGCATAGAGTTCATCAGATAAAAGTAGAAATAAATCTCAATCTCCGCGACATACCAAATAATGTCAGGGCTAACAGCATCGCTCCCCGGCGACCGAGAATATCCGACAGCCTCCCTGCGGGAAATTGTCAGCAGACTTCCCAAGCCCCGACGCTCCACAGCAGTATACGTACCATACAGTGGTGTGAAGCAACATACCGACAGCAAGTAAGAGGTCCCGATATACGAAGAACGGTTGGACTCGTTGAAGTAACTTCCAATGGGTGCCAGTAATGTTGCAACGATCGTACCTTGAGTGTGAGAGAATATGTATGTCTAAATGTCACCACCACGCAGTAGACAATCAAGAAGGTCACCATCTAACGCGCCCAAGAAAACTGCACTCCAGAGACCAGCGAGAATCCACGCGAGGTCGACCTTGGACACCTTGTTCGGTGGAGAATATTCTATGGGAGTTGGCGAGTGGTCCGAGCCATCGACTAGAGCACTATACGAGTCGAGGGTTGCAGGTCTGTCTTCCAGTAGAGGGCGAGTTTCTGACGGTTCGCGAGACATGGGTGGAGACGAGGAACCGCGTCGGAAGGAGAGTGCTTATATTCCCCCAGGGTGGTGTGAAACGTCCGGAAAGTCGGGGGGCGAGTCACGGGAGAAGAAGGAAAGAAGAAATCTCCAGGACGCGGTCGAAGCAGGGAACCTGCAACCTGACGGGCAGGTATACGGCGAGCCTGGGGGTTATAAGCATGATTGTGACGAGGTGTTCCTGCTCCGCGGATCTCTCAGATCTCCCTATTATTATGTAAGCGAACACTGTAACCTTCCGTCTTCACCGGTTCCACGATTCTTCACTTCCCCTTCAGTCTTACAGGCGCCAAGTTTCAGGAAGCGATAATCCGCCTGTCAAGGGCTTGCACAAATCTTCTGGGCTCTTTCCAATCCCAAGAATCCTTCCGGACCTGCTGTCGCAGGCAGTCCGATAGACGTCCAGTGACCGCAATGTGTTTTTTCCAAGGCAAGGGAAAACAACACTCGCCCTGAATTTATTCTACCAATATTAATATGCAGAAATAGATAGCCACCGCGCAGTACGTTGCTCCAAGCTTACGATAATACCGAACATACTAACCGTCCGCGTGAAATATAGTAACATGCGGCATATCTACGCGTAAGTGTTTGCACTCACCTGGACACCAAGGCCATCTGATCCGTCATCGGAACAGGCACGGCTACAGGACTACAGGCTCTCGGCGACGCGCCAGCCGCGAGCATTATGAATATCCGTCAAAGTTACACCTGTTGCGTAATTTTGGGCGGTAAAAAATATGTTGTGCGTTTGAGCCTTCTCCAGTCAAATGCTCTCTCGTAGCAACTGAATGAAGTAAAACTTTGAACTAGGTTTGAAGGGCATTTAAGAGGGGAAAGCAGGACGTCTTATCGTGGTACAACAAACCGATCGAAGACTTTAGATTTTTCTGAAGATCCCGCTATCATGTCATCCTCCGATATCGGAGGTTGAGGCACATCCTCCCGAAGGAAACGCACTACACTTCTATTCACTCACAATATTCCGGCCCGTCTTTACATCTTGCACGAACATGAACCCTGTCTTGAACACCGAATGTGAACGAGCTACCACTGGCATGGTCTTCATCGGAATGCGCAAAACTCTCCGTGAGTATTTGACTTTGCGGTCATTAATACCTGCTTCTGCGCCTGCTCGATTTACCGGTTTCAGAAGGAACTCGCAGCCGTTCCATTTTGTTCTTCGCTAAAATGCTTATTGCAGACGTTCGACCACGACCGTCGGGCCGTGCAGCATCTTCGACAGTTGTTCGACCCAAGTGCAGCTGTATTCTGCAGCTCTATCTTACCGCTAATTTTGGGCCTTGTGAATTTGGATTTGATGTCTCAACTGCTGACCCCCTTCTGGTTCGCAGGGCGACCGAAGGACGGCTTAACGCAATGGCTACCGTTTACGCGCTTCTATCCGAGAGCCATCGGAGGAAACCTAAGCAGGAAGCATCGTTTCGCTACAGAATACCCTTCGCGCTCAGCTAGAAAAATCCATGTGGTTTCAGAGTGCTACCCTGGATAATGGGAGTGTTGTCAAGCAAACGTCAGTTGACTGGTTGAAGACGCAGCATCGCTCAGCAAATATCAGGTATTCGCCCACACGGTGCTCTTCTTACACTCATCGCGCCCGATATGGTCCGGTTAATTTCTCTAGCTCCGCGCAGGTTCGTGTCGCATAGTCCGTTGACGCTATAACTGCAGCGCAACAACTTGGTCTTTGCAAACAGAATAGTCTTGGGGATTGATGGTCTGCATTCTCCGATGTGAGATGGCGGCAGAATCATCGTTGGTGCACCACTGATCCGTATTGCAATGTCGAAGCATCGGCGTTGACGAAAAACCTCCGCATTTCTACCGCGTGCAGTCAATACATATCTCTCGCTGAGACGCTGGTTACAGGGCGCGAGGTCGATGGTGGCTTCAGAGCTCCCGTTCCCCGTTTCTGCGCTTTAATCTAGTTTGGGCCCTTATAACCTGGCGCTTGGTCGGATCATAGTGTCTTTCCTCAAGGATGGCCTCTCCGCCCGTGTGCAATGTCGCTCATCGATTGGAGCTATATTACTAGGGGAAAAGTAAGCCTGACGCTCGCCAACGCCAGTATGCGTATTTTAGCTGCCCTCCGGTCTGCGAACCTTCCCATTTACAATTCACTGGATTTACGCTGTTGTGGTGCGTACCTCACGGCGGTAACGTGCGACTCATATGCATAAGCATCATAGCCGGATCCTCTCATCAATCCTAATTACCCCCATTACTCGGAAACCATCAAAACACCTGTTTTTGCGGGGCGCCCTCGCTGTTTGGCGTTTACTATGCTCCACTTTGTGCTTACAGGATGTTGCATGGGTCTGTTACCTCATGACTAGCGTTTCGCCCGCGGATGAGGACGGCGATGACTCACATCTATGTTTTGCTGAATAACCGGTGGGTTGTACCCTGCATTGACCTGCGGCACAGAAACGGAGCTACTTTCCGGTATGCTTCCCCACCTGTCGGCGACGCGTCCAACTAGTGGGGTCGGTACAATGAGTAGGCGCGACTTTCAACTTGAAACGGTGGCGTGACTCAACGACGGGTGATACGGCCTGGCTCCTTGAAACTCGACCGATTGACGTGTCCGACTCACGGAATGAAACGTTGTGGATAGGTGTGCTCGGGACGTGGCTCCAAACTTTGTGGACAGCCCGATGTCATGGAACAGCACAGCCACCGACCCTGTCCCTACCCGACCTCCCAGATGTCGGCTCTTGTCGAGGTAAAACGTGTACTCTTGCTCATGCTAGCGCTCTGTTCGGCTATCGTGAGTGAGCGTGTATGGTGCTATTGTCTGGCTGCTTGACTGCTTACCCAGCTCCGTTTTTCTAGTGAGATTCGCGAGGTCTCCTGTCACGAATTTCGACATCAGACAATTGGAGGATCAGTCGCTGCATTCAAAGAGCACTGATAACTAAAAATTTTGTGGTTCATTACTGCCAGTGTATGGTCAGAATTGACAGCGGAGATGAGGACCTCGATCTGTCGGGTGGGATGCGGAAGAAGTGGTGGGCTCCACAAACAACTTCTAATGGTCTGCACAAAAATCGCGGGCGCCCTTCGGACACGAGGGTTTCTTCAGATGATTAGCCTCAAACCGTCAAATTTGCTTCAATCAACATTTCTCTTGTGTATGTACCACTCTCGGATTGCCGCACATACCACCAAATTTTTGAGCAGAAAGAACGTAATCAGCAGCTTGAAACTGCATTCAATGGTCGAAACCTGCAGCAATAAAAATTCGAAGTCTAAGCAACTCCACCGGCTCACCACCGCTGTATCGGACCTTTTTCTCGCTGCATTGGATAGATTCTAGCAATAGGAGTCCCAAGAAATCTCGACAGTATTCGAGGTCCTTGGCACGGATTGAGACGAGGTAGCGTTGAGGAGAACCACCATGATAACACCTCCGTTTGGTGCAGGACCTCCTCCGCTACATGCTGTCGGAGTTCTGTGCTGACAGATTGTGGTGTGCCGTAGGCCGAGGAGAATGTAACGACGCTATCTATAGTTCAGTATATTCATCCCAAGGAGCGCGAAACGTGGATTAGGATAGCTAGACACTACCCCGAAGAGAATATTGTCGAACGGCATAAAAATAAGGTACCTAACGTGGTGTACACTCTGATCCGGCATGTTCCCCGTAAAAGTCACAGAAAGAGGGGCTCGAGGGACATGGCACAACCAACCCAAGGAACACTGCCGCCACTGAGGGACCCGGATAACTGGCTCCGAATCATGCTTCCGAAGTAAGAGGAGAGGCTACTAGACGCTGTCAGCTTTTGTTGAGCGCCGTCGTACAAGTCTGTTAAGCTTCATACTATACCGAAGGGGTGACTACACGTATGTTCTCCCGTGAACACCCAGCGCCCCAAAAGTAATCGAAGATTGCGGATTGATGTCGCACAATTCGTGGCTTCTTGGAATCTCGGATGCAGTCATGCAGGTACGCAATGGTCTGAGGTCTGGGTGCACCGACGCCTCGCTGGTGAGTATTCACTACTTATCAATCTGAAGTGCCGTCAATGTACATATGCTGTTCCTGTTTTTGGCCGCTCCTTTACTTGTAAAGTATCAGTGACTGTCCGTACCTCACCGACGGGAGGTTATGTAAATGAGATCCGTCCGGGAAAAATACAGTAGCGTGCTGTTCCAGAGGCACGGATCCAGGCAGCAGCAGGGAGACTGCTTGAGGTGATGCTGGGATAATTTGCGCGGAAATGAAGACGTCGATGCCACTGGAGGGCGGGCAGGGACGTTCGATCTCGGGACCGCAAAAAAGATTTTGAGCCTGGGCCTAATTTATAGCAGCGCCTAGCACGAAAGAGGAGAAGGCCGGCTCCTGACAAAGCAGCTTAGTAATGGCCGGAAATGGAGAATGATTCCGCCAAGCACTGGAGGAGTTCGAGTACCGTTTCGAAGGACAATATCTATACTTCCTCTCTCACCGAGCAGCTGCAGCCATTCGACGACAGTCAGCTCCTTGTTGTCGTTGCCAGCTGTATCGCCGTCGTCGATCGTTTTTGCGAATATGCTTCAGGCCAGCAGCCACATTGAAAATCTGTCTCCGGCTACTTTCGAGCAATCACTAGGCACACATCCTTCTCTTTCTTCTCACTCAAGCCCCAGCACTCCTGCATGGAGGTCGATTTTCCGCATCGGAAACCAGTCCTCCAAGAAATTGGCTACTGCGAACATATCTACCCTGACTCTCGATACCAGCTCATTTCATTCTGACGCAACGTCCGCTACCCTCACCCCTTTGACACCCAACCCGCTGCTTTCTACTGCTTCCATCCCGCTCATCGACCAGCGATCGTCCTACAATTCTTCCAATACGCTGTCCAACGAATCCACCCGTGTCATGCCTTCACGGACACCCAGTTTCACACCGTATTTACCCAACTATTCACCCTCACCCGACGCCTATACCCCAGACACGATGGACACGTCAGCGTCGCGCTCCCGTTCGAAGTCCAAGTCGGAGAAGCAGCGCCAACTGGGGCGGTCGAAGGGTTCGTACACGGCAGGTCCAGCGCAGCTCACATTTCCCCCGACAAGTCCCCCGTCCTCGTCACGATCAGGGCCGTTATCTCCCAAGGCCATTTCCGCGAATGCCTCGCGCTTCATCCGCCGCGTTGCGTCCGCACCAAACGCAAAGGGTCTTTTTTCGTTGGGTTCGCGGTCAACTTCGGGAACCACCACGAGAAATGGATTCCTAGCGCCCGGAGACCATATGCATCAACTGCCACATACAGTGCAGGAAGTAGCGTACTCATCGGAACAGGGCGCGGATTCTCTGGAAACAATATCCTCCACGTCATCGAGAGGACGACCGGTGCGCCCACGTCCCGATCGTGCAAACAGTACGACGTCTGTATCTAAGACGAAGGACCGGATCACGAACGCGCATCCGATGAATGACGGAACTGGCAAGATGGCATTCCGGAGAACGTATTCCAGCCATTCTATCAAAGTCAGATCGGTGAGTGGCGTTTCAGTGTTGGTGCGGATCTGTACTCACAGGTCGCGGCGGTCATGTTTTGATAGGTGGAGGTGGGCCCATCGAGTTTCCAGAAAATTAAAATGTTAGGAAGAGGTGACGTGGGCAAGGTGTATTTGGTGCGGGAGAAGAAGTCTGGAAAGCTCTTTGCGATGAAGGGTGTGTTATGCACTGCTCTCCGGTGATACTCTGCCCTTACAGCCAGTGGCAGTTCTTTCAAAGAAGGAGATGATCGAACGGAAGAAGATCAAACGCGCCCTCACAGAACAAGAAATTCTGGCAACCGCGAATCATCCGTTCATCGTCACTTTATACCACTCATTCCAGTCCGAGCAGTTCCTGTATTTCTGCATGGAGTACTGCATGGGTGGCGAGTTCTTCCGCGCATTGCAGTCTCGGCCGGGCAGATGTCTGTCGGAGGATGCCTCTCGATTTTACGCTGCAGAAGTCACAGCAGCATTAGAGTACTTGCATCTAATGGGTTTCATCTACCGCGACCTCAAGCCGGAAAGTGCGTATATTATCAGCTATGCACGCAAAAAATGTGTCGTTGCAAAACTGTTTGCTAAAGCTTGCTTTGTCCAGACATTTTGCTACATCAATCTGGACATATCATGCTGTCTGACTTTGATCTAGCAAAACAGTCCGGCGAGCCTGGTGGTCGACCCGCAACTATTCTTCAAGAAGAGAACGGGGTGCGTGACTTTGTTGGGATCAATCCTGGTCGATGATCATTCAGAGTTCACGCTCTTCGATATAGATCCCCATGGTTGATACCCGCTCTTGCATGGCCGACTTTCGAACCAACTCTTTTGTTGGTACGGAAGGTAAATGTTGGCGGCAGTTCTGGGTGCGGGTGTCTGATAGATTGGTGTCTCGCAGAGTACATAGCTCCGGAGGTGATACAGACGTTGGGGCACACATCTGCAGTGGACTGGTGGACGTTGGGCATCTTGATCTACGAGATGATTGTGAGTCAGACTTCCATTTCCTTCCGTTCCCGCAGTCGTGTTCTTCGAGAGCTCACGAACCTCTCGCTCAGTATGCGACAACACCGTTTAAGGGTGTGGAGCGGAATGACACATTCCACAACATCTTGCATTTGCCAGTACACTTCCGGGATACGCCCAGAGTCTCACAGTGAGTCCCACAGTTTCTCAGACATCTCATTTTCTGTCTGCCTTCCGGTCTCCGACGTGCTAATAATATCTGGCCGTGTTTGCATCATATTTGCAGAGCGTGCAAGGACATTGTCATCCGACTGCTCGACAAGCGGGAGAACAGCCGCCTGGGCAGCAAGAGTGGTGCATCTGAGGTGAAGCGACATAAATGGTTCGCCAAGGTCAACTGGGGCCTCCTGCGGAATACCAAACCACCGGTGAGTGCCGCTATCCGCATGCACGTTTTACATTCCACCCCTTCCACCCGCTCAGTCTCACCTGCTTTGATTCCGTGCGGAATCCTGTGAGCATGAGCACCGTTGCGGCTAGATAGCCGAAGCGGTGCTTCTTAGAGACCGGCCGCCTTCTTGCATTCTCCGGTATCCCTTATGTTGGATTCCTTGGATCTTGAACCGAGCTGACTAGTATTTTGTGTTTCTTTCGTGGCAATTTCCCACTCGCTTGCTTGGTCTGTCGTGTGCCCTGAATTCCTGCCGTTGTCATTGTTCACCGATATCGTCCTCGCACCTACCGCACACCTCCACCGGTGTTCATTCCTCATCAATTCATCACACCACCCTCCGACATCTACCCACCGTATGCTCACCCTCTGCTTATATCATGCTGCAGATCATCCCAATGGCCTCGAACGGGATCGATGCGGTGAACTTCCGCCAGATGAAGGAGTCGTCCTCGCTGCACCTGGAGAGGCAGCACTCGCACTCGCCGCACCCACACCCGAATGGTCTCCACGCGCAGTCGCAGCCCCACCTCCACGGCGTCGCGGGCGCAGGGGTTCCTGGCACACCTGGCCTCGGCGCGGACGACGGGCTTGAGCCCCCGCCGCAGGACGTTGACCTCTTCGGCGCGTTCTCCAGCATCACGCTGCATTACGACGGCGAGAGCTGAGCGGCTTGCGCGCGTACCCTGTCATAATTTGCGGCGCGTATTTTTCTCGTTGTATATTTTATTCGTAGTCAGGATTTTTGGTTCGGATTGTGCATTGATTGACTTTGCTTCGTGTATCATCACGCATCCTCGCTTGCTCTCGAGCTTTTATCTCACTGCCTTCTTCCTGGTTTTAAATTATGGCATGTGGACCCTGCAGTTCCCTACTGTTCGCACTTGCACGTTCCCTTCTCCCCGCTCGAGGCCTCCCTTGTCCGTTCACGCACTCCGCACGCCTATCCTACCGCCGACATAACCTATTACGACCTCGCCCGTTCGTTCCCCGCATCCGAACCGCCTGCCCTCTTCATGTTCACTGTACCATCACCACACGCATCTTCATCTTCGCCGCTGCTGCATTATAGTACACATACCATCTACTCGGGCCGCGCGCGCGCGCCAGCCCCGCCAACGCCTCTGTACGGCGCAAAATTGGATTACGGCACCCGTCTCGACGCCTGGCGCGCGCATACGTAGACACATATACCCGACGACGCCTGTACGTATACGTCTCGCGGCCTGGATCCGCATGTTGGTCGGATGGGGTGGTCTGCGCGTTGGAGGCCCGTTTGCTCGCTCAGCTGAAGACAAATAGAATTGCAGTTGTTAGGATCATACGCCGTCCCGCCGACGTTTGTGTGAGTTGTGGATAGAGCTCCGGGAATGAGTTAATGACAGGCTGGTTCTTCATGGGGTGTTAATGAACCTCGTGAAGAGCCTGTAGCGCGTTAATCTCTCTGAGATCCGGAGAGGTGTACAAAAGAATTTTCAGTTATCAGAAGACAAGACATGCATAGCAGGATAGGCTGAGAGAGGGTACATATGGAAGCATCCGCAGACCTTGGCGACATATATTTCAGGACTTTTCACATACACTGGTGCCCACCGGCCCTGTTAATTACTGTTAAAAGCACCGTTAATAACTACCTCCTGGGACGAAAAGTGGGTTATTGTCCTGTGAAGAACTCAGTAAGACTAGACCAACGCAGTCGGTACTCACGAGACAACGCCGCTTTCACGGTAGCAGAGACACCACGTCTTGACAGACCCTTGCTGGTGCGTATCTTAGGTCCTTGGCGCACTTGTAATGCTCGCCTGCAGTACAAATACACGAGACTTCATCATTATCCCTTCGTGAAGAAAGCGTAGAGAACACTAGGGGAGAAGGACAGGTGGGGCTATAGTGCTGGTGCCAGTGAACACGCGGCCGATCGCGTGTGATACGGTTGGGATTAGGTTGGGCCCATTGGGTAACTCTGTTCGCAACGTGGTTGCTGCAGCTGCGCGGATGACGTCGGCGGCGAGCGCTGAGCTCACAAGAGTGGCACCGCGGCTTGCAGAGATCACCGAAGGCCCATCGATAGAGGAGTTCGCGGATAGCACCACCCTATTACCTTGCCCGCTGGTCAGCCGCGCTAGATGGGACGAGGCAACGGATTTCGGAGAACGGGTCGGCGAGCACTTTCCAAATACATAGCGCGTTGTCGCGGGTGGGAAATTTTGAATCGCCGGCGGAGGACGAGTGCAGGACGAGCGGCGCTCGCTGGGAGGAATAACGAGGGGGTGGCCATGGCCTTGCGGGCCCCTTCGCGATCACTGATTCTGAACTTTGATTTCGAACATGCTACGCGTCTGATTTCGTGGCCTTGCGGCGGACTGGCCACGACGAGCGAGCCACGGGCCGCGGATACAGCAAAACGGGGCGATCGGCGCACGAGGGCGGGCGCGGGCCGAAGAGGGCGGAGCACGTCCAAATCGAGCGCGCGGAAGCATCTGGGTTTCTAGATCGCTGTCCACGGTGTGCGTTTGTGTTTGGGTATAGGCGCGACTCGCGTTGAAGCTGCACATGGTCGCGAGCTAAAGTGATTCGGGTTTTGCGTTCGTTTATCAGGAGGGACTCGCGTGGATTCTGCTGCTCTCAGATCAGGCTGGATGCGGCCGGGCGAGTGGAGGAGTCTGGCAGGAAGCCCTATCGACGTAGGATGGATATCCCGAGTGGGACTCGAGATACGCGGATGCGGGGGCGACGATGATCTGGCCTGCGACGCGTCTGCCGCGTTACGCTGCCGGCCGAGAACGAGCAATTAGCTCACGAGAGGCGAGTCGAATTCGAGGGTGGCGTTTTCCACGACAGATAGCATTGAATGGTATTGATTCATTCCGGTATTATTAGCCGGCCGCCAGCGGCGAGCCAACTACCAGAGCGGTCAGGAGGATGTGCGGCGTCTGCGTGTGACGGGGTGCATGTCTGTGGTGGACATGAGTAAGGCTGGCGGGCTGGGTGAGCCGGGAGAGGTGCACATGCGCCTTGACGCGAGTGCACGCGGCACGCAAGTGGACGATGATGGGCGCTCAGCTCGGCGGCGGGATGGCCGGAGTAGGTCCGCCGGAGCGATGCCGGATATGGCGGGCATAGAGCGGCGGGGAGACTGGGGAGGACGGTGGGGAGCAGCGCGAGCGCGGGGAGAAGAGCTCTCGACGGATTGTGGCGTAGAAGTGACGAGTTGCCGGCGGGTGGCTGGCGGGATCGCTGGCGGGAGAAGAGCTCGCTGGAGGGGCTTCGACGCCGAGCGCAAGGACAGCGCGCAGGTCTGGGATTGGAAAATGCGCAGTTTCTCTGAGTTGCGGCGGATCGCGGGACCGGAGGGCCCGGAGGAGCTCCGGAGCTTGAAGGCCGGTGAAGCTTATTTGAGGGTGGAAGCCGGCGCGGGAGTGGAGGGACCCCGGAAGCAGTTGGGCGTGAGAACACCCTGGAATGGGGGGAGCCAATGGCGAGTCGACGGAGGGAGAGTGCCGAGGATCGTTCGATCAGAATCGAGATCGAGTTGACTCCGTGGATGTTCTGTGTGGAAGTTCTGGGATGTGTGGGCTCTCAGCTGCTCTGCGCGGAAGATCCCTTCTGCCAGAGTGAGGTGTTTACGTCCAGCTCCCGGTCCATTCCTCTAAGTCCTCCGTCCCAGCTGGCTTTACTCTCCAACGTATATTTACTCGTGACACCCGGCCTTCCCTGTTTGCCACCCCGCGTTCATCTTCTTCACTCCTTCTCTGCCTCGTGCCACCCGCCATGGCTGACCTCTACCCGCAGACCTACACCAACCGCCAGCCGTACCACCGCCAGGACTCCGCCCAGCAGTACTCCCTCTCCGCCAACTCCACCATCGTCTACCCCACCCAGCTCCTCTCCTCCCAGTCCGCCCTCCCCGACGACCAGAACAACAACCAGCATGAGGCCCACTCCCAGTCTCCCCAGCGCCAGTCCCAGTCCCCAAAGCAGGACTCCCCACCCGCCCAAAAGCCTGAAGGCGCGTCCCAGCAGCCCGCAAAGCCCCAGGCGACCTTTCTCACCAAGCTCTACGCGTACGCTCCCCGATCCACGCGTTTTCTTCCACGCTGACGCGCCCCTCCCTGCAGCCTCCTCGAACGCCCCGAGAACCACCACATGATCCGCTGGGATCCCCAGGGCGAGCACATCATCGTCGAGCGGCCTGAGCAGCTCGCGCTGCACGTCCTCCCGAGTGTCTATCGACAGTCGCGCTTCGCGAGCTTCTCCCGGCAATTAAATGTGAGCCGCCCTTCTGCTTCCTCGACTTCTTTCCTCGACCTCCTCCCGAGCCCCTCTCATTTATTCTGCACCGCTTCCTCAGATCTATGGCTTCATGCGCAAGGTTAATCTGCGCAACGTCGATCCCGCCATCGACGACCCTGATGCCAGCACTTGGTGTGAGTCATCTCCCCCGCGTCGTGTGCTGCCCCTGACCAGACGTGCGTGTCCAGCCCATCCCACCCTCAACCGTCACTCGCCGCCAGACGTCGTCGCCAACTTCAAACGCCGTGTGCCTCCCCGTCTGCCAAAGCCCCGCAAGCGCGACAACGACGTCCCCACCATTCCCCCTGCCCGCAGTACCCTCGGTATGGGCCCTGTTCCGCTCTCCCCTCCAGCCACGGCGGCCTCGCCCATCAGGGGCACTTCGCGCTCGCGGGGCTTCTCAGCCCCAGGGTCTTTCACCCCCTTGAGCCAGCCTGGAGCCCCGGGCTGGGGCACGAGCTACCCGCGTTCCACCCTTCCTCCTCTGACAGTCCCGGACTCGTCAATGTCGTCGCACGGTGGGATCTACCCGCACTCGGCACATCCCCTCCACTCGATAACCCCGACGGATGATACGCCTTCGTCAGCGTCCTTCAGCCCGCTGACGTACAGCCACCAAGGTCGCGACTCGATGATGCTGCCGTCGCCGTCGACGCAATACCCTTACACCGACCAGACCTCGAGCTGGTCCTTCTCGCCGAACACGAACTCAAGTCACTCCTCGGGCAGCCTCTCGAGTTTGCTGAACCCGAGCAGCAGCGTCAGCGGATACTCGACGGGGTCGCGAGCGGCGGCACCCCCGCCGATCAACACGTACTCGTCGTACTCGGTCTTGGGGCGCTCGCACCACAGCGCCGCACCGCTCTCGCCCGACAGCCGTCCGACCTCGGGGTACTCCATCTCGTCGATATCGTCGCTCGCCACGCCGTACGAGGACTCGCACCACTTTGCGCACGACTATTCGCGCCCGGGCTCGAGCCACCACGGGTCAGCCCGCCCGCTCACACCGTCGTCGTCCCGCCCGGCTAGCTCCAAGGCGTACAACAACGGAGGGTCGATGAGCATCCGCAGGACCAGACGGCACAGCCAGGCCGTCTCCCCTTACCCGTCGCCGTACGGCGACCATCCTCCGCTATCCGCGGGGTCAGAGCGCCCCTCGTCCTCGCCGCAGCCCGGGGATGAGCACGACGGCGCGGGTGGGATGCCGCGCGTGCGAAGCATGATCCAGCTGCCGAGCGTGGACACGTATGCGTTCAACCCCGCGCAGGGCGACTTTGCGTACGGTGCGGTGGACGAGCACCACGCACAGGCGGGGATGTACGGGGCGATGGCGGGGCGGAGTGTGCGGCCGTCGACGTCGGCGTCGTCGCTGTCGACGAGCAGCTCTGCGGCGAACACGCCGGGGGGGGACTTTGGAGCGGGGGCGGGAGAGGCGGACATCAGCCGATGTGAGTGAAGTCTTGCTCGGGTTGTGTGAACGGGCGGGCGCGCTACCTTTTTTTTGTTTTTTTGGTCGGGAGTTGTCGCTGACGTCGTGCTTTTTTGCCGTTCTGCGTTTGCTCGATGCGTGCGTGTGCTCAGTCTCACCGGATTTCGGCTTCGTCCAGATGAACGAACATATCCCGCAATACGTTAAGGGCGAGCTGTAGCCCCCCGCCGCCGAACGTTTCGCTGCGCCGCGAGTGGGGATTGCCCGATGAAGAAATTGCCATAGGAGGATTCGGAGAGTTCCTGCGCCGGGGGCCGTTGGCGCTACCCCAGGCTCGGTACCTGCCAGAATTGGCGAGCGCGGAGATGGGATTCCGCCGACGCTGGGGGGTGGGGTGGTCGGGGGCGCTGCGCAAGTGCAGGTGGAGGCGTCATCAGACGTGTCTGCGGATGTCGTTATATTCTTGTTCTCCTGCCCGTTTTGACGTGCGCGGATGCAGCCGTCTGCGCTGGACACTCGTTTTTCCATCTCCCCGTTCTGTTCGCCTCCCCCTTTTTTTCAATTCCTCATCATCATCACCTGCACCGGTCTGCATCGCCCTTCCGTCAAGTGTCTCTTGTCCGTCTCCCACCCGCATATTCGTACCCGTGCATACTCGTGCGTCCGCCCTTCCTCCCCTTGCTGTCCGTGCTCTCGCTCTCTGAAAACTCGCCGTTCGCGCGCATGTCGTATTGTCTGCGTATCTCGTGTCTTCGTATCGTTCGTTTCTTTACGTCTAGAGTGTGGCTTAGATACCTATAACTGATCGCGTTTGCTGGCTTGTGTACCTCGTAGAATACCCGTTTGGTGACAATGATATCCCGTTGGACTTTTGTGTATGGGTGTGCGATGTGAGTGCTTCAAATTTGGACTGCGTAGATGTGCACCGCGGTGAGAGTCTCTTTGCTTGCTCTCATGGGCGGATGAAATCGGCTACGGAGATTATGCATTATGTAGGGCGAAGTTACCCTTCTTTGTCAACAAAAATGGTGCCAAAATAGAGCGTATTTGCAACCTCCCGCCAAAATTTCCTACGCCAATCAGAAGGCAAACGTAGCCAAAAATTTGCTTTCTCGGAGCTCAGAGAACCGTTGCAAATGCACTCTAATTACTCAAAATGCCCTAATTTTTTCGTCTCTATTGCACCTGAGGGAGGTCAAAATCCGTCGCGATCATAGAAAAGGACCAGAAACAATGCATTTCCTGCGGTGGAATCTGCACAAGAAACTGTCGTGAAAGGAATCATTTCCTCTCACTGTCATAAGCCAGCCTGGCATCCAGAAATGCCTGAAGTGGCATTTACGGGCAGAGGGAATGCCACACCCCTTCAATCCATTCCATTTTAGTCTCATCTTGTTCAGTAGTTGCAGATGTATGCACAGAATCTCTGTGGTACTTTAGGAATGAATCGTTCTTCGAGCGATATCGCAGAAATTTAGCATCCGGTTTAACCCAGATTTAGGGCTCGAACGCGTGATCGCGTTGGTCGATCCAACCGATTCCAGCGCCAATAACCGTGGCCGCCAATTCGAATTGTCGTTGGGCTATAACCTCTGTGCGTGCAACGGCTCTCTCATCGTCCACCACGACGACCACCGCAACGTACTACGGCCATGGAAGACTCCAAAGTCCAAAGTCTTATTAACCAGTGCAAATCTAACGGTGCGTACTTTCTTTCCTGCCCAATCGTCAGCTCAACCTTGATCTCGCTCACCGCGCGCAGACATCGACGCAAAGGTAGATGCACTCACAAAACTTCAGGCAGAATTCGAGGCCGGTGCAGAGGTGTGTCTCCCTACCCACCTCGCTGATCTCGCTCACCGCTCACCGTCGCGCAGATCCCAGACCCCGACGCGCTCATCGCGACGCTCAAGACTTGTTTACGTACTCCCAACCAGCACCTCACCACCGCCACCCTCGCTGCGCTTCCGCCCCTCCTCCCCCTCCTTGTCGCCCACTTCCCCACTGCCCCCGGTACGGGAGCATCCACGCCCACGTCCCCCGCCGCGTCGACCTCCTCCGCCCACCCCGCTCCGGTCGACGCGTACACGCTCCGACAGGTGCTCCTCGCATTCCTCCCCGCAGGCGGCGTCGTCGACCGCCTCGGCGACGCTCGCGAGCGCGCGCGCGACAAGGCGCGCGAGACGCTCGTCCTCCTCGGCGGCATGGCCTTCCGCCTCAGCGGCGGGTCGTCCGTGCACGGCAGGCAGAAGGACGGCAGGCCCGAGACGCCCCTCGCGCTCTTCGAGAAGCATCTGCGCGAGAACGGGCTCGCGAGCAAAGTGTGGCGCGTCCGCGAGCAGGTGCGTGTTGCCGCCTTCTCTGTCGGGTTTGGGCGGGGTCGCTGACGTCGTTCGTGGCCGGTGTCGTGTGCTTTGCAGGCGATACTGACGCTGGTGCACATCCGGCGCGCACACCACCTCTTCCCGATCCGCCCGTACCTCTCTGCGCTCGTCGAAGCTCTCGAGGACACCGACGGGAACGTGCGCGAGTGCGCGCGGCAGTCCGTCGTGGAGCTCTTCACGGGCCCCGGCGTGACCGATGCCGCGCGCGCGGACCTCAAGCGAGAGATGGCGAAGAAGGGCGTCCGGAAGGCGATCGTCGACGGCGTCCTCGCTAAGCTCCTTGTCGGCGGCGGTGGCACGAGCTCGCCCGGCACGTTGAGCGAGGCGGGCTCGGAGAACGGAGATGCTGCGGCGGGCAGGGAGTATGTGCCCCCGAGCATCGCACTGATGAACCGCAGGCCGACCGCGGGCGCATTCACTGGCTCGAGCTCGGGCTCGGGCGCGCCGACGAGGACGGTGAGCCAGGGAACCGCAAGAGAACCGCCGAGGCCGGCGAGCAGGGCCGCTACTGTTCAGTCGCCTGTGCCTATAGAAGGCCCGAGTGCGCCCGGAGGTACGCCGGCAGGCGGGTCTGAGGTTAGGCCCGTATATGTGAGCTCTTTGTCTGCACTGCTGCCCGCTGGATACGTCTGAGCGTACTGTTTGTACAGATCGCTTCAAGTCGAGACTTGGAAACCGAGTTTGCTTCGATGCTTAAGCATTTCGAGGTGCGTGGCGTGGAAATCTCTGGTAGCGCATTACTCTGATTCATTCACAGGGAAAAGAGACAGAACACAACTGGGCGGCGCGCGAGAAGGCGATACAGCGCGTCCGCGGTATGCTCAAAGGTGACGTGCACGAGAGATTTACAGACACCTTCTTGTTCGGGTTGAAGAATGGATTCATCGACGCGTCCCTCAAGACGGTCAGTCCGCGCAGTCTTCTCGCAGCGTTTGTCACTTAACATTACGAAATCCGTCTCCAGCTCGTCAGTTTGCGGACGACGGTGTCTGCGAACACTTGCTTCCTCTACTCAGAGCTCGCCATCGCGCTCGGGACCGCGCTGGACCCGTTTTGCGAAGCGCTCCTCACCAATCTCTTCCGCATGTCAAGTCTGACGAAGAAGATCACCGCACAGCAGTCTCAGGCAACGCTGTCAACCATTGTCTCATACACGTCGGCGCACCCACGGCTTATCATGCCACTGTTGTGGAACACGCTCCAGGACAAGGCGGTCCAAACGCGGGCCTACGCTACAAGTCACGTGAAGACGTATTTGGAGGTACATTCGACCCGTTCAAGAAACGCAATTGAAGCCGCCGGTGGTGTCGAGGTACTGGAGAAATGCATTAAGAAGGCCCTCGGCGACGCGAACCCCGGCGTGCGAGACAATGCACGCAAGTCCTTCTGGGTGTTCGAGGGTGTCTGGCAAGAAAGAGGACGGGCGATCCTGGATTCGCTGGACCCTGTTGCGAGGAAGCAGCTCGAGAAGGCGTGTCCTAATCCCGAAGTCATCGCCGCTATCCCCGCCGTTTCGACGCCCATAACCAAGAAGAGCAGCGTCGCTGCTGCGATTGCAGCAAGTCGGGCCAAGGCCAAGGCTATCGCTACGGCTCCACCGACACTGCGGCATCAGGCGACTTCGACGTCGCATGCCGTGCGCGCTATGTCACCTCCCTCGAAGCGTCCTACCTCTCCGTCACTATCGACCAGCAGTTCTACTGGCGGCGTCCGGGCGACGTCGCCCACCCCGAGATACCCGTCCACGCAACCCCGTGCAAGGGTACCGTCTGCGACCCTCTCCCGGTCTGTCAGTTCAAGCGTCGTTTCTGCTGCCCGCTCCCGCAGTGGGCCACAACCACCCAGGTCGCCGCCATCTCCTACGCCCGATCCGACTTTACGCCGGCACGCCACTTCTCCGCTTGTCTCCACGTCACCGTCTTCGCCAAACGCCAACTCTGTCTTTCGGCGCGCCGTGCAGACAGCGCTGCCAGCGTCACCGCCCCGCGCGACGTTGGCCAATGTGTCCCCGACGCCCCGGCCGCCTGTCCCACGCGTCGGACTGCAGGCAGCCGTGCCCGTGCACCGCGAATCGCTGTCCATAGCGGGGCTGCACCACATGGCCGGAACGGAGGACGAGTCGCTCCTTTTGGCGACGACGATCCCCATCCCTGAGGACAGCGACTCCGAAATAGACGACGAGCCGGGGCAGCAGTACCCCATTTCTTTTTCTGCACCGTTCGAGATGTACCCACCCGTCGCGGCGCCGCGCTCGCAGGCCGCCTCGTTCTCGCCCAGGTCGAGCAGCTCGAGGCCCGGCCCGTCGAACGCGCTGTCCACTGCGACGAGCTCCCCGCCCGCGGGCGTGCCGCAGCCGATCGTTGAGGACGCGCTGCGTGCGCGTGCGGAGCAGGCGGAGAGTGCTGCCGAGCGGCTGCTGGAGCTCGTCGAGCCAGAAGAGGACGGCGCGCATCCGTCACCGATACCCCCGTCTTTACTCCTGAGAGGCAGCGAGGCGACCCCAAAGGTGAAGCCAGGCTCCAGGGCAACAACAGGCCCGACCTATTTCAAGGTCCCGGCGACAATGCCCAAGACGCCTGTCAACCGCCATGAGTCCATAATGTGGCAGGCGGCACTGTTCCAGGACAGCCCCGCGCCGAATGGTAAGACCGCATCTCTGTTCGACATTGTCGACGGCCGGGACCACGCGCGCGAGTGGTGGGGAAAGCGCATGTCACGTGAGGACGCGTTCTCAAAGAGTTTTTCCTTCTGATCGTGCGTTACTGATGTTCTCCGCTCCCTGTCATGCAGTAGTGAGTGATGGGTCGCCGCTTTTGTCTGTGGAGGACAGCGGTCGGGAGCTGCAAGGTTACATCTCCGTGCTGGAACAAGGTTCGGCCGATGTCCGCGTGCTCAAGAAGCTCGCGGGCTTGTGCACACAGAACCGAGTGGACGAGTCCATGTCACCCGTCTTCCCGGCGTTCTCCGTCCCCGCCACTCCTACTCCCCTCGCCGGCAGTTCGCGGGCCTTACCACCTTTGACGTCCGACCTTTGGACACCGCAGAAGAACTTTGATCGGCTGTTCAATGCCCTGATAAAGTTCTTAGATCCTCGAAAGGTGAGTGGTGGCGTGGAATACCGCGCACCGCCCCAGCACTGATCGTCTTGTTGTGAATGTGGTTCAATGGATCAGGACACAGAAGTGCTGGAGTATGGCCTGATCGTCCTGTGGGAGATGCTGGAGAACCAGGCGCCACTCCTCGAGGGGCGAGAAGCGGATATCTTCACCACCCTACTACAAACGCGATACTGTGCCCAGTCCAGCGTGAGTTTTGCCATACGGTCATTTTCGATTATTTGGAAGGCTCATCGAGCTATAATAAAATAGCTCATGCAAGCGACAAATATGTTCCGCGATGCTCTCACAAATCGTATTGAGCCCGTGTATGGCTTGACGACCCTGCATGCGAGCATCCGCGTATTCTGGGAGACCCCGTTCCCTGCGACATCGAATGTGGAGGTCAAAGATGGCACCTACGCTTTTGGCCTGATAGCGCTGGGTAAATTCATTCTGCGATTACCGGCAGAGGTCCTGGAAGACGAATTGCCTAGGCTACGGACGACTTTGATTTCAGTAAGATGCCGAATTTGTAGAGCGTCGTTGGTAATCTGACCGCTACTTTCAAAGGCTCTCACCGATTCGTCGTCAGAATCTTCTCTGATGGTGCGAGAGGCAGCCGCAGCCTCCATAATCGCGGCGCAGTTGGTCCTGCGCGATGAGACCCATCTGTTTGCTCTCCTGGACGGATTGCCAGACGATAAGAAAAATCTTCTCACCTACCTATTTGACAAGCACGGTTCGCGGGGCTCCGTCGAAACTACCGGCCCATCTGGAATGGAAAAACTTGAACGGGAAATGCGACGCTTGGATAACCGGACGAACACTCCGCCACGGCCCACTCAGTCAGGTATCGTTTCTATGTAGACTTCGTTTGTTATGCACCATACCCCCTTATGTCCCGTGAGGCGATGCCATTAGTCAATGCTTTCTGTTCATGATATTCTGTTCTATACATTCGTCACCTTCTCATATGCGCCCTGAATCGTACATGTCTCCTTCTGCTGTTGTGCAATTATCAATCAAGTAATGGAGTGTTTACTTCGTGATATGACAAGATATTAATGATGGAATGAATTGAACCAGAGTAGAACGGAGAAAGAAGTGTACCGAAGACGAGGCATCGTTACGCTGAAGAATTACGACGTGAGAACGGCTGGATGGAAATGAAGCAGTAAGAGGAAATCCTTCTCACATGCAACGCCACAATAATAGCTCATCTGGCCTTCAGGCCTTTACAACACTTTATCCGCGGCCACGATAGCCAATTGTCGCCGCCGCCTTGCAGTCTTCTTCAGCTCTTCCGCCAATGCTACCAGTTCGGCCGCATGCGCCTCCTCCTCAGCGGCCTGGGTCAATAACAGGGTCGTCATCTCGTCCTTCAGAGAGAACGCCGAAGTGCGACGAAGCCGCCAAGCGGGGAAAGAACACTCGAAGGCCGCCGATCCAGAAAGGCCACCGACCAGGGTCCCAGCGGCAAATTCCCCAAGCTCTTGTGGGTTGCGCGCGTCCGGAACAGCGGAAACCTGCGCTGCCGACGGAGACGCAGGACAATGTCTCTGACGTGAAGGCAGCCCCACTTCCTGGTCATCTGTCGTATCTTCATGCGAGCCTCGCAGCTCGTCCATGACTCGGTGGAAGTTTCGCAATGCGCCGGCAGACACCCCCGTGTGCACGTGTTGTTGAAGGGCCGTGGTAAGATTTGCCATGCTCTTGCGCTGGGTAAGGGCATGCACATCTGATTGGGAGGTTCGGAGCCCGCGCTGGGATGTCATTGGGAGGGGGGAACGGACATCTTGGCCTGACCGGCATGCGTCCGCGAGGGGACTTGAGTAGATTGCCTGAGATTGTGCTTTATCAGCGGTCGTTGTCTCCGTGAGGTCGGCGTTCATTAGCGAGAAGGCAATAACACTAGGAAATTCGGAACTGGGAGGCGGTGTAGGCAGGTACGTGTTAAGCTCTAACGACGAATTGACCGGCTTTGAGATGGGTGCGCATGATGTGGATTCGATAATTATTGCGGAAGATCCAGAGTCGGGATGAATGTATTGATCTTCTAGATCGGCTTCTCGTGGTGGATACGCTTCCGACGACTTCGCCAGCAGTATGCTGGTTTCCGACACGGATGCGAAGGAGTCGTCTTCGACGCAGGACGAGTCCGGTGTGTATACGCGCATAGGTGGAGTGCTCAAGAGGTGTTTCAGGATCGTTGGGCTGAGAGTGGGAAAGTACTTCATGCGCACAGGAGTGTACAGATAGAGATCTTTGCCGTAGAGGGCTGCGCTGCTCCCCGAGTGAAGGTCCACTTCCTGTTCTGTAACAGCAGCAGGACAGGTGGGCGGCGACGATTTAACTAAGGGACGCCGGTCATCCGTAGTCTGAGGAGCATTCTCCGCGTTGTCTGGTTTAATATCTAAGGCAGTAAACCATGCTTCCATCTTCTCGTCTTCTCCGCGAATTTCAGTAGCGAGTTCATCGAGCAACTCGCGACGGGAAGCCTGCAATGCGGGGAAGAGATCTGGAGTTCGAGTCAAACATGTGCAAACTTTCCTTGACCTATCCTCGCAAGAACGAAGAGGAGTTGTGTAGCAATCAGGGACGGCGCGAGACATCTCAGTAAATCAGCAAGACAACGTAAGCGAGCTGTCTCGACGTTTGTCTGCACGATTCGCGATCACGTGCTCACGAAACACCACTTGCTCTGCGGCTTCTACAGTAAGGTGTCAGTCGCGGCATAGCGGCGGAAATCTGGCGCACGAACACCAAACATATCGGCAACCATTAACGATAGCTCGCTGAGAGACTAACATCAGTCAGTTCTCCGCAGGCAGAGTATACAGCATATCAATGGCCAGCGACCCAAGCGCTCGATCAATTCGTGCCCTGCCATCCAGAAGATACACAGAGGACAGCACTTGGAATACATCTAACTGCACACTAAAGCATGGAACGGAAGACTCTACTCGAGTACCTCAATGATGATACACGTCGGATTGCACACAATGCGCACCTCGTACACGGCGTAGATGGGCAGCCGTCGCGTGAGCATGATCCTCCAATTAGACTGAAGATACTGCTGTGCGTGATATGAATGACCTGACAGCGCAACGCAAGAAAGCGACCACTCACTTCAATTAGTCCCATAACTATGCGTGCATGAACTAGACAGCACAGTCTCTTTCCGGCCCTAGGCCTGGACAAGAAGAATGAGGTGCCGAAGTCATCAGGCCTCGAGCAGCATTGACCCATCCGGGTCCGCTCCTATGGGATGCCCTGCGTTTCCGACGTGGGGAATCATCTGGATCCACAAGTAGGTCAAGATTGCTATCCCGCTGTACTGCCCTTTCCTCGCGGTAATTGACTTTCTGGCACCAATCCTCCCGGCTGACAACGACTCGGTCATCATGGTCGCGCACGTAAATATCCTTGTCCCGCCACACTCTGCGTCCCAGCTTCTCCTTCACCCGTTGGGTGTTCCGACCCAGGATGTCCAGAACGTATTCCCTGAACTCCTTAAGTTGTGCCACGTCTCGCTTGAGTAATTGAATATGAAGATTAATATTGAAATGCTCGTCTTGAGGTACTACACGGGCCTTCTCGTCGAAATCAGTGTCGAGGAAAGGTGCAGGCAAAATGTCGATGGTTTTTGAAGCCACATCACGTGAAGCCGACGTAGACGGTGTAAAGAAAGTAGAGAAAGAGGCTTCTGTCGGTGTAGGAAGAGGCAGTGGGGTAGGAAGCGATGGCGGTGTAGGAAGAGGATCCCCGACGAACGGTAATTCAACCTGCGCAGCGTCCGACGACGGAGATGAAGGTGTATCTGTATCCGATGACGCCAGCGATGTCTCAGGCTGAAGCAATTCTGCTGCATTCCATTTCTTCTTCACCCCTCTGTAGAACTTGATGTAGGACAGCTTCCGGTGATGGGCAGCCTGAATTTTATGGAGCACAAATCGCAGCAGCTCCATATCCTTTCCTCGATTGGCGAGGGAAAAGACTGGGAGGAAAATATTGCGATTGACGCTGATACGCGGAGGGGAAATATGCTCCGGCTTCGAGCCCTTTTTGCACAATCTCCGTAAGCGCTTATGGGTATTAAGGTCCAACTCCATTACTTCCAGGATGTAGTGTCGAGCAAAGGCTCTGTGCCCTGCTCGAGATATCCACTTGAGCAGTGTGGAATATGTCGTCGTATTGGTTTTGGCATGTGGGGCTCGATACGGGGCTACCCGTGGATTCGAATATCCGAAATCGTCCTCGTCGTCCTCGTCAAAAGGAGTCGAGGATCCATTTGACTGCGCTGGAAGAGGTGTGGTGAGAACCTCGAATGTCTGAACTAACTTGGACACGTCTCCAAGTCGTCCGAGCATATCGACGGTGGTATTCAAGGCGGCAGTGGAAAAAGGCAGCGGATCCATGAGAGCCATTCCGGGCTGGATCGCATTAACGTCCACCTCCTTGCCCTTATCCCAATATTCCAATGGAGGACGGTCAGGATAGGACAAGTCGATCCCGTACACCATTTTCATCAGCTTCTCGAAACCGGCCATATCAGACGACTCCTTCATAATACGCATGATTAAGTCCACGATCCCAGACGTGAGACGCGCGTTCTGCTCCGACATCTGCTCGAGAAGTTTCCAGCATAAGTCGGTAACTTCAGAGACTAACCTGGGGCGCAGCGTAAGCGGGTACGGGAGAGTGAGACGATGACACAGAGCTTGAAGACAGAGCCCGAAAGTTTTCGTCGTCTTGGGCAACTGAACGGACGCGATCTCCTCCAGAACCAACATCGTTCCACGATAGTGGCCGACAGCAGCGAATTGCTGCAGGATGAAGTGGTAGTCCTCCAGTGAAGGAGTCATACCAGATGTACGGATGTTACGAATGACCGTCTGGAAGCGCGTCTCGTGTACATGCGTGGATTCGCGTATGGCGCCTTCCCCCATCAGAGTTGCGATCATAGCGCGATGCTGCTTGGCATGCTCTGTGCATTTTCGCAAGACAGCCTGGTGAATATGCAGAGGAAGCTTGTACGGCCCAAGGGTATTGACCAAGTCAACATAGGAGCCCCATACGGGACCTGGGGACGTGTCTTCCCGAGCCAAAAGATCCCCCAAGTTCTGCACCTTCCTGTGAACAAGTCGTTCTCTTGTGATGCTGCTGCTGCTATCTCGGGAAGGTTCGCCTAGGACAGGGAAGTGGGCAGCGAGAATAGAGTGACATGGAATAGATGTGTGAAGACGGTGTAGACGAGGAAGCGCTATAGAGCGTGAATGCCGTAGTAGCCCAACATTCTCGCTGATGCGATACCTTCGCATGAATAGTCACTGCAGCTTGCAATTGCTGAACGACCTTTGACTGTCTTCGAAAATCCATAGATGGCACGTGATGAGACGTCAGTTCCAATTTCCCAAAACGAGCAACTCTCAAACTCAAGCTCTTGGCAATGGGTCTTTGAATCTTCGCAATCAGAATTTACAACAGTCTCTGCTCTGGACGCTTGTCGCGTGTGGAGAGCCTATTTACAGCAACCTCTTCCAGACGATCATCCTCTCCCTTCCTGCATGCGACCCGAGACTGACCTCTGGGGCTTCATCGTAGACCTTCTCCCAACCGGCTCCGAGCGGTCCAACATAGTGCTCTGGTCTGACGTAGAAAGGGGGCCCAACCTCTTGCGGTGGATCAATAGGAAAGACGAGCGTGATGAGATATCCACCCGGCTTCACTATGGAAGACATTGTTCTGCCCCAATCGTCTCGCTGGGAGGGTAGTATCGCCACGAAGAATCTTCCAGTTATGCCATGAGATGGTCTCTCGTTGATGGCAAACTGATTTATACTCACGTGTAGTCATATACTAGATCAAATTGCTTCGGTGCGGATGAGGCCAGTGCGAAAAAGTCGTCCAGTTCGATAGTCACCTTGACCGATGAGGGTAGATTGGATCCTTCTACAGCGCTGGAACAGCGAATGGTCGGGTCAGCAACACGTTTCCAACATAAGATACGGCTCAATCGTTCTTTGCAATGACACTCACGCTTTTGCAGCTGCAACCGCTGTGGGCGATATATCGACCGCAAGAGTATCCAAGCCCAGATTGGTGGCGATCAACATAGCATCATATCCCTGTATACGCCTATGAGGTTATCATTTCAGGTTGTGTATCTGCCCCAGAATTCACTCACTCGACCACAGCCTGGGATGAGGGCTCTTCCAGATGTAGGCAAGTCGAGAATTTTCGATTCTACCAGCTGTCGTAACGCTGGCTGGGGCTGTCCTGCATCCCATGGTGTCACATTTTCCTGCCTGCAGCCGATCGTAAGCAATCTACCCCCGCAAAGCTCCACCTAGTAGGTCACCATGCTTTGTCCCACCCGGCCTCTCGATGTTCCGAGATCAGATCCCGCACTCGTTGTTGAATCGGATTTCCAGGTAATAAGGCCATGTAGCTTGCCACTAGTACTGGAATAAGCAGTCAAGGGGGGAAGGTCAAGGTTTCGGAAGTATTTATCTGCCAAGTCATCTTCTCGATCTCTTGGCCCTCCACCAAACAAGTCTCGCATTCATATTCACCAGCCGCTGTGTTCTTGCCACCATCTTCCCACCATGCCGCCGAGTTTAGAGCTGCTCGTATGCAGCTAGGGCTTGCCAAGCTCACCATGCTGTTACTGTTGGGACCACAGTAGTATCGATACCCTGTCTACTGGCTTCCACCATGGAGTGTCTCGATGTTCATGTTGCGCTGCAGTCAGGACACCTGCCTACCTCTGATCAGCATCCTTGCATTAAAATGATGCGTCCATAGTAGCCGGTACATGGCAGAAAACCTGTTTCTTTTTCAGAAGCAAGCCTGAGGCGGCTGAGAAGGCTGAAATTCGCCAGATCAGGTCGAGCTCACGTGATAGCAGTGAGTTATGCAAACCAATTGGCCAGTTGGCTGAATGACTTAATGAATCACAGAGTCTCGCTGAAGTTGGTCACGAATAGAACAAAAAAATCGACGTTTCTTCGATGATAAAATGACACCAACTTCTGAGCGAGGAGTTGTTAGGGCTGGTGGTTTCCCAATCAGGAAACATATATTAGTCAGCACATAGGTATGTCGGAGAACATACTGGAATCTCCTAGAATTACTGTGTAGTATAAATATATGGCCCCAACCGCATGAGCCCCTCATGCGCTTGTGACCCATGGCCTAACAGCCGAGTGAGTAGTAGTGATCAACCTCACAATAGGAGTCAGCAGTCGGCGCACTGGTGTGAGTCATAAATTATTATACAGCCTGCAGCCATATAAGTTTAACTCTTTACACACATTGACACTAGTACGCAGAGCTGGAGCAACAGTCCAAAATTTCCCGGGACTGTAAACAGATGCCTCGTGCCATGTACTCTGGGGTGTACCAAAGGGCGCGACACGCAACCCGTGAACCTCGTGCACTCGGGTTATTTGGTCAGTAGTATTCCTTGCAAGTAATTGTTGGACACACTCAGTTATTATTCCACCTTCAATACAAGGTCGATGGCATGCGTGCGATGACACAATTCTACTGGTAAATCACGACCATCAGAGTCTCGCCCTCACTATCCAGCTGAGGCATCTCGTCGCCCCTCACACGAGATAATTCTACAGTCCAGTCCTACGGCTGTCTTTTTCGGATATCATGCACGTTCCTTGGCAAAAATGTGTTTGAGTTCCGAACCTGCTTACTACTGGGCAGCGGAGAGAGGGTGGCCTGGAACAGGTGCGGTGTGCCATCTCTGTCCCGCTATCATCTCCATCTACCAAAAATGTGTATCACTGACAATCGTCTCCCACGTCGAACTTGAAGTCTCCGTAAAGCTGTTCCCGTGAGTACCCTCCTGTCTTCGTGCGAACTTACCTGGGAACCGAAAGCTGCTTGCTGTTTTCGGTCACGCAGAACCTGCTGAAACTTCCAGAAGGATTAGGATCGTTCTGATGCCTTCTCCATTCAGTAAGTACCTTGCAGCGTGCCGCGTGCGGCAGATGGAATCGGTCCACCGTGATGCTATGAGATGGCACTCCATTCAGTTATTGATAAATCATGCAAGCACATGTCTAGAGTGTCTTGAATGCCTTGACGGATTGATTACTGGCGGACTGCTGCGCCGATACCTTTGCTCCGACGGTCGAGAACTGATATTGCGGTCAGATATTGCTGCTTGAGTAATCCAGACCCGCCAACTTTTGCAAAGTCGCATTTTACTCTGTCGTTCCCCGGCGAATTGTGCGTTTGTTCTGTTCCTGAGATCGGCCCGAATCATCGCGCGAAATCTTCTAGTCAGGATTTTTTGGCAATCGTGGAGAAGCGGTGAGAGCTGTGTCGTTCTGCAGGTTCTCCCCTTCTCGGTTTTAGCGGTTGCCTCTGAGGCTTTTGGATTTGAGATGTCGTCAATGCTCAAATTCGGTTGGACCGTGCTGCTTCATCGCCTTCAATATGGCGATGGGACTGGAAATTTGCTCCTCCGTCTGTACGTCACGTTGTTCGCGATAACAGCTCGTGCACGCGTCCAAAACCACAGCCGCATGATGGACCATGCTCTAGTCCGCTGGATACAATGGACTATGATCGCGTGAGTCGACCCTGCGCCCTCCAACATGAGCATCAAATGAGCATGCGTCTAACATACAACTCAGTTAATTTGCGGCAGTCCACTTACCCCTCCGGCCCACAATTCAATGGCGCGGCCGGCCTCCGTTGGGCGATAGGAGACAAATGAAAGTTACCGAGTCAACCGCTCCTCGCAGCATTGATCCTGCATGCCTTTTTAGCTTGCGAGCTGCTTCTGAGGTTCTACCGCGACGGCTTCTTCCCACTGTGATAGATCTGCTTCCGGACGCCACAAAGTCTTGCATTTCCCGTTTCGATTCGATCCAATATCTCAGCGATCTCGCATGTCCTGATCCAGTAGGCCGGAGGTGTCCGGGGGTCTGACCGACCACGCCGAAATAGCATCGGCGGAAGGTCGAGGCTCCAACGCATCTACCGCAGTGCGGACATGGAAGGCACTTTAGCTTTTCTGGTTATCCGTACTATGGGCATACCTGTGTTGGATCAGTCATCTGTGGGATGTGATGATGCTAACAAAATGCTAACGGCATCCGCTTCAAAACAGATGAACTAAAAGTACAGATGAACTTATCAGCGCAGGCTGCGCACGCAGCACGGAACACCAAGTGGAAATGGGGCAGTGATAGCTCGCAGATCTGGACCAGGGTTTCCATCCTCAGGTTCTATCAAGCTCAAGCTTTGCGCACATCTACACATGCTTTTCATTCACAACATGAAGTCGCCGAACAGCAGCGCTAATTGCTGCAACGAAGGAGTCAAACCAGCAGAAATTAATCATCGTCGTACCGCCGTTTCGGCTCGCCGCCCCCCTCACTCTCAAGCGAAACTCAGGTCGAATGAGGAGACTATCCCGTGCACGAACGGGGCGCCATGGAGTCCTAACGGGTAGTCCGTTGTCCGCAAACGAGCGACAATCGCAAGAGTTGCCCGGCACTTGACCATCCATCCGATGGACGGCCAGCTGAGAAACCAATGATGGGTCGGGGAGGCACACACCTCGGGAATTCTCCGTGTGCTACCCCGCGTGCATGCGGATGTGCTTTCGCCCCGTCCGACTCTTGCTTAGCCAGCAAGTGTTGGAGGAGCAACGAGGGTGTGGCGGAAAGATCCGCGACGGCGAGCACGGAAGATAACGAGTCAGGAGTCCAATGCTTATCACACAATGAGCCCGCCAACGCATGAACTTTGCCTGTGTGCTGAACGCGTCGTTCTGGAAGCGTGCTGAGGAGAGGATGGATGAGTGATCTTTAGCTGGTTGACGTAAAAAGGAAGATCTACCTCAGATCAAGTTTTCACACAGAGGCCTACAGCGGCCAGCTCGGAGAAGTGCAAATCCTCCGCTGGGATTGGAGAAACGCGATTCGCCGACGGCACTAGCACGGCAGGACCGGAGTTGAGCTCTGGCCAGCGCACAAGGTGATAACATTGCACAGAGCAGACAGACGGGTATCTCCAGAATACAGCCGGGGTATTGTAGGATGGGAGAAAAATAAACGGACACGGCGGCGCGCGAACGAGTCAAATTGTCCGTACGGCGAATGCGATACATATGCAAATGATGGAATTCTGCATGATTAATTGTCAAGATGTCGCTAAGCTTCTTCCAATCACCAGGAGAGAATTAGGGAGGATGCGTACATTTGAAAATACTTCCTGAGCTACAGCATCCGAGTCTTCCCAGTGGCACGCCATATCTGCTCTGCGCTCGCAATGTCCAAATGAGTTGCGGGTCAGGATTTTACGTGCACTCACCTCCCTCCCTGCCCCAAATTTTCATTGATCTGTGTCATAACGATAAACTTACTGTAAACGCGCACTACGTCAGCCGCAACGACACAGGTCCGATGGTGCCACCTACAATCCTCTAGGTTGTATCTCTGCACGGCACATGCGTCAGCTCTCCGCCAGGGTCACTATATGCGGGGCGCACCAAGCATTCGTTCCTTGACCCGTTCGCCGATCTCCTTCATCCACGCCTTGATGCGGTCGCGCTCCCTCGGTTCTGGCCAGCTAGCGTTGTGCAAGGTCGTCTGGAGGAGTTTCTTCATATACGCGCGCAGCAACTCCACATCGAACGTCTGGCGTGGCGAGGCCGCGCCGGAGCGGGGCGTGGTAGGTGAACGCAAGCCCGAAGCCATCGTAACTGACCGAGTGTCCAGAAAGTGAACGCAACGCGTAGCGAATGTGAGCCGCGCTCTTGCAAGTGTGATGTGACACGACGGGAGTGAGTGTGACCAAGCACGTGGCACGCGTCCACGTATTGTGGCGGTCAAGCGCGCGCAGCCAGTGCAGTGACGGCAGGTCGGCTCACACCGCTCCCTTCTGCGCGCCCACCACCCCGTCGTTCCCCGCATTAATGTCCTCGATAACCTTCCCGTACTCTGGTCCCGGCCATGATTCTGGGTCGTCGTCCGCGGAGCATAAGTCGCACCATTACTCGGCGTTCGAAGGTGTAAGCGTCTCGGGCACAGACGAGTTCCAAATGAACCCGCTCTCGTCCCACCCGCCGCGCACTCCGCGCACGTCGGTCGCGGGCACGCATACTTACAGCGCTGAAATATATCGAGCGCAAGAGCAAGAGGAAACCGTCGAGCGGAATTGGGGGAACGATAGCGAGCTCGAGGAGGAGGACTCTGCTGCGAAGGCGCAGGCGGAGGGGAAAGTGCGGAAGGAGGAGATCTGGAAGGAGATGCTGTCGACGAGTTATGGGCGGGACAAGACCTTCGTGCGTGTGCTGTTCGTCCACACTTCGTGTGTTTCCATGCTCATGTGATCCCTGACTGTGCGTGCAGAAACTGATGCAGTATTCGCTGCGCATGTACCTGCTCTTCCACACGTCTCTCCTCGCCTCAGCCGCGTTCAAGAACACGCCGCGCCCACCTTGGGAACGGGAGCTCGTGAAGCGTTTCGAGTCGGCGATCGGCGGGTTCTCGCTTTCCAGGTCAGGTCCGCGCACAAGGCTGAGTGCCCCCAATCCTCACTGACTCAGATCCCACACAGAAAATGCCTCATCCTCTTCAACTGGCTCGCGCCGCTCAACTCCATCCTCACACAGCACTCGTCGGTCCCGTACGCCTCGGACGTGTCCGCGCCGGCACAGAAGTCGCAGGCGAAGAGCACGCCGCTGCTGTACACTTTCCTGCACACGTCCCCGCCGGTGCTGCTCGAGTTCATCAACGGCGTCTCGGACGACGTGTACACGTTCTCGCGCCTGGGCCTCCTCGGGCCGAAGACGGGCGCGCGCGCGGGGCGCTTCGCGGACTGGTGCTGGTTCGCGAGCACCCTCGTGAACCTGGTCGAGAACACCGTCGAGCGCGGCGTGCTCCTGAATCTGCAGCACGAAGGTGAGACAGAGATAAATCTTCCCGCGCATTCACATTCACACACCGCTTACCGCGCCCGCGCAGTGGAGTCGCGGCTCTACTCTGAGTCGCTGACGGGCGTGACGGGCAAGTCGAATCCCGCCGCACAGAAGGTGGACGAGAAGGAGCTTGCGCGACTGCGCAGGCAAGACTACTGGATCCAGGTCACGCGGATGAAACTGCTGATGGACCTCGTCTACGTCTGTGAGTGCACTCAACCCGCGGCGGCTGACTCGTCGTTGACCGATCCGCATCAGCGTACAACGTCTTCCGCCTCAGGCGTGCGAAGAGCTCAATACAGACGATCACCGGCCTCGCCTCGGCGGCGCTCAGGTAAGCTCCCCTGCCGTCCACAGCGGCGCAAGTCACTCACGACCGCGCATCCGCTTCGCAGCTCCGCCAAGCTGTACGACCGCCACAAAACTTCCCTGGTCAAGGCCGTCAACCTCTGACCCAATCGCGCGCGCGCTTGCGATATGATATATACCCCGCGTTTTCGACTGCGCGCCCTCCCCTTACTTACCTCGCCACGACGATATGCTTGCATGCTGTGTTGCTGCCGTGGCTTCTTGGCGTACTAATAGATTCCGCACTGTAGATTTCGGGTAATCGTGAGGATTGGATATACCTTCATTGCGAGGTGGACGAATACATCGAGGTTAGGTTAGATCTCCATCGTAACCCGAGAGAAAAGCCGTCAGGCTCGTTCAACGTTCAACGTTCAACACCGACGAGATCCCGCAAGCGAAGGAACGCCGCGAACACCATGAATAAAACGAGAGGCAAGCGAGTGCGCATCAGAGCACTCAGCCCTCGGGTCACACAGCAGAGCTATTTCCGCTTCGACACTTTCTCATAGATCGGCAAGCACACAGACCTCAATACATACTCCTACTATAAGATTGCATGTATTTACAACTCAATCGCTGGAGTGAAACATGAAGTCGCGGTGGATCGGTATAAAAAAACGTTATCAGTGCCTTCCTCACTCCGGCCACGTCACATCACGTTGAGGAATTTCCTGATGCAGATGAGATTATGGGCGCTAATTTTTATATCAGGATATACAATAGGACCCTGGATAATCCCCCCAAAGGTCGTCGCCAAAACCCCCCCAATTTACAAAAATCTGTCCGGCCCATTTTTGGCCGGTTTAGGGAGTTTTTTGTCCGGAAATAGCGACATCCTCGCTCTGGGAACGTCCATTTTAGGTAATTTGTGGCTATTTTTAGCCTTTTTCGGCTTTTTCCGGCGATTTTCCGGCGATTTTTGCCCCAGAACAGTTCCATGTCCGGATAGTAAGATATACCCACTTCATCCTCGACTACTATCACGTGACCTTTTTGTCACGCTTGGCGGGAGAAACACACTGAATGGCTAATTCCTCCATGCACAGGACAAGCATCAAAAATATGCTTCTGTAACTTTGTAGAAGATGATTTTTGAGATTTAGTTACAGAAACAGATTATTTTATTTTGGAGGAGGGATGGAGAAATTAGGCTGCTAGTGCTCCAAATTCACACCTTTCCCCGCCAATCTCGCGCCACCGTGACAGACTTTGGCTGAGGCACCTGATGTGTCACGCTGTGATGATAGTAGTCGAGGATGAAGTGGGTCTATCTTACGACGGCTACATGGTCCTTAGGGGGTCCATTTGTCCGGACATGACGACGGCGTGAGGTCGATTTTCGCAAAAATCTGTCCGGATTTGGCGACGACCTTTGTGGGGATTATCCAGGGTCCTTATACAATGTGATGTGACATCTCGCCGATAAGAGCTCTGGAATCCCCACGTCGAAGTCCCCTTCTCATCCTGGATGGCAGCAGATGGCTTCAGAAACATTGCCAAAACATTCCAGCGTGCATAAATAGTATGCCTGGCATCAAAATTTTCGGACGTCTGCTGTGAACTGAACATCGTACAAGCACCTTTTTGCAAATTACACTCATAATCGGTGTCTCCAAACAGATCCAGAGGCCGTACAATCTCTACAAGCTTGGAGAAGATAGCTCTAGTATATTCAGATATGATTTTAAAAAGTTCGAGTGGAAAAGGTGGCCAGCAAGCCAGAAAATGCAGGGTGGCCGAAGGACCGGTATAAGACTGTACCCATTTTTCCTGGACAAAACTCTGTGAGTAACGAGTATGGAATTCGGGAGACAAGAAACGCACTGCAGCTGGGCTCCCAAAAATGGGTAGCCATGGCAAGTCGGCCGTAGCGGCTCTCAGTGAGAAACTGCAGCTGCAGATGCTTGTTCATTCTCGACCAAATTCAAACCGCGGCCGTTCTGCTTGAAGAAAATCGGAGGAACAAGCTTAAGCTTAGGTGGGAACTTTGCAGTTATGCAAAAAAACTCCGAGAGGCTGCAGAAATGTCGCGGAAGAACGGGAGGCCGAACTCGAATATTATTGTAGTGGCTCAAGCTGATGTTGGGTTGGGCAGAACGAGCCTAATAACACAGCTTCCGCCCACCGATCATCCAAAGACAAAACTTGACGTTGCAGTGTACGACGTCCAGTGCGGTTCACTGTTAACGCCTCAGCGCCGCCCGTCGAGGACCATGCGACAGCAATCACTGTCAGCTAGAGCAGTGCGATTGCCAAGGGATCCCATGGTGTCACCGAGGGTTGATTCAATTTGGGATCCCATGGACCATCGAGTGTCTACGCCACGAACGTGCACGGGGTAGCTGTATACGACCTGAAGCACTCACTCATACCGCGGATGCGATCTGGCGGCAGTCGCAGCTCCGGACTTGAACGCGAGGTGGCACATCCTCCGCGAGGACACCACCACCCCAGCTTCCGTCTCAGAACGATGCGCGCTGCCATTCGACGAGGGCGTGCGCGTTGGCTCCACGTCGTGCGCGGGGAACCCTAGAGTGCACATGCGGGATACCGATCCGGGACGAGGAGGATCTGCGATGATTTATGCGGAGACGCTACCGTTCTGCTGCGGAGTACTGCTGCGGAAGGCAACGTTCGCACATGAAAATTTGACATTTGGATGATCACAAGTCATATCGAGAGGGTAATTGCGATATCTGTATCAGCGGCTTCGCGGATATCGACGAAGAGGGCAGGATAGGCTTTTCTGCGGACGTGACGCGATTCTCCACTGCAGCCAGCAGATAAGTAAAGCAGACAGACAGCTCGAGAGACATCAGTATCGTGACGTCGGTCAGGCAAATCAAACGACGGTCGTACTATATAGATAACGTACGAAGGCTTCGGACTTTCCGACAGGACCATTTACCACCAAGGCCACCAAGAGCGCGACTTGGCGTCGGTGGCGTGCGTGTCCCGAACGTGCGTAGCGTCTGAAATGGCATACTGTGCCTGAGTCTGCTGGTTTCGGAGGGCCTCCACCTCCGCCTCGAGCTCGCGCACCCGCGCGCGTGACTCCTCCAAGTACTTTTCGTGAGCCAAATTGGACTGCAAGAGACGGGCGCCCTGGCATGGGACGTCGTTCGGTGTGTGGAGGGGTCAGGGGAGGCGGAGGGGGCGCACCAGGTAGATGGCAGATCCGAGGAGGGCGATGGGGATCATGCCCGGGACGAGGTCGGAGTAGAAATGGGCGTGCCGCGACAGGGCGGGTTTTGAGGAAGCGCCTGTTGTGTACGCTCGCGCGCTGGCGGCGGTGGGGCTAGCGCGAGAGGGTGAGGGACAGGGCATGGCGTGGAACATGCGTGTGGAGCTCAGGCGGGGGTGCTGCATTGTGTGCGAGCGGTGGGCTGGTGGTTGAAGGTAAGGTCGGTGCACGTGGCTCACCTCATGCGTCGGTCAGATGCATGGATAGCGCACTATACGGGGCTCTCTGGGGCTTTTGGCTACTGGAGTGATACCAATGGAGACAGATTCTACAAACAGGCTGTATGTATCGAGCGTAGAGCATGCATGGACCGTCCAATGAGGAGACGGGGATATGCAGGCCGAGGTGGCTGCGCGCGCCTGCCCCTGCGCTACCGCGTGAGAAGCCCGCTCGTTCCACCACATACTTCTTCTCCTCGTCCTCGTCCTCGTCCTTGTCCTCGTCCTCTCCCGGTCCTCCTCCCCCCGGGCTACCTTCTTTGTTGGACTGGTTTCCAATGGCTGCGCCCGCTTCCCATACATCTCCTCAACCCTCCCGCTCTACCCAGCACAGCCCCTCTCACAAATCCCTTTCGCCCCCTCGCTTCCCACATCCAGTAGATGTCTTTATCGACGAGAAAGCCCAGTACCCTTCCTCCGGCTTACCAGCGCGCGTAGAAGCTGCAGCTCGCGTAGACACCCGGATACCACTCGCGTTTTCGCCGTGTTCCCCAATACCGTTGATTCCTGCCTCCTCGTTACCACCTCTTCCTCTCCCACCATCCCATACCTCCTCCCCGTCGATATCCAGCTGGTCTGCACCAACTCCATCGTACACACTGCCCCGCCGGCACCGCATAGCTAATCTACTCAAACCTTGGTTTCCAATAATACTCTACGCTGCTACTAGTCTTGCCTTTCTAGTTGCCATTGCATTTTGGAAAGAGCCTGTCTTCCAAGGTATCTTCTACCGCGTTTCCACCCCGTTCTTCTCAAGCCGCACATGCTCAATTTGCCCCCCAGGTCTTGATGCGCTGTCGCATTGGCTGCAGACCGATGAATATCTCGGTTACGCCATCATTTTTTCTCTCATCTTCATCACCACATTCCGTAAGTGTGCTCGATGCGCGCATTGTCTGCCCCGCTCACCGTTCGCGCACCCAGCTCCTGTCCCACTGTATTCGACGTTCATTGTCCTCTCCGGCTACACGTTCGGTCCCTGGATCGGCCTCGTTCTCTCCTATCTCGCGTCCCTCGCCGGCGCCCTCGCTGTATTCCTCCTCTCCCGCGCCTTCTGCCGCGGCCTCATCTCTCGCTGGCTCTCCTCCACCCTCACCATCAAGCGCGTCGTGCGCGCGATCGAAAAGCGCCCCAAGCTCCTCTTCCTCATCCGCCTCGCGCCCTACCCGTACAACGTCATGAACTGCCTCCTCGCCGCCTCGCCCTCGCTCTCGCTGCGCGCCTACACGCTCTGCACCGCGCTCTCCCTCCTCAAGCTCATCATCCACACCACCATCGGCAGCTCCATCCACTCCTTTGCCGACTACCACGTCGCCCGCCCCGGCGCGCCCCCGCACCAGGAGAGCGCGCTCGGCCGCTACTCGTCCATCGCGGGCATCGCGCTCTGCGTCGCCATCTTCGTCTACCTCTCGTACATCACCCGCGTCGCCGTCGAGGACGGGCTCGCGGACGAGGACGAGGACGACGAGGGGGCCGGCGGCGCGGGCGAGGAGCGCATCGCGTTCCTCGCCGCGCGCAGCGACGATGCGCTCGACGTCGAGGAGCACATGGCCGAGGCGCCCGCGATGCACCAGCTCGGCGGGCGCGTGCCCGTGCGGCACGCGGACGCAGACGCGGACATGGCCGTCGCGACGCTGCACGCGGGCGGACTCTGATGGACTCTGTTGAGCGTTGACGTATACTTAGTATTATTCGTGCGCCGGACACTGTATAAAAGATCTTCTTCTTCGTTACTTGTACCCGTCGTGTAGAGTAGGAATGCGCCTGCCGCGCGAGATGGCAAGTAATGCACTGTCGTTTTCTTGGACTCGGAGTTTGCGTGCGCGTTCCGCGGGTGATGAATTTATTCGTGATTTGAGGGGTGGAAGGAGGACGGTTAATGCAATTGCGTTACTGTACCGGTCGCGTTGCAGTTGATGATATCCAGACGAGTCTGTTTGCTACAAGATCTCTGTCGTGTTCGTGTCACCTGTGGGTGGGTCCCTCCCGTGAGACGCGTCGTTGCTCAGAGGAGGATCACCCCATCGAAAATCGGCCGTTGTCCTCCTACAACGCACGGCCACGAAATGAGACATTGATATCGCGTGGCTCACAGAATGCTGCACGCACATTCTCGCAACAAAACGCAAGGGTATCTTATATTAGGTACGACAGATATACTCCACATCTCCCAAGAATTACAGCCTCTGAGGTAACCAATGTCCCCTTAAGCTCCGCGCGACAGCTTGCTCTGCCGTGTCAAACCCGACGGTGCGTTGCTCAGCCACAACAGCACGGCCGTTCCCTTCATCGGCCATCCCAAGGAGAAGTGCGCGGCCCTGAGAGAAATGCCGCAAAGCAACCGTGGCAGACTCGGTCGAGCGGAGACTTCCATCGACCTCGTCGGACGGTTCGACTGCCGAGTAACAGGACGACCACGAAGACTGCGTTTCTAGAGCGACGTTCTCTTCTGCTGCGTCCTGGAAACTATGCGGGAAACGTGAATCAAAGCCAGGATCGAAGTCGCCCATCTGGGAAAAGGGCGCAGAAACCGAGTAATTCGCTCGATCGGGTGCTAATTCGCAGTCCACGGGAATCGGAACGCAGGTAGAAGCCAGGGAGTATGAGCCATGCTGGGTATAAGCGGACACATCTTCCTCGATCTCGGATACCAGGTCGTCGTCATAGTCAGCAGCGTCTGACAGCCATGAGGCGGACGCTTGATGGTAACGACTGTCGTGAATAACATGCATCTCGGCCGAGTGCCCATAGTTCGGAGAGTAGTAGAGTTGCGTATTTTGATCACCGTGAAACGAACCAGGTGTCATTTGTGCGAAGATACGTTGAAGCCCTTCGTACTCGCGGTCGCTGTGTGCGTGATCCCCGGGATCCTCAGAGTCGCAGTCCACTCGGGTCATATCGTTGCGGAAGCTAGGTGCGCCGTATCGTTGAGGAGTCATCGCCTCGGGCCAGTCTGCGCAGACAGGAAAACGATCGGCATCCAGAGTTTGCAACGCACGGTCCAGAGTGTCCACAGAGACGGGTGAAGAAAGAATGTGATGTGGAAGCGATGGACGGTCAACGTTACTAGTGGGAGACATTGCCTGCATATCATTCATGGGATGATCCAAAGTCTTCAATGACTCGATCGGAGGAGCAGTAAGGACAGGGAGTTCTTCGCCATCAGATAAAAATTCCTCCACCCGAGCAGCGGTGTTCTCATGGCTGGCCCGATGAACTTCGTCAAGTCCTTTTCGGTCATGCGCAGGCGCAAAGAACTTGGAGACGGTGTCAGGAATGAACGGGCTCACAGCGGGAGGAACGCGCAGACAATGCTGAGACGCGGACTGTGATGGACCCAGAGAAGGGGAGGAACGGCCTAGAACAGGGTTGGCAAGATCCAGGGAACTGTCCTTTCCAATTCCGAAACCGCCCTTCCGATCTTCGACAAGGGAGGAATCTTCGTCGACTGCATTGACACCGCCCATAGAGCCACGCGATGGAGAATGAGTAGGAATCGCTACCTTACCCTCTCCCCACTTAGAAGCCCGAGTATTGAGTGTGATCGACGCATCTCCTGGGTTCGCAGACGTATCCGAGGCAGACGCAGACGCAGACGCTAGAGCTTTTGAATCGAGTTCGATGTCCCAGATCACCGAAGCGTCTTCCCTCTTACGTCTCTTCACAGGAAGGCTACCTGTGGAGACCTTCTCTGTTACTCGCGCTACATGGTTCTTTTTTCTTGAGATCTTCTTCTTTCCCTTCGGGTTATCCGCCTCCAAGATCGGCAGTTCGGAACTTGTTCGCACGTCAAGTGAACGTTCAGACGCGCTATCCGAGAGAGATGACGATTCGTTGGATGCTAATGCAGCATCCTGATCAATAGGTCTAGTCTTGCTGAGGAATTGACTCTCAGAGAAGATTCTGGCTGATATCTCTAGAGATTTATTGTCGATCAATAAGGAAAACTAGAACTCCAAGAATAAATAATGGAACGTACTACGTTCAGAGGGTTTCTTGACGGCCACTTTAGCGGAAGCCTTTCCCTTGTTGAAGACACCTGTAACAAAGTCCAGTTTGTGCTAACATAAACCCGAAACCGGGCGGTGATTGAGGGACAATATTGAGCAGTAAGAACTCAGGGCATACCGTCAATCTGTTCTTTCCTATGTTCGTCGCCGAAAACCCGTGCATCAACGCGAGACCCGCAGACATACTGACTCCCTTCGGATTCTTGGCTTTGCTTCTCTTCTTCCCTCGGAGTGCAGATTGCTTCCGTTCCTCGCCAGAACTAGTGCAAATCATGGTGATATCCGGATCTACGATGGCCTTCTTGACTCGTCGCCGTTCCCTTCGCTCTGCAAGTCCTATGGTAAAAAAATAGAGGATAAGCTACAACAAGAGGGCTCCAGTAGTCGACCATGATTTACGAGCAGCATGTTCATCATTCTCGCTCTCTGGACTCCTCGGGCGTTTCTTGGTGGACTTCTTCGTTAGCGCCTTGGATACTTCGTGAAGCTTGGATTCTTTCTTCTTCTTCAAACTAGGTATTTTCTGAGGTGGTGAGGATAATGAAGCGAGTGCAATGGGCTGTCGTATTTTCGTCGCGCGATTTTCTTTGTCGGAGTCTTTATCAGAAGCTGCATTGCAGTGCTCAAGTCTTTTCGCATTCTTTCTTGCTCTCGAGGTGCACGAGACAGCAGGCTTGTTAATTTCGCCCTTCTGCTTTCGTTCAGGAACTCGGGGTTTCAACACTGGCGTTTGGGATCGGGCGTCCGGTTCTGCAGGGGCCTCGGACAACGCAGAAATAGCGGGAGAAGCTTCTTCTTCCAAGCGATGCTCCCACTCCGCAGTGACGGCGCGACCCTGGGCGGCATGAACAGCTACAAACGTCTTCTGTGACCGCACATAGTCGGCGAGCAAGCGGTCCTTGTCAACCTTCGAGGAACACGCACGGAGATTGTCTGCGTTCAGCGATGCTACCCCATGCAGCACCTTATCCGCGCGTTGCATACGAGTTGTTCGGACGTTGGAAACTAGATGCCGCCTGTACTCGGAGCTGAAGACGTGGTGGGATGTTGAAATCAAGATCGTTCAATAGAACAGTTGCCTATTTTGTACGCCACCACCGATCCCGCCCTTGCCCCGAAGTCAAAATCGCAGAAAATAAACACCATGAAGATAACTTCATTGAATAAAATAACTAAGCATGTACATTGGACAGCAAGGCGATCTGCAGCCGTTTCCTAATAACCTGACGGGCTACAAAACACGTTTACAGCCGAGTAATGATACACACTAGCAGAAATCGGTATTGGTTCACTAACTTTCAAAATTTCAACGCTGAGGCAACTGACTTCCTGTTCGCACGTCATCTATGCTATCATGTAGTATAAACAAAGAACAGGTTTCTAGTGCACCACATAAGCAAATGACAATATCCGCGACGAAATCTTTTGCTCACCGTTTGTCTGTCAGATCCAGGAACGCATGGCGCTCCCGCTCAATCTGCACATCGTGGTCTGTCCATCCATGCCTAGCCTTCTCCTCCTCGAGCCTCGCGCGCCTCTTGGCGTTCAGTCGCACGTTGATCCAACGTAGGAGGAAACATACGAAGAGCTGAACGACCATGAGCACCATGATAGCAACCTTGCCGGGAATATATCCCGGGGCATCTTTGGGTTGGAAGATTTCCGTTCCAATGATGTTACCGACACTGAAGGTGGCCAAAGTAAGCGCATTAACCGTGTTCTGAGAGTGTGTTTCATAAGTCAGGAACCAATAGGTCGACTGCCTCTACACACCTTCTTGGTATGGCCACTCGTGTTGCTGGCGTTATATGCATAAATGGACGATAGAGCACTCCCGAAGGTACCAATGAGATACACCGCTATGAGCTTAATGAGAGTCTGCATAACGATGCAGTCATAGGCTTGACCTCACCGAACAATAGTGCTCCCTGCTTTTTCGAGTGGTTCAAGCCAGTGAGCATCGCGGCGCCAACGATAGTCGGTAACAAGGCGAATACGATAGGAACCATTCGTTCATTCTGTTGAGTATATTAACACTGTACAGCGAGCGCGAGCGACGAGAACAGTATTCTTACTCTCTTGTCCGAATACCATCCACAGAACAGAGTGGTGAATGCAGCAACCGCGCCCGCAGGAGTAGAAAGAATCAAAGTTTGCTTCGAACTTTCTAGAGAATCAGCACACGTCGCTGCATGAATAGCAGCCAAACATACGTGTAACCGAAGCTCTTAATAATGATATTACTGACTGAGATGGAGGTCAGCACGGCCTTTCTGAATTGCTGGTGCGCAAACTCACAATTGCTTAATCCACCGTTGGGAATGCTCGCTAAATCACAATGAGCTCGAAGTCCAGAGGGGCACACAAGTACGACATACTGAGCATCGTAGACAAAACTATGAGCCAAGTTCGTCCATCGGTCAACGCCTCCAAGATCTGGTCTTTTTTCCACTTCTTGTTCTCGGTACCGCCTTGGTCGTCGCGAACCCGCTCGATGGCTGCGATGCGCTCCTCCTTTGTGAGGAGTCGGGCATGTACAGGAGAATCGGGCAGAAAGATGATGACTGCGACACCGACAAGGATAGCTAAACCCCCAAGGAGGAGATAGATGATCTTGTACGGTGCCAAATGCGGGTCATGAGAGTACGACACCCCATAAGCGACAAAGCCACCAAATATCTGAGTAAGTCCTGCTAAAAGTTAGGTTTGTAATCTCAGTCATTGCGAGTGCATCTACCATTCTGGAAGAGATGATCAGTCAATCAAGGTTCATGCTCGATAAAGACTAGACGTACCATCGTGTAAAACCAGGAGACCCGAGTTCCCTACCAACACCGTCAATAGAAGCACGGAACAACAATTTATTCACGAAACGTACCTGCTCATTCTTCTTGTAGAACATTGAGATGATAAGAATTAAAATGGGTGCGACGCAAGATTCGCACATTCCTGCGGGTCGACATTGATGAGCTATGTGTGGCATTTTGAGAGGGTGATACATACCCAAGAGGAAACGCAGTGCGAAGAACCCGCCAAAGTTCGAAGCGACTGAGTGCAACATCAAGATGATACCCCAGATGACAACATTAGCCCCGAGATACTTGGCAACGGGCAATTTCTGCGAAATATATACGGTCGGGAACTCCCATACGAAGAACCCTACAATTTGGTGAATGTAGGGTCACCAAGGACATCGAAAAGATGATACCAAGATAGAATGCCAAAGAGACCAAGTTGTAGCGCTTCATCGGAGAGTCAGCTACGTTCAAAGATATGAGACTGAATCAGTACCTGTCCGGTGATAGGCAATCCCATGATGCTGCTATCAGTGTTAGTAGTGTCACGCGCTCTTCGTGTGTTATCAACCTTGCATAATTTAGCGAAGTCTTGTCCCTGAAAGTCCCTTCAGACGCGGCAGAGCGATCACAGCAGTGAAAGTACTGACAAGAATTGTGTGAAATAGACCGCTGCACATAGCGGAATGATTAATAAATCCTGAGAGGTGAACGCTGAGTCGTTACGAGCGAAGGTAGCGAACACCATATACATACCAACTTGCGACGTAACTTCCTGTTATATTCCTCGCTGAACTCTGCAGTTCTCTCCTTTCCGACGAGCTTAAGCGCCTCGTCGCCTTCTTCGGAATCGACAACAGAAAGCGTAGGATCGAACGTATGCTTCTCATCGGCCACCGGAGAATGAACGCTGTTCTCGGAGATATCGACAGACTTCCGGTCGGTAGTCGAAGTCATCATGGTCGTGACGACGAGAGAAGACTAGAAGAAGAGGACTGACCGACGAACGGGAGAAAGTCGGAGAGAAGCAGCATAATGACGAACAATTTATACCGCTGAAGGACGGGTTCAGTGGCTGTCCGTCCGTCAGACCAGAGTTCTCTCGTGCCTATCTCAGAATAGACAGATGATTACAAGTAGCAAGAGATAAGAAAACGGACCGTTACATTCAACCTTGGCAGAGGAGATAAGTTGGTGCCCGCATGGGAGTGCAACAACTGGCTGAGCAATCATAACACCTCAATTACAAGCGAGACTCAGACGCGCCTATACAGTGTTGCGATTCTACTGGTTACTCACCGAGAGGCCTAACCTGCCTCAGACGTTGTGGAACACCGCCCAGGCCAGCATAATTCGACACCGCGATGTTCGTATTTCGGCAGCACCAGTGGAAGATATGGGGCCGTCAGGGCTGCACTGATAGGCAGAACATCTTCAGCACCAGGCGAGCGCTTACGTGGCGGGAAAAGGTATCAAATCTCAATTCAGGGCATGAAGGTATGTATATATGGCAATGTGATAAGTACACGCACGAAAATTATACATTTCGTACGGACATTGACACAGCGCCTAGGTCTAGAACTATTACAGCTTTTGGACGATGATAGCAGATGCAGCACCACCCTGTGGGAGACAGGCCTCAGCATATGCAACAATGAGTGAGAAGAATTTACGTACACCGTTGCAAATACCTGCAGCGCCGTACTCTCCTGACTTTAGAGCATGAATGAGTGAAACAACGATGCGAGATCCCGAGTTGCCAATAGCATGGCCAAGAGCAACGGCACCACTGTAAGGAACCTGTAAGCATCGAAGGAACGATACGCACTGATCACACCTACCCATTAACGTTGATCTTGGCGGGATCAATGTTCAAGACCTGCTCCGCAATTCTGACCACGACCGAAAACGCTTCGTTGATCTCGAACAATGTGATGTCGTCGACCGAAAGGTTGGCCTTCTTCAGTGCCTTAGGGATTGCGATGGTCGGGGCGATAGGGAAGTCGATGGGCTCCACGCCAGCATCAGCATACGCTACACAGACAAGACTATCGATACGGACACCAAGCTGGGATTGTTGGAAGGACGTACAGATAATCTTGGCAATAGGCTTGACTCCAAGCTCCTGCGCCTTCGCAGAGGACATGAGGATCAACGCAGATGCCCCATCGTTCAAGCTCGAGGAGTTAGCAGGAGTGATGGTTCCGCCCTGCTTCTTGAAGACAGTGTTCAGTGTTGGGACCTTTTCGTAGATGACACGCTTGTACTCTTCGTCCTCCTTCACGATCGTATCGGCTTTCTTGCCCTTGATCGTAACGGGAGCGATTTCCGCATCGAAAGCACCAGCCTTCCATGCCCGCTCCGCCCGCTTGTAGGACTCGATAGCATGCTCATCTTGCGCCTGCCTCGATATCTTGTGCTTCTCCGCGGCTGCCTCGCCGCAGTGACCCATCGCGAAGTTGTTGTGCGCACACCAAAGACCGTCGCTCTCCAGAGAGTCCTTGGCCTCGAACTTGCCGAAAAGAGGGTTCTGACGAGGTAGCAGGAATCTATACAACGAACATAGGACCAGTCAGCAGGATGAAAACAAACCCACTGATCTCTACAGCTTACGGCGCATTACTCATGCTCTCCATACCGCCGGCGACGGCCACACTGTTGTCACCAGATGTGATACTCTGGGCAGCAAGCATAATCGACTTCATGCCACTGGCGCAGACCTTGTTGATCGTCGTCGCGTCCGAGCTCGTCTTCATTCCAGACCCAATCGCTACCTGCCGCGCTGGCGACTGGCCGACACCCGCTTGGATGACATTGCCGAAGTAAATCTCTTCGACGACAGCAGGATCGACCTTAGACTGCTCAAAGGCGTGCTTGAGGGCAACAATACCGAGCTGAGGGGCCGTCAAAGTTTTCAGAGTACCGTTGATCGAGCCGACGGGTGTCCGGGAAGCAGCAACGACGACAACTTCAGTAGACGACTGAAGTAGATGTATCAGCGCACAACATCCAGCCGAGGAGCGAGATACAAACCATTCTGCGTACGAAAGAGCCTATAAAACGACGGGTTGAGGTTGATGGGGCGGAAAGACGAGCAGCAAACATGTCGCCTAAGTCGCTCTAGCTTTATAGGACCGTACCTCACCGTAACCGCGCGTCCAATGGATCACAAGGAATATTCCGATCGTACGAGCTTTGTTGTCTGACCACGGAGATCAGACCAGTCCACAGAGGCGCACAATGGAAGCGACAGAATGTTTGGCTGTTGTCGCATAGCTTTGCAAGCCTTACATATAGTACTGGGGGTGAGGATCCCATGACCGACCGAAGCCCCGGCGACATGGCGTCCACGGAAACGGCAACTTGAAGGCCGGAAGGCGTACTTCGACTGCAGCAACTCTACTCCTTTCCGTGGATCATATACAGACTTCAGAGCTGAAGATCTCATACCCTGCGATCTTTGCAGAACGAGACTATGACACAGTAGCATGCTATTCGCTGTAAAACACAATAGCAAGAGTGTGAACAAAAGAACCGTAAATCTAGATATAATCACAAGCTTCCGGCTCCAAAATCTACGATGTTCCCCAGCACCATGAACCAGGTCTCTAACCATCGAAGCAGACGCTGCTCCGTTGTCCACTCATCCTGCTGAACCTCCATCATCACCTCCGCAACAGACTCCAGGGTGTGACACGGGTGAAAGTACCACGCAGGAGTACCGAGCGTAGGGTGGTCGCCTTGAGACAGCATCGGAAAGAGCGATTCTGGAGCAGACACTGCAAATGAATTCGATACCGTCTCCGGCAGGGCATGACGTCGGAATAACGGCGTAGTCACAATGTCGGCCAGAGTTAAGGGCGAACCAGCTAGAGGAGGATAAGCCAAGGATAGAGATGGGGTATACAGTTTGGTGACGCACCGCTATCATGAATTGTGAAATAGAAGGCTGGCACTTGGAAGGTTGGGGAGTGCACCACGTATTGACGTGTTGAAAGAACACCAGTGCTTTGAGTTTGAGTCAAAGCCGCATTATCGTCCACATCAGAGATACCATGGTAGACATCCTCGTCGGGTTCATCGCCTGACTGTACAGTGGGCGTCAGCGGGAAGAACACAGCACGACACATGTAGCCAAAGTTCGGAAGGGACTGGAGGCAGAGAGCCCAGTGAGATATGAAGCGGATAGAGAGACCGCCGAGCGCACAGCATGTTCCTTCCATGTCCAGCCATTAGGATATCGCCGAGCATCAGTAGCACCGAGGCTAGAGTCGAAATTATATTTGGAGATGTACGCCTTGCAGGCGATGTCGAATTCTGAGCGAGTGAGGGAAAGGGACATGAAAGAAAATGTGGCGTGGGATTCGAGATTACAGTTGCAAAGTAAAGTTTCAGCCACCACAGGGTTACCCACCGTGTCTAGTGTCGCGTCGCAGTTGCTGCACCGCTCTAAAACACAGTCCGTCCAAGTGCCGGCTCCTGCGGTCCTTCCCCTTCCTGTAATACACCATGGCCGTCGGAAAGGTGTGTGAAACGTGTACTCTGTTGTCTACACTACTTACCTTCCGTATAACGTGCAGAATAAGAGATTGTCGAAGGGTAAGAAGGGCATCAAGAAGAAAGTTGTTGACCCATTCTCCCGCAAAGGTACGTCGCATATTCATACTCCTATCGCACTTTAACTTCACAATCCGTTTGTTAGACTGGTACGACATCAAAGCGCCTTCATTCTTCGAGCGTCGGAACGTCGGCAAGACACTCGCCAACCGGTCGCAGGGCCTGAGTACGTTCTATCTATCTCTGTATGCTAATAGTGTAATTGAGCTATGTCCAGAAAACGCGAATGACTCTCTGAAGGGTCGCATCATTGAGGTTTCTCTCGCGGATCTCAATAACGATGAGGAGCAGGCATTCCGCAAGATCAAGCTACGAATCGATGAGGTCCAGGGCAAGAACTGCCTGACAAATTTTCACGGGATGGGATTCAGCTCCGATAAGATTCGCTCGCTCGTACGCAAGTGGCAAACTCTCATCGAAGCGCACGTGGACGTGAAGACGACCGACGGTTATCTTCTCCGTCTCTTCGCGATTGGTTTCACCAAGCGCCGACCTGCGCAGGTCAAGAAGACGACATATGCTCAGTCGAGTCAGATTCGGGAAATTCGGAAGAAGATGTTCGAGATCATGACGCGGGAGGCAACGAGCTGTGATTTGAAGGAGCTGGTGCAGAAGTTTGTTCCGGAGGCAATTGGTCGGGAGATCGAAAAGGCTGCGCGGAGTATCTTCCCCCTTCAGAACGTCTACGTCCACAAAGCGAAGATTTTGAAGGCCCCGAAGTTTGACATGTCGAAACTGCTGGAGCTTCATGGAGAGTCAACAGACGTAAGTCGCATGGATATGTTTACCAGAATTTTTTCTTATGAATTTCCTTGACTACAGGAGACTGGCACCCGTGTTGTGAAGGAGTTCAAGGAGCCAGAGATCCTCGAGACGGTGTAAAATGCTCTCTGTTTGTCTGCTCTTGTATCACCCATGATTTTCTACTTTATGCTGCAAGGGTATGGCCATCTATGATCACGACGTCGTTCTTGTGTGCATTGGTTTGTGTTTATTGTTATCACAGTTGACGATTTGCGAGCCAGGTATGTCAGCAACATACCTTGCTTCCTATCGGTTTTACTGCTTGCTGCTGAAATTTGGTTACATGCGCGTTCTCAGTCTGTTGTAGCTTGGCACTGGAGTGGGTACAACTAACATCGCTGACCAGCGTAGTGTTATTCGTACGAGAGTTTTTCTCTGCCCGTGAACTAATGACACGTCTGATACAAAGTGCGACTTCCCTTCGATGTTTGATAGAATGATGGCGCTACGTACGTCAGGTTGGGGAAGTTGGCAAAACTTGTCTTCCTAGGTTGTCAATATTTAGCACTGACCGAAATAAAGTGCTGAGGTGAAGTCAGTACTTTTACTATGCAATTCGAGAAGTTTATTGTTACGGAGCTCTGAATTGCAATATTGAGACAATTTGAATCACGGCTTGCAAGCGGCTCAATGTCGGAAACGAAAACTTCGGGCGTCCTGGCCAAAAATGGCAACACTTCAGGATCGTGACAGGTCGCCCACGATCCTCATACTAAAGCTGACCTTCACATGGAGACATCAACACCAGATGTGCAGTTCTTGAGGAGCCTCATGAAGGCGCACCCTGATTTTCCAAAGAAGGTTCGCAGCAACTCATCGCGACGCATGATCTCATTCTGACATACTTACAGGGGATCGTCTTTCTAGACATCTTCCCCATATTCCGCGACCCCTTGGGCTCTGAGACGCTTATCACACACCTGCTATTCCATTTGACGTCGGTCACTATCCCGCGAACACCGAACAAGAAGATAGATGTCGTTGTCGGTCTTGACGCCCGGGGGTTCCTCCTCGGTCCTATAATCGCCCTCCGGTTGGGGGCTGCCTTCGTACCTGTGAGGAAGAGAGGAAAACTCCCCGGTAAATGCATACAAGCGACGTACGAGAAGGAATATGGACCGGTGTGTTTGACTGAACTCACGGAGACTGGTAGATCGTGATCTGGAATCTCGTTTACAGGATATCTTCGAGATGCAATCGGACGCAATCCAGCCAGGTCAGAATGTCATTGTCGTCGATGATCTCATCGCCACCGGTATGTTGTCCTCGTCTGGTCGATGATGCACTAGAACCGATCATCCGTTACAGGCGGTTCGGCGAAAGCGGCCGGGGAGCTTGTCGCTCAACTTGGCAGCAAAGTTGTCGAATATTTGTTTATCGTAGAGTTGGCATTCCTCAAGGGTGTCGAAAAGCTTGACGCGCCAGCCTACTCCATCGTAAAGGAGAACGACTAGTTTTCGCCTCAAATCACGCATTTGTTACCTCATCACTAGACGGTGTGATTTGTTCTTCTGGGTAACGTCACCGTTGTATCTGGCACCAACAACATAGATAACTAGACCAATAACCTCGTGTTAAGCAACGGATGCCCATTTAGATACAGCACACGATTCGGATCTCGGGAGGTACTCTCAGTTACGAACTGACCTTCCGGCTCAACAGCCATCATGAGTTGCCCGTATCCATCTGCAGCGTCCATGAGGTCTGTGACGACCTTCGCAACCGACTGTCTGAGCACAACAATCACGGCATCATCCACAGCATCACCGACGAGCTCAAGCTCGCTTTGGCCAGTGGATGGATTGATGTTGGAATCTTCGTCATTGAGGACCACGACGCCAGACGCTCCCGCCGCCTTCGCCAACACCAGTTTTTCCAAGAAGGTGCAGTCTCCGCGCTGTACAACGACTGCATGATCGCTGAATCGTCGAGAATATGGCTGACATCCGAGTGGATTCGCGGGATCACGGATAATTGGCACGCCTGCTCCACGTCCAAACGGGGGGGCCGCTTCTGAAGGAGGAGGTTGAATGGTCGGGTCCCCTCCAAATAATGCAGTAGATGCTGTGACGAATATCTCTGTAGGTGCTCCGTGCGGCTGCAAATGGAAGAGAGGGTCTAGGTGATCCACGAAGAAACGCAGCTCAACCTCTGGGACGCGAGGGTGCCCTTGGCTGGCCTTGTCGTCAACTGGAGTGAGGATAAGCTCAGGATCATTCACGTAAACCAACTGTCCGGTCTTCACAGCGTACGGACCCACTGTGGAAAGATCGGTGAGTGCTACAGATAGGCGAGTTCAAACGAACCAACTCACGTTTGGTCACGTCGTAGCCCTTGCCGTCGAGACGGCTGACGATGTGAGCCCGAATACCGGTCACATTCTGCAAAAGGTAGCCGTCCGTAACAGTCATAACCTTTTTCACGGAAGGATGTTCATCTTCGGGGACTACCTCTCCCTTCGGAGACAAGATAAAATCGAATGACTAGTTCGCTCATAGTCAGTCCGGTGGATATCACGGATCGCTCCCGCGGAAGCTCACATAGAGGCTGTATTTTGGTCGAGCACACCATCCTCCTGGAGACCAAGCTTTTATCTCACTATCCGAGGGACGCGTTCCGATGAGCTGTCGGGCATAATCCATGTCGGCCCGGGAGCGTATGCCGCCTATGATCCCAGACTCTGCATTCCAATCGTCATATGCCAGGAGGGGAGGTTGGTAGGCAGGGCACTGAGGATGTTCAACACCCCGGAGCTTGCGGCGCGCAGACGACATCGGTTTGAGCATATCTTGACTAAGCCGTAGGATGTGCCCTTCGGTCGTCAGCACGTAGTTGGAATCATCAGAGTGAATAGGGTTCGCTTCGTCAAACAACAGATAAAGATACTATGGCGGCGAATCAGATCAAAAGATGCGTCCAAGTACTCTTTCAGACAAACCTTCAAAGTTTCCGAGAGAACAAATGACTCCATGCGATCATCGCGTGCATTCGTGCGAAGATCCTGAATTCCAGTGAGACCACAAAGCACTTTGGCCCGAGTGGTGATATCGTACAAAATACGTTCTGGTTCAGTGTGCATCAGAGGAGATATGTCATTTTAATATCACAACTCGTACCTCCCACATCTAGGTAGAACGAGTCACGCGTTGCCTAAGCAGACCACAGTCAGAATATGATGCTTGGGACACTCTCCAAATACTCACACGGTATAAGTACCAGGTCGATTCCACGAACTCTTGCAATTACTCCATTTTAGCCGTTATGGAATTTGCAGTATGGGCGAACGAATACTCACCTGGTCGCAGTGGATATTGGAATGACGTCGCTTGTCGAAAGCTCATATCCCACACTTCAGGGAGACCAGAAAGGGTTTTCCAAACGTTCCAATCTATCGACATAATGTGAGCTCGACAACAACCCATGAATAAGCGAACCGTACAGGTCAGATGAGACTTGATTGCGTTCTCGATATCTCCTGCTAAGACCTGCAGCCCAGGCCAAAACGAGGATAACGAGTCGAAGGTGGAATAGGCCATATCTCCCTATATTGTCATAGCTCCAACACAAACTCAGCTGAAACGTACGCCAGCTACTCACCGTATGTATGTTTACACTGCGATACTACATGTGTATCAGCAATACGAAGAGGCGCAGCAGCTGAGATTTTCTTACGGAAAATCCGTCAGGGGCACGAGCATAACGCATGACGGCCGCATACGACTCCTGCCATACATCCAGAAACTCGACCTCGCCTGATCGAGTATGAGAGATAGTACGTTCACCAGAATCAATTAGCACACACCGCTCAGAATGTACCATTTCAGAGCGTATTCATAAAAAGAGTCGATTCCTGCTCCTATGCTGCTTATCTCTGGTTGGATCCAGGACTATCATTGTCGGATTATATGGCGCGAAAAGCAAGAAATCAAATGACACAGACATACCCCAGTCCAGAGATGTATCGTGTTACCCACGAGACCAATGTCCGATTTACGATTCCATAAGGCAAAAAAAGCCTTATATGCGGCTTTCTCGAAGCGGGGATCGCCAGTGAGGCGGCTAAGTGTGCCGAACTCCAGGATGAGTGATCCAGCGCCAGCCGTGCCTAAGGATGGTATTGACATGGGGTGTAGAAGGTGAAACTCAGTCTTACGTACATGTCTCCACGGACTCCCCTCTAGGTATCCCATGTCGTAAGTTCAGCTGCACTCGCGTGAGCTTCTAGATCAAGTATCAACACAAGATTGTAGCCACCCTAGCGTAAGGAATACCCGTAGGAGTTGCAAACGCAGGCAACAGCCTCTCCCCTAAGTCACGAGCCATGGAGAGGAGTTCATCATGGTACCAGGGCAGGTAGAAAGGTTGGCCCGTTTGCCTTGCAAACAAGTGTCCAGAGAGCAGGCCGCCAAGCACACGTATGGTAGTTTCAAACACCTGAGGTTTTGTGTCGATATCAAAAGATACGTAGTCAATGACATTTCGGACAGCAGCCTCGAATCCAGGGCGATCATTCAGAACAACGAAGGTGTCGAGGGTATCCACGAGAGTTACTGAGAAGTTGCCGGCAACGTCATTAGATGCAATGTTTCCACTGGCGATAGTAATTAATCAGGATAATCCGCATTGTACGCCGAACGTACGGATTGTGCCAGTCCGGCCCTCTTCCTCTGCAGGAGAGAGGAGCAAGCTAATGAGATGTGAGACCGACAACATTGACACCAATCAATTTAGGAACTCGCCTCGTCTAGGGGAAATGCTGTGTGAAACGTAGTCATAAACGCCCCGATCGTTAGTCTCGAGGCGGCATGCGCAGAGACTCACCATAGCGCATGTAATTGTCGAAGCCGTGGTACCACAAATTACGGGTCCGCTCTCTAAAAAATTTGAGATATTTACTTCAGTCCTCCAAGGAATCGGTAGACACACCTTGCATCCAACTTGCGGGCGGTTGTCCATTCTGCACCCTCTGCCAAACCCGCGGCATGGTTATAGGACCACCTGTGACCTTCCAAGCCAATAATAAGAAGTAATAAAACGACCCTTGGCCAGTAGGTCGGCCACCTCATAGGAGAGTAGTCGCGGGTACTGGCGGTGGTTGTGAGGGTTCCAGAGAACGCGGCGAGTGGATTTCAGTTCGCGACGTGTCACATTGCTATGTCACGTGAGGCGCATTTACGTCTTGCCACGAGGCTCACAACCGTCCTCAGCTTCATCTCGACTTTCAACCACTTTCACCCACCGCAGCACATTTCTCTGGCACAATGAGCACAATAGTCGATGTTTCTGGAAGGTTGGGTGAATATATGCTGAAGGGATGGGTATGTGCATGCTGCTCCAACTCGGTATGCTTGTCTCACTTTTTGATCCAGGTCTTGACAGACAATATCTGTCCAAAATGCTCCAAAGTCCCCCTTATGCGCTCTCCCAGCTCCCCTATAATCTCCTTCTGTGCGAACTGTGATGCAGGGCCTCCTTCGGCAGCGCAACCCCAGGCCGTCGATAATTCAGGTCTACCTGGTCCTTCGTTGCGATCTTCTCGCAGTGGATCGTCGAGTAGTGACCAATCACGATCCTCAACTCCGCCTACAGAAATATCAAACGCTCCAAGCTCTGCTATATTTGTACCACCGATAGAGACTGAAGAAATGCTCCGCCGTCGACAACAATCAGATACAGCGTCTGCGGAAATCGGGAAGCGAATGCTGCGGGGTTGGGCTATGTTAGCAGACGAATGTCCCAATCCCACATGCTATGGCATCCCCCTTGTCCGTCCTCCTAACGCTGGAACTGGTAGAGATCCTCGTAAAGTCTGTCTTTACTGCAACTGCATGTGAATGGACGTTCTCAATGGCTCCTCTGTAGGAATGTGTGATATGCGGTACCGTCTATGTCGACCAGAAAGATGCGTTTGGGCAGGATCGTCTAGTTACATATAACTCGAACTCCGTTCATGACCGACAACCGACAATTATTGCTGCTCCTCCGGCGCCACAGGCTGCCACCTCCCCGGTCATGACTAGAGGAAAAGCTACGCAGATACCTCAACCGCAATTAGTATGTTACCGTCTACTTGAGTCAGTAATGTTGCCTCAATCTGCTTCAGGTACGCTCTCCACCGCTCCAGGTGCTCCAGCCTGGAGCTGCTCATGTGCGCTGCCTGCACCCGACTTTTTTATTCATCGTTATTGACGGTTCTTTCTCTCAAGAAGGTTGCTACGACTTCAACCGTCTCAGCTCTTGATGCATCTGCAGATTCTCTGGTACTCAGTTTGCACGCACTTTCAGAGCGTTTAAATATCCTGTCTGGTGGCTCCATAGTGGACCCTTCGCTCATCGCACAAACTGCTGATGCCATCAGCAAAGTCTCCCAAGCTCTGACGCAAGTCAAGCAATTACAGTGGAGTGAACATTTGGCGCATAGTGCATGAGCCCGATTACTCACTACTGTCACCTATCCTGTGGCACGCATAATGATGAGAGCCGTTTTAAAGCTCAATTTCCTGTCTTGGAGTGCGCACCCCCGGTTAAATTTTCGATCGAAGAGAACACGGGAAGCAACAGAAGAGAGGTCTGATTGGTTACCTTTACCTAAACCCAGTCTCATGTTTTGTGCATTGTGTAGACCATTCTATCGACCTTCAGCGAATATCGTATGTGTTAGTTCATGAATACTAAGGTCAGACTCCGTTTCAAGACAGCTAAGTTATCTCCGAGCGTGTTCTGAGATCGCTCCGTTGGCTGTGCCCGTGCTGGCGTATTGCACGCGCCTCAGCCACATCACAAGTGAAACCTCTGCCCTTCTCCGCACGGTCTAATCAATACACACCAAGCCTCATGTCCTCCATGCTGTTCGCCTACATGAGACCTTGCCTGCACATGCCTTGGCTTATGTTCTGATAACAGTACCACACCGCCTCCATAAAGCCCAACACCAACCATCCCTTTCTTGAGACTGCAGCTGGGAGAACTTGATCCCAGGCGTTGATGCTCTTTCTGTTGAAGACTGATTTATTTTAACTCTTCCTTTTTTGCCGACATGCCCCGTCTATTCCAAAGTCGCGCTCGTCCCTCAAGGGAACACACGAGGGAGGAGTATCCTCAATACCAGAACTATAAAAATGATAATGGAGACTATGGATACGACTACCAAAGGTATGATGGACGTGAACAAGAACCCCAGCATTCCTCTTCCTGGAGCAGAGTGCTCACGAAGAAAGCTAAGGTCAATGAAAGAGTACGTTCCCTTTAAATCAGTTAGTTGCTCTGGTATGTCATGACCTCTCTCAGACATACCAGGGAGAATACGAGGTACTTTGTGTTCTGCATTATTTTCTCGTCGGTTCTCATTGTGACTGGAACGTAGGATCGGCGTCGCGACGGATGGTATCGTGCCAACGTGGAAGAATATCCTGAAGAATATCAGGATGACCAACTAGATCGCGAGACCTTCTCTGACGACACGGAATCCTTCGTAGAAATTATGCCGCGTAGGAGTAGCCCGATACCTGTCGTGCAGCGCGAGAGCTCTCTGAGCCGCATCCAGGAAGCGTTCGCTGACCATGGTGCATATGAGCCGGCTTCGCAGGCGACCACCGCTGAGCAGGACACTCCACGATATAACTCCAGGGAGCTGGGCAGGACGGGACCTCTTGAGATGGCGACGGTGCAGGAAGCAAGGCAAGGGCCGGTAATGGTCAGCAGCCCACCAAAGGAAGGAATACGGGCGGATGTGATGCATCCGCCTTCGCGTCGAGAACATCGTTCTGGCAAACGCAGAGACCCATATGCGCAGGTATGTAATCTGAACAAAATATTGAACGTATGAGTGTTGAACATCGCTCATCACCGCAGAGCGACTACCCACGTAACGTAACGTACGATGACTGTAAACCGCACGAAGAGCCTCCCCCAGTAACAGTCGTTGTGGAACATGGTAGACATGGAGAAAAGGACACATATTACATTATTCCTGATGGTACCCCCGTCATATTTAAGGACGAGGATGGCAATGAACTCACTCGGTATGGAAATGATAGTCAATGATATCCATGCATTATTGACGAAGCCTTCGTGCCTGCAGGCTTGGTGATTTCAGCGGAAACTACAAACCAGCTCCCATTCGCCCGGTCATTATCCAGGACCAGTACGGACGCGAGATCTGCAGGTTAGCCCCATGACACAGGGTTAATTATTATATACCGTAAAAACTGACTGTGAACTTATAGAGCGGGGTTCGAAGAGGCCGGCCGAGCTTCTAAGAGTCGGTCTGATGACGATCTCTACTATGAGGATGATAGATCGAGCCGCCGAGGTCTATCTTCCAACCAACGCGGGTGTGTTTTACCTCTTCACCCGTGGCTTGTCGAACTCATGTGATGTCTAGAGTAGCATCCCAATCCTCATCGCGGAAATATAATTCGAATGGCTATGACGACGAGAATCGATAGTAAGTGTCTGTAACCCGCTCTCCGAGTCTATTGTGCACGTTCACTGATATATCGAATTATCAATGGCAGCTATTCTTCCCGCAATACTGTTAGAGAGAGCCCCAATGTGGTTTACATTGACCCTTTCAGCCCGCGGAAGCAATTGTGATAACGAAACTTTTACGTCTCTCAACTGGTACTGAGAAATACTCTCGTGCAGCTCCTCGCCCAGCCTGTCTGATTCGTCAAGTAGATCTGGCTCAGGCTCTCGACGACACAAGGATCGGTACCATGAGACCGCGCCACGGAAGTATGAACACGAATCGCCGAACGTCATACACCTCGATCCTCGTGGGATGAAGAAGTCGGGGTACTTATTTCTGCATTATGTCCTTGACACCGCAGTTAACACCTCTTGTCTCTAGTGAAGGTTCTAGGTCCAATGAGTCAGGAAGCCAGTCATACCGCGGCCGTTCTTACAGGTAAACTGGTGTCCTATTCGATGAATGGATTTCTAGCCTTTGAAGCGAGCTACTTGGAGGATGGGAGGATCTTCAGACACTTTTGTTTGCTCTCGCGATTGTTAGTTTACGTTGCACTAACTTATTGACCTCACACCTCTTCTGCGCGTCAGGATCGTGCATAGATTATGTAGCACAGCGTATTGACTCAGCATCCCCGGTGGAAGCAGTAAAGTCGACATGTATGAACACACATGTAGGATATTATCGTCGCGTAACTCCTCTTCGACGAGAACCACCCCCTCGACCTCTCCCACTACTACCTTGTATTGAACTGATATCCTGTTTGCGGAGCCTGAGAATCCCACCTCTGAACGACCCGATACCCATCCCCAGGCCCTTCTCTCTTTTCTTACTCCGTGGTTTCGAGTCCGACGAATCATCGTATAGGCGCTTCAGAGTCGGATGATAATTTCCAAGGTGTTTGGCCTATTGCAACGATTCCGCCGTCAACGACTACATCTTTGGAGAAGAATGCAACTCACCTCTTCCAACTCTTGTTTACGTCTCTCTTCTTGCCTTTCTGCTATGCCCTCTCGCACACGTTTTGCAGCCTTATTCCGTTCTGCAGACCGGACGGCCCCTTCGCCCTTGCCCAGCTTCGCTTTGCCAGCTGTCTCCAGCACACGGCCTGCCAGAGCTTTCTTGCGCTGCGCTGATGTCAAGTTCAGCTCGGAGTTCAGAGAACCAGACAGTAGGCGGGTGTGCACGAGGCGATGGAGAAGGGCATCGTTCTGGGCATTCGTTCTAGGAAAGTGGGGGGATCGAACACATTAGTGTCTGATATGAACTGAGGTACTCACAACTCGTCCTCGTCGTCATCGTCCGAACCGTCTTGCTCAGGATTAGTACCTTGTATGTCTTGTGTAAGTTTAGACACCTTGGAAGACTTAAAATCGGTTGTCAATTGATCGCGATGCAAACCAACTTATAGATGCAGAGCTTACCCACCATGAAGGCCTTCATCTGAGCCTTGCTTGCACCCACATTGGAAGGACCAGCAGTTGACACTATGTCAGAAAATACGACTACTTTAGGCGGCGGGGCAAGGCTTTGGTCTGATGAAACATCTTGTGCAAAGTCAGAGGTTGCTTCGTAGTGCGATGAACTTCCGTACCATCTTCAGCATCCTCTACCTCAGGCCCGTCGCCACTCTCATTGTCTCCAAAGCCCGTCCACCCTTCTTCCTCTTCCCCCGCAGAATCATCTTCCAGTTTTCTCTTCTTTTCCTTCGGCAGGGATTTTTCTGCATTCCCACTGCTGATTATCGGGGTAGCAAAGGAGCTCAGAAAGTCCTTGCCGCGCACTTCAAGGATATGTAGAAGCTCTCGCTCGTCGTCACTACCCATGCTGTGGAGATTGCAGACCAAATGCACAGGTGGTCGAATGTGCCAGTCTTTCACTATAATTTTTCCGACTTTCTCGGGGGTTTTTTCATCCTCGAACAACACGTGACACCCGTCATTGAGAGATGTCTATTCGCGTACTGCCATGAAGATCAAAAAACTGACTTAGGGCCCAACATCGATACTCCTGGACTTTCAGCGAGCCACCAGCTATAGGTCAAGCAGGAAATTCGACAAATCTACATTCACGAACGTCAACACCTAGATAACACATATATCGCACACATAGATCTCAAGAAAGATGGGACGCAAGCACGGCAAGGCTGTAGCCTCTAGTCGGTCATCTCCAGCTCCCTGCGTATCCGCTCTCTCACATCGCGCAGCCCGCCACCCTCGCGCTTCACCCTCCGCGGGCTGCGCGTGTGCACCTCCTCCGCGCTCTCGCTCTTCTTCAGCGCACGCCCGGGGCTGGCTGGCAGCTTCTCGGAGCTCGCGCCTGCATCGGCGTCCGCGCCGCCGGTCGAGGGTGCGGGCATCTCGAGCCACTCTCCGCCAGCGATATCCAGACGGCGCAGGAAGAACGGGCAGAGCTTCGTGAGTAGGTGCAAGGATTCGTACGCCTCGGCGGAGGATATGGGCACGGGCGAGGATTTCACAACAGCTGCAGCCACCTCGGAGGTGAGCAGGGCGCGCCGCTTGCGCGCACTGGGTGTAGAAGTTGAACTACCAGGGTTCGAGAACAGCCTGCAGGAAACTGAACATCAGTCTTCATTACCGGTGGATTATGCCAGGGAATATACGCACATCCAGACACTCTCCGCAACGCCCCCGAGCCGGCCCAGAAGACACCTCCGGCGCATTTCGTCCTGGCTTAGCTTCATGAGCTGTTCTTTCGTCATCTTGCCCGCAGTACCAGGCGTACCACCCTTCGTCGGCGTCGCTGTCAGCGAGCGCTGACGAACGCGCTCATACAGAGCCTGGCGGCGCGAGCTCGTAGGGGTCTCCGGAGCCGTCTGTGCATTGACTCCGCGCTGATGGACGGGTGTTGTTGGGACTGATGACGAGGACGCTGACGAGGTGGGGGTATCGGGCCGCTTCAGCGAGGGAGTCCTCGAGCTCGTTGGAGTTCTGAAGCCAGTGGTGGGAGTCTCAGGCCGTACCGGAGAGGAAGTCCTTGAGCTCGCAGGAGTCCCGAAGCTGGTGGGGGTGAGGAGACTTGGCAACGAGTCTTTACGGGAGTAACGCGAAGATGGGGTCTGCGGGAAAGGAACGGAGCTCTTGGACGGTGTCCCAACTCTGCTGGATGGCGTGACAGGGAAAGGAATCGCAAAATCGCGAGCCTTCTTGGTGGGAGACTTGAGTCCTGATTTGGAGGGCGATGGGGATGGGGATGTGGGTCTCGTGAGGATGGAGAGCGAAGAGGGGAATTTAGGTGATGAGGAAGCGAGGAGACGCGTGAGGGTGGATGGCTTAGCGGCGACAGGAAGAGCGGGCAGATCCGCCATGGGTACGTGAGGTATGGGGGACTGATCTGCATGGAGCTGTGGGGAGAACAGCAGGTGAACAAAAGATGGTGGGAATGAAAATGAGAAACAAACCTCAAGCCACCGGTCGAGTTTACCGCGGAACTCTTTCCGACGCGTCTCGCTGGAAGCGGTCCATCTGGCAACAGCAGCCATACCTCCGCCCATACCCTTGTCAATATCCATCTCCACCTCGATCCCAATGCCGTACGCCGGCACCCTCGAACCGGCAGACTTGGAATAGTGGCTCGTCTGATTGATCACGAAGCTCATGGCACCGCGCGTCCAGTCCTTCGCCGGGAACGCGACAGCCGGGGTGTCCAAGAACGGGTTATCATCGTCGTCATTGGCTTTGGCTTTCCCCTTTGCACTGCCTGCAGTGGGGATCTGCTTGCCGTCCCACTCCCACAGCCAGCAGAGCCGCTTCAAATCATCGACGTCAAATCTGTGCGTCAAGCCAGAGTACGTCGCCAGTGAGTGGTGGTTCAAAACATTCCGGACAAGTCCAGTGTCCTCGGATGGGGAAACCGCGCAGGTAGCTAGCGCGTGCGATAACGCGTGTTGCAGAGCAGTATGAGCGTTATAAAGGTGGGTTAACTGGGAAGGAAGGGGTGTCGCGTCGCCTTTCGCCTTTCGACGCGTGATAGTCGGCGGCGGGGTCGGTGGGCTGGTGTATAGTGAGTTACACGTGTACGGTATGATTGCCGCGATTGTGGACGTACGCTGTTCTCAGTTTCTTGGGAGTGAGGAGGTTATCATCAAGGTCTGGAGGACAACGTTTCTTCCTGGGAGAGACACGGAGAGCAGAATATATATCGGACATAATGGAAAGGGTATATGGCACGTGCAGAAAGCAGGCAGGGCCAGCAGAGCAGAGAGGTCTCGCGGAGTGTTGACCACAGAACCGCCACGACCGCGACGCGCGTTAAAACGCGTCCACGTAAGCATTTTCCACGCTGTACGCCGGAGCACCCGATCTAACTTCTTGGATACTTATTCAAAGAGTGGCAGACACAAGATAAAAAACAATCATTATACTAGGCGGTATAATATGTGTGGTCGCATGCTAGGGATAAGTGGTGCATGGTATGATAATACAGATAATTGCCCTGTTCAATTATGTCCCTCCCTACTTTCCCTACTCTCGCCTTGGCACTCATCGTGATCTCCGGCATTATGTGTGCCAAAAATATCTCAGCACTTTGTATGCAAGATCGCGCTTGCGTTCTCCATAGAAAAGGTTACAGTGTTATGCGGGGAATAACTAGCTTTCAAACCATCTAAAATTCAAGCATAACGAAGGAAACTCGCATCCACAGAGCAGAGCGCGAGCAACCGCAAGCTCTGATCTAGCCGAAGGGAAAGTAGGGAGGGACATAATTGAATAGGGCAAATACATCCGTCGGTGATCGGATTCCTGTGACCAGCGGACTTCTGTCTTCGGCGTTCACGCTCTGTGTTCGCGCGTCTCCTTCTCGTCCTTGTCCCTTGGCCGCACGCCGAGGATCTCGTCTGCCTCCGGTGTGCCAGCAAGAGGAATATCTTTCCTCAGCGACACCGCCACGGGCGAAACGCCTTCGTTGTACGCCAGAGCGAAGACGACGTCCATGTCTTGAGCGCACACATCAGCGACTCAATATCGAAGCCTCTCGCGTAACGACGTACCTTCGAGCGATCTGCCCGCGGTCTCTGGGAAGAAGAAGTACACAACAGGGATAATGAACGCGTTCAGCGCAGCAAATACTGAATTGTGCCAGGGGTAAGCTTAAGCTGAATTGGCGAGGATAAGTGAACGTACCAATGTAAGTTCCCCAGTGGATGTTGCTAAATGAGGGGCCAGTCACCATAACAACCATGAAGTTGAATATCCAATTGGACGCCGTGCTAAAGGCATTGGCAGGAGCTCTGATGCGCAAGCCCACGATCTCAGCGGGCTGGGGCGTATTTAGCGGTCAGCGTCGAGTAAAGCAAGCAACACACCATAGGCACTCACATAGAGCCAGGTCATGCCAAGCCAGCCAATCGCGAAGAATGAGTTGAACACGAACAACAACACTGCGGAAGCAATTTGGGCGCCTGACGAGTCGACGCTGCCCAGAACTGCCAGAACCACCATAGTTAGTGTCTGACCGACGGCGCCAAATAGCATAAGCTTGCGGCGACCGACACGGTCAATGATGAATATGGCAATGAGACTGGCGAGGAAGTATTCCGTGCCGTTGGCAGCGGCAATGATGCGCGCATTGACCGCACTCAGGCCAAGGCGTTGGAAGAGGAGCGTCTACGAGGGAATAAGCAAATTACAGAGCAAGAAGGAGCTTGAGCTAACAGCGTAGCTAGAGGTCACATATCAATATCATTACCACTGCTAAAAACGATACACTCACTAGGTAATAAGATTAATACCAGTAATCTGCTGGAAGCATTGATTAACCACGCCCAAGAACGTACGTCGGAAGTTCTGGGTTCGGCCGCCAGTGAAGACCTCCCGCAGGGACGCCTTCGGCGAACCGACACCAGTTTCTACTGCGATGGCTTCAAGGATGCCTTTGTATGTCTGTTGTACTGACTCGCTCGAGTGTGGCTTGTCTTCGAGGGCCGCGATCACTGCAAGTGCTTCGGCGTTGCGACCATGCTTCGCAAGCCTTTACGAGCAGAGATATCACTTGGCGTAACTACTATGCAGTTACTTAACGTACCATCGAGGAGATTCTGGCAACTGCGCGGACATTACTTAAGACTAAGTCGAATCAAGGTCAATCTCAGGACTCACAAATGCGATACCTCCGACCATCATGACAGCCAGCACAATCTGAAGTGCGATTGGGACTCTCCATTGCGCAGATGAACCGGTGATCCAGAAGCTGAGAGGCACATGCATCAGTACGACAACTTTAGCAAATCAATGAAACCATACTCACAAGGCAAAGTCTATCCACTGCACTCGCCCATGTGTCAGCACAACGGCGAAACGAATAAGAGAAACATACATACATATCTGAACCAATGTCAGATCGGTTGAAGTGGTAGAAGATTAGACAAACTCACGAGATCATGATACCAAATGTGATCAAGCTACCTTCCACCATGATGAAGCTACCACGACTGGCAGCAGGGGAACATTCTGCGTGATAAGAGGGCACAGTCGATGTCTAGCGTAAAAATATTCAACGGTCAGGTCAAGCTGCACATGAAGTGTACACCCACGTTGAGACCGTTCCCTAGACCGGTAACTATACGAGCTACAATCATCTGTGCATAACTGAACGATGTCGTCTGCAGGATAGCACCAATGATCATGATTATGCCGCCCAGCACGATAGTCTTCCGCCGTCCCAGAAAGTCGCCCACCCATAGGTTCGACAGAGCGCCAAACAGACAACCGATCTCCTACATAAACACATAGCCGTTCAGTAACCTCGTGTCAGGATATAGTCGCGCAAAGCCAAGATTCACATAAATTGCCACAAGGAAGCTTTGTAATGTGGGGCTAGTAACAGTTTGAGGGAAAACCTTGTCAAACTAGCCTAGACGCATCAGCCATGTACACCTCGACACGGCGACAACCGATTATGCTACCTGATTCGCCGAGAGAAGTGCGGACATGACACCTTGATCGTAACTGGTTTGTAGATGTGAGTGACCACCCCTGCGGTGTCAAACTCAGACGCACCCGAACAACGTGAAGCCCGTTCCCGCAACGAACGCCAGAGCATATGTCAAAGGACGTCCTCGCAGACGCGGCTCTGCGGCGCGTACTTCTTCATCCCACTCAACTGTGTACGCCTGCGAAACCTCCTTGTTGGACCGCTCGGACCTCGAGTCGCTGCTATGGCGCAAGGCAGGCTGAGAGGACATGACGGCCACAGTATAAGGGCAATTCAAATGCGGGGTGAACGAGGACACACATTCATTCACAGGCGCTTTTAAGAAGTCTCGCTGCTTCAGATAAAAATTGGACGGTGGAGTAAACCCGATCACGGGTCGCGATTGTTGCGACTTGAGGGGGAACCGAGAGTTCCGTTGTATTGTCTTCCACGGCATGAGCGGTACTTCGTTCCGTACGAGTCAAGCGTTCGCAGCGGCAGTACAGAACCACACTAATGATCACAGGACATTCCAAGACACTCCAAGCGGTGGCACGCCTTCGAGCGCGCTTTTTTTAGGGATTGCCACGAAGTAGTGGAGTTCCATCGTTCCGGTAAAATGTTCTGCGGTGGTCACTATTGACCTCGGAAGATGGCGCGTTGACTACATGACGAAAGCGCTTCACTTCGCATCATGTCAGTTCACGCGCTCGACACCGCCGGAACGGGCTCACAGTATTACTGGCTTGTCACCACTGTCACTACACGTGGTTTTCACCAAAGACTCGATGCCTAGCAAATTGGGGTCAGAACGTGAGGATCAGGCAAGATATTATCTGTATGAGCCATATGATGCCAAATTGATCAGTCAAGCTCACCTATGTTTGATAAGCTCTGCTGGGTACTGTCTACGTCAGAAGGCGAGTAGCTCACATGCTCATGCAGCGTGGCTCTTCAGCGTTAAGCACTTCAGTATCAACTTGGACGGTAAGGAAAGAAGCCACAATGGCCGGGCCGATGTCCAATTGGGACCGTGACTTTCTTTATGCTCGTGTCACTCAACGCGTTACGCGACGCGCCCCATGAAGTACCTCCAACGAACCACTACGCTCGACTTCTCGGACTCGTTTACATACCACAGTGCATCTACTAGTGGAGGTCCTGGCAAACTGTCTTCACGATGATTTTGTTCGACGGCACCGCTGTGCCGTGCAAAAATTATCTTATTTTTCCATCGGCACCATTGCGTCTGGAAAACATACATGGTCAAACCGCACGCCGAAACCACCACTTCGGCGTATTTTGAGTAGTTGATCGCCTTTAGATGGCTCTCTTGCATCCTGTTGACGATGCGAGCCCTCGGGCTCCAGCGGTCGCCCACGCCCCTGCGGCTTTGGCGACTTAATGTTCTTGCATACGACATTGACGGTGACGTCACTCTATATATCTACGCTGATGTGCTCACCCCTAGGTGTAGTAGGCCGAGCAAGGAATCTTGAACTCTTCAACATCCGGGCTGTCGGCCGGTGTGGATGAATTTCATCATTAGCACAGGAAGCTTGAAGCACGCGCGTTGATCTTGCTCAATCTACGACAAAATCACTGCCGATGAAAACTTCGGTGGCCCTGCCGATATGCACTTTGATGTGTTTACTGCAATACAAGCCCGATATCGGGACACAGTGCCAGCGACGTACCACCATACTTGTCGCTCTACGGATCAATACCTCTTTCAATTGCGGGTTGCTGACTTTTATTACCTCAGGGACACTCCAAGCTCAGCCCAGCTCGCTGTCGAGAAATGTGCAGTCCTATCTGCTGGGTTGACCCGATCGGGGCTCTTGCCACTTTTTTTACCGTAATACATCACCGGTGTGAGAGGTACGTGGATTCATTCTAGATGATGCAGTGAGCATAGCAATTGTGGGATGAAATTGTGGTAGCTTACCTTCCAGCTGCCTGCATACTCGTGAAGGGCTGGTGAGTCCTGTGAAGGCTCACGACGTCTCGTGAGATGAGTCCGCCCCCTGTTGGCAGATTATTGCGACAAGCATGAATACTTTAGTCCGTGCGCTCACACCTCGGCATTACTGTGCCGCGCTATCTCCGTCACGGCCCAAAAACTGGTGGATGTCGCCACATCTCTTCTCACATGTGGTGGGCCACATTCATCAGGATCATCCATGTCGGGACGGAGGAACCGAGGTCTCTGTGCAGACGTGCGCGAGTCTACGACCACAGCGGAGTATGAGTAGATTTCCGAGAATCGTGGTGGTGGACCTTCTCTTCCGGTCACAAAGTAGTGACAATGCTTCAAAGGCTTCGCGGCAAATGTACCCTTCATGGACACTGCTTCCATATTCTCCTCCGTCCTTTGTGACTTTCCCGGGCGGCAGCGGTGGCGAAGATATCGTTGCCAGCATGCTTCGAAGGCGTGCAGTGGTTCGTATTCAATTCCGGCGTCTCAAGGACCATAATAATGCTCGCAAGAGCCCTAGGACGCACTATCAATTGAACCACGTTCAGGCGCTCCGTGCATGCCTTAACCCCAATAGATCGTCAACGAGGTTTGGGTCTCAGCACTTTCATGTCTCCAGACAATTCCTCCGCACAAGACCTGGACTACTTCGTGTCAGGAATACCTTCTCCACATTGTTCATGAAGTTGTGGGAAATATGTCGACTTCGCGGGATCTATTCCCCACCCAGCTGCATGAAATGTTTATGGTTGGCTCAATCGACATAGCGATACCCAGGACAGACCCTACCGAGCTAGATGCTGCTGCGGAAAGTCGACTCCCGGAGAGAGAGCTATTGAGGAGTTACCAAGTTCCGGATGCAAGAAAGTCGAGTTGTCGGTCGTTCTCGAGGCTAGGAAATGAGATACAAGGGCAGGTTCTGTTTACCTAAGAAAAGCTGTACGTCAACTTGATCCAGTGCCTGTTGTGTATCATGCCACCTTCCCTCGGGCATGATCAATCGCCGTTCTATGAATCAGACGGTGCTTCACAGAAAGTGAGGTAGAGCAATGTACCTAGTTAGATGTACCGCCGGCTGTTCATGGCCATCGATCATGTCCTCGATTGGATCAGTAGGCACTGAGGCAGTTCGAGAGCGTACCGTGCCTATTTGGTGTTCCTTCGCGGAAAGCAACAACCGCATATACGGAGTACGGTAATATACTTCACTCATACACCGTTCCGAGTTATCTATTTGCAACTGGACCCCACATCGCACTTGCGTTTGTCGGGCGACGTTGTAGCATCTAACGAGAAGTCACAGGCTGTGACACAGAGTCCTTGCTCGAGGAAACCGCGTATTAGATTCGTCGCCGCTGGATCGCCGTTGGCCCGCGCGGCCGCCCAAGGAGTTTCATCTGCATCCGGGAGCCGTGCCTCTGAAAAGTTGACAGGTTTACGAAAACGTGTCAAAATGGGTCGAGTTTTCCATGTGGGAAGATATGGGAAGTTGCCAACCTTGTTTGTTTCGGAACCTCAAGTTAACCTTGTTACTGCGGCGTGTATCACTTCCAGACTCCACATAAATGCCATGAGTTACGCTGAATGGATACCTTGAAGGCTCAGGGTATATTCCTTCAGGTTCTCGAGCGTTGGACGCGAAGTGTGAATGAACGCCGGCCCCGAATTACGGGGTACACGTGTGAGGGCAGCGAAGATTCGGAGTTTTGCACTCCGTGACACCGACCGGAAAGGAAAGACATGAAGGAAGCAGACCAATGGCAAGCGAATATTTTGTCGCGGTCGAACAAACTATGGCTGGTAACGTTACGTGGGAATCCCCCAAGAATTCCAAGTCAATTGTGAAATTGTGTAAGTGTTGACACCTCCGTGTCCCTTTTATTCAAATGTGGAAGAGAAGCACCGCGAGGATCTAGCCTGTCTGGGTCCTGCAACACGACTGGCACCAGGAGGCATGCCTTCGGCGGTTATAAGTCCTCTTTTCCCTTACCTCTCCCTCCTCCAGGTGTCTCCTGTCTCGCATTCATCGTCTTGGTAATTAATCATGGCGGCACCCTCCGCGGGGGATGTGAACAAGCAGCTGTGGTATGTCCTTCTGCACGGTTGACACCAGGTGCTGAAAATCATCCCATTCCATTCTATGGGTGTTGTGCAACAGGGATGAGGCTCTTACACGACTCCTCGGTACGTGTTACACGTTCAGTCGGGGATCTAGTACGAGCTCTCAGTATCTGTGTCCGTTTTTTCTCGTAGACCTTTCTACCGCTACGGTCAAGAGGAATGGAGAGCTTGAGACTCGAGTGACTGAGCTCGAGCTCGAGCTCTCCGTCTGGAAGCAGGCGCATTCTACCGTGGTTGACCTTGCAGACCGCGATCGAAAGGCGCATAACGCGCAACTCGCAACGCTTAATCGTCAGATATCCTCTTTGGGTATCCTCAACGTCAGTTATTCTCAGGTCCTCAAAGGCAGTCTTACAACGGACCCTACAGAACCTAGATCCACTCATTCTCTGCGTCCTCGACGGGAACGCAAATATATTTAGTCAATCTCTGCTGGCACAGGGCCAGCAAGGAGGTCGACAAGCAGCACAAGAGCTAACCAAGAAAATTGCCGAATATCTCTCTCAGGAGGAGGTACAGGTCTTCGGACGGCTTTCTTTTTGGGTCACCATCTACTTTAATAAACGGCGGCTTCTGAACCTGGTGCTTGGTGAGGCTTTATGCACCGCCGATCAGCTTGAGGGATTCTTGTCTGGCCTTAGCCAGGCTTCTCCACGTTTCCTGCTGGTCGATATAGGCCAGGGAAAGGATGACGTCGACGTCAAGATAAAGGGTTTGTATGCATCATAATCCACTGTAGACCTTGTTCATACTTCTTTCATAGAATATTTAGAGACGTGCTCGCGCCTGCCTCAGACACTCCGAGTGTTCTTCGGCGGTGAGTGCATTTCGAATCGTTTGACTATATATTACTTCATGTAATTCCCGTCTTTCATAGGAAGCCAGGACGATAGTTACATATCCACTTTTAAAGCACTTGAAAGTGAAGAGCTGACCGGGAAACTTGTAATATTTCAAGTCGGGACCCAAACTGCAGAGGAAGTGCAGCAGTTCGCGGTACCGTCCATGCAGGTCGACGGACTGTTCATGATTCGCGAAGCGCTTCAGTGGCAGCGACGGCCTGGCCCGATTCCTCTGACTGGTTTGAGCAGCACTGTCACCACTAATGGAGGCCTTATCAGTCCCCAGTCTGAGACGCAGTCCTCCACGACCGCCCCGATGCGAACTGCCTGCAGACCTATCGACCCGACCAAGGCAAGTCGATAACTAATATAACTAATATTGCGATTGATCACGTATGGCCTCAGCCGCTGCATAAACGTAGGCTCCGCATCTGCCATTATCAAAAAATATACAACACTCATTATTCCTCCTTAGAGTCTCCCCCACCATGCAACGAGCACTATCTGATGACATGTTCTAAGGGAGTGAGTAGCAGCTCTTCGCACTTCGAGATCAACTTCATATGACATCTCTCCAGTCCAACTGCAAGTATTCGCACGAATGGGCTCTGACCCCTGAACAACTGGACATCCTGGCGAAGAACGCAAAGAAGGCTCCTTGTAACTATCTCAAGAACGGTACGTCCCGGTATGAGGCCCACACGACAATGATTTAGATATTCTGCAGGTCTGGACTGCCCATACGGTGATAAATGCTGCTGGGTAGGTGATCATATGTCACTTCGTAAGAATCGTGTCCTTGACCCCTCATGATTACAGGGTCATTTTTGTCCCAGCGGTGCGAGATGTTTCCACCTGAGCAAGGGAAAATGCTGGTTTAAAGGCGGTCGGTACCCTTGCATGATTAATTTGCACCGTTGTACTCACTTTTCTCTGCCCAGATGGAATGCATCCTCCCACTGGTATGGGGGAGAATCAGACAGTATGAAATTTGCTGCATCCTAAATCCCATCTACATGGCAAGAGCCAGGACGGCTTCGGTTCTATTTTCTGGCTACGTTGCTCTCATTCTCACATGTTATATGCATTGTATATGCATTAGGTTATGATTGATTGCCTCCAAAATGTCATGTCGTGTCCCACCACGGTAGCTGCGATATCTGTGGTTGTGTCGCTGCCTCAGACTTCTGGAATTTTATTCGCATCGCTTGGCAAGATCAGGCCGTCTTCGCATGAAATTCCTGGGATTTCAAAATTTCTTCAAATACTCCAGTACATACCGGTGCATCTGAGCAGTACTATTTTGTTGTGCCAGTACCGTCAAATATTCCAAGCACCACACGGGCCAAGCACTGCACGAGCCCATTTGGGCGCTTGTTGCAGCTCGGAAGCTACCGTAAAGCATCCGTGCGAAATCGATTGATCCAACTACTTCAGAGCAATGCACACCTGGCCTCTAGAGCTTGTTGTCCTCACCACTGACCTGATATCCAACCCTTGACCACCGTCTAAGTAAGCTATGTCCGCTGCGGAAGTCAGTTCGTTGCCTGGCGCTTGCATACTAAATGCTAATTGTGGATGTCACGAATGCAGCAACACGAAGAGGACGATTTGGCCCCAACCACCACTCCTGGTACTGCATCCTAGCAACGTATCAACTTGCTCGCGCTGGAACTCATCAATTCCTTTGGCTAGGGTACAAGCCTACTGCAGCCAAGTCGGTTGACGAGTATGCCAAACTTGATGCCGAGGACGAGAGTTTGGCCCGGTGGAAGGCCAGCTTGGGCATTGTGCCGGGTGCCTCTTCTGCTCCTGCTACTGGACCGAAGGTACGAGTCTTAATCATTCACTACACAGTTGTCTAGACACCTGATGTTACGATGCCAGGTCACCGTCCTAACGCTGGAGCTGGCTTCTCCGACACTACCGCCCGGCAAGAAGATCACCATGAACATCCAGAGCCCTGCCGACCTCGCGAACGCAAGCAAGAACTCTATCACCATCAAGGAAGGTGTCGAGTATAAGTAAGGTGACTTCTCAATGCGTTCGCTCCTTGCTGACTTGCGCACCGGCAGCGTTCGTATCACCTTCAAGGTCAACCATTCGATCATCTCGGTAGGCAATTACTCGGTCGAATCATGGCGACCAATACTGAATGTCCGATATGAATTACAGGGCGTTCGGTATATCCAGGTCGTTAAACGAGCGGGCATGAAAGGCACGTGTGTCTCTAACCTTTGACGACGCTGCAGTGACGGAAGGAATGTTTCACTAGTCGACAAGCTGGAGCAGATGCTTGGATCTTACGGCCCGAAGCCTGATGGTAGCGCGTATACTAAGAACTTCGATCCTGAGGAGTCACCTTCCGGAATGCTCGCGCGCTCGGGCTCCTACCATGTTCGGAGTCGAGTGGTTGACGACGATGGAGAAGTTTTTGCTGGTACGTGCGGCGTGTCTTCGTGTCAATTGTGTCTCTGGCACTTATTCTCCGCCAGACTGGGAATGGTCGTTCAAGCTCGGAAAGGAATGGTAAATTGTACAGTGTATCCGGTTTCCTGCTACGGTCACAGCTCCCACTTCTGTTGCATCTGTACTTCTCGTCTGCATAATCGCGTCTCATTTCTGCCCCCTCATACGTGGTCCGAAACTAGGATGGATCTCGGGTTGTACTGTAATGTAGCGCAAGGTAAATATCACGTAGTGCTAGCGCGAACGGCATTCTCCGAAACATGTACTGGAACTCCGTTCATGCATGGCGGTCGGCAAGGTCTCTTCATCCTCTAAGGTTGCGGCACCGCGTCAGATACACAGGGATTCAGGCTGTCACAGAATGCATTGCCTGTGGATCACAATCTCTCTGTGCAGGCGTCCGTCAAAATGGGACATTGTCGTCTCCACCCGGGAAAACTTGGTTGAACCATGCACCCGCCAGATTACTGCCATACCTACATCTAGCCCGTGCAGATAAACCTATTGGGACGTTGCTACTGTTCTATCCTTGCGGTTTGTCGTATTCTCCCCGTTCCACATATACGCGTTGAACCGAGCAATTCAATGTAATGTTTAGCATGGTCGATCACAATGGCATCTTATGCTCTAGAGACTCCGGTTACAACGCCTCTCTGGTATATCAGTTTGTTTGGAGTTGGAGCGATCATCATGAGAGGTGCAGGGTGCACAATCAATGATATGTGGGATAGACATCTGGACAAGTCTGTTGGTGAGACATATTGATATTGGCGCTCAAATCCTGTGTGCCGACTATGAGCAAGCTAGGACGAAAGAGCGACCCTTAGCCAACGGTGCTATTTCCACGTCTCAAGCCGTCGGGTTCTTAGGTCTGCAGCTCTCCGCAGGTCTGGCAGTACTCACGCAGCTGAATTGGTACAGGTATGTTGCGCTGACACTTCGCCGCACCCATTGTGTTGACGCGTAAATGGCAGCATTCTACTCGGTGCTTCCTCCTTGTCTGTAGTATGCGTATACCCGTTCATGAAACGCGTCACATACTGGCCGCAAGCTGTTCTGGGTAAGTTTGTGCAACAATTCACTTGGGCCTATCTATTATCCACGTGTTCAGGACTTGCGTTCAACTGGGGAGCACTTCTCGGCTGGTCTGCTGTTGCAGGCTCGGTAAATTGGAGTGTTTGTCTACCCCTGTACGCTGGAGGTATCTGTTGGACACTTGTATATGATAGTATTTATGCGCATCAGGTGAGCTTGCGTTTTCCTGAAGAAGACCAATGTTTACGAATCTTGTCTAGGACAAGACCGATGACGTTCGGGTGGGAATCCGTTCGACTGCTCTGCTATTCGGCGAAAACACTCGCCCGATTCTTGGCGCTCTTTCGACTTCTACGTTGTCGTTGATAACCTTCGCTGGTTACATGAACGATCACGGTCCGCTCTTCTATACGGGAACTGGTCTAGCAGCGCTTCAGCTTGCTCGAGTACTCATACGGACAGATTTCGATGACCATTCCAGTTGCTGGAAGGGATTTGTCGGATGCGGTTGGTCTGGCTTCTGGGTGTGGATGGGAGCACTGGCCGATTACATCTCCCTAATGTCAGGGATGTCGTCATGACATCTCGAGCATCACATCGCAGAAAAACTCTCCAGACAGTTGACCGACCAAGCTGTATCCGTAATGCGCAAAATTGGCCGTCCATAATGTTTTGTGCATGTGACCTCTCGTAAATCCCTCAGACATCGGCATTGTGTATGCCGCTTCATGCATATCAGATTCGTGCTCATGGTATTCGCCGAAGACGTTCGTTTCTCGTCTTTGTGCGAAGTTCCTACGGGGTATTGAGGTAATACCGACAAATAGCTAATCTCCCGCCATTCTCCCATCCACTCGGGTGACATCCCACCCATGGATATCAGTCGAGATTCGCCTTCCCGGCGACGAAAGGTCGCACTGTTATCATCTCTTAGAGATGCTCCGTGTCGTCCTATTCCTTCTCCAGGCTGTCATTGCTGCGCCCGTTTCTGTGATCAGTGACTTTGTGGAGAATGATCCTGGGTGGTCTCCCGTCTTCTGGTATAAACTTATCGTTAGCTCTGGACTAGTCCTAGCTGGCGGTGTATTCGCTGGGTGCGTCCACTTTGAAAACCCCGACGCGTAAAATATTGATCTTAGTATTTGGATTGATCTTGCTGCAGGTTGACTCTAGCGTTGATGGGACTGGATGACCTCCATCTTCGTGTATTAGCTGCGTCATCCGATGATCTAGAGGAACGGGCCAATGCACGAAAAGGTACTTATATGTCTTACTATGTCTCTCTCTTAGCTACTTCATGAGCGCACGTCTCGTCAAGTTTTGAGTCTCCTTTCGTATGGCCGCCATTGGGTGCTCGTGGTGCGTCCATGTCTGGTAGAAATGGTGATTTACTGACTGTTGTGTAGGTTTTGTTGCTCAGTAATGTAGTGAGTGCAAATACTTCTGAGTACCTTGACTTGTCCCATGAGTCAAATACCATCAGATTGTAAACGAAAGTCTCCCGGTCTTCCTCGATAGTGCCGTAAGTGTCAAGCTCAACACTTTTTGTGCTTATAAAGACCGTCTTGTCTCAGCTCGGTGGAGGTCTCGCGGCCGTAATCATATCTACTACAACAATTGGTGAGCCGTGCAAACTGCGTTCCCATACCTGTGTTCTATCCATGTGAACTGACGCTGTCTATCTTTATCTTGCAGTCATATTCGGGTATGTGGTATGGAAAAGTAATCCTTTCGTCTTCCTGACGATCCCCCCGATGTGGACTTTTGAATAGCGAGTACGTCCCATCAGATTTTCGAACGGCACGTTGTTCCGACTATCCTTCTTACACGTACAGAATCATACCACAAGCTGTCTGTGTCCGGTATGGGCTCTCGATTGGTGCGAAGTGTGCGCCCATGGTTCTGGTGATGATGTATCTCTTAGGTGAGTGGTATGCTCACTCCTCAGGGATGGCGTCCTCGCTTACAATGAACACAATCTCAGCGCCAGTCGCCTACCCGGTCGCGCGGCTGCTCGATCGTGTTCTTGGCGAAGCAGAATTGCACACCTACAAGAAGGCTGAACTCAAGCATGTAATCGCGCCTCCAGAATTCATTTGTCTACTCACTGCGTCGCCTATAATTCAGGTCTCTTTTGGCGCTGCATCGTCAGGGTAAGGAGCCCCTGAAGGATGATGAGTGGAGGATCTTGAATGGGGTATTAGAGCTGAGCAACAAGAAAGTGGAAGAGTTGATGACACCTATGGCGGTAAGTGTAGTTCAGGCATCACCAAGTAATATTTCAATGGGTCAGCCGCCTTCTCACTTGGATCACCAGGACGTCGTAGCAATCAGCGGGGACACGGTCCTTGATCACCAGACTGTCAATCAACTGTCTGTTGCAATTCTTCGCCAAATAGATGTCTATAATCTGACGCGAAACTGCAGACTTCGAAGCGGATATTCACGCATACCTGTGTACTATCCCGGCAAACCCATGGCATTCATGGGGCTGCTGCTCGTGAAGAATGTAATGTTGATGCATGATAACAATCTCACTGATTTGTCTGATGCGCATTCGTCGAGCTTAGCTCTCCACTTATGATCCTTCGGAAGCACTTCCTGCATCCAGCTTCCCTCTGTCTATCCTTCCGGAAGCACATCCATCTATCGACTGTTTTCGGGCGTTGGATTATTTGTATGTTACGATGCCTTGCTTACTCTCTCGACACTTTCCTGACGAACTTCTACTCTGTTGGCACGTTTCACGCAGCCAAATCGGTCGTGCACATCTGTTACTGCTGAGTAACACCCCCGGCAAGGAAGGCGGGGCACTAGGTGTTCTCACTTTAGAAGGTTCGCAACCACCGCGTTGAATGAGGCGTCTACTGATAGCAATATCTCCAGATGTTATTGAGGTCCGTCGATAGTCTTATGTAGTCATTAACGTGTCTTATTGCTCTTTCGCGTAGGAAATATTGTCGACTGAGATCGTGGACGAGACAGACCGTTACGAAGATAACCACAGCAAGCGACGTGCTAAGCGTTCGTTCGATTTGGCGGTGATGCGTGGGTGAGTGTGGCAATTGCGCGGTCCATTTCCACTGACACGCATTGTCTCTTGTAGAATTGTGGAATACCACTTAAACCGCGGGGCTGCACTTTCAATGTCGGCCTTGTCGCCGACAAATGACATCACGCTCCTCGGTCCCAGTCGCCAGTCGAGTATGGATTGGGACCGCGCTACTGAAGGCAAAAATATTGGTGGCACGACCTCTGGAGTTGTATAGCGCCTTCTCGTGCTTTGCGCAAGTCTGGCATAGATCGCCCATTTGACACTAGATTGTAGCATATTCATTTGCGGCATTACTCCTTACACGCAAGGAATTTTTGAACAGGCATATTTTGCGGTCATAACTCACGGCGCAATCTGTCCCGATGTAAGGGCACATACGCAGGCTCCGCCTAGAGCTGGCGTGAAAGGTTAGATGAACCGAAACTATGCGCGATTACGACCCAAGCAGCTTTTCTGTACTCACGTAGTATGAAGCTTACCGCAAGTGCTGAGATTTTTAAGACCTCAAGGAGTAAATTGATAGATGGTCGACTTCTTGGTTTACTCCCTGACGCCGATCCAAAGAGATGACTGGTACTCGGGTTACCCAAGCTGCGGACTCATCTGACGACAAGTCCTCTCTGGAACATGCTGCGGCCTAAGTGATTCGGAGGCCGGTAATTCAAGAAAGTGTTTCCCCTTCTGTTCTTTCATCTGAGATCTCGGACAAAGGAGCGAGTTGGACAAACGGCATACAGTATGTGCTTCCTGACTGAGCTCGTACCTCAGCGCTATTTACCCATGACGATGGACCAGATACTCACCTTCTGTGCCGGCGGTGGCGACATACAGTTTTCACGCCGGTGATCATGGCGTGTGGGCCAACCACCTTTTGTTGCCAAGCGATGCGTTATTATGGCCGGTCTGATGTAGATCCGACGTAACCCATAGCTCAACTGCCTCCAATCAGCACCTCGTGAATATCAGCCAGACTACCGTAGCTCTGCAGTACTGCGCACCTCACGTTGAGAATGCTACCTGTTATGCTTGCCCTTCCGAACACATAGTCTTGACATCGGGCATCCTTCCAGACGTTGGAGATCACGCCAATCCAAGGGTCTTCTGTATTCTATTACAAACTCGTCGTCAATGCAACTCTTGTTTTAGCCGGTGGCGTTTTTGAGGGGAAAGTGCTGAGGGAAAGATAAATATGGCCTTGTTCCGAACCGCACTTGCATTAGATTGACCCTGGCGTTAATGGGGCGGGACGAGTTCCACCTGTGAGCCCTGGCAGCATCGTCAGATGACAATGAAGAACGTATGAACGCAAGTAAAGTGGCTGTTTGGAGCACCCACCTACAGATGCAGACCGGTACCAACTCATTCGTCTAAATGCTCTGTCTTCTGTCCCATGGGCGCCACTGGGTTCTTGTGATACGTAGCTTTCAATCTTTCATGACCAAACATCGCGCCCAGGGCATCAGCCGCCAGCCCAGCTTTGACACCGTGAGCAAGCATTTTCACGCAGGGACAGATCAGATAGTTTAGAAGAACAGCTTTGCATACTGGAGAAGTCGCCAACTGTATATTATCGCTGTAGAATAGAATTATTACCGGAAGCCTGTTCGTGTAGAGCACAATCCTCCCTAGATACGAAAGGGACGCACCAGGAACATTTCTAGATACCCGGATCCGTCTAAGTTCTATCGGATAGAGGAGTCTCAATACCTCCCCCGGCGAATTCTAGCCCACCGCTATCGCCCCTCGTCCTATCCATCTCTCGACAGCGCGACTGTGAACACCGAGGCTGTCAGCCGCGATTCAAAGCGCACACCGTGCGCGGAGCGGAAGCACACCTCAAGCGCAAACAAATGTGAATCATACGACTCGGGCGCGAGCCGGCGAACTGCAGCGACAAGTTCATACAGATAATCCTTGTTGCGCCCCGACGGGCCCACGGAGCGCCAAATGCGCTCCGCTAGCGCGTCGATCTGCTCGGACCCAACTGGGACAGCGGTAATTAGCCAGCGCTCGAGGATCACGAGAAGAACAGGGTACAAGATACGGACTAAAGGAGGGGTTGTCGTTGCGACCGACGTAGCACTGGTTCTGATGGTGAGAAACGATAGGGTGAAGATGCAGAGAGGGGACGCACGTAGGCCTGTGGAGTGGACGAATGAGCACATGGGCGCGCGGGGATGCTGACCGTGACTGACGGACCTTGTGTATCACCACTCTCTCTACGCCATTCTCAAGGCCATGCACGTCGAGCTGCTCCAGCGTGTATCCGTCCTGCAGGGCCCTTCATCAGATCAACCACGTTCGTCCACCGGGGTACATGCGCACCTTCTCGCGGTAATCTGGAGGGCAGATGTGAGCACTGTCGGCGGGGGAAATTTAAATAAGCAGCACACCTAGGTACTCCCGTACCTCGGACGCATACAGCGGGTCAATGGTATACGCAATACCTTGCAGCACGCCGCGCGCTCAGCATCGCCTGCACGAACGGTGATCACGGAATAGCAGAGGACGCACCCCAGACAACGTCATCGTGCGGGAACGGGTCCTTCATACGCATATACCCAGCGATCAGCTATGCCCGCCAGCAGAGTCGCTTGGTAGAGGGAAACATACCGAGCCCGAGAACGCCTCCCAGTCCTCGACGTGCACGAGCGTGACCGCGCGCCCCGGGTTCTGCGTCCCAAGTCCGCAGTCAGGTCAGGAAGCTGCGTAGTAAGAGGGCGGGCGCACCTCTGGCGTCCCGCGGTGGTCGTGCGATTTCTGCGCGAAACGGCGTACGTAGCCTTTCAGGAAACCGGGAACTGGAGGCGGGAGTCGTCAGCTTCAGCTGTAACCCGACTTCGGAGACGCGTCGAAGGGGACAGACCTTGCGCTATGACATGTGGTGGCGGCTACACCTGCAGTCGGACTCATCGATGCTGCTGGGCGCGAGCGGTGCGGACGCACCTTGAAGATGAGGGAGCCGTACCCGAAGACGACGTACGGAGCCTCACTCATGTCTGAGTGAAATTTACAAGACAACGGTTGGAGTTTCCGAGCAACATTTTCATACTACACGTGCGCTCAGATCTAGTCACCAAAGACTACGGACATATGGGCGAGAATCACGACATATGGTGCACACCGAAGCACGGTCGTCTCTCACCACTCCATCTCACGGAAAGGCTTGGCACACCAACGGGAAACCGTGCAACACCTCGATACATTCCGCACAAAGAACTACCGACAAACAACAAGTCGAACAACAACAGCAAGCGAGCAGTAAAGTCAAAGAGTGATCGGCTGTCTAGCGACACGCAGCCTGAGCAGTACTAGTACTCTCGTCGCATCCTCCAGGCTTGATGCCCATTATAACAGCGTATACAACAGCAGCGGGCAGAGCGGCGTCTTTACGAATAAATTTGATCGTAGCGCGCGCGTAAGTGTGGGTACAGAAGGGTTGAGGAAATAAGCAGGGGAGTGGGGTGTGTCAAGGGGGGAAGCGAATGCAAAGTGTAGGTGAATGTTTGTGAACAACAACAGGGGTAACTCGTGGGTCGGTATGCGTCGTGTGCGCGCCTGTGCACGCTGGAAATGAAGACTGCCTGTTCAGGAGTAACTGGAGGCAGGAATCGTAGTCGGAAAATGTCGTATAGCAAACGTTTTCTGCAATCGTTCAGGCAGAGCTGTGGAAGCTAACCGCGCCGTGGGTGTGACTCTTGAGGTAGCCCTTGGTGCCAACGAGTGCCAGTGCCCAGCAGCACGCGAAGCAAGTAATCGCGATGCTGAGATTCAAGAACATCATGACATCATCGTGTCCCTGTCGCATCGCAGCGATTGTCACCTCTTCCGTCGAGAACATGAACACCAATCCGCCGCACACAAGGAAGAACGAAGCGAGCGCCTCCGTCGGTGGGCGTGACGGTAGAATCGACCGCGGCGGGGATGACCACAGGAAGCAGTACGTCAGGAATCGCAGTACCGCAAACATAGCTAGCAGGTATCCCCAGAGCATGTGGATCTGCACTTGGAACACGTACACCTGGAAGTGCGCGCTCATCGCGATACCGGTGATGCCGATGCACAGGGCCGGGAAGGGGTTGAAGCTCGCGATGTAACTCGGCGGTTCCGCAACAGCCTCCTGCGTGCGGACCGAGGACGGAATCGCAGCGACGGAACCCGCAGCGAGCCATCGGCGGATAGTCTTCGACTCAATGCCCATGCCGACCATGCCCGCGAACCAGAACATCACTGCAATGCTGATGTGCTGCACCTGCTTCGTCGTGTAGGGGTCACCAGCGCGTGCACCGAAACGCTCCATCCAGGTGTTAGAAGCGCCGTACAGGAAAATGATCAGGCATTCGAAGAACTCCGCCGTTGGATACTGTTTCGACGGAGCGCGGTTCCACGCCCAGCCGAGCTCCGAGAACGCGCCAAGGTATCGTCCAAAACTGGCCAGACCATAACACCAGAAAATACCGCCCTCTGCGAACTAAAATCAGCAAATGGCGCTAGTTAGTAAGGATAACACGCACTGATCAGGTGAGCGAGACAGCCATTGATGTAGTTTTCTCTGCAACCACCCGTGTACGTGACTACACCAGTGATGAATTGCACGAGGCCCGCGAAGACAAGCACACGCTCAGTCGTTGCGAACATTCCGCGCCCGATCTTCTTCAACAGCGGAGTCTTCGCCTTGCCACCCCAGGGAAAACGGCTCGCAACGTGATCAGGTAGAATATCGGAAGAGTGACGGGGTGAACGGCCGTTGAGCAAAGTGCCATCCGAAGCCGCCGACTGTGGATATGACTCGGCGCGGCGGTGGTGGTGAATGTCGTTCGCCCACTGCTCAGATTCATCGTGGTCCTGATCAGCAACAAAATGAGTGAACGTATCCACGAAGCGGAACGTGAAACGCACATTCGACTCATCATCCACGTCCTTACCCTTCAACTCCGTCATGTCGAGCTCCTCAGGGTCTTCCACCAAATTCGTGTACTCCGGTCCGATAGAGATGCGGGACCCGCGGCCGAGAATGACGTCGTTCCACGACCCCTTGAACGTGAATCGCTCCTCGCCGTTGCGAAGTGCCTTGACGTAGTTGAAGAGCCGAACGAACATAGCAAGAGCATCAAGCGTAGAAATTACTAGGGCGACGAAAAGCCAAAAGTAGCCCTGCGGACCATGTTTGCTGCCTTCATACCTGGAAGGCTGAGTTGGTTACGGCTGAATGTCGGCATGACGCCTACTTACATGTCGGGAGTGAGCTTTCTATAGATCATACTCGAGCCCAATCCAATGGCACAGAAAGCATAGAATAGAATTACAGTGAAGCCATGCCATGCGTGCTTTACAGAGCGAAAGATGATGCCTGTACAGACATCAATACATATGGGGAAACGCGAGGCATAACCACACGGAAACATACCTAGCGGAAGAGCACCAAAGAACGCGGCAGACATGAAAAATATGTGCACTGCCATGAACCCAGGGTATCTGTGCTCTCCAGGAACGCGATCGACCATGTCGATAGTCCAATATGAGGGTGGAATGGGCGCATGGTGGAGGGTAACTTGGGTCTCATTAAGCTCGTATAGGGGTTCAACGTGATGACCGCCATGGTCGTGGTCGCCGTCTCTGCGCGTGAGTTCACGCTCGTCTCTGCGGTACAGGATGCGATCCGAGTTGAGTTCTAGCGGCACGGATATTACCGGGGCTGCAATATCGTGAGAATCATGACACGGCGGCGCGGCAGCCGCGAGTGCCCCGGCGAGGGCAGGGATAAGAAGGGGGAGGATGTGGAAGCGGGCGTGCATCGCGGGCAGAGGCAGTAACACCGAATATTCAGGAGGCGGTAACTTATAGGCTGGCGGTAAAAGTCGGATGTGGAATGGTCGAGAACTCTGCGCGACGCCCTCTCCGAGCGCGAGCTCGGCGCCTCCTGACTAAGCCGACCTCACTAACCTGCTCTCCATAAATATTTGTTCTCCCGTGTCCCATCCGCGGGCCCGGTATTTCCGCCCAAAGGTATGCAGCTCCGCCCACACTACGCAGCACCATCTCGCAAGATGCGGGTGCAGAGGAGCAAACACGCGAAATCGCGTCGGATGCTTGTTAACTTGGATGATGACCAACATCCGATCAGCGTCATCCATCCATCCATCGCTCGGCAACCGCCCTCGCCGCTTGCCGCCCACAGACGCTCATCCCCGACCTTGCAGCGTCGGCGTCGGTCACCGTCGGCTTCGTCACGACGTCGGCGCGACCCGCGCACCATTTGTGGGGCCCTTTGTTTCCGTCATTTTCTTGTGAGCGTGCACCGTGCGCCGATGCTCTTGGCGTGTATCGATATATCCTCCGTATTCTCTTCTTGTTCTAAGCTTCTGCCGTTTGACAGATGCCGCGGCTTGCGCTGGCTTGCATCCCCAGCTCCAGCTGCGCTCTCAACGCGTGTGCCTGCAAGCATCGCGGCACTCACCCCTCTATTACTCGAATTCCGAATATCTCACCAACCTCCGTTTACGCGCAGCGGTTCCCGGCTCACCTCTGCTGCTCCTCGAACGGTCGCGCCGTGTCGAATTATGATCCTCATCTTTCCAGCGGCACCGTACCATGTGTTCGGTCACGTCGAGAGCGCCCGCGCGGCATTTGTTGAAACCCAGGATGATTATAGTAGCTTCCCGTTCTGCGATCTCCCACACCATGTCATCCAGCTCTCCACATTCCTCATTCGTGCTATTGTCGTTCTCCAGGTGCTGTCGTGCTCGTTGCAGTGTGTTCCAATATTCTTAGCATTCTAGCGCAACGCCCTCCAATTGGCATCGGGACTTCTCCGGAGATGCAAGAACACATGTCCAAAAAGGAAGCAGGAGCACATCCCTCTGGATGCGCCTCGTCAAACCCAAACCTACTCATTATCTGGCGCCGAGAAGCAGCCCTTTTTTCCTGTCCTCGGACGCGCAGCTGTCAATGGACCGATGGTCGTGCCCATATGCCTGCATATGCATGTTCTTCGGACTTTTCATCTGCCACTGGCACTTTGCTCGGGTGTTCTACAGCTGCCTACTGCGCAGGCTTGGCTAGCACTCGGCTAGTCAAGTCCCTATTATATGGTCCACTGTAAGCCGCGTAGCCTTGTGCCGTTTCCAGATGAAGTTCGACCTACTCAAATCAGGACCCGGCGTCAACCCCCCCTCTCCTGACCCGCACCATGCAGCTGACATCGCGGTGGACGCGCTATCTGATGGTGGCCCCGAGTGCGACCCAACAGCATGCCTTAGTGACTCGAGCGGGTGGACGCTTGCGAATTGCTGCTGCGAATGCTGCGCGACCCCCATGATATTGATTTATACTACGACGTGCAGAGCTCGCTGCACCATCACGCGTCTTCAGCTGCACTGCCTGACCGTCTCCTCGTCGAAGCAACGCGGACACTTTTGGTTTGTCTAAAGGCCACTGATAATCACCCAGCTGCTCTGCGTGTCTAGTCACCGACGCCAGCGCGCTGCCGTCACTCGCAGCGATACCTGACGCTCAGAGTGGAAGTGCGGGCCAAATCAGGTTACGCAGCGCCATGTCACAAACAGTTTTGTTCCGCCTGAAGCTGGGGGAGGAGAGGCGACTGGTGTGATACGCGTTTCACATCACCCCTGCCTCGTCCCGCTGCAGCCACCTTTGTTCGCTCAGATTCAATCGTCGGGCCCACATGGGCCCGAATGGCCAGCCCCGTTCCGGTTCTCCGCCGCAGGAACCCGCCGTGGCTGCCGCGCCCCCACCACATTTCCGAACCGCGGCACCGTGTATACTCATCGCGCCTCGTCAGCGCTCTTCCAGTCCTTCCTGTTTGTCACCGTGCTTTACAGGAAAAAGAGAATGTCGTACGATTCCGGTACCGAGCGCGTTCCCATTCCCATGCTGTCATGCATACACCATAGAGCCGATTCACACTGCCTGAAGTGGTGATTTTGTCATGGGAAAGCCGTGTGTATTTGTGCCCGGGGGGTCAGGTACGCCTGAGCTCGTGATCGTACACTGTGAGCGCACGTTCATCCTTCCTGTGGTTCCACCACAATCTGAGGTTAGGGTCAATGTGCACGTGATCGCGACGCGTCTGGATCATTTGGTCGCGTTTTCACGCGACCGCCGCAAAGAAATCAGGACTGATGCACGTACGTCGGATTGATCATGGTATTGAATGCGCAAATGTAGTAGACTCGACCAACTTTACTGCTTGGGAGAGATTTCAACCAGTCATCAATAGCACATTGATGAATGAAACTCATAATTGCAGTAATCTGCAGGATACATTGCCTGTCGAGGAATATAATGAAAACAACCTATGACAGTTAAATCTACAGTCATTTGACGCATTTAAGGCGACACGGATTGATTAAGGCAACCCGGATTGGTCTATGTATACATTGCCATGTTATCTTCACGAGGCGACCTTTAGCAGGCCTTCCTCATACGCTTTAATCTCTATAATGCAAATGTCTGAGTACACGAGGCCCATGATTTGTCTTCAGAGTCAAGAACGCACGTAATGCAAGCAGCCTGGTCCAAAATCGCGCCGTCGACAGGTTTCCTAATACAGAAAACACGGCAACCAATGACGAGACTATCACTGCGACACACGAACACATACCAAGCGCGAACCACAACCCCTCGTGGCCAGAGCCACGCCATACCGAGTTCAGCTCCCCCTCGTCGTCCAGGCCCCACACGGGCTTGACCTTCGCATACACTTCGGGGCTGCAGACGTCCTTGACCACGTCGCGCGGATTGCTGAAACTACACCCATATTATGCAGCCATCAGCGACAGACAGAAGACTGCCGCGCGGCGACATACCCAGTCGCGAAGATTACAATGTCCGCGGGAAGCTCAGACCCGTCGGAGAAACGCAGCGCGGACTCGGTGAACGCCGCGATCGTCCCACCACTTTTGAGCTTGATCTTACCGTCAATGATCTCCTGCGACGCGCCCGTGTCTAATCGTTCCGGGCAGTTAGCACGGGGTGTTAACGATGGAAGAGATACTTGCCTAAGTAGTATCCTCCAGCGCGGGTCTGAACCATCGGCATGATCCCGGCGTTGTCCGGGCCCAGGTTGGTCCTGAACCCGACGCGCGCCAGCCCGTCAAGCAGCTCCCTGGCACACACCGAGCGGCGGTGAGATGCACTTCCGCTGGCACGTGAACGACGCGGAGACGCACTTATCGATCGTCGCAGCGAAGTGCGGGAACGCGCGCTGGTGCAGCTGGCGCGTCACGGCGAAAGGCGTCGCCGCGCCGACGTGGTCGGCATATTCGAGCGATGTGCCTTCGCCGTACATCCCTGCGTGTGATTGAGGACACTACGCGTGAGTGGGGCGGAGTGAACGGCGAGCGGACTGCCTACCGAGGACCAACTGGCCGATGGCTTCCGCAGAGACCATGCACGTTGATGAGCGCTGGAACCTGTGCGAAAACGAATGTGAGTCCATCGCTGTGCGCGGGAGAGCTTGAGCACGGACATCGTCACGTCGATCCCGTAATTCATACAGTCGCGGGAAATGTCGTGCGCTGCGCGCAAAACGGCGATCAGCCGCCAGGGAGTTCTGTATATATTTAAGATGCCTTCTTACCAGAGCTGCAGGCGCCGACAACGACGACCTTCTTGCCTCTAAAGCTCTCTGGAGAAGTGAATTGAGAGGAATGCAGCACCTGACCTTTGAACCGTTCCTGCCAGGCTATTGAGCTCCCACGATCAACTGTAAGCATACGTGCATACCTGCTCCGGTATGGTAGGGGAATAAGGAATACTTCCGTTCAGGCCCGTGGCAAATACCAGATGATTAGCTTGGAGCTGCCGAATCGCCTCACCTCGACGGACAGTCAACGCCCATGTCTTCTTCTCCGCATTCCAATTTGCGCTTTGGACGCGGGAGGAGGTCCACACGTCGAGGTCGAGTGCCTCGGCGTAGCTTTCAAGCCAATTGCCCAACTTATGGTTACTAAACAGTGAGCTGTGATTACTCGGCAGGGATAGGTGCTTACCTTAGCACCTGGAGCATAAACTGGCCAAGTGGATGGGAATCTGTGAACATGTCAGCCGAAACCAGTGGAAGAACAGAGTCGCGCTTACGGCATGTACGGTAGATGATCGTACCCTGCAGACAACTGAGTGATGCAAATACCGACACGAAGTATCATTGCCACGTACAAACCGTATCATGCAAACGCAGGCTCTTGTAACGATTGCGCCACTATAGGTACATTGTAGTATTATTACAAAGCGGACTAGAAAGTCAAGGAGAAGGCTGAGGACACCGACATTGTCACCAACGCGAGGGCTTTTCTCGACGACCAGCGTTCGAACACCGATGGCCTTCAACCGCGCCGCAAGCTCTAAGCCACAATGGCCAGCTCCGATAATTACCACTGCAGGGCGACCGTCCGCAAACTCCAACCCTGCACGCCGAGTGTCTTCCCAAGAAGCTTGATACATGTCTCTGTCTCGCAAAGATCCGATCTGATCGAGGACAGTCATCAACAACTGCTCTGTATCAGCTATCGCGCTGTACTTGCTCTTTCGGGGAAGCCATGCAGCGTTTCCAGACAAGTGAATATTGTGTATGCCTTCCACTCACCGCTCTCGATGGGGACAAGACGGCATGTGCCAGTACCAGCGCCTGCAGCGGTTTCAAATCGGAATGACAGCTGCAAGAGAGCTAAGTCTGGATATGGAGTGCGGAGAACTGGAGCCCAGAGCGAATCCTCGCAGAGTGTTAGCGATCGCAACCCCGATGAAGAGATGTGTGCATCGAGATACTTGGCAATGTTGGCAGAGCTCTGAATAGAGCGAAAATCCCAGGACAGTGCGAGCAAATCTCTCCAGAAAGCATCCTCTAAAAAGAGCGGCCCCAGCAGTACAGGCTGCGATCGAAGCGCGTTGGTGAAATCACCCAACCAACGCCGGGCGATGTCGAGCGGAACGACGCTTGCAGGGACTTCGGCCTTCAATCTGTCAAGGGTAGGAAGCTGAAAGGGACCAGTCCATGGTGTCTGTGCAGAGGCCATTTCGTTGACGTGCCGAAGATCAGCGATCAGCACTTGAGATATATATATGAAGGCACAAAAGTTTACGCGATAGATGAGGATAGATGGTATCACTGCTTTCTAAGCACAACACTCAAAAGCCTCCGGAACCAAGAGCAGCCTGAGAATACGAATGGCTACGAACAGCTCGAATTCGCGCATAGTATAAAAGAAAAACAAGCGGACTGAGCTGTGAGCTGACCATGATACACCCTGAAGGCCGAGAGAAGCTCGTGGTCAGAAGCCGAGCATAAGCCTGGCTGTTTTTAGATCACCGTACTGTAACACCGGGCCAATAAATCAAATATGAAGGCCATTTCAGCAAAGACCGGCTTATCGAGAGCTGCAAGGAAGTTCACTGCGTCCGAGACGGATTGGCGGATTTTGTCTAAAAGGTTCGATCCACTGACCAGCCCCGGCTCTCAGATCTCAGATGCCCACAGATTGAGGTTAGGGTCTTTCACGTGACCGCGATAAAGAGAGCTTCTCCGCACACTACCAGTCTACCACCATTGATTTTTTGCGTCTTGCCCTGGCCAGCCCTCCCCTCAACGTTGTTTATCGCACACCCCTGCGCACATGACCTTTATAGCGCCGGGAAACAAAGGTATGCACTACTATCTCTCTCCAGCACTAGTGCACTTATCTCCGTCTCAGCGACGGTTTGCACTCGGTCTGCCTATTCTGATATCCGACGCCACATACACACTAGCTCGCGAGCGGGGTTAGCAAAGATAACTTGGTTGAAGCTTGAGCGAGTACTTATACGTTTGCTCTGCTGTCTGATATCTCTGGTCTCTTCGCTCTTCACTTCTCGTTCTTGGGAGGAGCGTGCTGCTTTCAGCCTTGAGTAACGACCCGTCATGACTGTCATGGCTTCGTTGCGTAAAGTGCGCCGATTCGTGTGGGGTGAAATCCCTGCAACCAAGGCGGAGCAGAAGCTGTTGCTGAAGATAGACTGGTTTATTCTGTCCTACTGTTGTCTAATGGTGCGTGCATTCGGCTGTTGGGCGTCAGACTTCCAGGTTCACAATCTATGTGAATAGTATTTTACGAACTGTGAGCTGACGGTGGGCATACCTAGTGCCGGACGAGATGTGCTGACCCTCGGAGGTAGACCTCGACCGGAGCAACGTTGCGAATGCGTACGTCTCGGGGATGAGACAAGAATTGCACATGCATGGTACACAGTACAATGTCAGTATCACCTCCGATCCTATAGTTAGCTGGGCTGACGAATCGGACAGAAAATTAACACGATTTTCACCTGCGGGTATATTGTTGGGATGATCCCAAGCACGTTGTTTCCTGTGGTTGCTTGTCGGAGCGAAATAATATTAACCATGTTTTGCGTAGATAATTTAATGCTGCAGGTCGTCTCCCCGCGCATCTGGTTTCCTACCATGCAGATAGTCTGGGGCGTGTTGACATTCTGGTAAGTCTACTCGTTCTCGTACGTCCTAACCGCGATTGACCATCTATCCGTGATATAGCTCAAGCACCGTGAAGAATATCGAGCAGGTGGGTATCTCCTCGCAGCGGAAGCCATGACTTTCATTCTAATCACAACCGCCGTTTTGGACACAGCTCTACGCCATTCGATTCTTCCAAGGCGTGACGGAAGCCTCAACGTTCGTGGGCACGCACTACGTCCTCGGCTCGTAAGCTCGCCACATTGCACCTGAATCTCGTACCCTATTCAGACAAACAACATATTCACAGGTGGTACAGGCGTGGCGAACTCGGAAAACGATCAGGCATCTTCACGAGCTCGGGGCTCATCGGCACATTGTAAGGACAATTACTCCGTTCGCTGGTGACATAAGCGCAATAACCCTGGCACGCACCTTCAGGTTTTCTGGTGTGCTTCAGGCGGCGGTGTACAAGTGCGTGAATGGTATTCGTATGATATGACATGCGTCTGATAGCTACATGGTTGTAGACATCTGAATGGAGTTTCAGGACGAAGTGGCTGGCGGTGGCTGTGCGTATAGTTATCTTCAACCCCCGACCAGTTCACTGCAAGCTCATTGACGCCTCTTGTAGTTTCATCATCGACGGCGTGATCACACTCCCCATCGCCTTTTACGGTTTCCTGGTGTTTCCAGATCTTCCTGCAACAACGAAGGCCTTCTATCTCACAGAAGAGGTCAGTCTTCCTTGCTGACACACTGAATCAACTTACCCTTCCATCCCTCAATCTTTACCACCTTTTGGTGCTGACACCGTTTGCATTGACATCGCCAAGGAACGTGTCCTCGCACGCGAACGTGTCGAGACGACCAAGAAATCGACGCACGGGAAAGTTACGTGGGACCTCGTCCGCAGGATCCTCGGCCGCTGGCGGTGGTATGGCTGTAGTCTGCTAGTATGTCGTATCTTCCCCTTCTAATCCGATTTGTGCGATATCCTAATGCTCCGGACAGTTCGCCGTCTCGGGCGAAACAGAGAGCTTTGCCTCGAACAACCTCATGGGCCAGTTTCTTTCCGCCCTAGGCGGATACACGGTGGAGCAAGTCGGTGCGAGCCCTTCACTTTCGTTTCGCGTTCAAGTCGGTGCTTGTGCGATAGAAATGCGTGTCTGACGTCGCTGCAGATTACTATCCGTCTGGCGTGACCGCCGTCGGAATCGCGTCGACGCTCATCTGCGCGACGTGGACTGACTCCACGCGCTCGCGTGCTCGATGGCCCGTGCTTGTGTGGATGTGCTTTGCGGTGATCGTCGCGAGCATATGTATCGTAGTCTGGAGTAGCCCCATTGGCCTCAAGTTTTTCGCGTATTGTGAGTGCGCTGATTTTCGGAGGTGTGATGGTGGTGCTTGACAGGTTGTACATAGATCTGGCTGGTGCTAGTTACTCAGGCCAGGCGACAACGTTCGCGTACGTACATCCCACTTTGAGACCTTCGTGGTGCGGGAGATGCTGAATCCACTGCTCGCAGATGGGCAAACCAGATATGTTATGACGACGACCAGGAACGCGCAGTCGTGCTCGCGTCCATGAAGTACGTCGATTTTCCCGCTCTCTGTGTTCCCACCGCTCACCAGACATTCCTTATCAGCATGTGGAACAACGTGATTAATGCGTGGTGGCCGCTCATCTTCTACCGTGCCACGGATGCGCCCCGGTTCCGACGGGGCATGTGGGCGATGATCGGGACGGCGGTCGCGACGCTCGGCGTGACGTGGCTCGTGTGGTTCCTCGAACGGCGGGAGAAAAGGGGAAGAGGGAAGGTGGGAGTGGAGGAGGGCGCAGAGGAGCGGGACGACGAGCAGAACGAGAAGGGGCAGATAGATGAGGTGGTCATCGCGGAGAGCTTGTGAGATGCGGGCTCTTCGCGGCGACCCTAAGCTTTAGATTCAAGATCTTGGGTAACATTTTACTAATGTAACGTACAATAGAATTGCGTAGAATTCGTGCTTGAACTGAAAAACTTGTATGCTATCCTATTCATCGAGGGCTATGGATGTCCTGAGGTACGGAGCTTACTAGCGGAGGCTACACCGCCTTTGAACGTCGCGTTTCAAACCGTGACTCTGTGACTGAACTCCAACACATGATCGTGTCGGGATTGGCACGAACTGACCATAGTCACCATCTTTCCGCACGCTGCTGTCTTGTAGCGGTGGTGAACAATAAGCTAGACTGACCGTCTGACTCGGACAGTAGATTCCTATGCTCCTGCAGCCGCAAGTTGTAAGTTGCTTATGTACCCTGGACACTTGGACCGTGCACAACTCATCATGGGGTAGTTCTTTGAATGACTTTCACCAAATTCGTGAGTATTTCTTTTACAATTGAAGCACGTTTGCTCCCGACAAGCAACCCTCCCGAGTTCGACTTATGCCAACTGTGCCCCGTGGAAGGAACTTGATTTATCCTGGTGAGACCCTACATCTGCCCCTCCGAGCCTCTCGTTCCTGCGCTTGGGACGCTTTCTTCTCGACAAAAGCAAGAATATGCCGATTGGTGTCTTCATGCCGTTCGTAATGCGGGGTGTGCCCGACCCCCTCCATCAACTGCACTTCCACATCGTCATAGACCGCCCTCGCCTGCTCGAGCATCCTCTCATACAAACAGTGCGTATCTTCCGTCCCCTGCAGGATCAGCACGGGCAGCTTCCCCGCCTCGGCCGCCTACCGCGTGTCGTCCTGCCCGCGCGCGAGCGAATAGTGCCTAATCTTCGGCGGCTGCGAGCCAAAGCCGCCCATCCACAGCAGCTTCGTAGGGTACGGGATGGGATCCGCGACGCACGAGTCGAAGAACATGGACGCGCTCTTGGCTACAACTTCTGAGTCCTCAGAGCAAATCAGGGGGATCATGGCGTGGAAGAGCGGATGCCAGCACTCTTCGTTCAGCCTGAAGGATAGGACGGGTCCGCCGACGTAGACTACGCCGGAGATGAAGTCCGCGCCGTACGCGGCGACGATGTCCACGGGGATACAGCCTGAGCTTCGGTCGTTGACTTAGAATGAACTCTCGCCAAAGCAGAAAGTGTGACTGACCACCAAGGCTCCTGGCACATTCAGTGAGTGACTAATCTCCTCAGAATTACGATTGGTACTCACCATCCCAGCACGAATGGTCTGTGCAGCCCAAACGCCTCACACACGGTGCGAAAATCCTCTGCATGGTGGATGGAACCATACGCCTCCGGGAATTCTGGCATATCGCTCCGCCCGTGTCCCCGCATCTCGTACCGCACCAGATGCAAGTTCTCGAGCAGTTTCGGATCGGTGAACTGCCTCTCGAATCCCAAGGCAGTGCATGCCAGGCCGTGGATGAAGACCAGCGCCGGTTTGGAAGGGTCGCCGGCCGATTCTGCCCAGAGCTTCGTGCCGTCGGTCGAGGTTAGGAATTCTTCACGGTTCGACATCTGTTCGGACTTCAAGCTTTCAAGTGCAACGAGGCGGGGAACCCGTTTGTGATCGTGGAAGCTGCAGCTTCCCTGTCTTATTTAGCACCGCAACCCCGCATCTAATAGCGGTGTGGGTATAGATAGCTCGTTTTGCGTCGTGGGTTTCACGAACGAATGGTCATTGGGCTGGTATCGGCGGCCGCACATAGCGAGCTACCTCATGACCTCTGGTCTTGTACTTGTACAACGAATGGCACACACGACATCCGTAAGACCAGTATCCCCCCTTCGTTATGGTAGATTTGGGGGTGACAGCCCCCGGAATATCTTCGAATACCAAACGATTCTACATTTCGCTCTAAGAAATTGCTGCATTAACAAACTGAGTAGTGAATGCGATAAGTAGACAAAGAAAATGAGCTCGGAATAGATGCTAATGATACAGTACGTCGACGTATACAATATCCAGAGTTGCACAGCATTAGGTCTGCCAGATCTTCTGAGTGTCCGGCCGGTCAGAAAGACGAAGTAACATAACATACATAATATAGGGGGCATCGAGTATAGCACATGCGTGAGAAATAAATGCGAAGAGCATTAGGTTTGGGATGCAGTGGATGGGGCGGTGATAGTCCGTACAAAAACAGAACCAGGTTTAGGCACGTGCGACGACTTTTATTCATTTCGCACCTGCGAGACAGTGAGCGCAAGGCATCGACACATTGATGAGAGCTCACAGTGAATCGGCGAGCGCGCTTCTCGTCACTCTGAATCTCCTGCATGAGCGTCCCACCAAATTCATCCGGCAAAAGTGCAAAGACCGGGATCTGCGGTAGTGTAGGGTCCATCCTCACCATACCCTGCCCATCCCCGATTGTGCCAGACGTCAGAGAAGATTCCATCGGCGAAGCCGACACGCGACGGAGCTGTGATGAGCGTTTCGGGGGAGGGAGGGCAACGGAACTGTAGGCAGGCGGGTTCGCAGAGTTCTCCATTGCAGCAGCCCGTAAAGGACTGGCAGAGAGGGAAATGATTGAGAGTGCGGACGGAGGGCCGGAGTTGGAATGCGCCTGGGGTGCAGTGGTAGCACCGATGTCTAGCGGGATGAGGGCGGGGACCTGCTTGCGCTGTGGGGGATGGAGCGTGCGCGGATAAGTGGTATCGTACGGCAGATTAGACGGTCCCTGGCCCCGGGGAGGTCCAACAGTAGTAGGCAGGAGAGCATTGTATGGATAGCCATGCTCGTACGTGTTGGTGTTGTACGCAGGGTACGCGCTTTGACTCGAATAGCCCATTGTGGGATACCTCTCCCCGTCCGCTGTCGCCGCAGGGACGAAAACGGGAAGGGCTGGATATCCAGTCCTCTCGAACATCTCCGAGTTCTGGTTCACCACAGTCTGACCATATGAGGGGCCAGCGGGCGATGATTCAGCTTGACTGGATTCGTTGCTACCTGTTCCCTTGGAGGCCCTGCGCTCACGCGAGATGCGTGGCCTATTGCCATGTTCGACGTCGCCTCCGCCACCGACAAGCTGATCGGACGAGGCATCCGGGTCGAAGTCGACCGCATCGGGTTGCAGCTTGTCTCGCCTCCGTCTCCGGATAGCAAACGTAGCGATGACAATGAGTAGAACAAGGCCAATGAGAGACGCAGCTGTGATGACACCCACAGAGAGCGCCTTGTTCTGCAAGAAAGACTTCGGCGGGGCCGAAGTAGCAGCAGCCGCAGCAAATGAAGACGCGCTTCCAGTATGGCTCGCAGACGCGGTCGATGACACGGTACTCGACGCAGAGTCAGAAGGACCCGAAGGTGCAGGAAAAGGACTGCCGCTGGCCGTTGCACTAGGTGAAGCAGAAACTGTGTCTGAAGCAGAAGCAGTGTCTGAAGCCGCCGCGAATGAAGATGAAGACGCGTTCGACGCAGCGGAAGAGACGTTTTCTGAGGAAGTCGGTCTGACACGATGAATAGGAAATCAGTTGTGAAACCCATCGGATCGTCTTCGAGATTGATACTTACTGAGGCTGCGGTGCGTCTGACGGACTCGGAGAGGAAGTCAACGAAGGAGTAGATGAAGCTGACAGTGTCAAAATGGAACTCTGGCTACTCTGTGAATTCGGAGGGAAGAACGGTGAGAAGAGACTGCTCAGTTGTCCACCAAGGCCGCCGGAGTCACCTCCATCGTTATTGCCGTCGTTCCCGCCGCTTTTCTACGTGTCAGACATCACGAATACAGAATACTGAACGTATGGACTCACAAGGTATCAGCTGTGAATAGATTCAACATGTAAGTTGAGGTACAAATAAGGAATAAGGAATGCCACTCACAACTGACAAACACACCAGAATCCGAGAGATCGTCAATGCGAATAAGATGTAGGACGCTCATGGCAATACACAGAAGAGCGGGGGGCGAACGTCAAAAGAATGTGGGTATGGCTGGTGGTGGACAGTGGTATAGCCTTGTAGTCTTCCAGAGACACAAGGAGATTGAGAGTCGTAAGACAAGAAGTCAACCGTCTCGTGCGCAGCAATGGCCACAAGAAAACGATGCAAAGCCGAAGAGGAGGCAGGAGACAATAAGAACCGAGAACTAAAGCCGCGTAATAAGCTCGGGCTATGAGAAGTTGCACCATTGTTCCACTCCGCGACCGTGGAGATGCAGACCATGCGAGGAGCATGCGTTGGCATCGAAACGCCACGGTAGAGTATACACATACATATCTGCAGTTCGCTAGCAACGGCTGCCGCCTCGCTGCGAGTCCAGTCTGCAACGTCAAGCACCGTGACTTCAGTTGGGGTTTGCCGCTGTCTCCTTACGTCCTAAAAAGGCAATTGTACATTGAATCGATCACGTGGTCTCCTAAGCTACAATCGCGCCAGAACAATAGAAAACAGATGCTAAACCTGCCTAATCAACGCAATATTCTCGTCGTCGGCCCATAGCTCTGTCCGGCATTGCGCTCCATGATCTCGCGAAGCGGACCAAGCAGACGCGTGAACGCATGCGCATCGAGTGCCGCGACCTTCAACTTGGGCATCGACGGGTCCATCCGCACAATTGCGCTGACAGTTGCAGCGCGGGGCTCCAATCGTAACAACGACAGCTCTGCGAACATCGAAAGCTCATATGAGGACAACGATCCAGCAGTTAGTCCAGAATACGCACCTCCAAAGTAGTCACCCTTGTTCAGAAGTCCTACTTGACCTTCCCTCGTCTCTCCGTCATCTCCGCGCTGAGTCTTCGTTACCACCGCCTGACCCTCCTCCACGAAGAAAAATGTGTCACCCATATCACCCTGTCTCACAACTGCTTCGCCGTCCACGTACACCTTGCTCACCAATGCATCTGCAATCTTGCTCCGCTCCTCAGGCTCCAAAGACGTGAGGAGTGGCACAGAGGACAGAAATTGCTCATACATCGTGCGCCTGCGATGCGCAGCCTTGAGAATGATAGTGCGAAAAGTTATTCTGTCCAGAGACCATAGCGTCGAAGGCTCCATGGCAAGAACCGTTGCCGCACGGGGATGTCCGTACATGAGCGCAAGCTCACCAAACGAGTTCCCCTCCCTGCATTCCGCCACCTCCTTCCCAAACTCCGGGTGATATCCCGGCTGTAAGAATTTCTCCGATGGCGGAGTAGCAGAGCTATTTCCAGTCAGCCATGCCGGTGGGAGCGGCTCAGGACGGATGTAGCAATTGAGCCACCCATCTTCGACGACGTAAAAGTACTCGCCAACATCGCCCTGACGGATGACGACTTCATCCTTGGAGATTTTCACCTCCTGCATAGCGTTCAGTACACCTGTTTCCTGCTCCTCATCCAAATCACGGAAAATGAAATTGTTTGCGATGGAGGCACGGATCCGGCGCAATTGCTCTGGGGATTTGGGAAAGACTGGGAGAGGCTCGTAGCTTTCACTGTCCACCGCGATCGATTCTGCGCTCACGGACGTTCGTCGGGCGAGAATAGTCGATGAGAGTGCATGCAAGTAATCACCCGCAACAGGTGAAACGGTGGTGTTTGCGAATGATGCGAAGGGATTCTGTGTTAGAGGGGATGATGGATCCTCGCTCTCAAGCTTGAAGGTAGGCGGATTCATTGCGCCATGATCTCGTCCGCCATCCTGCAGCAACGCGTTTCCGGGGACATTGAGCGTTCCAAAGGGGCTATTGTTCGACATAGATGTGTGGAAAGACGAGCGCTGCTTAGGATATGATTGGGCGAAGGGCGAAACGCTGTGACCTGCAGGGGCGGTTGGGCTCAACGGGGTATCCAGATAATGGTCTGCGGGTAACTCGAGGAGTGGACCAGGATGGTGGGACAGGGTATCACGCGCTCGTGTGCGTTGTTCCTCGAGCCGGGACTGGAACCAATTAGCACAAAATTGGAGAGCGTCTTTGGGCTGCACACGGTGCGCGTCGCGGGTCAGGTCAGCTACGAGAGATTCGAAGGTTGACATATGTGACATAGCGCCAGAAGTTACTGGCTGGCACTGGCTCTAGCCGCAGGCACTTATATACCCTCGTACGGTGGACGGGCGTACTTCCAGTGATGATGATCACGGACCTGGCGATGTGTTCCTTGTACTGTAGTGGGAAACGCACACAAGTCAACGGCGTCTGCGATGACACAGCGGTCATTGACTCACATATAGGCGCAGGACTTGAAACAGCTTTCCGCTAGTCTCCCAAAGCCAGACTACAAAATCAGTCCTATGAGAGGTTGGAGGGACTAGCTTTCCGCAAGGATACACAGAGAGTCCGACGCAACAGTTCGCTCCAAATCGGGTAGTATGCGCGCTCACGGCGTACCGAATAGAACATCCCTTGTAAGTCTCCAATCCCCGACATACAGCAGCGTACAGTTGTTCAGAGAATTTACGAACAAACCTTGTTCTCCATGGAGAACTTCAACATAGTTGGTGCTGTTTTGTACCCACTGGCATTTCTTTCGCGACGTGTTTGTTACTTGTAATCCATCATCACGTGATCCTGGGACTTCCACGTAGGCAACCGCCGGCTTTGAGACCAGTCGATTTGTCTGGACATCGTCCGACGTCGTCGTCGTGCACATCGTTCTTTACCTTTGCCGACTTCATCTTCTAATGCCTCTTGTTGATCTACGCATTGAGCTTCCTGCGTACTCGCATTCATTCACAGTTCAAGTTCAGCAGTCATCCACCATCCGTGATGTCAAGCATGAGATCACCAAGTGCTGCCCCGGAGCTCCTCGGCCGGATGGTCAACGGCTCGTGTGCAGAGGGCGCTTTCTGAACGACGAGGAGAAGGTGCTGGATATATGGAAGGTTGGTTTCCGCCTCGTTGGACATATTAGAGGCGAGCTGACTGTATCGTAGTCCCCTGAAGATTCACGAGTCATCCACCTCGCCGTCCACCCGTCAAGTTGGTCCTCTGCTCCTCCGTCGCTCTCGTCACAGTCGACGTTTCCTAGTGCCCAACCCCAACATGCGCAGCCGTATCCTCCACGGCAGCATCCATCGTCTTCTTCTCCGCAACCATCACAATCAACATCATTGCCTTCTAACTCGCCTCTGCTATATGTGGTCTTGAGGCACAACTTAGCCCTCTCTGTTCTCAGACCGAATGTCAATGCTGCGCCCCTGCCGCAGAATCATGGCCAGTGGCGGTCAGCGTCTATGACTTGGCTTCGGAACCATGGTTGGTCGTGGCCGAGTGTAATAGACGAGGAGTTTCCGCCGTCGGAAAGAAGTGGGCAAGGACTCAATTATGAGTGTGTATCCATGAAGTAAGTCGTGTTCATTACAACGCGTATCTGTACTGCTGACATTGGCTCAAACAACCAGCAATGTGCGTTATCTCATGCTAGCGACGCCCACAGCGACACCGACGCCAGCCCAGATACACGCATTCAAGATATTGTCACACACCTATGCGATCCTCTCCTATGCTCTTTCCTCGCCGGATTCTGCACATGCTGCACCCCCTTCCAGCTACACTTACAGTTACACCGTCGCCGTTCCCCTCACCAATCTCAACAATCACCTCCAACAAGTAGGCCTCCCTCCTCTGCGCCTCGCGCCCGGACCAAACGCCAACCCAAATGATCCCAACAATCCGTTGGCAGCGGCAGCTGCGGCCGAGATGCGTGCGATACCTCTGCGCGCCTTAATTATTCCCCTCATCATGCTCGTCTTCCGCACTCTGCTTGTCATCTACTTCTTCTCGCCTTCCAAACGTCCACTGTTTGGTATCATCATCAGCGCGTGGATCTTGTACGAAGCATGGGGTGCGATGCGGATCGTGCTCGGGGATGATAGAGGGAGGGCCGCGCCACCAGGTGGCGTTGAAGGCAATGGAGCGTTGGGCGCGCATGGTGCAGGCCCAGCCCCGAATGCTCAGGGAGGAGGACAGCCGGCTCCTGGCCAACCTCAACGTGCTCGAGGCGGCCGCAACGCAAGCCAGAGTCACGCGCACACATTTTTGAACACCTTATCCAAATCGAACCTTGACACGGAGGAAGCCAGCCTGGATGCAGACTATCCTGTACCGGTCCCTGCACCTAGTCTTGGCCATAAGATCAGAACATTCGTAGGCTTACTGTTCCTGACGCTCCATCCCGCGACGTGGGACCATCGGCGTGCGTTGCTGCGGCGGAGGGAAGGACGTATTCGTACGGAAGCGAATGCTCGGGATGCAGCACCCACTGGCGAAGAACAGGACGAGGCTCACGCAAAAGCTCGGTTGGATCTGGTTACTCGACACGAGAGGCGGCCGGCTTGGATAAAGGAGTATATCCGTAGGGTGCAAACGACGGAATGGTTAGATGATGCTTGAGGAACATATATCCTATTGGGCTGTACTGATCGTGGACCTGTGCAAGTAGATATATATTCTCCATTGATTACTGATCTTGGTTTTGGAGAGTTATTTTCTTGGCTCGAAACACAAATGCATGACGCTCTGAGATCCGTGAGAGATGGATAGCACATCCATATCTGGCAGGCGACGTATTGAACGCCAAGACCTACTTCTCTTGAGGTGTACCTAACACGATGGCAGGGACAACGGAGAAGTTGCACATTCTCGTCCACCCTCTGATCAATTCACGACTATCTCAGCTCAGGCTGACCACTACCAATGCAAAAGAGTTTCGCGAGGTGTCCATAGACCCATCTTTTACTTGCTACACATCACAGCATCTCACATAGCTGCTTACAGGGTATCCGTGACATTAGCCTTATATTAGGCATTGAGGCGAGCCGCTACTTAGAGGAAGAAACGATTACCGGAGTGGGTGTTATTTCTTCGCGGCCCTGTACACTCATCCGACACAGTTTCGTATCAGCAAACCCCAGTAGGACCATTCACTGGCTCTGTTATCAAGCCGAAGATTGGTCTCACACCTGTATTGCGCGCTGGTCTCGGAATGACGGATGCTCTCTTGGATCTATTCCCGTACGTAGTCTTACGTTTGTCCGCGTACACCTCGCTGATGCTGGTATGCGGGCGTGGTGGTCAGGGCTGCGCCTGTCTATCACCTTGGGATATTCAGGGAGAAGGTCACGTTGCAGCCGGTGGAGTGTGCGTCTTCACATTATCTATCCGTCGTGATCTGATAGTTGCGCAGACTATTCGAAGCTTCCGTCCAACCCGACCGTTGACATGGTCTTCCTACTGGATCCTCTGATTGCAACGGGAGGGACAGCATGTGCTGCTTTGAACATGATCCTGGATTGGGGTATTCCTGGTATGTCTGAGTCTCCACGTTCCATTTCCATGGCATGACTGCTCATGACTTATTGCGCTCGTAGTCAAGCAGATAAAGCTACTCTGCATATTGGCTTCCCAAGATGGTTTAAATCGCGTATGTGCCGAATTTCCAGGTATAGAAGTGAGTCGTGAAGCTCCTATGCATCGACGTGTCTGTTGAGCCTTCACACCCTGGCAGATCTGGGTGTCCGCTGTCGACCCAAACCTGACTGCTCGGGGCCTGATCAACCCAGGACTGGGCGACACCGTATGCTTTCTCCCGTGCTGGTTCTATCTGCAGTTTTCTAATCACACGCCATTCAGGGCGATCGTCTATACAACACTCTCAAGGAATGATCTCAGGCTTGACATTCAAAGATTGGAGGGTTGGAAGGATACGCGATCCGAGTCAGCTGACTTTATCTCTAGATCTCTGTATAGCAAGCTATAAACATATTCTCGAGCCTTGCCATGTACTTACATGTAATGATGTACCTGGTGTATGTGGTATGTGGTTGAGATGTACAGTACATCTTATGTGAATACGAAATATCGCCGATAATGAGTACGTTCCCAAAAAAACCACGTGAGAGGAGATGGTAGACGGAACGCCATGATGAGCAATCCGTGAATTCGGAATTCGGCCTGGTCATGTTCACTATACAAGTGCGATGGCAGCGAAAAGTTCCTCTCCTGCTCTAGTCTTTCTTCCCCCATGGCCGTTGATATGTCTGGAGTTTCAACACCGCTATCGTCCACCGCTACATTGTCGGGCACGTCCTCTCCGAAACTGACGACTTTGGAGAAAAACATTGCCAACGGCCCTGCAATCCCGGCTTCTACTGCGATTGAATACATTGCTTCGCGTTCGAGCTTGAGCTCGTCCGTCTTTGTCTATGATCTCGCAGAACAGGCGGGCTTCGGCACTCTCACCAAATCATGGGCGGAATCGAGCAGCGACGTAGCCTCCGTTGTGAGTCTGCAGACTAGAGCTGGTGCCGGCTTGAGCTTGGTCGGAAGGCTTTCCCAAGGATCGAGCAAGGATACCAAAGGTGCAGTCCTCACGGCATTTACGACTCCCACTGGCTTGGCTGCCATGGTGCAGTCACTATCCTACCTACCGCCTGCTACTGCGAGCAGCAGGCTAATTATACAGGTGCCTACCGTCACTCCCGTCGGCGAAAACTTCTCGTTGTCGCCCACCCTTGCACCTCTTGCCCCCGTCTTCTCCATGTTACCCGACAGCTTCACCGTTCTCCTGTCCGCGGCACCCCAGGAGGCTGTAGATCTTACCGCGCTCTCTTACAAATTGACCGACACTCATGTCATCCATCTCTTCGACCACTACAGCTCTGCCAGGGAGACCGGTCATAGCATCATTCCGGCAGTCCCTTCGCAGGAAGCCGGACTGACGGTCAAGGAGGGACTGACCAAGGCTGGATATGGTGCTTTCGACTATGCCGGGGACAAGGAAGCGCACACGGTAATTGTGCTGCTGAATGGACCGCTGGCGTTGGTCGCGAAGGCGATTGCGTCGCATGTCTCAGGTCTGGGAGTCGTCGTAGTCCGTCTGCTTAGGCCTTGGGACGAGGATGCATTGAGGCAGATCATCCCAGCTTCCACCAGGCATATTCATGTGCTCGATGATGTTCCGACCGAGACGACCCAAGGAGCATTGTACATGGATGTGTTCGCCTCCGTGCTAGATCCTATGAACTCCGGTCCTGTGGTCAAGTCTCATCGCATCGTCTCGTCGCACACGCAGGAGTTCCTTACCAGACCGGCCATTTTCGTCTCTTTCCTCTGTGAGCTCGTTCCCACTGCCGTTCCAGCATCAATAGATGCTCCCAACTTGAAGAAGTTATTGTTCTTCAGCGTCCCAGATTCCCCACTATCTGTCCTCCCGCGCATGGTAGAACAGACTTTCCTGACGCATCCTTCCATCTCAGCACGTCTTGTCACCGATCATGACGTGTTCGCCAAGGTCACGGTTGACCGTCTTCTACTCTCCCCGAAGGACGATAAGTCGCCGTTCGTCCCACTTTCCGTTACGCTGCCCATTACGCCTGGGAGCCCAGGAGAAGCGGATTTCGTGGCTGTATCGGACCAGGCACTGTTGAAGTCTCACTCGATCATCACTCACGCCAAAGCAGGATCTGTTCTACTTATCGTTACGTCTTGGACTGCAGACGAACTCGTCTCGAACGTCTCGCTAGAAGTTGCAGCGCTGGTCCATGAGAAGAACTTGCGCCTCTACATCATCACTGCGAAGGAACTAGCCGCTGACCTGAGTGACGTCGTAGGCACGGCTCGGAAGACGTTGGAGGACGTTATTGTGTATCTGGCGTTCTTGCGGTTGTATCTCGCCCAGGTTGCAACCGAGGAGCTTGTCATCAAGCTTGCACAGAGCACGTTGGGACCGATTGTTCAGGGAGTTAACCTCTTGAAGGTCGGGTCCAGGACCTGGAGTGCGTTGGTGCAGGTCGACACCCCTGCGCCGGCGAAGGATGTGGAAGGTGCTGAAGCCGAGACAGCCAAATCCGTCGCTCTCAAAGACTTCGTGTTCAATACCATCGCGGTAGAGATTTTCGATGGAGACACCGTCGCGAGCGGTGCACGTCTAGGTTCGTGGCACGATGCGGCTAAACATATCATCTTCCCTACTGCGTTCACGCCTGAGGGCTTAATACCCGGAAGCGAGCTCTCACAGGATCCGTCTCTACGTCCCGACCTCGCTGAACGAACTTACCTCATCACTTGCACGGTTAACCGTCGACTCACGCCCGAGGACTACGACCGCAATGTCTTCCACCTCGAGTTCGACACAAGCGGGACTGGGCTAAAGTATGAGATTGGCGAGGCATTGGGTGTGCACGGGTGGAACGACACCCAGGAAGTGCTCGACTTTTGCGCTTGGTACGGCATCAATCCTGACCGCCTCATCACCATCCCTGTTCTCGGCAGCGACGGCATCAAATTGCACACACGTACGGTTTTCCAGGCGCTGCAGCAGCAGATCGACTTGTTCGGCAAGCCGGGCAAGTCTTTTTATACCGACCTGTCAGAGTACGCGAGTACTAAGGCGGACAAGTACGCGCTGCAGTTCATCGGCTCGCCGGAAGGCGCTGCTACGTTCAAGAAGCTGTCTGAGAAGGACACGGTGACGTTCGCGGATATTTTGATGCGGTATAGCAGCGCGAAGCCGGGCATCGAGGCGCTCTGCGAGCTCATTGGAGACATCAAGCCTCGGCACTACAGTATTGCAAGTGCCCAGGCCGTGGTGGGCGATAGGGTTGACCTCCTCGTTGTCAGTGTGGAGTGGGTGACACCGAGTGGTAGGTCACTCCGCCTTCCTAGCCGCCGTACGATGTTTCACAGTTCGTGACGCAGGTTGTTCTCGGTATGGCCAGTGCACAAGATATCTCGCAGGTCTGAAAGTTGGCCAGAAAGTGACCGTCTCAATCAAACCTAGCGTGATGAAGGTACTATCATCGTACAATGCATGGTATTCACCAGCTGACGGTCCAGCTTGTAGCTTCCTTCTGACAACATGCAGCCCATAATCATGGCCGGTCTGGGCACAGGCGCAGCGCCCTTCCGGGCCTTCCTCCAGCACCGTGCCTGGCTTGCCGCACAGAACATCCCGGTGGGACCGACGTACTACTACTTCGGATCGCGCCACCAGTCGCAAGAGTACCTGTATGGCGAGGAGATTGAGGCGTACCTTCAAGAAGGGACGATCACGCGCGCGGGGCTTGCGTTCTCGCGCGACGGTCCACGCAAGGTATACATCCAGCACAAGATGCGTGTAGACTCTGAGGAGCTTGCGCGCATGTTGTGGGACGACCGCGGTGTGTTCTACCTGTGTGGTCCTACCTGGCCTGTGCCGGACGTGTATGAGGCGCTTGTGGAGGCGCTCGTGAAGCACACGGGCGAGGAGCAGGAGGCCGCTGGTGCTTTCTTAGAGGGCCTGAAGGAAGAGGAGCGCTATGTGCTTGAGGTATGTGAAGCCCCTTCCTGACGTTCCAGATGTTTCACTAACTCGCGCTTCAAATCTCTAGGTGTATTAGTCCTTTCTACTAGTATTTATATACAGTGCAGGATATATACACTACCTTTGGTATACCATCCCTAGAATAATACTGGGATGCAGAAACATATTATTTCTACCGCTGAACTTCGTCGTCCACATTGTTCGTCATGAGAGTACCGGTGCTTACGCCCACTTCTGCGCCCACACTGAGCCCGCTCGGGCACCCGCCGAGATCGCAGCGTCGCACGACCACCCGCCTGCACGACCGCGCGCCTACACGCCCTGCTGCACGTGCGTGTGATGCGCCCGCCGGGCCCGAGCGCGAGTAGGGTAGTAGAGCGCCTCAGTCGCCGCGGAGGTCCCAAAAGCGGACCTGGGCGTCCCACCCGCCGACGAGAGGACGTACGGTTCTTGCGCGGGTGTGGTCGCGCCCGTGGTGAGCGCGGAGGGTGGGTTCGCGGGGCAGTTGGGGTGCGTGCCCACGACGTACGGCACTGTCGCGGTTTAGAGTCAGTAGGCTGCGGTGGGTATGAGGGATCAGATACAAAAGCCAGCCAGTGGCAGCTCACCTTGATGAAAACACCGGCCTCAAACTGTTTTCCTGGGAGTTTTGATCTTATTAGAAAAGTACGCCGTTATATCCAATGACGAGGAAGTTCCGTACGGGGACGAGTCAGACCGCACGCTAGCACCAAGGTTCAGCAGCGTCACGGTATACGGTCACACAAGAAAGATCCTCATACCTACTCAAGGCAGTTCCGGACACCTTTGTAAAAGAATACGACCTCTTTCAAACTATATCCATCGAGCAGGGAAAATTCGGACTAGACAGAGCGCTCGCGGCAAAAGCGGACCCCGGCCTTGTAGGACTTCACCGTGGCAAGGTGTATTTCTCTTGCAGTGAGTAAGTGATACGACAGAACGCGACGGGTGACAATATTCACTTCATATTTTCGCCTGTTCGCACACACCTGTTCCTTCGTTGGCACGTCCTCTGTTGTTCCCCGTCCTCTTAAACCCATGCAGCTCCAGTGACAGGTCGTCTCGACATAAGGAAATCCGACGCGGGGCGAGGCTGATTATATACTTGCTGCGGACTACATGCTATGGACAAGTTCAGTGAATGTATACATGAGGATTAAACCTTTCTACATACATTGTTCGATTTTTCCAGGAGACTCTGGTCAGAACGCGCGGATCCATGCAAGGTGACTGCAGAACATCCATAACTCTATCGTCCCGGCTATGCACTGTAGCTCAATACCTCGTGATTAGTGACTGCTATCTACCAAGGACGGGACGCATAATAGCAACACTCACTTCGTCACTTCTTTTCCCGCTTCCCCTTCTTTCCCTTCCCCTTAGAGCGCTGTTCGTTGTTCGCATCCTCCGTCTTCCCCCATAAACCAAACCCACCGAGCTCCAGCGCCTCCTTGGCCACGGACGAGATGCACTTCCACCTGTCCGAACCGAGCTTCACGCCGCCGTACCAGCGGAAGACCACGAGGACGACGTCCTCGCAGCCCGATAGCTCGAGGAGGCGCGAGAGACGCTCGCCTGCGCCAGACTCTCCACCATCCGAGGAGCCACTAGAGACAGAGGCTGCTCGAGAGCCGTCAGCGGTCCCAGTCGTCCGCTTCGACGGGGAGGAACCGCGCCAAGCCCACATGGCGTGGGTCGCGCGTTTCGTCCGCGGGAATGTCTTCTCAACGTGAGCAATAAATTCATGGACGTAGCCTGTTTCGGAGGGGGTATCACCAGTGTCGCCATAGGTTGAAGGGAGTCGGGACGCGTGGGCGCGGAAGGCGGACTTGAGATGAGTGAGGGTCTCGGAAGACGCGACTGCATGGGGCCAGGAGACGCTCTCGCTCGAAGAAGGCCTCGAGCTATGCCATCGATGTTGAACACTAGTAGGAGGGTTTCCAGAGGGTGTAAGGTGGATAAGAGAGCTTGTCGCTGCTATATTACGGGCAGCGGTCATCAAGGCGAGCGTCAACCACGAGAAGCGCCCACTGTGCCAGACAAGCGCCCATGATCCTAAGTCATGCAAATAAGATCGTGGTGGTAGATTGAAAAGGTGCTGCGGATGCCATCTAAGTATACAGGATGTGCAAATCAACTTCCGTGAGAGCAAAAAGATAGCAATGGACATGGACAGAGGGAATGACGATAATGGTGAATGCCACTGAAAGTAGAAAGTGAGAAATCCTGGAGATAGCGTATGACGGGAAATAAGAGCACCGCCACAAATAGATCGTAAGTACTGGTTCGTACGCACCAACGGAACATCCTACAAACGGAACATACTAGGCAGCCGTTGCCAAAAGTCAATCTTCCAGTCATAGACAGTCGTCTCCATCTGCAGGTGGCAACTCCCACAGAGCGAATCACGAATGTCTCCCGTGCTGTGGTCGCGTGTCTCCGTATTCTCCATGCACTTTTTCAGCGCACTGATCGGGTCGTACCTGTCCTCCTTGCCTAAAACATGGTCGCGTATGGAAGAGCGCACGCGGTAGCACATATCACGGTGCGAACATCCGTCGGCCGTCTTTTGCGACATCGGAACACCGAGCATCTCCTTGCGGATCCTGTCGATCTCGTCTTGGAGGTATTCGCGGCCGCGCATGACGCGCATGGAGTCATCATGCGTGAGCAACGCCCAGCGGACGGTCATGGCGCCGCGGGCAAGAACTTTGCGGTCGGCGCCCTCTGCGCGACATGCATCCCAGTCGAGGGTGGCGGGCGTGCGGGCTATACGGTAGAATGCAGTAGGAAGGATAGCGGGGCAGCCGAAATCGCATGCGAGACGGATGGCGAGGGCAGGCTCGGGAAAGCAGTCATCGATGAAAGGAAGGTTGACCTGACCGAGATTGAGGATGCAGTTCTGGCGTGCGCGCTGCGCGGCGGCGATCTCGGCCTCGACCTGCTCCCAGGCGTCGACGGTGCACGGCCAATCTGCCGAAAAGTGATCGAGGAGGCGGGCGTGCAGGTCATCGAGCTGGTATTTAGCCGTTAGGCGCAGCATGCCGGTGATGAGGGCAGGCGTATTTGGATCGAGCCGTTTGTAGGGAAGCTCACTGGGGTAGAAAACGATTCAACCGTAGAACCTGTGATGAAGTATCATCACGCACGATGGGTTGTACAAAACACTTAGGAGGCTCGCAAAATCCTCGGCGGCGTCAGCCATTTGGACGAGCGGCACTCCGTCGTATCCTTCTTCATCTGGCGGAGGCGGCACATCGAACATGTCTGCAAACACGGGTGAATGGTGCGCAAGCATAAAGCGATGCACGCGAAATAGTTGTCCCGAGACTTTTTCTGAGACAGTCGGTGCGGAAAGGACGATGTCCCCGCTTTTGAAATAGAGTGTCGGATGGCGTTCGAAGGGAACAGCACTAGTGGGCTGGGCACCGGAAGAGTTCATCATCGCCCCTCGGTCGAAAGATAGGTACACGTTATAAAGTAGGAGAACCGGGTAAATCGTTGGCTGTAGACAGTACTACTAGTACTGTTCGTGCCATAGGAGAATCAAACCATCACGCGTAAGGGTGACGACATCACATGATATGTGACAGTTGCGTCCGACAGACGGTGCGCCGTGCGGTCAATTTGAATCAACCAGGCCTTTGCTCGCCTCCTCCACCCGCCAGTCCTCGAACCTGAAACATCTGACATCCTCGATCGCGTCGCAGCGCGTGTGAAGCTGGATGGTCGTGGCGTGTGCAGACGTGGTGTGAGTGTATTGGATACATTGGAGGCGGCCTTACTAAATCATAAAGGTGCAGTGCCATCCTCAGTCGATATCCGAGGCTGAAGGAGCGGCTGTCTCACAGGCGAGGAAGTGGTCGACGAAGACAGGGATGTTGGAGTCGATCCAGCTGTCTTCCTCGGTGTTGAATGTGTTGGTCTGACGCGTTGCGCCTATTCCACTAGCCAGCGGCAGACTTGCGGGACACGCTCGTGGGATAGCCGCCGTCGCTCTCGTCGACCGCTCGCGACATCGAGAACGCGGAAACAAAAAAGGGCTCGGCCCTCCGCGCGGTGAATTGCGTCATGCTCGTTCTCTGCACCTCCCCGGCCCGGCGTCCGCTCGAAGATCTCACCTGGACTCGAGCCTTATAACATCCATGGAACCCGTCCTCGTCGTCCGCTCTTGACACTCACACTCGATATCCTCACCACCAGAAAAGATATGTCCTTCAAGCCCATCAAGTCCGCCGTGCTGGGCGTCGGCCTCGGCGGCCTCACCTTTCATATCCCCTTCGTCCTCGCCCTCCCTCGGTACTTCAAGCTCTACGCCGTACTCGAGCGCCACCCTGCCGGCCCTGGAGGTAAGCTCGCAGCCCGCTTCGGTGCCCAAGCCGCAGAAGGCGTCAAGATCTACCGCACATACACCGACCTCCTCGCCGACCCCGAGATTGAGCTCATCTTCATCAGTACGCCCAGCGAGACCCATTTCGCGCTCGCTCGACAGGCGCTGCAAGCCGGGAAACACGGTACGTCCGCCCCTGCTAAGACTGTCTGACGGGGCCTCATCCGTGCACAAGTGCTCGTCGACAAGCCCGTGACGGCAACCGCCGCGGAGGCTTACGAGCTCGGCGCGCTCGCCAAGTCCAAGGGTGTCGTCCTCTACCCCTTCCAGAACCGCCGTTGGGACTCCGACTTCTTCGCCCTCCGCAAGCTGCTCGCTCTCCCCCCGAGTGACCCGAAGTCCCTCGGCACACTCGTCGAGTTCGAGTCGCGGTGCGCATCCTTCCCTCTCCCCACTTAGCTGACATTGAATGCTGAATGCGCCTCCGCGCCAGCTTCGACCGCTACCGCGCATCGCTGAAGAACACGTGGAAGGACCTGCCCCTTCCCGCGAACGGGCTCACGTATGATCTCGGCGCCCACTTGATCGACCAGGTGCTCCTCCTCTTCGGCCGTCCCGCGAAGCTCACCGCCATAATCGAGAACATCCGCGGCCTCGGGCATCCCGAGGTTGACGATTGCGTGCGTTCATCGCCTCCCGCTCCGCTTCTCCTCCCTCTTGCATGCAGGGGCTGACCCCGCCCTCCGTTGCAGTTCACGATCCTCATGCACTACCCGCCGCGCCCGGCGACATCTGACCTGCACCCGACGTCCTTCACCGCGATTCTGCGCGGGCATATTCTCTCCGTGCGCGCCCCACAGGTGCGCTACGTCGTGCGCGGCACGACGGGCACTTTCGTCAAGTTCGGCGTCGACGTGCAGGAAGACCAGCTGCGCGTTATGCAGAGCCCGTCCGAGATCGTCGCCAGCACGACGTACGGGCTCGAACCCAAGACGATCTGGGGCACAGTGGAGAACCTCGCGCCGAGCGGCGATGTCGTCAAGTCCACGTGCGTTTTCCTTTCCCCCAGGCGTGCTTGCTCAAGTGGCGATGATACTGACGATGCGGGGGCAGATGGCCGTCGCTCGAGAGCGGCAGCTACTCCGGGCTGTTTGTGAACCTCGCGGAGGTGATCCGCGAGGACAAGGAGCAGGCGGTCAAGTGGGTCGAGTCTGCGGAAGTTATCGAGATGATCGAGCTGGCGTACAAGAGCGCGAAGGAGGAGCGCACGCTCGTCGTGCCCCCACGGCCCTGAGACGTACACCGATTGCACACGGACGGTTCGGATACGAGAAGTTTCGCGTCGTGTACTGATAACAGACCTGCAGTTCTTACAGATCATCAACAATGTATTGCCAGTGTATGTGGTATGGTACGTGGATGAGACCGACTTCTAAGATTGACTATGGAATCCGTTAGACGAGACAGGTTTTACGCCGAGGGCAACTGGCTGTGAAAATGGAAGAGGCATAGCTGCGATATTCAGCGTGTGCAAAGAAGTTCGCACCAGCAATACCGGTGTCAAAGGTGCAAAATGCATAACAGGCAGATTTTCGCACCAGCAACGCCGTGCCAAACACTTTCGTTCCAGCAATGCCGAAGCGTTGACCGCCTCCTCTACACAAAAGATCGTGCCAGAGCAATTACTCACAGTGCAGGGTATTGAAGACCTGCTCAACGCAAGCAGAGCTTGTAAAATTCTACTAAACCACGTTTCAGCGCCGCTTATATTCACATGGCTTGAGCACACTCCCGCGTGCCAGCAGCTTCTCCCACTCCTTCTCGCCTTTCGCCTTTCTAGCGACCTTCTTGAACTCAAACAGAGTGAAATGTGTATTGCTATCGTCCTGCATTGCACTGAGAGTGTGTTATCAAAGCGATGCAGCAAGTTCATACCTTGGACTTGAGACGAAAGCCAATCGAGGACACCACAGAAGTGAACTCGTCCACATCTGTAAAGCGACTAGCGACTTCGGCGATCTTGAGCTCACCGCTAAAATCGCACGAGGGTTCACTCAATGTTTGAAGACAAGTAGAGCATGCGGACGCTGGAACGCACCCTGCCTTCAGTATCCTCCACGCCTCGCGCACGCAGCCCAACCAATTCGTGCCCATCAAGCTCAACGCGCATACAACGACATCCACCACGCTCCCCTCGCCTTCGCCCTCCGTGTCCGAGCCCGGAAGCGGGACGCGGGCACAGGTGTCCGCCTCCACGACAAACGTGCCGTCGGAGACGAGGTCGAACGAGAGCACCGTCAGGCCCTTCGGAGTGAGTGCGCGGGCGAGCGCGGCGTCGCCGCAGCCCAGGTCGGCGATGACGGTCTTCAGAGAGTACGAGCCGAGCACGGCGATATAATGCGCAACGGGGTTCGTCGGCCAGGCGTGCACTTGATGGCGGAAGCCTGTGTGGTACTGGGGGAGCAATGTGGTCAGAACTGGACGCTAAGTGGTCCTGAAGCAGGTGTGTCATACCTCCTCGTAGGCTTTTGGGTTTTCGCGCATCATCTGGTGTGCATGTTCGCTGTCCGACTTGTAGAGGAGCTCGTTGATCCATCTGTGCGACCTCCGTTAGCAGTCGAGCCGACAGCACGAAAATCAGGAGACTGGGCACCTGAACCGGGCGCCGTCCAGACTGCTCTTCATCCCAGCCTGCAACGCAGTGAGGCCCTGCTCGGCCTTGGAGGTTTGGGTCGGCCGCCCCGTGCTCGACGACCGGGGAGCATCGTGCGAAGCGGCGTCATCCTGATTCTTCTGCTTGTCCTTCCATTTCCTCTTCTTTCTCGACGGCCCCTCTTCGTCGTGAACATCGAGTGGCACTGACTGTGCCAACTTCTTCTTCTCCTCTTTCGTCGGCGGCACCCCATCCCTACCATCAGATGGCTCCGCTCGCACCGCTTCCCCCTTCTTCTTACGATTCGCGCGACCCTTGTCCATGCCCATGCTTTCTCCTCGTTGCACTTGCGTGCACGCATCCTGAGGACGCCCAGTTTCGCGCCGCGCCTTCTTCTCCTTTTCCTTATCCCCGCGTCCCGTGTCCCGTTTCGGTATCTTATTCTTTCTTTTCGCATTACCGCGGGGCCTCTCTGCCTCCTTCCCCGTCCCGCTCCCCGCGGCCAGCTTCTTCATCAGCTTTTCGAAGTTGACCACCGCGCCCGACACTCTGTCCCCGTCCTGGGCTGGCACGCGTTTGCGCTTCCGCGCGGAGTGTGGGCCGTCCGAGACCAGCGTAGAAGGGACCGACCATCCTGGCACCTCGAAGAGAGCCATGGTGGAGATGGGAGGGATGGAGAGGAGACGCGGGCGAATGGATGGGGCTTCCGTTTTGGGATACGCGTTCGCCGTGAATCTTAATCTCAGATCGAGGTGCGCCACGTGGGTTAGGCGCGGCACGTCTTGTGCCCAGCAATATTACTACGGGCCGCCTGCGCTACCCTGACGCAGGAGCAGCAAGCAACTCGGGAAAATAGCGACCACATAGTCCTTGCGCGCCATGAACTTCAATCTATTCTCTCCTCAGTTCTCTCCTCACTGATACGGGCACTGGCTGCAGGTCGACGTCCATTGCGCGTGCCTTGGTTCCCTTTTCAGCTATCCGAGATGCCTCCTTGCATGGACTTCTATACAACTTATACATTGATGAGGCAGAACATCGCCGAACGTCGAACGGAGCGTTTCCGTGGTAACTATGTTTCTGTCTCCTGGACTTCAGTATGACGTCCCGCACGAGGACTAGAAGTTCCCTTCTCGAGCTTGAAAGCTTGACGTACGCTTCTGATGAGTGGAGGGGTTTCATGGTCGCGCCGTAGCCATGCGGCTGCAGCCATTCCCACAGAAAAGCTATATAAAAGACGAGATATTCAGTAATCACTAGCTTTCCCCCGCAACAACCTTTGCATCACATCGCGCCGAAGTAATAAGTCTTTTCTATCATCATGGCAGGGCAATGGTACAGTAAGCGTACGGTGTGTCCAGCATTGCTCGACCTATTCCAACGTTTATGGCTGATAGCAGGGGTAGATCTCTCGCGAAGAGCCCTCAGTCTCGCTCCCGTCGCCTGTCTCTACCAGGACAGCTTCGGTACGAACCGAAAATCGCGTGCCGTCCTTGTAAATAACCTGATCCTTTGTGGTTTGCCAGCCAGAAGACGTGAACCCTCTCTCTGCTGAGGATGCGCTTATACCAGCTGCTCTTGTGAGTACAGTCAGTGTCGCAGCGCCTCCCCGAACAAGACTAACGTAACCTCCAGGAGGAGTTGGAATTGCTCGGCTTGGCGGGGTCCCATCTCACCCTCGGGGAAGACCACGAGCACAAGACGGCCCCTCTCATTACGCGTGAGGCGTATTTACTCACCGAACCCACGCACAGGCCGTCGCAGTATGGCGTTCTGGGGGCCGCTCTCTCCGTACAGTAAGTCTTCTTCGTTATCGGGCGTCCTCCCGTTCTTACCCTTCACAGTGAGCAAAACGGAAAGTCCGACAGCCCGAGGGACCCACGGCTGTATATTAATACAGTACGGCGTGCTATTATGTAACCGCGGTCTCTATGCTCACTTCTACGTCTTCAGAATGCTCCGCTGTCGGCCATCGTCTGCGGCGTTCAGGGCTCTGGCAAGTCACACACCGTCTCGGTGCTGCTGGAAAATATGCTAATCCCTCGACACGCACCCATCGGCAACGGGGAGAAGGCCCTTTCAGGGCTGGTTTTGCATTTTGGCGAAGGTGGGCCCGGCTCTCGTCCCAACGAGACCGCCTGGCTAGGGTGTGCCGCTTCGAACGGCGTCCGTACACCCACGGTGCGAGTGTATGTGAGCCGCTCGGCGCTGCATACGATGCAGCAGGTGTACGCCCCGTTGGGGAAGAAGGTGGTTATTGAACCCTTGTTGTTTTCCGAGGCGGAACTCGATGCGGAAGCCTTCTTGTCGATGATGGCGGTAGGGTCATCCGACTCGGCGCCGCTGTACGTGCAGACTATCCTGGTCAGTACTTTTTCCACTGAATATTTCCGAAGGCCATCGTACTGACCCACATTGTCAGTCGATCCTGCGGGACCTCGGAGAAAAGTTTACATACTCGAAGTTTCAACGCGAACTTGACGACCGCAAGTTTAATCCTGCCCAGCGAGCCGGGCTAGAACAGCGAATGGCGTTGCTCAAAGGATTCATCGATACGAAAGCTGGGCATCGCAAGAAACGTTTCGCTGCTGGACAGTTGACGATCATCGACCTCTCCGATCCGTTCATCGATCCCGCCGCTGCTTGTGGGCTGTTCGAGATCGTCATCCGCCAGTTCGTACGTGCGCATGTCGGGACCGGCAAGGTCCTCGTCGTCGACGAGGCGCATAAGGTCAGCCCGTCATATCCACACTCACTTCGCGTAGTGCATTGATCGACGCACCTAACAGTACCTCGCGGCGAACAAGGGCAACTCCAGGCTGACGAAGGCGTTGCTCTCGCTGACGCGCCAGCAGCGCCATATGGCCATGCGCGTGCTCATCAGCACCCAAGGTGAGACGAACATCATATATATTCACCGTCGCCACGCTGATCCTGAACGCTCAGAACCAACCGTCGTCCCGCCGGTCCTGCTCGATCTCTGCAGCGTCGCGATCCTGCACCGCTTCTCCTCCCCCTCCTGGTGGGACCACGTCGCGAAGCACGTCTCCGCAAACCTGTCGGACGAGGCCTTTGACCAGATAGTCAAGCTGCGCGTATGTCCCCCGCTCACACAACTAACCCGAATTAACATTCACCGACGTGGGAAACAGACCGGCGAGGCAATCGTCCTCGCGCCGTCCGGGCTCGGCGTCTTCGCCAGGAGGGATGCGGACGGCGCCCCTGCGGCGCGCGAGCTCGGGCAGTTCGGTCGGCGGTACCTCTTGGTGAAGACTCGTCAGCGGGTGACGACAGACGGAGGTGCCTCGGTTCTGGTGGTGTAACGCGTCTCCGTTCAGATCTTCTGTATCTTCGATGCTTGGTATCTAGTACGATCTTGCTTGTCAATGCATGTACCCCGCCTTAGCGCAAGCAATCTTTGCTAAATTATGAATCTATACTACATATCCTCTGCTCGACGTCAGTCTAAGTAAGTACACGATGCAAACCAGAATCAATGCGCATCTCTCGGCCAGGACTATCAATAAAGTCGACAATCAACGTCAATAGCAATGTATGATTCAATCTGGACGGGGCACAGGCACCGGCAACATCAATGGCACACAGAATACAAAGAACGGGGTTAGAAATGTGAGTGCGGCACGCACAGCAGCTGGCACCGAATCGCAAAAAAGCAAGGCGTGCGTAGGAGTCATTAAAAAGTTGCAATAAGAAAAGGTCCACCGGTCGGCAACGGCGAGCGTAACGAATGCAATCCAAACCGGAATCCGCTTTTTTTCGTCAGGCGTTCACGCATCCGCGTCCCTCTCCTGGCGCCTGCAGGAGAGCCACGCGAACCACATCATGGTTCGGAGCTGGAGCACGTCCTCCTTCCAAGCCATCGACTGGTTCTGCTCGCGGAACTCGCGCGTGAGCAGCTCGCACCGCTCGATGTTCTCCGGGCTCACAAAGTCGCTCGCGACCTTGATGCAGTCTGCGAGGTTGCACACCTGCAAGAGCGAACACGCAAGGACACGTTAGATAGGGCACGCCCGGCACGTCTCTGCACGTCCACGCACCTGGTGCGCACACCCCGCGGGGATGAAGACCGCCTCCCCGGGCTTCTGGTATATCCTATAGCTCTTGACGCCATACTCTTGATAGAGCTCCTGTCTAAGCGTCGAGTCGAGGTAGAACAGCTGCGAATGTATAGGGTCGTGCTGGAATTGGCCCTTGAACCTTTTCCGTAGGAACTTGCGCAGCTTTATCGAGTCCTCCGCCTTGTACAGGTCCCACACCGCGCAGCCGGGGCGGCCGTCGGGCGTCGTGTTCGCATACAGCATGATGTTGATGGCGTCCGCCATGTCCATGTGCAGCCGCGTCGAGCCCTTGCTCCCTTGCGCCTCGAACGATGCCATGGCATTGTACATCTTCGGACCTGGATCACGCGCGGTTAGCAATAAACATGAATACACACGCTCGTAATGCTGGGGAACAAACCGAGATCGGGCGCGACAGTATTACTGGGGAAATGAGACGCTAGATTCAACACCCCATCACGGCGGACATAGTTGGGCACAGGAGTCGCCTGACTGAAGTCATCAAACAACTCCGGGAACGCCGTCCTGAAGTCCGTCGAAGGCGGCCAGTCCTACAGCCACGACCACATCAGCTCAGGCTCCACATACAGCACCGTCACGGAAGAGCAGTGGGGACTTACCTTCAACTTCCAGCAATCGCGGCGGCCTTCGTACTTCCCGAACCACGAGAAGAACTCGCCTACCGTAACGCGCTTGTTCTGGTCCGTCTGGCACTCGAGAATCAAGCAGCTCTGTGTGCCGTACTTAGTGCTGAAGTACTCCGGCGTCCATTGGACATGGAACTTCGGCAGCAAGTTCGTCACCACGAGCGGCTCGCCTTTCGCCCAGACGCGCCGGAATGTGTCGTCGGACAGTTCCACCTCCGTATAGTACAACGTCTCGTGGGAGGGGATCGTCGGGGACCCATTTGTGGCCTGCGGTGCCGCGAGCGTGCCATTGGGCGCAAACGTGGACGGGTCCGGTGGGATGGCGACGTTGACAGGTGGCGCTGGGAAAGCCGAATCGGATCCGTTGGCGGGTTTCGCAGGCGCTGACCAGCCGCTGGAGGCTTCGCCCGACAAAGATGCGGGGGTAGAACCGTTCGCTGGCGACCCTTCAGCGGGCAGTGCATCCGGATCTGATTCGGCGAGTAGTGCCTCCATTTCGGTAATCGCCTGCGAGAGCTCAGCCTTGCAGAACCGCGACATGGGAGAGAAATCCTTCGCTTGATGCTCGTTCCGCCTCGTGCAGGACAGGAAGAACGGATTGACGTGCGCATGCTTCTCTCGTCGCGCTTGCAGGGCTGCAACCTCGGCTTCGGGCGCGCCGACACGATCAGTGGTGAGCTCCCTTACTTGCTCGTAACATTCCGCGCAAGCCTCCCGACCGCACAACCGGCACATCCAGCTGGTGGAAAAGATAGATGTCATGCACGTATCTGCGGGCGCCAATGAGTAGGGATCTTCCCCGAACTGTGGGGTTCAGATCACGTACCACACGTAGCGCGCACTTCGCTTTCTCTCGGGCGTCGGATGATCTCGGCGAGGTTGAGGTGCTTGAGTTCCTGCTGCAGCGTCGGCAGCAGTGCTTGCGCGACCGTGCGCTGAATACATGATCCAGCACGTAAGAATGGCCTGCAGATGACCAACGGCACTTCACAGACGTACCTTTAACCGCCTCAAATGAGACGGCTGCAAAGGGATGTTCCACTTGACGGGGAAATGCATGGTGGGCGAATCCGGCTTCTGGCTCTCCACAAAGCTGATGCCAACTATCTGGTTACTCTCGTTTTTCAAGAAGAAACGTATACCTTGGAAACGACACGTGTCTCCCGCCCATCGCCGTGTGCAAGATACGCATCGCGGGAACTCTTCAGAGCGATATCGGTTGGACATACAGCGCGCAAATTGCAGCTCGGGATGCAAAGGTCCAGACGATTCGGGATGTGGTTGGCCGTCGTCGGCAACAATCCTCATCGTACTTCCCAAAGCAGACGCTTTACAGAAGGAACGGATGAGCTGGCGCGGCGAAAGCGGCAAAGATGGCACGAACTATTATTATCTGTCGCCTTCTCTTTGCCCTTGTCGTCAGACACATGTGCATACGACACTGTTGGCATCAAGTGCGCTGGCAGACGTATCATCTCACCTGCGAAAGGAGATAGCGGAAGAACGAACACACCATTTTGTGCCGCGATTTGCGCCGCCTCGCTGCGCTTCTTGGCGTTGTAGCCACGCCTTGAAGCTGGCGTGTACGAAGTATGAGGTCACAAATGCCACGACGGAAGGAGGAACGCGTTGCTAACCGGTGCCATCCGGCTTTGCCTTGGTCCTCGTCTTCTTGACTTTTGGTTGAGGAGCACCGTCCTCGCCCGGTGATTCCATGGGTCTTTTCTGCGCGGTGGGTGGCGGTGGCCCGAACGGGATGGCGGCGAACGCGACATTCATATGGGGCGGGAAGTACGCAGGAGGCGTGGGCTGGCCGCGTTGCGAGGGAACGGAGGGAGGCATGGATCCACGAGCTGCAAGCCGAACAGAAGCTCTTTCAGTTATCTGCCATGCTAGAGAACATGGTTAGATCACACAAGCTGGGTCTGTCAACATGACTGGAAAATAACCATTCGCTGCATATTGCTGGGCGACCATGTCCTGATCGTACTGCTGGGGTGGATAATCTGGAGAAAGACGCGTGAGTGACGCGCGAAGCGAAGGCGCGATGGGACGCGAAACAGACTCTTTGGAACGGAATCGCCAGAGAGGGCTGAGGAACGGGATGTTCGTAAACGAACGGGAGGGTGGGAAAGCCAAAAGGGGACGCACCGGTGCGCTCGTCCGAATACATAGGCGATATCAGGGGAGGATAAGATGTATTTGCTTGGTCGGAAGAAGTAGGCCAATTTTGGACATCCATGCCGTAATTGGGCGTCTCCTCGAGTTGTCTCGCGGGTCTGGAGAACGGGTCTTGGTGGTAGATTGGGTGGTGGGGCGGGACGGAGGAGGAGGAGGAGTACCGACACGAGGCCGGATCGGAATCCTGGCGCCGCATGGTGGAGGGCATGTTGTTATCCTTTGTGGCCTGATCCCAGCTTGCTGCTCTGAGGCTAAAGGCAGCAGAGGGGGCGGATGTATTGATGGGTTGGGGGTAGGAGTGGGGGTGAACATGCTGTGAATGGGCGGGGGGAAGGAAGGAGGAGAGGCCGGGAAGCTGGGTAGAGCTGTAGGCGGCGGGATCGAGAGGGGGGGCAGAGGGAACGGCGACGGGGTTGAGGAGCTCGGTGATGGAGGTGCGCTTGTGGACGTGGGGGTCGTGGATGGAGTTCATGTCGGGGGAGATGGTGGTGGAGACGAAGAGAGGATGAGCTGAAGATGTCCGACGGGCCTTGCAAGTCCGCTACCCAGTCCGCTGACAAAATTCCCTTATATGGAGACCTATGCGCAGGGCGTCTGCAGTGCTTGCGCGCTCTGCGGCGATGGCGGTGAGGACTACAGACTACGCGCCTCCCGATTCCTGCAGAATATCCTCCGCGAACGTTCAGTGGATCCTCGCCCGCTTCCAGTCGCCACCACTCCATCCTCTCCCGCGCGCCGAGGCACGTGCCCCGGCCATCGCCCTGGCTCCCTTAAACTCAGCGCGCAGCGGCGCCTGCTTGGCATCTCGCGTACGCTAAACCCATTACGTCATCCAACCTTCTTCGCCCGCGGCTGCAGAGGCGTCCCGCGACGGCAGCAACCGTCACTTTGAATTCGAACGCCGACCCACTTATCGCCCCTTCTCATCCCAATTTTTGCCAGTTCGCAGAACCCCCCTGCTTCTCGCAGGCTGAGCAGCACGGCATCAGCACCGCGGTATCCTGCTTCTCCATGCACGGTGCGATGCTCCAGGTCCGCCTTGTCCCCTGCTGATCTCCACATGCCGCCGGGCAGTGCTCCGCTGAGTTTCTTTCGCTGACCTCGCCCCCAATTTGTCAGTCTTCACGCGGAGGCTGATCGTGTACAAGATCAGTAGCGATATATCTTCCGTGTATGCGATATAATGTGTGTATGAGTAACTAGACTACCCAAAGCGATTCCGTACTATACATTGCGAGGCGGACGGCGGGGAAAGCGACGGGGGTCATCAGATCGCGTAGCAAGGAGAGCCAGAGCGGAAACAAATGATAGACTGTGCAGGCGACAATGCAAGGACGAACCCGAATTCGTGACTCGATCGTGAGATACATACAATTTTTGCAAGTCGTGAATGCGAGGAGGTATCTGAATGAGTGTAAAGAGCAGCAGCAGCACGCAGCATATATGACCCAGGCCCGGTACCCAAGAAACGGCCAAAAAACCCCAAATGCCCAAAACTAAACCAAGAAAACGTACCACGAACCCACCAAACCATGATGACAATCAGAAAAACTTGCGAAAGAACCCGGCGACCCTTGGCAACAAGGGAAAGACAAAGGGGAGTGCAAGCCATGCAAACAGCCCAAGAGTCGCCCCGCACCGTCATTGCGGTAGCGGCGGCGTCGGAGGCGGAGGCGCCTGGCTGTCGTCGCCCGAACTCGGGGGAACATCTGTGGGAGGTGTTGCACCGACAGATTCAGACATGCTCTCGGCATCGCTGAATTTGTCAAGGTCTCGAGATGCTGCCACAACATCTGTCGTACGGTCTCCAGGCGACGGCGACGGCGCAAGAGATGGCTCGTCATCTGCAGACGGTAACTCGCCACCGGCAGACTGGTAGGCCTGGGCTAAATATCACAAGACACCAAAACGAGTCAGCCGCTACAAAGAGAAGAGCTCCGCGAGAACATACCAGGCGTCTGAGGTTGTCCGGCCGTCGCAGTTTCCAAGGTCGTAACAGGCTGCACGAGGGCTACAAGAAGCCCACGGGTCAGCGGGCTGACTCAGGCGAACACCCCAGAGGCACACGAGGACTCACTTCGTTTTTGAGAGAAGAACGGAGGGTGGACGTTCGCAGATTCGGGCGACGAGCGCGAGGACACCCCCAACGATTCTTCGTGGAGCGGAGTGTTCGGCGTGATCGTCTTGTCGCGGTCCATGGGCGGCAGCTCCACAGAAGACCCCTGCTTCCGCGAAAAAATCGCCGTAGTTGAGGGTGAACGACTCCGAGACGGCGTCGATCGTCCCTCAGGCACATGCAGCCGCCGCGCGACATTCTGCGCCTGCGCCGCCTGGCCCGTAGAAATACTCTTCACCACGTCCGGACGGATGTCCGCCCACATTTGCAACGCCTTGATCGACCCCCACTCGATGATCTTGCTGTTCAGCCAGTGGAGGGACACGGGCTTCGTCAGGAAGTCGTTGCATCCCGCAGCAAGGGCTGCCACACGATCCGTCTGCAGCGAGGAGGCGGTCAATGCTACGATGATTACGGAAGACCTGTAAGGAGGCGTCAGAGCCGACCGATCTGTCGTGGAAGTATCCGAGGGTGTCTGCTGGCCCTCAGACTGCGGCGTGGATGGGAAGCCTGGCGCCCCGTTTAACTTCTCTATGCGCCTGATCTCCTTGGTCGCCTGAATACCGTCCATGACAGGCATTTGGATGTCCATCTGGCAAGAGGGAAATCGTACTGAGTGGGGCGAATTTTTATAAGCAACGTAGCAAACTAACCAGAATGAGGTGGAATCCGCCGGATCGCCACTTCTGCACGGCTTCCTCTCCGTTCTTCGCAACATCATACTTGATACCCTTCCTCGTCATGAATGTGGACAGAATAGTCTGGTTGATGGGGTTATCTAACCAACGAACGCGTTAGAAAAATTGAACAGCAGAAGGAAACCCTCCAGGCAAACGTACCTTCGACGATGAGCACGCTGATCGGCGGGACAATAGAACCATCCGCATATCTATTGCCCTTCTTCTGTACAACAGCGGGAGCAGACACAATGGCCTCCACTGCGGGCCGTCGAGCGCCTCGACGTGTGGTGGGCGTGGTTGGCGAACGCAATGGCGATGTTGGAGGATCCGGCGCAGTCGCCTTCCTGGTCGGCACCCGTGGGACAGTCTGCGACCTGGACTGCTCATCCAGCGTGGGCACACCCGAACTTGGACCAGCGCTACTTTGTCCGATACTGAGCGGAGGAGGATCTTCGCCCACAGCAGGTGGCCACCGGCGCGCCCCCGCTGCCGCGTCAGATGTCTGGCGATCAGAGATATCAACATTGATAGCATTTCGGGGGCTGCGTCGAACGATCTCTTGCGGCGTCATCGTCAGCGCCCCCATCTTGATCGCAGTCTCGTCGCCACCTGAACCGCGCCGGAAAGAACCGCCTCTCGTGCGCTGGCTGGATTGTACATATTGGCCGCGCTCGCGCTCAGCGTTGAGACTGGGTACATTTCGTGCACCCTTGGCTTTAGGTTGGAAAAAGATTCCGGTAGGCTGTCCATCGGGACTCTGAATGATGAGCCCCGAGGCTGGCGAAGTTCCCAGCTTCGCAGCCGCATCTGAAAAATATTCCATGCCATCGGGGACGCCTCGGGGAGACGAAGACGTAGCGCTGGATGTGTCTCCAAAGGTCTCCTTCGGCGACCTAGCCGTCCTGTCGGACGCGGTGCGCATACTGGCGGTCGACCGTCCACCTGGTGACTTGGGCAGGTCCATGTTGAAGAAAGGAGAGTGGAACCCTGGACTGATAGGGGATGTCGCGATGGGGGCAAAATAAGGATCGACAATGGGTTTCGTGAAAGCCGTGTGCAGAGCCGTGAGCACGCGACGAGGGCCGGCGGGCTTGGGAATCACAATGACTTCTGGGACGCGAGATGAAGTATTGCTGCCGGGCGCAAGGACAGACTGGATAGCGTCCTTGACCAGCTTGAAGTTTGATAGCGAGGTGAAATGAACGACCACAACTTGTGAAGCAGCTGGTACTGTCGCCGAAGTTAAGCCCATGACCCGAGCAACCTGAGGCGATGAACGTGGTCGATGATTTGCCGCCAGAGAAGGGCGTTTTCGCGGATTGATAGTCAAAGGATACGCGAGCTCGGCTTTGAGTGTTTGTAGTCTGCTATGCAGAACTGCAACGTCATCATCAATCAGAATGAACGACAGACTATTAGCGGTCGTCGGTGTACCACCAGAGTACGATGGCACAGTCGGCACCTGCTCCGACAGCCCTAGACTCGGGATGTCTTCCCGCACCAGGACAGAACTCATCGCCACCTCCGGACTCCTCTCTGCTGGCTCAGACGAACCTCCCGTCTGTGAATCGGCGGGCATATGACTAACATCCAAGCCCCATGCAGTCAAGTAACTCGTGAGATGATGGGCAAAGGATCCGTCAGGATTGGCGAAAAGTGTCGCCTTCTTGCCTCTCATAGACTCCGCGAATTGATTCAACTGCTCGAGAGTGGGTTCTTGAGCAATCCGGAAATCTGGATATCCCAGTGAAGCCGCATCCTCCGGCGGGAGATTCACAACTGGATCGACGACGGAAGGCAAACCACGCTCCAATGTCATCGTCAGCTCATATGGGCGTCCTGGAAATGGGTGCTTCGTGTGGACGTCTGTCTCCAGAGATGCATTGACGTGCCGAAGTAACCGTCGTAGGAGAAGACTACTGAAAGAAGGTTCGGGCCGCATAAACGGGAGCGACGACGACGCAGAAGTCTCGGGCGAGTCGACCTCTTCGACCTCCGTCGCAGAAAATCTGTGGGCTATGTGGAATTTGCACCGCAGAGGCCCTGCAGGGTCAGACATGGGGGATGGGGCTGGGCTGACAGACGAATCAGCGGCGGGATCGTCGTCAGTATTTGGCGAAGGCGTTGTCACGGACTGCGTCCCCTCGACGAACAAACCAATCTCAATGGCATCCCCACGAGATGCAGTGCCAATTATCTGACGAATGACCTAAAGGTACAATCAATAACGAATAGATTCAATGAACACTAACCGCCATTGTTGCTCACATGCGATAATGTATACGAGATTCCGCTCTCGTCCCCTCTCACAGCGACGTGCTTCAGGCCTAAATCATGGTGAAACAAAACGAGGTCCACCCCACTTTGGGCTGCAACACCGCTCAATGCATCTCCTACGCTTTGCAGCATCTCTCCGACGTCAAAGTCAGTCCACACCACGGATGGTTGTGGTTGTAGTGTCTTGATCCCTTCTGGAGTGTTCTGCGCAAAAGAGTCGAGGCTAAGGGTAGACATGTTTGCAGACATGTAATTCAGATTTTTCATAGACGTAAACATGGCAGAAATGGAAGGTGTGGGGATAGATAGGGAACACGCGGAGAATTGCTCCTTCACTGGGTCCAGGACCTGCGGTGGTGAAAGTTGAAGCAAAGTCTGGATTACCATTTGGACGGAATCGGCGAGCTCCAGCGAAAGTTCGTGGAAGTGGCCATATTCCGGCGGCAGCTCAATGATGGTCGGCGGCGATTTATCACCAGAGGGGGTTCTTCGTGGATTCTGCAATGACAGAAGCTGCGAAGGTAGAGGCATTGAGAAGGCGCGAGAAAGCATAGGGAAGGACTGCACAGGTCGATCCAGTGGGTTCTGGTCCGAGTTCAGGTGTTTCGTGGGGGTTACGAACTCCGAGTCGTCGCCCTCTCCCGATCTCGGAGCCCTCCTGGCGGGTGGATTGAACTCTTCCTCCGATACATCAGTCTCCCCTTCTGATGAACTAAGCGAGATACCTGCAGCAGGTCGCTCAGTTGTCGATGGCAGTGTAACGTGAGGAGGCTGCTCCGCAGCCCATGCAAAACCAAACTTTGAGGGAGGTAGCTCCACCACAGCCGAATCCTGACCCAGACGTTCCTCGTCGACTCCTTGGCCTGCAACGACAGTCGGCAGGCGTACGGTGGGCAATCTCGCACCAGACATGGCCGGCGGCCTCAGAAAAAGGGAGACAAGTAGAATGAGCCAGCGAGAGACAGCACAGCGGCACAGTGCACAGGCGGGATATCCGGGAACAAGGGATGAGGGGGGAGGATAGGAAGGGGAAGTGGATGGCGAGGCCGTCAGACCTTGCGGCGCGGAGGAGCCAAGTGTATCCGCGGGCGCTAGCCAGCTAATATGGCCAAACTTCGTGCGCGCCGCCTGCGTGACGTGCCCCTAGTCTCCTTGACAACACCTGGCAGCGACGTAGTGCGCACCGCAGGAATAGTTAGCATGTCATACATAGCCAATATCAAACGCAATATATTGTTACTCGAATGCCAGTGCGATGCAGCCTACCCAGAGAACAAACTAATACATAGCTTAGTAGGTCAACTCAACGTCACCCTCCGCCACAAGATCCATATCATGGTAGCTAACTTTCTTCCCTGCTGCAGCACGAGGATCTTCCTTTGCATCGGGAGGCGGGGGCGGCAGCGGGCCGACACCGGCGCCTCCACGACCGCCCCGTCGACCACCAGGTCCCGGCTCCAGAGATGCGACGGGCTTCGCAGGAAGTCCTGCAGAAGCGGGCACCGGTGGAGGCTCCACGTTCTGCTCATATCCAGGTGCGAACCCGCTGATACGATCACTGAGCCGCCGTGCTGTCACACCTTCGTCACGACGAACGGGAGGCGGCGGGTAAGCATTCGGGGGATACGGGTGTGTATACGGATCCCAGTAGCCGGCAGTATAAGGTGGCGGATATGCACCACCATACGAGCCTTGGTAAGGGGCTGCACGACCATAATCACCCGGGGGGTATGCAGGTCCCTGCAGACCGTAAGCCTGAGGAGGTGGCGCTTGGCTGTTGCCAACCTGTTGAGGCGGGTGCGAGAATGGCTGGATGCGATGCGGATCAAGGGCGAAGTTGTTGAAGTACGGGATCTAAAGCCATCATAATTAGCACTGGACGTTCATAAGAATGACGTGCTATGCATACTTCCTCAAGGTGTTTGACAAGTTCAGAGTGCTTGTTAGCAATATGCTTCTCAACAAAGGATGTAGCCTTGAAAAGCTTCTGACACGTCTTGCACCTATATTTGCCCTCGTCTTCCTGCTTGATATATTGCTCACAGGCTTTCGACAATTCACTGCCACACGATGAGCATACCTGCAAGAGCTTTTCCTGTACACTCACCTATCGTAGCTTTTGCCACCGTAATCCCTGGGGTCAACGCCGTCACGGTTAACCAATAGCGCGACCTTGGAATCCAACCATTCAAGCCAACGTTCATCTGACGATATCCTTTAGTCTGTCGCACAACAAACGAAAGATTCCAAAGTACCGTTCCGCTTCCAGTCGCGGGTCTCCGATGTCTTTTCCTTGCCCATGACCTCCTTGTCCTTGTCCTTCGATTTTCCTTCATCGCCCTCTTCTTCTTTCACCTCTTTCTGGGCCTTCTGAGCCTCTGCGGCTTTCACCTCTTGAAGCAACATCTTAGACAGGGGTTTCCTCATGTGCTTTACGCACTTGCGCTGCAATTCCTCTTGATGATCCGTTACAACTGCGCAATAGTAGCATGTGTGAAACGCAGCACGAAGGTAGGCAAGATACAGGTCCAAAGATACTACGGTCTAGAAACATAGGCGGGTCAGCAAAGAGGAGAAGAAAAAAGTGGTTCATGTGGCGCTATGTCTCACCTTCTTCGCCTCCAGACCCTTCTCATCGCTAGCATCCACGAGACCTTGGTCCCGGATATCAGCCATGATCTTCTCGATTCGCCTCTCCACCGCATCACTTCCTCGCTCCCGCGGCTCCGGGTCTTCCTCTTCGACCGCTGCAGCATCGCTCATAATTGCATCAGGCTGCTCCGCACGGGCAGCATCTCCATTCGTCAAAGCGGATGCATCACCGTTTTGCTCCTTTGGCGCAACCTTCAGCTTCCGCAGAGTATCATAATGCGCTTCCAAGATCGCAGCAAGTGTCTTGACGTTCTCCAGGTCTTTGGCCAATCGGTCGGGCTTGCTTGCAACTTCGGGAGCATATCGTATCCTGCTCGTAAACGGCTTGATGTTATGCGCAACATGCAACTTGAAACCTTCAATCTAATATCATGCCGTCAGTAATAAGTCGCCGTAAAAGTGTTCAAAGCAAAAACAAACCTTCTTATCCGAAAGTTCGGCCATGACAGTCGACATGTCAGCATCATCACGGAACTTCAGCCATCCAGCACGATAATAATTTCTCTTCTGGAGAGGATCACCAAGCGCGAGATACACGAAACCGGGAATATTACCACAAGCCTATCACGATTGTCAGGACTATCAACCAACAAAACCCTGCAGTACTCACATCCTCCAACTTGACACGCCCTATGTCAGGGGGAATGGTGCGGATCATGACTTGGTTACCTTCAGGTTGTACAGATATCTCCTCCCCACGGTTGGGACGCTTTAGATCGTTAAAGGTCTTGCCATTGGTATCAAGACGACTCGCATCGTTGTCTCCACCTTCGTCTTCAGGTTCCACATTGAACTGCATCTCCTCGTCGCCAGTGACAACTGGTTTGGTTTCTTCAGCTGAAGCCTGCGCAGGAGTTACCTCAGTCGCGTTCGAGGCAGCGTCGCCATTTGTGGACTCCTTGACAGGCGAAGTCGCCTCTGGTTCAGGTTCGTTGAGGTCAGGGTCAAACTTCCCAGCTTCGACGTCAAGCAAGAAGGAATCGATCCTCCCTCTCCAGCCAACCTTCCTCACCCGAGCACGCATATTCGTATACTCAGGAGCTGGGTCGTACTTCTCAGCAAACCATGGTGACTTGCGGTGGTGATCAAACATCCGCTGAAGCTAAGAGCGTGGCGTTAGTCATCTAGAGGACGGCGAATAGTCGAGAGATCAGCCAACCTGTTGCGCAGCAAAGTCCTTTTTGTACTTCTCCCAACGAGCCCTGATACCGTTTCGAGGCTTGGAGCCGTCTCCAGCTTCTTGTTCCGCCGCTTTATCGGCATTATCCTCCTCAATGGCCTGCTGAGGATAATAGTAGCGGAACCACTCGGCATACTGTTTCAATGACGCAGGATAATCGAAAGTATGGGGGTCAGGGGGAGCACGTCTGGAAGAACCATACGGAGGGGGAGGAGGGGGAGGAGGATACTGCCCCCGGTGAGGTGACGCGTAACCATACCCGCGAGAATGGGCGTCTGTAGGAATGTAGATCATCTCAATCCGTGGTCCGAACAACGACTGAACAAAGACAAACCGTAATCTTCCTGATACCGCGGCCGAGGCTCGTATCTCTCCCTGTCCCAAGGTGAGAGAGAGCGTCGTCGCTTGCGGCCAGCTGGCAGAGAACAGGTCAGCTACGTCATTGTGGTATGAGACGACGACCTCACCTTCTTCAGCAGGAGGACTGCGGCTTCTCCCTCGCCTGCTATACTCGTAGGCAGCTCGCTCTCTTTCGTAGTTGGCCCACGCTCGCTCCCTGTCATACGCATCCCAGTCGGCACGGTAGGGGTCTTGGCCGTATACAGGCTCAGGAAACACGGGCCTCGGAGGGTGCACTCCACGATAAGGGGAGCGCGAACGTGAACGGCCGCGTGGAGGAGGCGCGGGAGGAGGATAAGCAGCACCAGACCAAGACGACATTTTCAGAGAAAAGAACTGAAGAGGGAGAGAAAAGAGAAGAAGATGCGCGAGGACTGATCATTAATGCCTGTAAGAGAGAGTAGTCGAGCATGATGGAAGCACAGACCTCTTGGGATCGCGACACAACGACGAGCACGGCGTTCTCGACGCTCGCTGAGACGGACTCAAGTGTGTTCGCGATGTGAAACGCCAGTGCGGCAGCGAGCGCTGTGTTCCTCCATTTCAGTCTCCGCTTCAAACATGTCGACCCGTCTCGCCTTTCGTTGGTCAAGTCACTTTTGCATAATGCACCAGTGGACTCCGAGTCCCATGCGAAAAGCATCTAAAATATGCTATGCAATACACTATCCAACTGTCTGTCTGCACTGGGATCAACAATCTCTGGGAGTTTCTTCTTGTTCGTTTTCTCCTTCGGTGGTCTCTCTCTCCGCGAATCATCAGGCTCGTTCTTCTGAACTTTCGGTGGATGTTTGTTCGCCATATCTGCTGATCCATCTGGGTCAGATTTGCGTTTGCGTTCCGCGCGCTTGTCCAGCACTCTAGCGAGCTCCACATTCTTCAGATACTCCCGCTGCTCCCGCCGCGATTGGGAAAGTTCCACGCGCAACTGCGCAGTATGGACAGCCGCTTCATGTGCTGTATCAAGCCTTGTGATCAGTCGAACTCCCACCCAGCGGTAATGAGGACTCACCGATCTGCTCAGTGAGCATGTTCCATTTGAACTTTGGCAAGTACTTCATCGTCCACACGTCGTCTCGCCAGCGCGTGCCCTTTTTCCCACCGATGGGCTGTGCGTTCAGCATCTCCGCGACCGATCGAGCAACCTTTTTGTCTTTAAACTCGACCCAGCCTTCCGTGTAATGCGCCTTCTTCGTAGAAGTGTACTTTCGTCGCAAATACGCACGCTTAGGATCTGGAGGTACCGTGTGAGACGTCGTTTAAGATGAGACATTTGTGTATACGCACAACGAAGATCTCGTACCTTCTTGCTGCAAATACACTCGTCCCACCTCCCCGTATTCGCTCATGATATATCTGACCTTTGTCGGCCGCATGCCGGGGGGTATCCGTGATATGTAGATAACACCAGCTTTCTCCTGGGCAGCCTGGAATGCAGATAGTGCTTCAGCCGTTAAGGGTTGTACGACCTTCTCGGATGGTCCAGCGAAGCCTTCGGGATCCATTCCTTCCCCCAAATGGAAGCTTGAGGATTGTGTACCGGTCTCCTCTTCAGCCATGATGTATGATGGTCAGTGGTAATTTAAGGGGCGGTAGGAGAATTCAGAGGAAGACAGGCTCTTGAACAACAAGCATAAACATCTGCAGCTTAGCGCTCACGTTGCTGAGTGCTGAGCGCTTGGGCCTGAGGGCTATGCTACATCAGCAAAAGTCAACTTTTGCTTACCAGTGTTATTTCCTTGATTAAGGAAAAATAAGGAGATCCCTTCTCTTATTCCTCCATTATTCACCCCTATTGGCTTTAATTGGCCAAATAAGAAACAGGACCTCCTTAATTAAGAAGATAACGGAGCTAACAGCTAAATTCAAAACGTTAGACGTTTTGCGACGAAACTCACCTCCCGATTTTTGTTTGTGGCGCAGCGCTTTAGTGCGGAACAAACAGACTTAGGCCGAATTGGGCAACCAGTCAATATGCGGTCTACCCTCCATCATCAGATGCTGGCAACCATGTCACCCCTTGAGAACCATAAACATGTTCCCCACATGAAAGAGCTCATAAGGATCTTCTCAGCTCTCTCCAGGGCATGCCAGTGCGAGAACTCTCGCACACAGGCTCTCCGGCGAGCACTTGAGCTTCCGCATTTGGTTTAGGTCGTTTGTCCCACACTAAACTGCTGCTCCGTGAACAAAGATCGGGAGGTGAGTTTCGTCGAGAAACGTCTAACGTTTTGAATTTAGCTGAAATGGAGCTAACCAAAAGTTGACTTTTCCTGATGTAGGACCCCTGAATATGGGTGGCAATGCCGTTTCACAAATTCCGAAAATCGACCAAAAATGTCGGGTAAAAATTTCCAAATAAACACGGCCATTTTTTCGAAATCTGTCCGGACTTTTTTGGGCGCTTGATCCGGTACAACCGTCCAAAATTGGCTCAAAATACCTCCAAAATGGCTTATTTTCCTAAATCCCGCCCGCCAGAAGCTTAACGGAGGCCGTTTAGTGGTCCTGGTGCTCATAGAGTGCCATTCCTTCACTTTGACCTCTGCTGATGAGCCGTTGACACGGGCGCGGGCAGAGTTTGTCCGGATAAAAAACCAGCATGGGCTATGGTCTGTCCAAAATGTCCGGAGTCCTGCTATGCTCGGTTCGTACAATTGGTCTTAACCAATAATTATCATGAACAGAGAAAAAACGGCATCGAGGTAAATAATTCACACAGGCAGGCTGGTGTACGTGATGTGAATAGTACACAATCTCGAATCGGCATGATTCCTTTGGACTTTCACCTAATACTCGCCTTTGACTCGGATGATCACTGGACCTCAGGAATGGGCAGTAGCTCTCGAAGGCAGGCAGATGACCGTGACCGCTTGAGCAGCCAAGCAATATTGTGCTTTCGAGGTGGGAAATAAGGATCCTGGGGTTCGAGTTTGTGAATATACACATGAGTCCATGACAGCGGACCCACCGGACGATGTTGTGCCAGTGCAGCTAGGCCTTCCATGACTTGCTTCAATTCAACGCTAGATCCAGTCTCTTCCTTCAGCTACAAGTTAGTAGAGATCTCAAAGATATTCCGAATTTACCTACTTTCTGCTGCTCCACCCATTTACGTATCCTTCGCTCCTTCACATATATCTCGGCGCGTCTCTGTGCTCGCTTCCCAAATTTCGTAACTTCCTGTATGCGTCGTATTTCTTCCTGTCTGTCGAGATAGCGGTGCCACTTCCTCCAACGCTGATACGCTTGGTCTTGAAACATCGGGTGGACCAAGCTGGAGCGCATTGCAGCCCAGGATGCTCGACTCTGCACAGAATAGTAAACCGAGATCAGCTCATGGGAGAGCAGGTACATGCTCGAATGTGATTCCGTGCCTTCGAGTATTCTCCTGCGGAAACAGAGGCACGCGCTATGGCACCTTGGTCCCTCTTGCTGATCTCCAGAGTGTATTCCAGGCCGAACCATTCTTCTGAGTCCTCGTCAAAGCTGTCACTTTGTTGCTGTTGCGGTGAACTCTGCATATAGTCATTGCTTATGTCCGCGATTAGTTCATCGTAGCACTAAAAACCCACAATTTGGGCGATAGGGATAACTGGAACGAGACATAAGACGCACGATAGAACGTTCAGGTTTCTTCCCCTCCTTGACAGATGTGAGCAGTGATTCACGAGACAACACTTCGTCCTCTTCTGCACCTGGAGTAGATTCATAGGTACGCGGGAAGCCAGGTTTGTCGGCACAAGGAGGGCATGCAGCAGAGAACACAGAACTCGGTGTCAACGGTGGAGTGCTATCAGTGACAGTAGAACCAGAGGCAGTAATCGAGAACAGACGTGGGCGAGAGGTACCGCGCGCGGAAGAGGAGACAGATTTCACGGAACTTGCATTTGACTGAGAGCGAGAACGACCAAGACTGCCGGTGATACTTGAAATGACGGCCTTGACATCAGGAACAGATATACGGCGAGACTGGCGACGAGAAGGAAGAGTGGGAGTAGATAATTCTGCGATATCCGAAACGAAGTATGGGGAGTGTCTGCCAAGATCTTGCGCGGAATCATCATCAAGCTGGGCAGTTTTCCTGGTTGCTGTACGCGCCTCTATCCCTGTATGCGCCCCTACGCCACTGCCAAAGGTGTCTTGAAGATCGCTCCGCAACGATGCATGGTAGGAAACAAAGAGAGAGCCAAGAGCAGACTTCTTCAAGTTGTATCGGAGGGTGGTCAAGAAATTGGACCCAGAATGAGTGCGAATTTCACGGTCATCAACCAAGGCAATATCTTCGTTTGTTTCTTCTGGTGTAAGCATATCGCTCTAATTTGATTCCACGAGAATACAAGACAGAACGTCGATATATGGAGATCAAGGTGGCAGCGGAAGATCAGGGCCTTTCCGAATCATTCACTGCCAGATTCAGCTCAGCGCGTCGTCAGCACGTGAGCGCGAGTGCCAGTGGTACCGCGGTTTTACCGTGACCTCAGAACTTCTGTATTCGAGTTCATATCCAACAGTCTGATTCACAAATATCGTACAAGCATCACTGGGCCAGTAGCCACTACATCCATGTATCTTCACGCTTTACCACCCAGACCTTACCAAGTCTGCAGGTGTTGACCTCTCGTACTTCTCAAACGTCCTCGGACCAGTTGGGCCCTCCTCAAGACCGTTGCCCAGAGGTAATTCTGGACGCCAGCGCCAGGTCTTGGTGAGTTCGGTCTTGGGCTTCTTCTGAATAACGTCTCGGACATGCTACAGTGCACGTGAATAATCAGAAATCGCGCGCATAAGTATTCAGATGAGAAAGCACACCTTGCCAAGGACGGGCGTGAATTTTGCACCGTGCCCGCTCCCACCAGTGCAAAGGAAGAGCGTGTCGCTGTAGCCAGGGACGTAGTCAATGAGAAATGCGTTGTCGGCCGTGTCGGTGTAGAAGCAGAGTCTGGTCTTCACGATGGGGAATGAAGCTAAGTCGGGCATGAACGTCGAGACAAACGTCTTGATTGCCTCCACGGACTGGAGCGGGAGCGCAGTATCGTCGACTCCAGGACGAAGAGGGACGGCGATGGGACGTTCAGACCCCGGGAGGTTGACGTAGTTGGTGTACTATCAAAAGAAATCACCATCAGATACGACGTCATTTACAAGCCAAGTGATACATGCCTTCGTCACTCGATATCCAATCTTCACGAGCCCTTCTGAATTCCGAGGGAAGATGTATATGCTACGACTGCCGACCTCCTTCCCAGTGGTATCCGGATCGTGCCCAATGATGACGGGACGATGCTGTGGGGAGTACTTCTCCCAGAGTTCGGGAGCTTCTTTGCGAGGCGGAAGACCGACGAATGCAACGCTTCCTGCGGTCGCTTCAAGTACGGAGCGGGATTCGGGAACAAGGATGGGTGTCGCAGAACCACCTGACGCATCATGCCAGTCAAAATCGGCGCCAACAGAAACGAATACCGAACTCACCAGCGACAATCACCAAATCTCCGGCATGTTCCTTGCCATCTTTGGTGACGATGCCAGCAATCCGCTTGGAATCACCTGAGCCCTCGATCTTGAAGGAGGTGACAGCTCCCTTCTCGAGACCATGGACAAACTTCGCCCCCTTCTTACGGAGCTTGTCAGCGAGGTACGCGCAGCCTCTGCTGCAAAACACAAAGCCGGCTGTCGTATCCAGCACCGCCTCGAAGTGCTCCTTGCCATTCGTTCCCGGGATGGGGAACTTCACCAGCTTCTCCGCCCAGCCATCCTCCTTGGCCCTGCGCACATCGTTCTCGTTGGAAAGGATGTACTGCGTCTCGCGGAGACCCTCAGCCACCATATTCTTCTGAGTCCTGCGCTCCAAGCCACTAAGGTGGGTTCCGTGCTGAAGGCGTAGCATGCCCGACTCGATGAAGATCTCGTTACCGGGACCGAGCTCCTCATTCCATTTCTTCCAAGCCTCCCGTGCCTCATAAGCTAGGCGCTGGTACACCAGCTCGTTCCCATAAGATGCCCGGAAGATCTTGTGCTCGTCAACAGACGCTGCAGTCGACAAGGGATTCATGGTGTAACCCTGCTCCGAGTCGTAAGGATGCTGATCAAACAGCGTGATATCATTGTAGCCTGTACAGCAACGTCAATGTCGATGAATATATTGGGAGAAACTGGATGAAGCGTACCATCTTCAGACAGATAATATCCCGTACTAAGACCGAAGATCCCAGCACCGACAATGAGAACTCTAGGTTTGGTGGGAGGCGTCGACATGGCTGAGAATGGGATCTGCTTATAATATTACCTGACAGAGCAGAGCCAATGACATTATATCTCTGGCTCGGAAGCATTGCGCCAACTATCAGATGCCCCCTGTATCAGCGTATGATGCGTATCTTGGAAGGGAAGGGAATCGCGCCATAATTTCTGCCTTGGAGGTGCAATATCGCGCCGGGACTCTCGGCTCGACAACCTTCCAAGTGAAGAGAACGAGACTTGAGAGTCTTCAGGCATGAATCAGCCCTCAGAAAGGTATATCGATGATGATGGAGAATATTCGGGACGCCACTCGGAAGGGGAAATGCGTCGAAAACATATATGTGAAGGCAAACGAAGAGTATACGCCTGATCCGCGATAAGGACGACCACCTGCACTTGGAAAAGGGTGAGCATGATCTTATCGGAGTTAACCCCGATGGGTAAATCTCCATATATTGACGTCCTCGGGCAGACAAAAGCATCTATCGCGAGCCGCTGCTGGTGATCGCCTTCGTGAAGGTCTAGACACAGTCACTCTAGCGCGGTCGTATCGTCAGAATGCGTCAATCTGTGCAAGGCCACCAGTCTGCATCGTGTCTACCCGGCGAAGTAGCTCTCTGAACGACGCGGCGAGACCAGCACCCTTACCATGATGCCGTAGCGCGTCTTCCTGAGCATCCGCGTCGAGTTGTTTGACCTTCAGTTGCTCAAGTGCCGGGAAGCTAGCACCTCAGAGCTCTGACCGCCGTAGCAGATATCGCGAGCAGATGAGCTCGCACCGACCGACTGAAGTCCGAATCAAAATATGCCATTCCATCAGGAGTACGCGTACACATTAGATCAATTGCAAGAAGGAACTCAGCTGCAACACATCCAAAAGTCGAACCCCCACCCTCGACCAGCTCTCATATATCCCCGACAGAATCGTCGCTATCGAACATATCGAAGAAATCTGCGACGACTGCCGGAATCGACGAACTTCCAGATACGGACGAGTAAGTCATGCCTTCATCGAAAGAGTGTGGGATGCTCAGTGGTTGGTCGGCCGAGGAGGAGGAGGCTCCTTCGTCGTCGGCGTCATTCGAAGACTTGCCGGGGATTCTTATAGTGATTGCATCAACTTCTCGGTGAGGGACACGGTGTTGCAAAAGATCCGTTTCTTCCTGGCGTATTGGTGGGTTCGCCAACAAAGAAAGTGGTGTGTCGTCAGACTCCGGTTCGGTGAGGGAGTAGCTGCGCAGAAATTGATCTCTGCTCACTACGAACGGTGGATCCTGCGTATTGCTCGGCGGGCTAGCAGATATTCCCACAGAACATGAATGAGCATCTGTGTTCTCGCTATCCTGAAGAAAAGAGGGCTCATCGTTGAACATGTCTCGGAATGCTCGAAGCTGCGGAGGTGTGTCTGGTGCCAGGTTAAACTTATCCACATCTCCAAGCGAGCTGCCGTAGGATGTCGGAGGATGAGGAGGAGACGTGTAGAGTTGGGAATGTACACCGTTGGAGTATTGTGATTCGCCTTGAGATGGATGCACAGGGGAATTTAACACCTGATTATCTTTGTCTTGCACACGATCTGAGACTTCTTCAGAGCCTTCGCTACTGTAGTGATGGATGTGAGCTGCGAAGTTTGGCGTCAAGAACACTGAACTAACCTCAAAGGTATCGGCCGTTGCGCTCGCCCATTGCCTTCGTTCTCCGAAGACCGCCTTGATGAATCGACCAAGCAAATTGGGCTGACAGAAGCCATGTCCAGTTCTTTCTCCAACTGACTCTGCGAGCTCGGCACGAACTCCAGAGACTCTGAGACCAAACTCAGGGCGTTGCGCACTTCGTGAAGAGCGTCACGCGAAGTGATGTGCTTCCGTGGTTGTTGCGAGATCCGCATGGCCTCTTTCGAGATTGACTCGTGTCTCTGCGACCCAACTCCAAGATCAGAATCAGGAATTTCCAGTTCCCTTTCTTGGCTCTGGGAAGTGGGAATAATTTCTCCATCATCAAAGTGCCCAAGAGGCATGCGGAACGTGAAGTTCAATCTAGGCAGACTCTTTGCAGCGAGTGCAGGGGAAATATGAAGCTCCTGTGTCTGGGATGAAGGTACGAATATATCGTCATCGTCGAGCAGAACGGATGCTGCAACGTCATGCACAGGGCCACGTGCGAGACGAGAGATAGATTCCATGGTACGAGGGAGTGTCAAGGGTTTGGGTGGAACCTGCGGTTTCTTGAAGGCAACAGGAGTTGGGCACGAGCCCCGTGACGAAGATAGCAGACGTCGCGACACTTGAGACAGAACGACAGCCTCTCGCTGCGAAGTCCGTTTCCTTTTACCTGGTCGAGCTGCACCGATCTGCACCTGCGTAGCAACGAGAGAACTGAAACCCGTAGAAGAAGTAGTAGATGGAGAGCTCCCCCCGTGCGAGGGTAAAAAACTCCTTGACCGAGAGACAGGTGTGCAGGGTGTAAGGAGCCGAATGAGATTCCCGGCGTGATGGTTGGCAGGAGTAGGGGTGCTCTCAGAAGAAGAAGAGAGTGTCATTGGAAGAAAACCCTTTATGCTGAGTGGGGGTATGCCGTTTCGATGCTTCATTGTCGGGGGAGGGGTGAGAAGAGTATGCCCGGACAAAGGAGCATACTCGTTCGGCGGCGTAGTTCTCAAGCCACACGAGAGCACATTCTCCTTTGTCGTGCTATGCAAAGGTTCATGGTCTGAATGAGTGAGGTCGATGATTTGGCGTGGCTCTGCATGTAGCACCGGGTCAGTAACACTCCGCGAGCCCAAACAAAGAGAATGTTCACCTTCCCGCCATGGTGTGGTCTTATACCCTCCCAACCTCTTCGCAGACTTTTCCCTTACGGGGTCCTTGGGAGGAACGTTTTCTTTATGTTTGCTCTTCTTGCTGAGCGTTCCATGGGCGGGTTCGTCGACGTGGTCGATCGGCCTTTTGGGCGGCCTACGCTTTACCTGCTGCCGTAAAGCGGACCGATTGAAGAAGGAATCTAAAGGAAGTTGTTCTCCAGTAAGTTTGCACTCCATCTCCATCGAACAGTAGGATATCTACGCCGGCATGGTTGAATGTTCATTGAAGGTGGGAAGAATAGTCGCCCGTGACCGTGACGTGCGGAGTTGACACGCTTTCATACTCCGCTGACGCGTCGTTGTACCTTAAATGGGCGCTTTCCACCGCCACGTATTCTTCTTCATGTCACTGTCCGACTCTCCCCAGCTCAAGAAACGCAAGATGTCTCCCGCCGAGGAGAATGGAAAATCTGAGCAGACTCCTGTCTCGAACTTGCTCATCAAGCGGCTGTCCGAGAAGGCCAAGCTTCCTACGCGGGGATCGCCTCTCTCTGCAGGCTATGACCTTTACAGGTGCGCGTTGGGATTTTTTACGACAAAACCTGACGCTAACGTTCACGACTGCAGCGCAGAGAGGAAACTGATCCCAGCGCATGGAAAAGCTTTAGTTGACACGCAACTCTCCATCGCCGTCCCCGCGGGAACGTACGGTCGTGTTGCTCCTCGGAGCGGACTCGGTAGGTCTTGTGCCATGACTTCGATGAACTTCAGCCTCAATTACTCGACAGCATCCAAATTCATGATTGACACGGGGGCAGGCGTCATTGATGCTGATTACCGCGGGGTACTATTCATTCTGCTGTACAATCTCTCAGACCAGGATTTCCAAGGTAATGCCACGTGCTCTGTTCTCATGTCAATATGCGAGTTAATTTCGTGGTTTAGTCGAGGAGGGAGACCGCATAGCACAGCTCATTCTCGAGCGCATTGTGACGCCCGAGGTTCTGGAAGTCGACGTGAGTCTGTTCTCATGAGCGCCCGATGGCCGACTAATTGGTCCCTAGGATTTGGATGAGACGTTGCGTGGCGGAGGAGGTTTCGGTTCAACCGGCGGGCACAATGCGCTTTAGAAATGTCTTTTTGTTCTCCTCGTTCCAATCTTGCTTCGATATATCGTTTTGCTGTCTTGCAATGCAAAAGTAACCGTATTTTCTCCACAGGGAAAATACTCCTGCAGCTGCTTCTACGGTGTATCGTTGCATTGCATAATACAACGAATTGCGTCCACGAAACACGCCCCGCAGGTAGTCGCAGAAGGATCGTTGAGAAAGACCTCTGCCATGAGTAACATCATGACGGCTCTACACATCGGCGTAAATAAGTTGAAGTGTCGCCCGGAACAAGGAAATCCACGTTAACTTCCTCTTTCACTTTCGATGGTAGTGGTCGGCACCCGACCCTGCACACGTATTGAACGGAAGGGGGGTAACGCAGTACAGACCGCATGAGGGTACACGTGGACAACCACCCGAATCTGGAGTGAGGAGTGGTCAAACCTGGAGTACAGTCCTTGGCACCTATTTGACCAAAACTCACCATCACTTCGTCCTTTGAGAATTCACCTCGTACAGTGCGTTCGAGACCCTGGACGAATGTTGCAGCAACTGACGACCATTGATCTCCCCATCATGCACAGGTATTTGCGCGGCTTCGGAGATGTCTATGCCGACACCTTCAGCCCATATCCGCCCGTCCGGGATGTCTCCTTCCTTCCCGGCAACCTCGCTCGTGTCCACCAGTCTGACCGCTTCGACCAGCCTGACCATCTCCTCCATTTCCCGCGTCAAAGTCTCGTGTTCGGGTGTGCCCTCCGCTGGGGGGATCAGTGCCGACAGTGCATGCAGCCGCTGCAGTGTTGAGGGTGTAATGACCGGCTGAGGATATGATGAGAGCAGCTCGTTTACCGACCAGGTGGGTTGCAGAGGTATTCCACACGAGTCGGTCTCTGTTAGTGTCTTGCGACTAGTCCGGCTTGGCTTTGCAACTCCAGAAGAATAGAGTCTCCGGCAGGAATGCTGCAGCGCTGTGCACCGCCGTCGTGCAGCGCAGGACATTGCCGTGACAAGCGGAGACAAGTTGTGTCTTCCAAAACGGGAAATGGACGATGACCGAGGCGTGACGGAAGAGACACCTGCGTCGCAGCTGCACGTCGATCCTGCCTCTGAATCCCTATCTCTATATCCTGTTCAGAGAAGAACCTAGCTATGGCGTCGAGCGTAGGATCCGCGCTCAGAAAGCTTCTTCCAGCCAAACTTCCTCCGTCACTCTCTTCCCAACCTGGGAACCTGTACGAGGTCCTTTCACGATATCCACAAGACGGCGTTGGCCAGAGAGTATACCAGACACGATGGTCCGCGAAGGGGATTGAGGGCTGCTATTGGGAGGTCACAAGGACAAAATTGAAGCTTGAAGGCACTCATGGAAAGGCGTGGGGCGTGCTCGTATGGAGAGGTGAGCCCACACCATGTTTCTGAGCGAACCGTTCTTGATATCAGCTCAAAATGCAGGACAGCGGGTGAGCGAGCGGGACGAGCAAATACGCGGCGGATTGAAGTACAGATGGGCGGAAGGCATGTCTCAAGCTCGCAAATTTACGACATCTCCAGTATCACCCCCTTCATTAGCATCGTAGCGCATACCTCCTGATGCCGATACATGATGTCTCTATTCGCCCTTGCCGTCTGACTATCCGGAGAGTGCAAGACAGTCTGCCGTTCTTGGCATAATTTCGCAGTGACAATATTGACGAGTGCGGGGAAATATGATAGATCTATCCCTTCAACGACGTCCATTCTTGCACAGGATTGGTAGTTATTACCGTGACCCTCGTGCATATAACAGAGATTTGTCGTGAATATTCTGAGTACTTACCATGAAACCAACCTACCTACCTATGCCAGGCCGCGTGTGCGAAATCGTTCCCTTTTCAGACCGACGCCGATGCAACAATCAAGCGCCAAGCGATGCTCTACCCGTGATACATATCTGCGTGTTTTTGACTTTTGCTCTTCCGACTCCCTACGGTGACCCCTCGTTTGGTGGCGATGGATTCCCGACAGCTCATCGACGCACAATTCGACCGTGCGGTAGAAATCGTGCAGAGCCTGCCCAAGAATGGGCCAATACAGACCGGTTATGAGGAGAAGCTCACGATGTACAGGTGCGCACCGGAGCAATTAGAGTGTGGTCGTCAGAGTTGAGCGAGCCCTGTTGTGTTATTAGTCTGTACAAACAAGGTGCTTACCTCGTGCGTTCTGATGGCACTCTAATAGACTCTGAGATCAATTGTAGCTACTGTCGGAAATGTCCAAACTCCCCGTCCAAGCGTTTGGGACATGCTAGGGAGGGCCAAATGGTAAGTCGCAGAATTCACCCCACAGTCTACCGCTCTCTTAATGAGAGAAGGGATGAATGGGCGAAACACAAGGATCTCGATCCGTATGAGGCCAAGTGGAAATACGTAGAGGCATTGCTTAAGGTATGAGGGCTCAGCGTGCCAATACTGCATACGCTCATGTGGTGGTCAGGTTTTGCGGAGATACTCGGATAAGACGATTGCCATGGACTTGGTGCGGGAGCTGGAGTCATATTCTGGAGATCCCTCGAATATGGTGATGAGTGGTATGACTGGCCTTGTCCGCAGTACGATGTCACCTTTTGATACTTTCTACCATAGCATCATTCTCGAAGTCAACAAGATCCTCCTCTTCTGGCTCGACCACGTCAGACGACCATCCACTCTACGAGTTGGGGAATATACCTGCTCATATCAGAAACACCCAAACGAACATCCAAGCTTCTCTACCACCTCCTGGACCCCAGGTTGACCAGAGCAGTTCGGAAGACGAGGAAGCGGGGGACCAGGTGCCACCTGTATCCTCTGCGTATGCTCAGAGTCAGGCGGACCGTCCTCAATCTTCTCTGTCCACGCATCGCTATCGCACCCCTGCGCGGTATCGCACCCCTGCCACACGTTCCCTCATTCATTCACCTCCAATACCAATTTCGAGCGTGCCTGCAACCCAACCTCACTCAGAATATCAGGCTCAGTCCGCATTCGGAGAGCCAGTGAATGCTGCGTCTACGCCACCTCATCCGAGGATTATATCCACCTCCTCTGCCAGCGACGTGGTTGGTCCTGGCCACACATTTTCCGCACGTCCATCCTTCAGACCACCCAGCCAGCCATACTACCCAAGACCGTACTCTCTTCAGAGTGGTATCCCGCGCCCGCCGTCCCGCCAGGCTCTGGAGCGCGCTATCGAAGGCGTCCAGGTGCACCTCGCAGCCCTGACGGAGCGAATAGAAGTGCTCGAGAACTCGATACACCGTTCCACCGTATCCGTGGTCTCCGCACGGGACTCGCGGTCTCCTCGGTGGAGGAGCGCCGATCACCGAGACCTGGGTGGACAGTCCGAGCGCATCGAGTGGGATCTGGACGATATGGGAATGTGGTCAATTGTCATTCGTCCCTTGACGCGTGTTGTTGCGCTGTTCAAACACCTCCTCGCTTTCATTGTGCAGACTCAGAACAACTCCCCAGTGCTGGTGATCGTGCGCCGTTTATTTTTGGACATCTCGTTCATGCTTTGCGTGCTTGCCGTGTTTAAGGTTGCGTGGAGAAGAAGTGGCATGCGACGGAAGGAGGTTGTTGCTGCTCTTGCTGGATTGTGGCGAGCGGTCGTTGGTCACAAGCAGCCGCGAGTGTTAGTCGATCGAGCTGTATAAGATCACGCACTAATTATCTGCTAGAATGCTTATGTTTTGTTGGAAATTATTGTCGTCTGATCTCGCACTGTTACATCGACATTGCAAGCGACCTGTATACACCTCGAATTCTGCGATTCACTAGCGTACAACATCTGTGATCACCTGTCCGTGGAGGACAACCCTCACGCTCAAGACATATCAACGACGCAACGGATGCAGTCTCCTGCCTATAAGTGTGATTTGTGAGAATCGTGATCATTGTGATTGTGGGTGCAGTAACGTACATGCATGTCACCGAAGCCAGCATTGATCTCATCCAGTGTGCGATGGTGGGTGACGTACTCGTCGACCTTGACCTTGCCTTGCAAATAATCTGCACGCGAACAGAAGGTTAATCGTACGAGAAAATGGGAAATTTTTATTCACCTTCTACCAAGCCAGGAAGTTCGGTGCGACCCTTCACACCACCGAAAGCACTACCGCGCCAGGTGCGTCCGGTGACCTGCGGTGTCAAATTTGAGAGAAAGTGCGAATAAGCATAATGAACCACTAACCAGTTGGAATCTACAGGCAATTTTGTACGTAAGCTAGCAGTAGTACGATAGATGCATGGGGAGATACTGACGGGCGAGTGGAAATTTCTTGGCCAGCAGCTGCAACACCAATGACTGTGCTCACACCCCAACCCTTGTGGCAGGCTTCGAGCGCAGCACGCATCACGTTAACCTAATGGTACGAACCTCATTCTGCGCGCGCTCCAAACAAGATCGGGTGGGAATACACTCACATTGCCAGTTGCATCAAACGTGAAGTCCAAACCGCCATCCGTTATCTCGACGAGATAGTCTTGGATACGCGTGCCCTCGGGGAGCTGGGAAGGGTTCACGAAATCAGTGGCGCCGAACTTGCGCGCCCAGGACTCCTTGCTCGGGTTCGTATCGACTGCGATGATGCGCGCAGCGCCGACAACGGAGGATGTGGCGATGACGCCAAGGCCAATAGCACCACAGCCGAACACGGCGACGTTAGAACCCTCTGCGATAGATGCATCAGTTTCATTCTCAATACATTGGGACAACTACAATTACTGATTCCGGGCTGCTTCACGACGGCACCCCATGCAGTGGTTATACCACAACCCAGCAGGCAGACACGATCAAGTGGTGCTTTCGAGTTCACCGCCACGACAGAAACATCCGCGACGACAGTGTACTGAGAGAAAGTCGACGTGCCCATCTACAGCCCCCAATTAAGACCGTGAAATAATATGAAGATGTAAGGCTATGAGCATACAAAGTGGTGGATCGGTTGACCCTTGCATGTAAAGCGAGAGGTATTGTCGGGCATCAGTCCCTTGCCTTGGGTGGCTCTGACTGCGATACATGAGTATCATCAGACTCACGATAAGGCGCATATAGTCATACCTTTACCGCAAAGGTTGGTCTTTCCGCTCTTGCAGAACTTGCACTCGCGGCATTCTGCAGAACATGGATGAAAACACGACGAATAATTGAAAATAAATGCTGGCTTACCCGCAGTATACAGGGGAATCACATGATCGCCCTACCGAACGCTGGGTTCATTCTGAAACCGTCGGTGAACGACTGACGTACCACTGCGACACTTGTGACGCCCTCGCCGATGGACTCGACCTAAACGATACTCAATCTTGAATCAACCAGCTATAGGTAGCATGGACACTTACGATACCTCCGCCCTCGTGGCCAAGAATCACCGGAAACAGACCCTGTTCCAATTATAATCAGACGGGGAAACCAGGAACTAATTGCCTGCTCGCCTCGGGGTCCTTGCCACTGCGAGTGTACTCATCGGTGTGGCAGATACCTGTATGTATATGTCAAAGCTCCGGGTGCAGGGGAAGGGCCTGATCCGCACTAACCGGTGTGCAAGATGTGGATGCGAACTTCATGAGGACCCGGAGGAGCAACCTCGACCTGTTCAATTTTGAGCGGCTCGCCGGCACCCCAGCAGACGGCGGCTTTGCACTTGATGGATTTTCCTGCAGTCTCGGACATGGTTGGAACACAAGTTGAGCAGTACAAAAGGACTAGGGGCTCGGGGAGAATGGGCAGGCTGGGCTACATATATGGACGGCTCTCCCGTTATTCCGGTATCTTGTATCACTTGATCAATCGCATTCGTCACTGTTAAGGAGCCGTACTTAACTTGGCTTGCTCAGCAGTCAGTCCGTGGTCACGGTATTCTATGACATACCAATGTCTTTCTCCAACATCTACTATAAGCGGGTCCGTCTCTGCGGTATCTATCGCAAGATCTGCATACTTACATGCCATACATAGGCTGTAGGAACCGCTCGGGCGTGCTATGTCTGCCACAAACCGACCACCACCGTGCTTGCAACAATCCACACCGTCGATTTCATCTACACGTGCGATAACCATCTCACCGATCATGCGTTCGCAACCCGCGTAGGCGATCCTACAGGTGCTGCCGCGAAGCTGGGAGTCGGCGCGGACGAAATTGCGAAGGTAAAGAAGGAGTGGGAGGAGCACCAGAAAGTGAAGCTAGAGAAGGCGAAAGAGAAGGAGAAGGAGAAGGAGAAATCGAAGGATAAGGAGAAGGAGGCCGATGCTGAGAAGGGGAAAAAGGACGTGAAGGAGAGCAAAGACGTCAACAATAAACCAGCCATCGTTCCCGGTTCACTTCCTCCCGATGGAATGGTCAGTCCTCCGCCCACGCCCTCACACGAACGATATACCTTGCACCGAGACGTATTCGCAATGCGACAGGCTGAACAGCGCAGACGCAGACAAGCTGCACAAGCGAAGGAGCTTGCTCCTCGTCTACCTGGCGCACCCAGGTCGAGTTTGCCACCAGCAACGTAATTACACACTGACAGGCCATGTTGGTAAGTGCTCAATATGTCTCCGCAACTTGTTCATGGCTGCAATCGTGTGCCCGATTACTCCCGTGTTCAGACCTAGCGGCACATCTAACCAGTACTTTCTTTCGTCCAGAGCTGCAATCTGACGACCTGACCGTTCATTGGGTAGTTCCTTCTTCTGTTCTGATGTCTTCACGGTCTCGTCGGGCGTGGATGAGTTACTGTCAGCCATTGTATGCACAGATGACCTGACTGGCAGAGGCATGACACAATGACTTCCGACCTGCAGACCAGTCACTGATCATTCCCTGTTGCGCACGGGCAGATATGATGCGCTCAAGGATCAGGTGGTCATGGTCGTCGTCCTACACATGATCATTTCTAAATTCTACTTTGTCTGGTGATCAGTGTGCACTCCCACTACATGGTTCAGCGCTCACAGTAATATGTTCCGAGCCATCCGATATAACCCCCTGGTGGTTAGCCGACTCGGCGTGAATTGTGAAAATCTAAACAACAGCGGCGTGTGTCTATGATTGCTCTGATTGCATACATTGGAAGCTAGGGTATCGTGAACGTTACACAACATCTGCACGTTGAGTCGTCAGCGTCCTTCAACTGACTGTCTGCGGGAGATGCACATACAATGACATCCTACTATCGCCTCTCAGGAACCGAAGGGGTTGCAGTCACATACTGCAGCCCTCACTGCAAAGCTCGCCACGCTTCCAAAAGTGAGACCACCGACCAAACAGAATGCTGCGACCGTAGCTGCCACATCCACGTCTTTAGTGCGTCCTTGAAGTCGAGGATTGTGCGCAACGGATGGCGCGGACATCATGCACATGCTGGACACGTAGCCACCGGTCAATCCGAACAGAAGCAAGATGAACATGTATAGCCAATCGGAATTGATGATGGGAGTCGATGGTACGGTGGAAGAACTCGCCCACTGAATGTTGCACATGAGGAAAAGTGGTATAAACAGAGTGCGCGATATGGAGAATGCTAATAGGCGTCGAGCAGACCAGACGAGGAGCCTTGGGAAGGAGCACAAGTAACGGCCAACGAAGTCTCCGATATTGTAGATAAGGAAGTGGACGGCACTGAATAGAAGCGGATGCGTAGACGGGTTGGTGGACTGAATGGATATAGTGATCGGCGGGAAAACGGCCTACAGAGACGTCTTGATCAGTCCCTAGAGTTCAAGCCTAATGGTCACATACCAGGGTGACCGCAAATACATATGCAACGGCAAAATTGTACGGGAGGTTGACCTTCGCTAACCGGAATATTCGAGGCTTCTCGTCCAGCTTTCTCCGTCCATGATTATGTTCTTCAGCTATGAGCCTTTCCATGCTTTCTGACATATCATTCTCCTCGATACTGCCCATCCTATCGCTGCTGCTCGACTGCGCCAACACAGACTGATAGACCGGAAGACGGGTCATCCAAACATGCACTCCGGCGCTGGCTACAAGGAATAACGTAGACAGCGCGAAGAATATGGCCGCAGAAACTTCCTCTGGTTTCGAGCCAGGCGCCACTGCAGATTGGGGAGATGTCTTTCCACGGGTAGATGCAGTAGCACTAAGCACTTGCACTCCACTCACTACAACGCCGACCCCAGCTTGGCCGGACATTACTGCCTGCATTGTCCTATGCCCGAAAAGCGATGCGACGGCAACGACAGCCGTCTGAAGGTATGACCCTGCTGCTGCCTGCAGTATGCCGTTGACTAGCACAAAGGCGAAGAAGACACCTGGATGAGGACGGATGAATGTGCTGATGTAGAGCGTGGCTGATAGAAAAGCAAGCCATGACATGGAGAGAAGGACCCTCCGAGAATTGGACGACTGGGGGAGAATGGATTCAGAAGTAGCGTATATATAGATAACGAGACCAACCTGCTTAGATGTGGCAGTAGCACGGGCCAAGAAGCCAAGATTGGAAGCCATAAAGGTAGTTGAGAGATAGGAACTGAACGTGCTCTTCAGGGGAGAGCCATCCAAACGAGACAAGAAATATGGAGTGGCAGTAATCAACGCTACAAAAGCCACTTCAGTAAACACAGCAGGACTTAGGTGGATTGGACTGCACCATTCCATGGCAGGAGCACAGCGCAACCGAGAATGAAATGAATTCCGTGTATCCGTGTATCCTCCTCTGCTAGCAGAGTACTGCTGGCAAGTTCATCCACCAGCTCGACCTGCTCATCGCTGGTATCAAGTTCGAGAGATGGACGGGCAGGTTCAGATGCCACCGGTGCTTGAGGAATAGGTCGATACACTGCATCATAATTATGCACATCGTGTGTCGAAGATTGTCGCACATGAGAGTCTGGCATAACTTGAGATGGATGGCGTTTCAAGGGGAGGGCCCAGGAATTCTAGTCGAGATTTATGGACGAGGCTGAGAGCATATTGTCGTCACAGAGGCCTATACTTGGTAGGGTGACAAACTCTCAGCGTGTACTCCGGCTGAGACGCCGTCGTTCCGAGAACATACCCTGACAAATATAGGAATATCCACATGAGGATCTTGAACGTCGCAGAATCTCTCAAAGCCGCCGGCAGAACGTTGTATATCACCGATTCAGAGGGAGATACGGTACGATACAAAGACTTTGGCATGTCCGACGATATGATACAACTAGCACACGTACAGATATCTATCCAGATTCGTGCTACATTTGAAGTTGTTTATAAGGACTTGCCCAGCTTCACGTCGATTCAATATTCAATGCTCAGGACGATACCTGATTGTTTGTCAGAACGAAAGTGGTATGATCTTGATTTGCTGCTCACCAGCACCAATGGTTTCTCCACTACGCCTGATCAGTATTCTACCCATCTCTTTGTTCACGGCAAACGGCTCCAGGGGAACAGGTTGTGTTTTAGCTGATGGACCTGACAATGATGCCGTGCGAAGAGTTATTTGCACTTCTGCCGAGGTGTTCTTTGTCAATACACTATATATGACGTAAACTGATGTGAGCGTCAGGAAAAGAACATGAAGGCAACATACCGCGGATTCTTCTTGACTACAACGCCTGAGGCCCTATCCAGTACTGACACTAGCTTTGAGATCGACGCAGGAACGTCACGGGAATGGTGATAAAGCTCAACCTTGTCGTCAATAATTAAGCAGGGAGAACATATAAAAGACTGGTACAACTGACCGATGCACCTGCAGTTATGGGCACTTGAATGTCGAAAACCATCACCCGTGCTGTGAAGACCGTGGCTAATGGTACGAGATCTGTTGGACGGCAAAGCACGCTTCCTATTGCCAGATGCACGGGATCGACAGCAGTTAGATACAGGACGACGTTGGAACCAGCTATTGCCCATGGCACCGTCTTCTCGTAACTTTCAATCGCTTCAAAGACGGTGAGATATAAGAATTAAAATTCGAGATTTGGTTAGCTCACATTTGACCGTGGCCGACTCGTCCCCAGGTAAGATGCGCAGACGTTCACCAACTTGAACGATACCTCCACAGACTCGGCCAGAAACCGCGAGACCTGATCCTTGTTCTTTGTAGACGTTTGAGATCGGAAATCGTAAAGGGGATGTGATATCACGGGTAGGCGTATCCAGATCATCTATAGGGATTGTTTGTATGTCCCATCGGCCATCCACGTAAGGAACATACCTAGGAGATCAACCAACGTAGGCCCTTTGTACCACTCACTGAGTGCCAGTGCTGCTGTGCCTTCGCGGTCGGTCAAGTTGATCCCAGCCACTGCTCCGACTGGGACAAATTTTGTCTTTGTAGGATGAAACCCGGACTGGACGAGGAATGGTCGCATGGCACTGCATATCTCTTCGTAACGTGCTCGTGACCACTCAACCTAACAGAGTGAAGACGGTTGAGCATTGAGATGATACAATCATGGTCATATGAATACCTGGTCCAGTTTGTTGATAGCAACTATGACTTGACCAACACCGAGACTCCTGACGAGGAGCAGATGTTCTCGAGTTTGACCACCTCTATCAAAACCAGCTTCAAACTCCCCAGTCCCAGCATCTACAACCAGAAGTGCGGAATCTGCTTGTGAAGCGCCAGATATCATGTTGGGAACGAAGTCTTTGTGACCAGGGGCATCGAGGATCGTGATTTCTCGGTGGACGGTGCTGAGTGACTGCAGCGCAACGTCCATTGTGATCCCACTAAGTAGACCCTTTCAGGAGAGAAGTCAAGCTTCCGACAGATGACACCCACCGCTCGCGTTCTTCAAGAGTGCCATCCAGCTCCCAAGCCCAGCTGAAGCTACTCTTGCCCATCTTACTACTGCCCCGCTCGTTGGCAGCACGTTTCTTTTCATCCATTCTTCCAAGCTCATACAGCAATCTCCCCATCAAGGTAGATTTTCCGGCATCGACATGACCTTGAAGTCTTGTGAGTGGACATCTACTGAAAGTGTTGAAAGTACTCGCACCGATCACGACCAGACTGAGGGCCTTCTTCTGGCTCTTTTCTTCGACCTCAAGTTCTTTTCTGGCTTGTTCCAAGAGCTTGTCCATCGCAATCGTCGGCTTAGGCGGCGGGTCTTCTTCCGGCGGAAGAGTGTCCACTTCTGAGGTCAGGTTGAGCGCAGAAAGATCAATCTGTTGTTGAGAGGGCGTATTACTGCTCCCTCCTCGGATGATATCCTTGTGATCAGCCTGCTTCCTTGTTGTCTTCGCGGGTGCAGGGGAGACATTTCTAGACGTTGATGCAGAAGGCGCCAATCCAAATTTCGGTTGAGGAGACTTTTTGGACTGTGCCAACTTGGATGCCTTCTCCCGTTCTTTTGCAGCTATATATATTCAATACGATAGGTAGTTAGCACATGGTCAATATACAAAGATCATCGAACAGCAGCCTTGACATAAGAACGAAGCGAAGAGGAGCCAAGAGAAGGCGTTGAATGCGGATATTGCGAAGAAGAGACAGAGGGTGCAGCTAGCGATGTTCCTCGACGAGCATTGGAAACCAAGTCATCGGGACTGGGAATATCAAAAGCGAAGCCGCTCAGCGGTGATAGAGGAGGTACAGGAACGCCACGCTCTCCGTGGGTGGTGTTTCTATGTCTGTCGGACGGATTCTGAAAGCGATATCCACGACCTCTGTGCTTGCGTGCGCCTTTGCTGTCGTCTTTATGATCATTGCTCTTGGACAAATGTGCGTTGTCTTCGTGGGGCAACAGTGGATCATCATCGAGGAGTAAGGAGGCGAAGGCTGATGGTGACGCACAGGAGCGAGTGGCTTTAGACGAGAACAACGGTGATTCAGCTGAAGGGCGAGATTCTTGTGAAGGAGGCTCGGGTTCGTGCTTTTGTAAAGCCTTCCGGCTTTTTATCGCCAACTTCGATTGTCTCGGCTCTGCTGCTGCATGTTCGCTTCTCGAGGATGAATTGGCTGGGAGGTGAACTGGAAAGGACGATGGAGGGAAGGACAGCGGAATGATTGTTTCGGCAGGGGACATAAGACTACCAAGGGTCTGGTAAGTCGTAGTAATAGCTGTAGTCATGCTCGAACCATTAGCGATTGGCGTGAGATACTCGGTATGAGGTTTGTGGAGGGGAAGTAGTGGCTCTGTGGGGGGCTTCTTCGGTTTCGGCATCCAATGCCCTTGCTGTGCTTTCGCTTGCGCCAGTGCTGCCAGCTTCGAAGGCGGACGCGCAAGACCTCCGGGTGCTTCGGAGGACCGCACCACAGTGGTAACAGGTCCAGCAATGTCATCGGGTGACACTTGAGACAAGGTTGCCGTCGGTCGAGCAGCAACAGTGGACCTGGGAGTCTGAGTTGGCGACGGAGTCCGATGGCTACGTGCTGGCACTGACCGCTGTGGACGAATGGTGGAAGCAGGAGAAAACGGCGATCCTGGCACATCATCAGGCTCTGGTGCTACTGCTGCTCGGTCGACGGTCTCCAAGTCGAGCGCTGTCTGTATGGCATGCCGAACATGTGATGACATAGAAGACGAACCGGTGGTCGAGGAACTAACTCCTTCAACGAGCGACAGAAAAGAGCCAGAAGAAGGTCTCAGCTTCGGGTAAGTTACTACAGACTCCAAGTCCGAAGCAGATGACCTTGAACTTCTGCTGCTCGCACTCACACTTGACCGCGAACTCGCCAAAGTGGATAGTTTTGACTTCTTCTCACTTCTGGCTGGCACCGGCGTCGGTGCCTCATCATTCATGAGCTGAGGATGAGAGATAGCGTCGTGTTCAGGATAGAGACCAATCCCAGAATCTGTGATATTGGTGATTGGCTCATGCTGCGGTAGCGGAGGAACTGGTGAGCGTATAGGTGACATTAAGGACGGTGTACGAGACTGCGTCGGACTGGCAGATGGGGCTGACTCGTGAAAGGATAACCGCTGGAGAGCTGAGGTTGTGGGAGATGGAAGGACATCATTGGGGTTCAACCGTCTAGGCTCTGCAAGTTGACCATGGCTGAGTCAAATGGAGATAAGACACGAGGAAAACAATTAACGTACCGATGATTTCCCCATAATCAGTCGTCACGCTCAAGGAGGAACCCGCCTGAGGTAGACTGGTGAAATCCCGACGCACAGGAGTCCGATGTCCGACATCCTCCGTGCGTTCTGTACGTTCCGTGATGGTAGATAGGCGATGTCTCTGAAGGATAGAAGGCTCTGATGATTCGTACAGTTCCTCATCCTGGCTCTGAGCCAACCTAATCAGAGGAATGTTTGTCCTTCCTGAGCCGCCCGATACTTGACTCGGACCAATCATTGTGACGTATTGAACGGCGGAGTTACTGTTATCTTCGGGTAACAGTGGCAGCGGTTTCTCCCCTGGGTCTAGGAGATGCGGAAGTGATGAACATTGTGTCTTCACGAGAGGTTCGACTGGGGGTGAGAACAGCCATCTCTTTGCCTCGCCGCTGAGCGGAAGCTATGATACAAGCACCATACCATAGAGGATCGAAAGACGGAAGGGAAAAACCGAAGAATAACTAACGATGACAAGAACGGCTCACCTTTTCGTTCCATTGCGGCATTCTTTCGCCCTTGTTCCTCTGTGAGGTTCATTAGATCAAGTGATGGAATCTGGTATTACACAGAACATACCCAACAGCCAGTCTATGCTCCGCCGTACGTCAAAGTGGTAATAGTACAGGGTATCCTTGATATCTCTGTCGTTGACTCCGGTTTCTTCTTCAGATCCTAAAGTCGCTCTAACTTGCTCAAGTCCGTCCATCATTCGATCTACGTTGACACAGTCTGACGAAGAACTGATACAAACAAAATGAAACGCACCATAGTCCGCCGTGTCCAGCTCGTCTTCTCCACCGTCCGATAATGCATCATCCACTAACTCTTCTACAGTCCTTCAGGTTTCAGCAGAGAGAAAACGTATGACATTGAAACAGCTTACCGCGTACATCTATGTTGCGCACGAACCTGTGTCGTGACATCGCAAAACAATACAACAGTTCAAGCTACTGCAAGTTTCCGAGATGATGCCAGTTCCCTTCAGGACCACTGGTCCGGGATAACTGGTCACGGTCTCCTCACAGTTGTGACACGACGATCCCGTGACCGTCGTGACGAACAGCACTTGAAAGTGACACGGTGTTTTGGCTTGCGTCCATATCCCTATTTTTGTCATGTTCTCTCTCAGCAATCGCGTATCTGCTGCCAGAGCATCTTTGCGGGTAAGCTTGCCTGAGAGCCAAATTATGAGGAAGCTGATGCACTTCCAATAGGCCTTTTCCACAACTCCGTCGCGTTCAGCAGACCTCGCAAAACTTATGCTCATCGGTCGCTTGGGAAAAGACCCTGAGGTTCGCACCACGAAGAATAACAAGGAATATGTGCAGTATGTTGACGGAAGTCATCGTATGGACACAGTCAGTCGCTAATATTTGCGCTCACTAGATACACAGTAGCCACCACGAACTATCCCCCTGGCCCGCCTAATGCAGATGGTTGTCAGTGCACCCCTGTTTCTGTACATTCCAGCGGTCTTATCCTGTATCCACACAGCCCGAGGCGACAAGACGACGACTTGGCATTCCGTCCTGTCCTTCAATAATAGTGCTAACGCCTTCCTCCGCACCTTGAAGAAGGGGTCTCAGGTGTTTGTGGAGGCAAATTTCGAGTTGCGAGAGCCTGACCCCAGCGCCGATCCTGATACCCCTCAGGGTCAGAGACAAATATTCTTGCGACATGGTGAGCACCTCGGGCTTAATATCGCTGTCGTTGCTGATAGTTGGTTTCAGAGTCCATTAGAGTGCTGCGGTCCAACAGACCACAAGAGGAGGAAGGTGGTGCAGAGGAAGCATAGCTTTCGAATAAAAATGCACAGTTCCATGTTGTGGCGTACCCTTGATACAACCCCTACTTTCGTTCACTCCTTAATCTCCATGCTCATCCTGATCTTCTGCAGTACCGTGCAGTCCACTTGAAGCAGGCTCTGCAATCCATTCCTGAAAGGAACTGAATCATGCTTCACGATCGACAAACAACAAACTCACGAAGCTTTGCCTTCCTGCAGACGGTAGTACAGGCATTGGCACTGAGGGCGGTGGTGGAGCACCGCTGCCCTTCAGCATTTTCTTCACGTAGTCCCGCACAGCTATGGCGACCAACTGATGAACGTCAGTTCGACAAACAACTTGGATGATAGCCCTGGCGCTTACATGATGATCGTCGGGACTTGATCCAGAGTAACAGGCTACAACCGCAATTGGGCAGCAAGGAGCGTTCTGTAATTGTAGTCAGTGTTCCTCAGGTCGAGGTCTCGGACAGTGAGGCACCACCTCAAGCCATATCGGAAATGCTGCAGGGAGGAATGACTATCTCAGCATGGAGGGTCGGGTATGTAGGCATAATCCTCACCTCCTCCACTGATCCTGTATTCTCCCTTGACACCTAGTTGTGTAGGTGTCTTGCCTACGGCACCCATGCCCTTTTCCACGTAGTAGCTTGAATGGCCCGTCCGACGGACTACTGCAATCATACCCTGGTATCCTCCATCGTAACATGCACAGAAAATCGTCCACAATCTGGCGCGTTCCTGCCGAAGCTCGCACTTACCTCCAGACAGGCCCAGCTGTCCAGACTGACATCTCCTACTCCAGAGACACCTCCAAGATCTCCGACTGTACACGCGAATAGGGTATGCCCAGCGATAGTCTGAATTGAGATTACAAGCCCTTTTCCCTTTGCATGTCGTGAGGAAGAGCGGAATCGTTTGCGGAGCGATAGCCCAAGTGTTACTGCGTCGTTCGCAGTGAAGGAATGGAAACGGCAGCTGGACTCTTCATTCAGGGTTTGAGTAGCAATTTCTGCGTCGCTAGGGGGTATCGGGGTGTGGAAACCGTTGAACATAGGCGGTTCCGACGGAAGTATTTTGAATAGACCGATATCTGCTGAACCACCAGCAAAGTGAGATGGTAGAAGATGCGACAGGGAGTCAAGCTTCCAGTTTCAAGCTCGAAGTTCAAGAAATATGTAAACGGTGCATGTGCAGTACTTGTCAGGAACACGAGGAGATGGGCATTGCAGCGGTCGTGGACACACGAGGCAAATGACGGAAACCACTCATGATCTATCAAGGAGGAGCCACACGTAGAAAATGCATGCATAATTGCAAGTTAGAGGCACAGGTCTGTAGCTCAGGCTGAAGCATGGTTGAAGCTTTGAAGTACTGTTAACGTAAGTTACGATGGGGTTGATGCCATACCGCGATTTCGACGAGAACCACCCATAATTCAGAACCATAGAATAGACGCGCTACTAACGATACTGGTAAGATTTTTCTCATGAGGATCATCCCCGAACAGATATTGACAGCAACGCACGGCTCACTATTCGTACACAGTTCTCTACGATGGACTCCGACTCACATTCCTATCAGCCGCTGGCTCCTGGTGACACCTACTGCTGTTCTCCCTCGTGTCATATGGAGAAGCTGCTATCCGCACGCCTTGCGCATGATGCCCATGAGCATCATCACCGACCCAGCTAATGGCTCTTCGACGGCCAGTTGAGTCAGGCGTAGATAACGGGTCGCGTTCGACATCCTGCGATTGAGGGCGAACGGGTTCGTCTCGTGGAGGAGTATTGATTATGAGGACACGCTGTGGAGTGCAACGAATGAGTCTCCGTGGCGTTATTAAGTGGGGAATTAGACACTTACTTGAGCAGGAGATAGCCCATAGAGGCTGACAAAACTCTGCCTGTTCCTCAGGATAGGTGTAATTTGGTCCGCGTGTAGCTTTACTGGATTGCGTCTACCCAAGCTCCCTGCCCTGACGATTCTCAAAGCGGGGTTGTCGCCATCGGGTGGATCAAGGTAATCGCTGCGCGCCTCCTCGTCATCCTGAGAAAGGCTCGGTTCTGTACTCTCCTCGACGATGGGTGTCGGAGCCCACGTGATTATGAATACTCCAGCGAACGTCGCACAACAACCGTAAAAGAAAGTTACGAGCTCGTGAAACGTGGCCTTCTTGAAATCTCCGTACAGTATCGCAGATCCGACGATAGCCGACAGAGTGAACATCACGAATTGAGTAGGAACGACAACCTATGAACACAGAAAAGTCCAATATTTAGATCCTTCCGAGTATAGGAAAATAGCCCGCACCTTGCTGTCGAATCGCATCAGAGCACGATTCAAATATTTAATTTGACCAACTCCAGTACAAAGAAGAACCTATCCAACGAATTCCTCTTAGACGTTCAACATGAATGCTCGCGAAGGCAAGAAGTACTCGCCGCAAGCACTGGATAAGTGACCCATTCGGCGAATATTTCAAACCACTCCAATGTGATCAGGGTCGACATGGCCTTGGTCGACAGAACAGTAAAACCACCTGATAGACCGGGTCAGTTACTTCGGTTGTGAACTAGTGCTGTCTGTCTCACCAAATAACGCACAAAGCCCGACGTCTACGTAAACGTAACTTCTCCCTATACTCCCTTCGGACAGTCCTGACAGGATAATGATGCCTGTGATATACACGATTGAATATACGATGAAAGGGCGTTGCTTAATTGCCTCAATGAGGCCTTGGGGGTCCAACCGAACATCGGAAGGATTGGTGGAGAGAACCACCGTGATAGCTCCAATTACAGCGATGACGATGCCAAAGAAATCACGCTGGCAGACAGCACAAATAAGCTTACGCGCCTCCTCCCAATAGAACAGCTTACTTTGCGAAAACGTTCCTTGAGCATCAGTGGAGCGAACAGGCAATTGGCAATGAGCGCAAACTAGGTGATGTGCGTATGAGTGCGTTCCACAAGCCAGAACAACGATTAAATACTCACTGTGCCCAGAGGAGCTACCACCGAAGCCGGTGCAAATGCGTACGAAATGAAATTCCCCATCTCGCCGACATTCATCAACAAGAACCCAACCCACCTATCAGTGCACACATATCACCTTCTGTAGTTATGTTGCACACGCTAGGAGTGGGCATACGCACCATAACTTGGACTTAAGGTAGTCGCTCTCGTTTCCATTGTTGGAACTGTTTCCTCTCTCCTCAGTGCTACTGTTCTTTGTACGGCCATCCCCTGGCAACAAAATTGGAACAACATCCACAGGGTCCAGAGCGGCGAGGTGGGACTGGTCAGTATCTTTCATCGGGTGCGTGTCGTGTCGGCTAATACGAGAGAGCCTCGAGAAGATGGTAGGTTTCTTGGTGGGCCTGAGGGTAACGGAAGTTCCATAGGCGGGAGACGGTGTCCCATTCGAAGTGCTCAATAGAGGTTCTGTTTCTATCAAAGCCACTGCCCTGTTCGAAACGTCGGCCCCACCTTCTGTAAACGATGTAGCTTGGGAATTGTCCGCTTCGGATGTCGCTGAGCCTTCTTGCCCAGCGTTCCATTCGAGACGTCGGTCAGCAGTCTCCCGCGCCCTCTCCAACCGTTTGTGGGCGAGTTTCTGGCAATTCAAGGCCAAGGAGATGAGGACATTTCCAGAGACAGCGACCACAATGCCAGCAATAGTTGCATTCGTCAGATGTGGGAGTCGGGCGATAACATCCGGGTCTTTGAAGAGCATGAACAGAACATTTGACGGGATGGGTGAAGCAGCGAGGGGTATATACATCATTAGTCCGCTCTAATGGGTATTAGCTAGCTCAAGATAAGTTTGCAATGCGTGATCACAGAATGCTGAACATGGTGGATGCAAGCAGGACCGGGCCCGGCAAAGTTGAAGTATACACGACGCACGTGCTCGTGTTTCCGGCGTATACAGCTTGTCTCAAACCCACAAGTCCGTTTGAATAACTCTCCGACGGTATCCCCCTGGCCTTTCCTTCCATTCAGGATAGCTTCGAAGTGACTTGACATGCGCACGAAGCACACGTCCCATCCACTTTCTGCCTTCCCCGTCTATTCATGTGCTTTCGTGTCATCCAATGAATTCGTGTTGGGTGGAGGTGGGGGTCAATCTAGGAGTGGTATCAAGAACAAGTTGGTATGTCACATATAAGCTCTGCTGCATGCTTATTTAGCACTGATACCTCTCTAGAGACTATATCGCGCGGAGAATGACAAGAAGCTAGAACTATTGCAGGAGCTGGAGCTCGAATCCGGTGAAGATGCCCCCATGAGCATGGCTGCCCACCCAAAGAATAAGGATTTTGCCTGCGGTGTCAATAGCTCTGCTGAGAATATGCGAAGCGGTGACAACCAGAATTGTCGGTTATACAGTGTCGAGGATCACAAGTGAATACTCCGCGTGTACGATCCCCTCTATTTATTCTCTCATTATCATTCAGGATAAAGGCATTGGGTAGCCGAAGCACGCTGGTATTGAAAGAGGCAGAGGATGACTTCCAGGTTCGTCCACGTAACTCATACTGAACCTTTACTGACCGTGCCACAGAAAGTCACGGTCTTCTCCCCAGATGGTATCCTATTAGCTGTGAGCGGCTCACGGGATGTAAGCATGCTGATCTTGGAATTCTGATGATATACTGCGAGTTGACTCTGTTCATCAGCTTTCCCTATTGTACTACCCCTCTCTTTCCCCTGCAGCTCTACCTGTCCACTTAGACAAGGGGGAAATATATGACGCTTCCTTCTCTGCCAAGACAGTACGTCAGTTTGTACCCTCTGTTTCTCACCATTTACGTTTCGCAGTTGGTCATTGCTACAACAGTCAATCTTCTGGTGTATGCTCTACCGTCGTCAGACATACCTGAAAAAAGTGATAAGGCGACCGGAAAGCAGAAACAGATACCTCCTGTAGAGCTCTGTCTGCTGAAGACTGTAGACCGGCCCAATCTACCTGGTAAAGATGCAGGTGGTAGTTTCCGCTCTGTGAGGTATAAACGTTGTTGATGTCTGCATACTTGCATGCATATACTAACGACAATGCTAACAGGTATCATCCTCTTGACGAGAACACTCTCTATACCGTAATCAATACCATTCCGCCACGGACTCGCACGAAGTCGACACCTAGGCGGGCTTTTATCTGCAAGTGGAATGCCGAGACATGGGAAGTGATTCGGTCGAGGAAGGTCGGAGATCGAGGATTGACGTGTTTCGACGTGAGGTGGGCCGAAGCACACTACATTTATGTCACACAATACTCAAGTCGTATTTCATAGCCCGAATGGTAAGCTATTGGCATTTGGATCTGCAGATTATACGGTTGGGATATTGGACGCGCAAACACTTGCTGTAGGTTACTTGTCTCAATTACATTTTTTTCGTTGTTCATTCGTGCGTGTCGTTTCTACAGCCTCTTCTGGACGTCCTGAAGGCACATGAGTTTCCGCCCACAACGCTTCGATTTAACACAACGTCGAACTTGTTGATTTCAGGCAGTGCAGACAGCACTGTACGGATTGTCACTATTCCCGATACGTTAGCCGCAGCATGTGAGCTCCCCCTCCTCTCGTACGGTACATGTACTCACTGTGGTTATCTCTAGCATGGAGTTCGTGGATCCTCATCATTGTTACTTTACTCGTCATTATCTTCGCGATACTTGCTCAGCAAATGCACCATCATCTCTGACATCACGACGCCTATGGTTTATCTGCTATGTTTAATTGTGACTTCGGTTGTTCTTATACCAGGTTGTCCCTCTGACAGTTACGTAGTGTCCCTACGGCATTGTACAATACTTCATTAGTACAGGATATACTGCTTTACTGGATGACGCTGTCCGTGCGGGCACCTACAGTCTGCATTCGCTGAACACAGCGAGTCCTAATCATAATCCTCCTCTTCTACTAATTTTCGCTTGATACCATTCGTAGCAGTGGGACCTGCGGCAGAGACATCTTCCATAGGCTCGTCTCCACTTTCCTCCTCTTCCTCGTCTCCCGCGGCTCCAAAGAGGCCATCCTCTTCCACGTCACTTCCTTCTTCAGCAGCTGCCACCCCCGGTGTCATCATCTCCACGTCTGACGGTGTTTGTAGGACGCCTTCTGGTGCAACTAGTGGTACTGACACATCGTACTGCGCCTGTCGAGGTTGAGAAGGCGGGATGGCCGCAGGCTCCATGTCTTCATCCTCAGACTCGGATTCTTCTATTTCCTCCGCTTCCTCGTCGTAGAGTTTAACGCCCGGAGGTGGTTTGTTGGGGATAAGGTCGAAATCCACTGCAGTGAGACACTCGGATGATGGGGGCAGCCGCACACCGAACACCTCGGGCGCAGCGGGTAGTGGCATAGAATTTGCCTGTGTGGCGAGGGAGAGTGTATACTACTCACAGCCTTTGGAGTAAGACGTAGTATTGGAATATGGGCTCCGCCGCGCACCTCTTTTGGGACCCGTCCCCCGAACTCCCAGCCCACACGCGCCTGCACTGCGAGGACCACATCGTCCATCTCAACTTTCCCCGAGCGACCTGCATGCTCGGCGTACACTAACGCGTCGGAGAGAACTTGAGTTGTATATCTGTGTGAGAACTCGAGCAGTTGGTGGAGAACGCCTGGCTGAGCGTCCTGAACAGTGGGAGTAGAAGCAAGAAGTAAAGCGATAGCCCGAGAGGAAGGAGGAAGATTATCAGCAGCAGCAGATCGTGACATGAATGAGTCCGAGTAATCCAGTAACAAGTATGTAGTTTCGCTTAGTACGTTGAAGGGGACGACTTAGTTCGAACATTGGCAAGCGCGTCGGCGTTGAGTAGGATTGTGACCCAAAAAGGCAAGCGGCAGCAATTCTGCGACGTATCGTAAATGAACTTTTTGTTTTGGTGTACTTCAGAAACCGCGACTTCAGCATGCATATGATCAAAGAGGCCACATCCAACATCAATCAGATATCCTCCTTGGGCGACATTACGTCGTCCATCAAACGCTCGAACTCCGTCTCCATCTCTCTCACAGCATCACCCACAGGCGGCAAAATCGGCACTGCCTTCGAATCGTCCCTTGTGCGATCAGCAATGTTCTTCTCCACATACAGGCCAGCCTTCTTGACCCTAGCAACCTGCGCTTCCTTCAGCAGCCGCCTACCGCCACTGTAGAAGAACAATAGCGCCCCCCCAATCATCCAGTGGCCATACCATTGCAGCGCGCTCCATCCGGCGAGCGAATCGTGCATCGTGAGTAACATGAACGGTGCTCCAGCATAATTGAGCATCAGTGTGGTGCACACGATTCCGGCAAGGTCATAGAGTCGTTTCAACGGCGTCTGGGGCGGAGGAGGGGCGGTTCGACTTGCCACGTAGGTCGGAGGAAGGAACAGAGGGCGGAGATAAGCTCTGCAGAGACGACCAGCAGTTTGCATAAAGCCTCCGGTAAAGAAGGTTAGGTAGTAGCCTCCCGAAATTCCATGCTGTTGCGGGGCAATTTGAGAAAAAATAAGTTTCGGAGCTCTCTCGTAACTACTCACCCAGAAAGCACTGGTCGCAAAAGTAATCATACTACTTCGAAATCCCGGCTTCTTGCCTTTAGGCGTGACACGCTTGTAAACGCATTCCCTGAGCCAGATGTTTGCCTTCATGTTCCAGTTGTCAAGTAGAACCTTCATGTTAGGGGCGAACTCTATAAACCAGACATTCACATTCGCAGCGCCTTCCCATCGTGTACCCCCAGAAGAGGTGTAACCACTGAAGCCAAATCCAGTAAGAATTGCTGCTCCCTAAAAGCATCGTGATTGTTGAGGCGTAAATGAACATGGCGCTCGATGACGTACCTCGGTAAGGGTCCATACCGCGTAGTACTTGGTCCTCTCAAAGAGACCTGAGATCTGGAAGAACAAGAACCTATGACATCGATCAGTCTGCTGTTTTGACAGTTCAGCCGTAGAACATACCGATATAGAAAGCTCTTCGTCTTGAACCATTCCTGAGCTGTCGCACTGTAACTGAACGTAGATATGCCAGTCACATAAATCCCTAGTAGAGCCAATCCAATGACCATCTTGCGATAGGCTACGCGTTTCCTCCCGTGCGGTACAAGCCTGCGGTTCTTGTCTACAACTGGCTTCTTGTAGATAGTGCCATCTATCAAAGCCACGTAATCTGCATATTCTAGATAAGGTCCTACAAGAACGCTAGGGAAATATAAACTACAAGTATGGATTCTTCAGACAAATCGGAGAAACACTTACAAGCAGTAACACTTACCTGTATCCAAGAAATTCTACTAGAGATGGGTATTGCACAACACGCTTCTCTCGCTGCCACTGATCTAATTCCTGAAAACGTAATCAGGATTGTCGTTGATGTTCGACCGACCACGCAAGCACTGACTTCAACAGGTCGTCTGCTATCCCAGACATTCCATGCGAAGGTCGTAAGTTTCATGGTCAACACCATTTGAGGACCAGTAATCTCGAACGTTTCGTAGCTCTGATTACGAAAAGTTCTGATTACATGGCTGAACAGCATCGTACGTTGAGACTCCGCCAACTTGAGGACAAGTGAAGTCTCACTTTGCAGTTAGATGACCCATGACGAAACTTGAACACCAGCATCAGACTCATATTAAAGGTGACTTGCGAAACTAGTACAGTGGTGACTCACGCGAACACAATCCACGGCATTCGGCCCCTCTTGATTTTCGCAGCCAAGAAGTACGTACCCAAAACGCTAACAAGAAGTTGTAGGGTTCCAGACCACAGATTGAGGACGGGAAGAAAGTAGAAGAGGCTGATGGCGATGTTGAATAGATGCTTCATCGTGGGCTTCGAGGTAGGTATACGGATAAAAACGCTGCCCAGAGGGTAAGACACCAAAAGACAGAATATTAGCTTGTCGACAAAATATCAGCTAAATCGCTAGTTCTGGAAGATTTTAACTTCGCACCTTGACTTGATCTATAGACACTCCTAGCGACGTAGCCAACGGAAGGAAGACAATATCCATGATAGCATGCCAGTTCGACCGCCAAATTGTCAAAAAGTGGTGTCAAGATAGTATCAATGCGAAAGACGACAGCAAGAAGATAGCTGAAGAACTCTAACCCGAACACAGGCCTCAGGTACAGCTCTATATTGGCGGAAGTGCCGCCAGCGGTAGCAGGTCCGAAGCGTTGGGTGCGCAGGGCAGGCTGGAAACGTGGAAACGTACATCACAAAAAACCGCGGCTGGATTTTGCCCATTTCGACTTGTTGCAAGTATTTGGTACCTTACGATCGCCATGTAATCCCCATAAGTCAACTTTGTAAGGTAATGTAACTATGTCCCGGCTTATATTTGTAATGCAAGGCTAGAATTAGTTCTATTCGTTGTAACTGCGTCTTCAGGTAGGTAGGTAGGTAGGTAGATTACCGGCATTGGTCCCATTCAGGAACGCCGGGTTGTCGCACCTAGATCTCTGCTATGTACCCGTGCACAGTACACTACAGAAATCTAGGATACAACACATCCAGGACAGAAATCGCTCCGATCAATGCCTACTCATCTACACAGCTCCCAGTGCATCGAAGTTGATTTGGGGGCAAGGGAAAACCCAGTGGGAAAAACCCGAACTCAGGGAGCTGTTTCAACAAGAGCACTGTCCCACGAAATCCATCAAGGATGCATGAGACTAAGTAGGCTCTCCAGCTGTTGTTATATGTGGAAGAAGTGTATGCTTCGGTGTGTGAAACACTTAGGATGTTGTACGTGGATGTGCAAGATATTCTGCACCATACACAAAAAAGCCAGCGGGACATAGCCGCATGTTCACACATCAAGTGTGACACTTCCACACGTAGCAAAGAGCGAGAGCTGCACGTCATGATTTGAAAGAGTAATTACAGGTTGCATGAAGAATGCCAGCACAGTCACTGTGCATACTTAACCACACTCACCACAATGCCCGATGCACGATGTGCACATGGAGCATAATATGGAAGTGATGCACACTGCTGGACTCTCGAGCTGGGGTATACAGATAGCGCAACGGCTCGCGGACAAGGGGTCGACAATAGCAATGAGATGGATGAGAATGCTCGCATGCAAAAGAACTGTGCACTACGAAGGTTGCCGCCTGTATTCGAGTCTGTGTAGGGGTGGTGCAGCGGTGAAGTATGTGAACATGATACGCAGGCATCCACAGTAAATTGTGGGCATCCACAAGCATTGGTGGGCATCACCGCCATTGGTGGGTATCCACCAGAGCAGCGGGTACTGTGTATGGATGAGGACGGGCAGTGCGGGCACTGTGTCTTGATGCTGACCATAACATCGTGTTCTGTAAACACACTTCTCATGTCACGATAGTCCACGGTGTCATTAGAGTAGCAGAGGACGATATTCGTGAACAACACAAATAGGGGTAAGGTGAGTGACAGGTAGACCACTACCATTGGTCGGCACCCGTAGTCACCGGCAGGAGCAGTGGGCACTGTGCGTCGACGCTGGTCATAGAGCCATCGGTAAACACTTCCTCGCAGTCTGAGGGCATCCACCATCGGTGGGCATCTACCGCCATCGATGGGCATCCGCACTAAAAGGCGGGTAGCAGCGGACACTGTGCGTCGACGCTGGACATGGAAGGTACACAATAAATGCATGCCTTAGAAGCAGGCGGGAGTAGCGAGCATCGTGCATCGATGCTGGACATATAGCTGCCATCTGTAAACACTTTCCCGCAGTATAAGGGCATCCACCGCCATTAGTGGGCATCCACGCGCAAAGATGGGCAGCAGCGGACGCTGTGCATCGACACTGGACATGGAGCCATCTTCCGCAAACATGTTGTATACGTTACGATAGTCATCAGTGTCATTTTAGCAGTAGAGAGCAATATTTCTCTTCAGCTGCAAGCTGCCTTGCCTTGGTCTCTGAACGGGTAATACCGTAGACGATGTGCCCTGCGCGTACGAAGGCCTGTGCAACAGGGAAACCGATGAATTCGGAAGCGCCAAGAATGAGAACTTTCATTATGTTCAGGCGGGCAGGTGAAGCAACGAATGCAGATAGGCACAAGTCTCCTGAAGACCATGTTGAGATTGCTGTTCCAGTTATGGTCTCCTGTGTAGCAATCACGCTCCGAGGTGCTGCATCATCATCCACATTCTTGTACCTAGCTATTTCCCGTCTCAAGATAAGTTCTAGAGATTGAGTAAGTCAACGTGAAACAGTCCCCGAACACCACTGGTCGGGTGCATGTGCTACACCGCCAACTTGCACACATGGAAACCATGTGACTAGGCTCATAGATACAGCCTCTAGTTACCTGGAGGAAGACAGTCATTCCTTTTGTAATAGAGGCTGAGATTATTATCGATCACCCGCTGAGAAGTCCCCCGTGGGAAACCGGACTTTGAACGATGTCGACAGCAATTCGACGCACGAATCTTTAGCAGCCACAGGCACGTCTTACCTGTGTACAAGCTTCGTGCTGTAAAAAGTTCTCATGGTGACAGTTCCACCTACTGACGACATCCAGGGTGATGGCGAAATATTCAGATCTGTACAGATGGGCCCTCAGGTACTCAGCCGATCCAGTCTTCCACAGATATCTCAGCCTGCCAGTGACTATCCGTATCATTTTATTCATTGTGAGGATGTCACCACACTAATGTCGGATGGTTTTCATAACCTTTATCTATAGATTTATCTCCTGGTGTAAATACTTAGAGTCAGGGACTCAGGACAACTCAGAAATTTCACGAGGTCGTGTGCATGTGCACAATGGCCTGCAAGATCGCTATGCACAATGGGAAATGCATGGAGGTTATGCAGCTTCATTTTACCCCCTGCTACTATCTAGTCCAGTTTTGCTGATGTGTTCGCGCGCACCTTCGAATCTGCTCATCCCGCAAGTAGTGTATGGCATGGGTATTGCCAACCCACATGGGTTGTAAGTATGGGTATCCATGGGTATGGGTGTGGGTCAGCAGTAAGTAACCCATGGAAACCCATGGGCCATCTTATGGGTTTGTTATAAAGATAGGGTTCCAGAAGTGTGCTGGTGGCATAACTGTACAGTACCTTTATTAGGTAATTCAAACCTGGTATCACACACAGCCATCTCATCACTTCAAAAGCATGGCAGGTGACAGTGCAAAGACTTGCATACTGCTATTGTACTATGACTCCCACACTGCAACCCATGGGATACCCATGATGAGTCTTGACCCATATAGACCCATAGCTGACCCATACCCAACCCATGGAAAACTCATACTCATGTGATGGGTATGGGTTTTCTGTGGGTATGGGTGTGGGTATACCTTATCAGACCCATGGAATACCCATGCTAGACACTACCCGCAAGTGTCTACATATGCAGTTCAGCACCACTCAAACACAGTTGCTCCATACGGCATTCAGAGGCCGCCGTGGCCTTCCCCATCCTATAGTGTCCCTTCTACGCCATTTTTTACACCTTCATCGGCATCATCTGTAATATCTATGCAACCTCGGGTTAGTAGGCACAATCATGAGGGCTATTCCTATCTTCTTCTGGGCTTGTGCAGCTAGTAGCGGAGCATGCATGGCCGTCATCTTCCCCTGGCCTGGCACGATGATGAGAAATGTATCCTTGCTGTGGATGAGGTCCAAGCCATGGTGTAGCTGGAAATTGTGAACCGAGGGAACTCCGCACTTCTGAATGATCAGCGACTTGAGCCATTCCGAAGAGCCTTCTGCAGGTATGATAGACATATAGAATCATGTTGATTAATTGCTACATAGCATATAGTATAAGTTACAAAGAGATGCGAGTCGATGCGACACTGATGTCTCTGCCACCAACACATTTTGGGAATTACAGTTTAGTGCTGATGATGCAGCTGTCCCTTCCGGTGTCCAGCACATAGCTCAAAAACTCCCATGGGGGACTTCTCAGTGGGCTCCCAGATAATAATCCTGGACTACCATGTGACAAGGTTATGCCACACAGCCATTTCTCCCATGTTCCTTTGTTCTCTGAACAATGTTGTATCCACATGTCATCGTGTCTCAGCTCACAGTGGGTAGAGATCAATACATTTATGATATGATTACTTCACCTTGCACCAATGTGAATTCCAACCACTATGTAAGGTCAGTCTGCATCTTTTGCCGGTATCGCAAGTCATGCATGTTTGATATGCATTTCAACATGGTATTTGGCACTTCCCAAGTCTCTCGCGAAGCTGTCAGTTGAGCTTGTTGCTGTCACCATCGCCGTCTGCAGTCGATCACCAGATGACATTTCAAGCTCCCGCATTATTCATACAAAATGATCGTCATTCATGTATACAAAATGCATACACCAATTCCAAATACACGGCAACTACACCAGAATGAAAGTAATGCCATGCCAGTGCCCACAATTCAGCCGGCCATTCAGGCAGTACCAGCGGCCATGCCACTGTCGATGCCGGCTTGAAACAAATTGACAGGTTGCTCGACATTGTCAATCTTTGAGTTGTTGCTCTCAACATGCTTCTTGCGATCACTCTTACAGCCATTTGCGGAACATAGGGTGCGGGTGCAAAATTTCTATTTTTTGACATTGTACAGTATATCTACAGTAGCGGTGTCATTCTGTATGCAATTTCTCTGAAAATTAGTGCAACTGAATGGCACAGTGAATATGTAGGGGATGGTGTTGTCAGATTTTTGAAAAGCCTGATTTGAGCATATGTTGAGATACCTAACCATCTGCATATAGCATTTCTAAGTTTGTGAGACAGCCATGACACCCAGCTGACAAGTGATCAATGTCTGATATCAGTGGTTGATACCTACAGGTTTCACCTGTGTGCATGCAATATGGACAATTTACACTGCTATACCTGCTGATCGCAGTTCTGGCAAATCACACTCTTCAAAATCTGACAAGACCATCCCCTGGATATTCACTGTGCCATTCAGTTGCACTAATTTTCAGAGATGTCGGATGAGAAACAATAGAACTATTGTGGATATACTTTACAATGTCAAAA